ACTTTTCTCTCAGGCCACGATTATCATGCCAAAAATTGAATGTAACCGAGCTGAGATTAAATTTGAAGACGAAAGGAAAAACCATAAAAAAAATAAAAATGTAAATAAAATTCACACTTTCCTTTGCGTCTTTTTCTTGTTTCCACTTACTCACCACTCGAGCAAAACGAAGACATGTTTTTGTTTTAACGACTTTTGAATATTTAGAAGATGAACTTGTGAAATTTGTGACGCTTTTATTTATGCAGTAGAAGCATTTTGTTTTAGGACATCTGGAAAGATTCCACTCAAATGACTCATCTGCGTGAAATAAATTAAGATTCAAATATCAAAGTTCACCGAATAATCGTCTTTGTTGATCTTAAATATTCAGCAATAAAGTTAAACACTTCCATAGTTCATCGATAAATGCTTGACCCTGTCATGTGTCAATGTTAAACAGATCGCTAAATGTTTTTTATCGAAGATATCACACACCCTAGTGGCATACCGAGAGATGATTTCTTCCTGCCTTTGATGTTTTTTTGGCAACACATGTCGAAGAAGACAAAACCAGCGACAGAAATTTAAATGGCAATAAAATATGCAAAATATTCTGAATTTGAATACAAGAAAGAAAAAAAAAACACATAAAAATATATTCAATGGCGACAAAAAAGATCTTCAAATTGTGCAAAGAATGAGTTTTCAGTTCTTTCCCCGTAGAAATTAAGAAGACAAGAAAAAGACTCTTAATTGAATGACATTTTATTATTTTCTTGACTCAGAAGAACTTAAGAGGGAAGTAAAAAGAGGAATTCTGGAGATAATTTACATAATTTTTATTTTATTTTATTTTATTAACAGAAATATTGTAGCATACATAGAGTGGAGAATGGAGAGTGTCATCATCACACAGTCAAGGATTTCTGATTCCATCTATGAAGATCTTGTTTCGGTTTCATGTTGCATAGTTATAAAATTGGTATTAAAATCCTTAATTTGTTTAACTACGGGATAGTATAAAGTTATGCAAATCTTTAGATTTGAAATGAAGACATTTTATGTCAAATCATGTGATTATGTTTTTAGACGTCTTGAGTTTCCATTTCACATTTCACAAAAACTTTTAGCTTTGACTTTAAAGATATTTTGTCATTCAAATTTTATAATCAAAATAATATTTAGCGGATTTTTTATGTATTTGTTTTAATGCTTTACTCAAGCAACGAATCACTTTTAAACGTAGACCGAAGAATATTTATCGTAGAAAATTTGTCATGCGGGAGGTCTCATTCTGTTTAATGGCCAGACCATCAAAGTCATCAGAAACTTTTGGATTTCATTCGAACAATGATCATCCTTTCTAAAATGTTATTTATTTATATTTTTGTCTCAAGTATTCTGGGAGTCAAAGCGATGTGCTACCTTAAACTCATTTGACATTCATTTGAGTTCACTTTCTCAAAGAACTTTTAAATGGTAAATTAAATCACAAAAGAACAAGATCGAATTATTCATTCGAAAAATTTCAAGTTTAAAGATAATCTTGAACTCGTGTTAAGACAAATTCTTTGTCGACCCAAAACATTCATCTGTATGGAGAATCTTTCTTCAGATTCGATGCCACAAAACGAAAGACAAGACAAATAAAAAAAAAATGTATCCGAACTACAAATATACGAGTGGGCGAAATATAACAAATCATCAGTGTTTATTTAAATAAATTTCATGTTTAATTTACCACCGAACACTTTTAAAATTAATGTCCCAAGGAGCGATGGAAGGCATCGGTAAATTTAAACAGACTCGATGCGTTCACGTTTGCTTCTCTCCGACCGTGTTTACAAAAATCAAATAATAATTCTTAATTCTTCAAGAGATTAAGCGACTGAAAATACTTCATAAGTGTAATTGAGCAAGATGAAAGATTGGAGAAAACGTTCCAAAGACACGAAAGAATTATTGAAACCCATCCAATTGTGATGCCGCCGCATTAATTTGTAAGCGATGTTTAAATGGAAGCAACAAGATTTTAACAGATTTAATTCCACCATGTATTGGCTGATATTTGACAGGTGCAATTAAAAATTTAAAGAATTTAGTAAACAATAAATTGGCTGGTAATGATAATTATGGAAACTGTCGCAAGTCTGGATATGTTAGACGAAAAATAACTTGCAAAACTCAAAATCATACATTAAATAAATAATACAAGCCCTGAAAGCTTTTCTTACAATAATTTCCTTACGATTTGAGATCAAAAGTAAGTTGCGAGCACGAAATCGACAACAATGTTTCGATTGTTCCCGCATCGATGATCAGAGGTGGGCTGAAACCCAGCCACTCATCTCATTCTCATTTACCATGAATCATGATTACAATCTTCAGTTACTTCTTTTCTCAACCGTATGTATGATTATACATTTCAATTTATTTCGCCTCTTTAAGCACTGCGCGTTGCGTTGATTTGGCAATTGTAAAGCGCTCCATTCTATTTCAATTAAGGTTTCAATTCATGCTTCTTTTCGTCTTTTATGGACACAACTATGGACTGTTGAATGTAAATAAACGACTCCTTCATTAAACATATTTACATCAACACATACAAATGATCAGTTTTCGAATGAAAATAAAAGAAAAGTTTATTTAAATTCAATATCTTAAGCGCCTCATAGCGTCATACAACTTTTCCTGCAAGAGTCAGCTTGATAGCAAAATTATATAAATTGCATTTTAATAAAATATTGACTTACGATCACGAAAGTAGGAGGCAAAGCGAAGTCAGTGAAAGACGATTAAGCAAGCATAACTACACATGTCTCATACTGTGCAATCAATCGTTCTTCGCTTTCTTCCTTCATATTTCTTTTCGTTGTAAAGATTGCAGATTTTATTGTCTATAAGCTCAGTCATCTATCCACCACTTATCTCCTCAGAAAGTTTTCTTCACAAAAGATGATCATTTAAATAGATGTATAGACGAACTTCTTGAAAAACATGCAGAACATTGCGAGAAGCGACTGTATCACACATCTAATCATGTTAAAGATCGATTACGGAATGATTATCATTACTTATACTTCTGTTGCTTATTAATCACTTGATGCTTTATCGATAGTCGTGAAGGTAATCTGAACAGAAAATAAAAGAAATTGATAGAAGTTAGATTACTTGATTTATTATTTTATTATACAAAGATGGTGATGACGAGAGTTAAGAAAGTGCAGCAGTTGTTTTATGCACTGTCGATCAATTGAGAATGTTAATAAGGAGTTTTGATTGTTGTTATAAATTTTATATGGAACTTAAGAGACTTTCATTACGCAATGGAAGCTTTTGTTCACTTAATCATGATATATAAACGTAAATCACGTTCATAAAACCCTTAATCAGCTCAACATTCATCAGTTGGATAAACATGAGTATGTAAAAGGGAAAAAGAGTTCAAAATGTTTATTTTTAAAAATTCTCATTCATATTCTCCTTCAAATCATTCTAGCAACAACCAAACACAAAGTATCTTTGTCATTTCATTTTGGAAAGAAATTATTCAAATTTTACGAGTTTTCCTTCTCATTCTCAACTCTCGAGTTCAACTGTGATTTTTAAAAGATATCTTAAGGAGAATATTATTCAACACCGTTCCGAGACATTTTTATTATTTTAACGATTATTTGTTATACCTACATCATTTCCAATAAAAATATAAATGATTCCACTGTTCTGAGTTCTGTACTCCAACAATGATGAAGCGAAAGCTTAAAAATTTCAAGTTGGTGCTTGAAATGACCCGTTTTATGGTTTAATTTAAATTAATTTAAAAGAATCTCAGTGAGAATCGCTTTAGAATTAGAAATTCAGAGCATGGAGATAATTTGTTGACACATAAAACTTCTACGATTTCCTTAAAACTATCTTTGCTCGAGAATAATGAGACATGACTACGCTTTATCAACTTTTGTTTGTGATACACAAATAAAACCTTTTGTGTGCCTTAAAAGAATTTAATGATTGTTGTTAAGTTACGAAAAATAATGAAAATAAAAAAAATTATATTCTTGTTAATTCAAAATTCGATAAAATTTGGAATAATTAGGTAATTTATTTTTATAAACAAGAATAACAGAAATTAAATTTTGTGTAAATTATAACACCAGCTGCAGTTTGTAATAATTATAGAAAGAACATTTTAACGGATTTTTAATTTTTGAAAAAAAACATAAAACCGATTCATAAAACTTGTACAAGAGACTTGTAAGATATTATTGTGAATGATATTCTCTGTTCTTGTCTGACAAAAGCAAGCTTTTTTATTTCAATTCTTTCGCAATATTCTGTCGAGTACAAAAGCTTTTTTAAAGAGAATCATAAATAATATTTTACTAGGCATGTATAAAATTATTAGATATTAAAAAAAACTCAAGGACAGACATCTAATGCGCTTGAGCCACCTACCTACCTATCTATTTAAATAATAAGATGATAATTTTAATCCATACTTCAACAAATATTTAAAATCAATATCCATGATAGATGTCATTTGATTATTCATTAAGATTAAATTTAATAGTCTATGCTTCCTTCCCACATGTTTTGACTGAACAAATCGATACTTCAAATTCTTTATTCTAATTTTAAAGTAATTAATCACGGCCCTAAAAAGGAGATGTTTAAATGTTACTTCGAATCTAAATTTATGACGACCCTTAACTTTTATTAAGTAGAAATCATCCACAAACACAAATAATTAGTAAATACCTCGTAAGTGACGACTGTTCAATTTATTAAACGGAACGATTAATCAAGTTCTAAAATAGCTTAGAATCAGCCAATTAAGGAAAGTGACCTGTGAGACCTTGTAGCTCATAAATTCACGTCGATTTTCTCACGCTTATGTGTTGGATTAACAATTAAAGGGGTTTAACTGACTTCCTTGTATGATATGTAAGAATAATAAAGATACAAGTATAAAGATAAACAGATGATGTTGACGGTCAAGGTCCACGCACGGTAAAACAATGAACAAGCCGAAGATGATTCAAGCAGCTGAGCAGAACCATTCGTTATTGACTTTGTTCTCCCTGCTGTTTCATTCCAAAAATGATCCGTTAAGTAATCTCGTTTCGTTCTCTTTCGCTTACACGCTAAAATGCTCGTTGTTTACGATGCAAAGCTCGCGAGAGAAAAAGATAATCGAGAAGAGATGAACGAAAGATATTAATCTGATACAAATTCATTATATTTCATTACATATTCTGACCAATTTGAACGGCGAGTTGCTTGCTTGAATCTCGCTGTTTTGTTTCCATTTGCTTAACCAACCACAGACAGAAACATCAATAAAAGATCTCGAAAAGAATTTAAAGGAATGAAAAAGAACAAGTCAGCGAGATTTCTAAATCGATTCATCATCGAGCTTTAACAATTATTTCTCTTGTTTCGTTCTTTAAGATAGAAATGGAATAAGAATTGCGATCTTAAACTTAAACATTAAAGAAATATCTGGTCATCTCGAGCAATTATTTCTGCTTGTTGCGTTTTATCTCATCTTTTTTCGATTTCCTTAGCTTGACCATCGACTTGAGAATCTTCGATGCTTTGAAAATTAGTCGATAATTTTGTTTTCTCTCATTGCTTACCTGCTGTAGGTATGTGCGATTAAATATTAAATTATAAATTGAGAAATATCACGACAATTTGTTCATTCTGTGTTGTCATCGATGATGACTAATGTAACAGTTTCAACCTTAAAATTATTCAAAGAATGCTTGCCACATGTGATGGTGAACAAGAGTTTCGGAATTTCCAACAACGAAGCTTTCTTTCCTATTAAATATGACAAGTGACGATGAAATTCCGTCAACTCTGGTAGCAAACATGTTACTGACGACATTTCAGCTACCAACATTAACAGATTCACGCGGAGTAAACAAAATTAGGTACTTTAAAATGTTTCCATTCAAACAGAGCTCAGTGGTATCGAGCTCATGGCGATTTCCATTTCATTTTGTAAAAAACTCTGTAATTACTTAGTGATTTGAATGAACAATTGTTGCTCGCCATGCAAAATAAAACAAATTCGTATTGAAACAGAAACTTTGGCGTTTTCGAGTTTCCAGCAACACAAAACAGCGCACTCAGTGAAACCATTCGGAACGGTGTGGTAGAGTGAAAAGTAAAGCCGATTTGACGATGGTGCTTTGTTGACTTGCGATTGCGATTGAAGAGGAAGAGATGCGAATTAAAACATATCGCTGTCTAATTAATGAGATTTTCGATGCTGTGCCGTATTCATTGCGGAAAGAGGCTGAAACTGAATGGGCGCTTCGAAACAGAAACATCTCTCGAATTAACGTTCATGCTCGATTAGGTTTGTTTCACATAGAATGAAGTTATAACTCCAATTTGGATTCATAGCAGAACGTGGAAGTCGGTGAAACTCACATCTGTGACAGAAACGAATGAAATTATGTAAATTGAATCATTCATCGTCGAGTATTGAAAGCGTTTCAAAGTTCAGCCCAAACCACAGCATCAACTTATACTTGCACTCCTTAAATTCCAATCATTAACGAAAGACGATGATGGAGATCTTTCTTTCTAACTTTTACTTAGTAACATCAATCTCGCACTTCAACTCGCGTCATTTTTCAGCTTTTGTGTTTGCAATGAAAAAACGATTAACATGAGCGGTTTCAAGACACTCAAGACAACTCTACCAGCAACTAAACAGCAACAAAAATCACAGTCGAGTGTGCACAAAAGTGTGACGGCTGGAAGGAGTTTAATTACATAATTGACGATGATCAATAAAGACTGCGGTGTTGTAGAAAATGAAAACACGATGCATGATATCATTTTCTGAATGATCAGCTGGTTTGACGCAGCAACACGTGTAGAGTACAAGTATGTATAGCATTGGAAAGCAACAACAGCTAATCGAGCGTCTATCAGCTAGAGACGAAGTATAGAAGAACAAGGAAAAAGAAGAAAAGAAATAAACTTTGTAGCGAAAGAGCGGAATACGAATAAATTAAAATGAACTGTTATGCCGATTATTTCATTTTCAAGATATTTTTGCCACGGTGCTTCAATCTCTCGGTACTCGGCAATCTTTTTTGTCCGTTAAATTCTGTTAAATTACAGGCAGGGAAAAATACTCGAGTTGGGGGTGGAAATTTTCGTCCGCAATAAAATGCATTCGTGTTTGTCAAATTACTTTTAGGATGACCCGACTTCCGCCCATATTCCCTTGACCCTTCGTTGTGGATTTCAATGTGAACAATTACAATCTATATGCGAGCAGTGTCAGCTGTAGCAGGGAGTAAAAATTTCATTCGTGTCGAGAGTTTTCGATTTTAGAAAACTTGCCTTCTTCTCTCTCTTGTCTCATTTTTATTTGGTCTGAAATTCACAGAAATGGATTTTAATTAAATGCATCTGTGAAGCATCGTCGTCCCTTTATTTGACTGTGAAATTTTATGAACCTCATTTATTCGCTCGTCCTCCATTCATTTCAATCCTATTCGATAACAGCAACTACCAACAACAGCAAAAAACTGATAGGAATGTTATGAGAAATTGCATGAAATGCGTCTGAACATTTTTTGTTTGTTTCTTTTTGTAGTGAATTGAAAACGAAATTGCATCGCGGAATCGTGATGATGGAGTTCTTTGTCTCTTCAGTGAAGCATTTCATTTACATATAAGCTCATGAGCCTGCATAAATAAATTCTCTGTCTGCATTATTCTTCAACGTGGCATTTAAAAATACCAGAAAAGCTTTCCAAACACTTCGACTCTCGTCGCTCACTCAACAAGATAAAACGAAACGAGAAGAAAATCAATTTGCGACTAAATCACTTAGCAGAACATTTTCCTTCAAAGACAAAATTCACGAAAGTCGCGAAATTTTCATACATTTTGTTCTGTCCAAAACTTTCTGCTGACTTTTTGAGTCGTTGAAGCGCTTGAATTGCTCTCGTCGGTCTGAGGTTTGGCTTTGATTTATTTTCTCATTCATTTTGTTATTAAATTAAAGTCTTTAGTTCTGCTGCAGAACGAAACGTTGCGAGATGAGAAATCACAAAAGAAATTTTCATTTTATGGCGAAGGTGGATGGAAGGATGAACACATTCATTGTGTGCGTTGTGCAATTCGGAGGTCAAATGTTTCTCCATAAATGGATCTTGTGCAGAGACTCTCCGTTTGTCTCTCGAAAAACTTTAAGGAATCTCAGCAAACAGCTTCACCTCTGACCAAACATAAACACTGATTTATTACGCTAACTTTCTGTGGATACAAAATTTTCGTTCCCGTAAAAATTACGATGTGAAGAATGATTTCGATGGTCGACGATTCGTACAAAGTTTCATCGTTGTCGTTTCCATTATGGAACATCTGACAAGATTTTCTTCAAATTTTCTGACCCATTTCTCTCTCAATTTGACTTTTCATTGCACGACGCTGGTCTGTTTCGAAGCACAAGTTTTTATGTCATTTCACTCAGCAACAACGACAAGGAATGCGGTGCAAATAAAACTTTGCAATCAATAAAGTCTTTCACGCTCTCATGCCTCGTTAATTGTTACTCAAATGTCGTTAATGGTTTCATAAATATTGAGAAAACAAATTATTTGTATTTCCAACTTGCCTCGTGAATTCTTTTCCTGTTTGTGCGCTTATGATCATTGAAGTTTTATTTCTATCACAATCTGTGACGGTCTTAAATTCAACCTGAAAAGATTTCTTGACTCTGCTGCCGAAAATCTCTTGAAACAATGGACGCTGATGACCTCCAGTGCATGAATATTAATCAAATCAGCTGTCGCCACTTTTGGATTGACCCTGAGTCGACAGTGCGAAGTCATAAACTCAGACTCTGTCTGCTTATGTACACCCAAAGAGTTGAAGCAAGTCTGCCTACGCCTCGTCTTAATCAAATTCTCTGACTTGAGACGATGTCAACGTCGAGATTTCAGTTTAATTTCCCGCGTTGTCTAACTCAGCGTCGTGGTGTTCAATGCGGTTTATCAGCAGACTGACTCTCTCCATCTTTTCAGTTTTTTGCATTTTGTTTTTGGTAAAATTCTTCACCACACATTCACATTGCACAATTCACTTGTGGTTCTTCAATTGGTGTGTGAAGTAGAGAACAATTTGAATGACAATGGAAGCCAGAAAATGACATATTTAGTCGAAGTTCAGATCGCAGTAATTTGCTTAATGAAAATATTTAAACTTCCATTAGAAAGTCGACAGAAGCTTTTATTGTTAATTGCTCGACATTACGGAGATTACGCCAAGCTTTGTGTGTACAACGGGAAACTTTTTCACTTTTCACTTTTTCTCTCGTCTCATTTGAAGCAAATCCAAAAAATCTTTCTCGAATGACGAGCTCAAAAGACGACATCGAAACCGCAATATTGGTTCGTTTGACTCTTCGTTCTTATAAGTTGACTTTGTGAAACAAACAACTAAGCGAGTTAAGGGAGTAAGAAGAGCGACAAGAAAGATCACAGAACAAGATGCAGCAACGAAAAAATTCCAACAAGCAATGAAGTCTGTCGCGGTGTAAAGTGCTGAACAAAGGTGTGAGATTTATCTAGCAATTAGCGAACAATGAGCGAGCAAAAACGACAAAAAAAGAACTTGAACAATAAGAAACTTCTTCTGCTTGATTTAAGACGACGATTTCTTCATCGATTTGATCTTCATTATGAGTTTACGCATGAAATTGTCTTAACATGCAAAAGACTCGCACGAATCTCATCGTGGAAATGCAAACAACCTTCAGCGGCATATTTGAAACATTTCTTGACAATTTAATTAACCGAAATGCTCATTAACCGCGATTCCCATTTTATGATCGTCATGAAATGAAGTCAAATGGAACTTACGCAAATTAATATTATTTTCACCGCATTTGCTTTCAATTTCATATCCACATGATTTTGACATTGGAAGTTCATCGAAAGTTCAAGAAACAAGTTCGGACATCAAATTGGATTCGCTAAATTATTTAGACATGTTGACGCTCGTGTCGTTCGACAAACTTCTTACTCAAAGTAAAAATATCAACATGTTCATCATCTCATCTGCTAAATGAGATCCGTCACACGTGCTAAGTTGGAATTTTTTCTTTTCTTCTTTTTCGTTTTTTTTTTCGGGGAAATAAAAGTGGAAAAATGCCAAACGAAACAACAAAAAGTTGTCAGAAAGTAGGAAAAGTTTTCCTATTTAAAAGGAAAAAGAATTGCCTTCATCAGCTGAAAATTGTTGACGTTTTGCTTCGTTGCCACATCGGAAATCGACTCTTCATCATCTTTCGACCTTCGTCTAATTAACTTTGTTTAGAATTCTTTTTTTTTTGCCTTCAGTCTTTATCTGTAAATTATTCTATTCATCGCACTTTTTTTACATCATAAATTTTGGTTAGATTTGGTTTTTTCCCTTTCAGCAAAGTTTTTTGTTGGCAATATCAAAGTTTAAGAAAGACACGAAATTCGAATAAGCAAGATAAGTAAATTAAAACTTTTGCTGACGAAACAGGATCCCGCTAAAGACTTGAATAAAGAAGGCAAGGAATGGTTAGGGAAGGAAACTTCTCGTTCACTTAACGCTTCACAGCACTCACGAAGACGGAGACTTCATTGTTGCGAAATTATCATTCCCTTTTATTCAATTGCATTTTCGTTCCACTTTGAAAAGAATTCCACTCTCTTAGTGTCATTACGAAAAATTATTGCCCATGAAACTTTTGATCCTTTTATCTTCTACTGCTTTCAAAGGAAGACTTCAGATTTTTTATTCTTTCATTCAACAAGAAAAAAAAACGAAAATGCAGCAGTCGCAAAAAGCAATTTAAATTCTTAACACCATCGTAATCAAAACGCTTGTAAAGCAGACGAAACTTTTAAGCTAAATTAAAATTCAGCTGATGAAGCAAAAAGATTGTTAACGTCAGAATGCTGTAATAAACTTTTATTGCATAAGATTTTGGAAAAGTTTTCCCCTTCGTTTAAAGATTTCTTCGTCTCGCCGTGAAAACTTTTCAAACAAAACTCTCTTTACATCATAAATTTTGAGTTTAATCATGTAATAACTGATTGGAAAAAGGCAATTGAAATAAGAGATCGAAACTTATTATAGCGACTCGAGTCTGATATTTTCATATTTTTGAGAAGACTTCGAGATGCGACTCGAGTCTGAATCGATGAAATTGAATCGTGAATTGTAAATTTCTAGTCGAAGCGAAGTCGTACGTAGAGTCAGCAGAAAAATAGGCAATTTCACTCTTATTGTTAATGGCCATTGTAGCCTTTGGTGGCCTTAAATGGAACAGTAAAAATGTGCTGTAAGTGTAAGCCCATCAACAAACGAACAAGCGAATGAATGTCTGCGTGTATGAATGGAAATGAAATTTATTGGCGATTTCAATTAAGTTCCAACTTATGCTGCAGAGAAATGGATCTTTGCGAGCAACATTGGCGAGCATGATGTTATTGTAGCATCATAAATGAAGTCGAAGAAAGGAGAAACAAGTTTATCAATGACGTTTGAAATATCAAAGCCACTTTTTCAATAACGGACGCGCGTATGTAAGAGAAATAACGACGATAAATTGTGCAATCAAGAAGTTAGCGTTACAATGCGTACAACTAAAAGGCGGGCAGCGTTCGAGTGATGATAAGATGAGTGGAGAACATTTCGACACTTACCTGTGAAATCTTGAGGTATTTTAATGCCTTTCTTCCTGTTTGTGCCATTCTTGGCGTTGACCGCATGATAAACTTTATACTTCTTCAAGTGCCGATACAACAGAAACAATTCTCCGTTGTTGTTGTTATCTGATTTAATGTCATTCGAGCAGTTCATCTCATTACTGTTGCTGATGTTGGTGGTCGCTGTCGTTTGATTAGAATTAATTGATGATTGCTGATGCACGTGATGATGATGATGATTAGCTGATGACAATTTTTTACTCTTTCCAAGAATCGAATTTGATTGATTTCCATGTTGTGATTGTTGTTTATGTTGATCATCGCAAAATGATTTCGATGTAATTAGACGCGCTATTCGTGGCAATGAATAACGATCAAGAAACGACTCAGCTGACATTGGTTCACTCTTTGACTATATAAAACATAAAAGTTAAGATGAAGAAGAAAGAAAAAAGATTCAAACTATTAAACGATAAACTAAGAACAGCATTTAAAAATTTAAAGACTTCCAAAGTACTTAAAGCAGTGAAGTAATAAAACAAAATAAAAAGAGATCTTGAAGGTTGGATAATAGAAATCATTCAAGCGTAAATGCTCACCTCATTACTCAACTTTGATCCTTTACTATCGCCTGTTGATGAATCACAGCCCGAACTCAATGAGTTCATTTTATAGCGTTGCTTTTGTCTGACTAGTTCCAGCTCGTTGCGTCTCGCCAATCGAGCATTCTCAAAGTCTGCCACCGAAAACATATTTGCACTGGTATCATGCGAATTAAAGCGCCTTAGTTTCGCCTTGTTACCATCACGACTCGACTGAACAATTTGCAATGGCAGGTTGGTTTGCGACGATGTAAATACCGTCGATGATTTCGATAAATTTGTGTGTTGTGGATGTTGCTGTTGTTGTTGGATTGATGCTTGTCCAATGGCTTGTGATGAAGTTATTGGTGCAGGCGATTGAATAATTTGATGTTCTTGTTCAGTGCTTTGAGCTTGCGTCGATCCAAACTTACTGAGAAAGAAAAACGAGTCGTGGAAAATTGAATTAGTGAAAATCTTTTTCTGCTTTTTATGCTGTGGTTGTTGAAATTGTGAAGGCTTCGGCATATGCGGACTAGATTCAATTAACCAATTTGCCAAATGACGTTGACGTTCATAATCTATCGTTCGCTGTTGCAGCATATCTGTGAGCTTTATTGCATCTGTCATGTCGTTCCCAATTCCTTTTGTCGTTAATTCTCTTCTGTTTATTTTTTTATTTGATTCCTTTCTGTCTTTTTTCTGTCAACTCTCGTTTGCCGCTTTTTTCCGCCGATTTATTGTTTTAAGTTACAAAGCGACATGAAAAGATGTCAGTTGCAATTTTCTGTTATTGTACTCTCTCTATTTGCTTTCAACGAAATATTCGAGAGCATTTAATCTCAGTCGATCGATGTTAATGAAGGAATGACGTTCATGAGCTGCTTTGATGTTCTATAAATATAAGAGAAAAATATGAAGAAAGAATTATTTATTTTTAATAATGAAAGAAATGAAGAAAATCATTTTTCATTTGACGAATATTTAAATGTCTGCAAAGGAAGAAGCATCAAACAGAAGTGGGAGTCAGATTGAATGCGATGAAGATTGGCCATGACAATTCAATGAAGTAATGTCTCGAAAAATATTCATTTTGTTCCCCTTCATTCAACCGTCTATATTCAACGAAAAAAAAACAATCTCAACGCCACAATCTATGTTGAATGACTCTAAGTTCTCATCACATGAAACGATTCTCATGCAGAAATTTTACGACCTTTTCTGCTTTATGACTTCCAATCGTAGCGAGTGCAAATCAAATTAAATTCACGAGGGACTGAACTCATAAAAAGTCGTTCTCAATGTGAAAAAAACGAACTGTCAAAAGTATCGAATACATTAGTTACGACTTTCAAACGCATAAAATTTACAATAGCATCAGAGTCCCTGAAGTCGGAGCTGAGCTATTCCTACAGTTTGTTATATGTTTTGATATGCTTTTACCAACATAAATGTATGTATTCATATAAGTACAAAAGAGAAGTTGGTAACTATGCTAAAATAATTTATGATGTAACTGTAAACTGATGATGAAAGTCATATTAAATCCCCCAAACCAAATAGTTGAGGATGACAAATGAAAGCAGCTTTAACTGATCCATAAAACTATTGCATTTAATTAAGTGGTAGCAAATTTTATGAGCTTAATTTAAAACACATGTTGACGGTGTTACGATTGTTCATTCAGTGTCTTTAATTGGCACTCAAATTGTCAGCCAATTTTTGCTTGTTTAGCTTAGCAGCAAGATAGACAAAAAAAAGTGTGATGTCAGATGTTTCAAAACGTCAAACGTGACTTTACATTTTTTTTTATATTTTAGCCAACGAATTGTCATTCAAATTGCTTCTCATTCTCATTTCCAAAAGGGCGAAATTCGTTCTTTGCGAGAAATAAAATATTAATTTCGACACTAAAGTTCAAACGCTAGAGAAAAGAAAACTAAAATTAAATGTTCCTTCCTTCACGCTTCGCTTCGATCAACAACAAGCACGTGTGAATAGCTTACAAATCAATTTCATCGCGCGACCGCAAAGAGTCACTCGAGGCATGAAAGGTCAAATAGTACAGCAACAATGTTTCGAATCGCAGTAATATGTTTAAATCTCATTTGATTCATTGGATTTAATCAGCCTAAGAGTGTGAGATAAAATACTTAATAAAGAAGAAACTGTGTTTGTCAAGGCGCGCACAGCGCTACAAAACTCTCAGCATGAGAATCTTACGTGATTTGAATAAGAAAACTGAAAAACGCGACAGATTAAAGTCATGACGGGAACTGAAATTTAATTTTGATTACCAAGCAACATTATCTCATTTCTCTTCAGCTTGTCTTATTTACTTAAAAGGGCATCCAAAGTAAATCGTTTAAATATTTTTCATGATATCTATGATAATGGAAATACTTCGAAAAATATTAAAACAAGAAGAAAATGAAAAGCTTCGACATTATAAGAAATTTGCATAAGCTGCTTTGAGTACTGGGAGTAATTTAATTGAACGAGAGGGAAATTCAGTATTTAAAATGATGTCGGTTCGGATAGAAAATTCAGAGAACTTCATCAGACTTCCACGAAAGCATTGAATAATTCGGCTGTTCATTCCACCATCTTAGGTATAATTTTATTTTATTTTCCCATTAATTTGTCTTGTTTTGACGTGGAATTCAAAATAAGTTTGAGAATTATTCTCATAAAGTTTTGCAACCTTGAGTGACTGAGAAACAAAGCACGTTTTTACTAATTGCTCCGGCTTTATTAGACCAATTACATAAAAATTACATCAATTGTTTTTCAATTAAGCGTCTTTTTAGGGAGATTTTAATGACATTGAGGGAGGAAGTTTCATTGCAAGTTTTAATGATAGTTTGATAGCTGCAGCTGTTACTTAACTTTTAAGAAAATGAAAATCTCATTCTATCATCGTTCGCATATTACTAAACAAGAATGTACATACTTAACTTCATTCCATTCCATAACAGTTCAGTATCATTGATTGCAAATTGCAATAAAATTTTAATGACACTCACTTAATGAATGCAATTTAATTTGGAATCGTTTGACATTAATGGAGTTTCTCCCGCAGACACAAAGCAAATAGTTAAGATGATTACAATTCTAAAACCGCAAACACATGCTACAGAAATTGTTCTATCAATCAACTTCTCAAGAACGATGAGTTAAATCATGCGAAACGTTTCTACTTGAAAATGAAACAAAAACCAGTTTTCTTTGGTAAGAAAACGTGTGATTAATCGCTCGAACAAAATCTTGAGCTTAGATATTTAATTGGAAAATATTGATTCAAGAAACAATGCAATTAATAAAAGACCAAGTATACTTAAAATATTTCTGGTTTTGGTTTAAGTGTACATTTAATGGTCTTCCTTTATGTACAAGCACAGACTTGTAAAATTAGAAATTCTTCCCATAGCTTGAACTTCATTTCGATCTAGGGATTAATTAAAACATTTTGACAAATCTACTCTAATACAAATACAAATTGCATGTCTCAATGACTTCACAATGCATTCGACATTGAGTGAAAAGCATTTGCGATCGTAATATGACTTGAAATTCATTTTACTTGAATGATTTATTGGAAAAGATTTATTTAAAGCTTGCAACAAAACATTTTCATTGATTTATTGCCATCTATATGTACAGTTTGTGAGATTTTGTTCATGCTTATGAAATGAAATGAATAGCGTAATATAAGTAAATAGCATAACATAAGACTCCATTGTCTCTTTCGTGAACTCGATGATAGTTCGATAGGAAACGTACGGGTTTAGTCATTATTTCATCAAGTTCATTACAAAAATAGCCATATGAGCAAATTGATATTTTTTTTTTTCGTCGGAGATTATTTTCATATGAAAGTCATGAATGCGATTGATGAAACCCAATAAGTCTTAATACACAATGTAATGAGCAAGAAGGTTTTTTAAAGTTCAACATACGCTCAGCAATTTGTCGTTACCGTTACAGTAAGAAATTAAACCAGAAACTTATTTTTTATGTCTTATATTCAAATAAGGTTTCATTCACTCTCCCGCATATTGTTTAAAGCCTGGAAGGAACTGACTCAATTAAACGTCAATTATGACAAGAACTAAAAAAGAGTTTATCAAGATCAAAGATACGTAGGTACAATGACCAGCAACTTGTCAAACTGTTCTTTCGTTTTTTTTATGTTTATTTATTCGTACGAAACAGGAGGGAAAAGCTATTGGAAAAGAAGAAGAAAGAATAAACCTTGCAGCTCACAAAGATGTTGACAATATTTAGATATACTACATTAAATACAATAAATAAATATGTATTACTTTTGAAGGAATAGATCAACAAGCCCGATAAAATTACCATAAGTGTCGTTCGAACGAAGGAATAGATTCAAATATAAATTGAACAATTAATCACTTCATACATATTTAATAAGCTTTGTAGGAAGTTATCAATTGCAACAGCAAAAGAGGGACAACTGAGACATGTTGGAGGTTGATGCATACATCGGACTTGTTGCTGTTTCTTTTCTTTACCGCTTGTTGTTCAACCTTACAAGAAATTTATTACCATGGAGCTGATAACAAATGAAACGGATAAAAAAAAACTTGACGAAATACGTTGGAGACTTTTAGATTTTATCTTAATGTGAATTTCCAGTAGCTTAGAAGTTGAAGTGAGATTCATTTTAGTGGCAATTGGCAAGAAAGCCAAGGCTTTGCGAAACAATAAAGTTGTTGTACAATGGCTTCAGTTGAGTGAGAATTTGCGTGTTCGATTGAGTTTCAAAGTCAATCTATTCTTTACTTCGTATAATGCTTTAAAGCTATAGACGGCTGGAACTCTAACGTGAGAAACCGGTACTGCAACATAACAAATTGTAACCCAGAACATGATTACATGCATATTACTTTTTATAAACCGAAGCAATGTTAATTAAAACGACAATGGCAGAGGCTTTTTCGCTCCATCATGACCAAGTTGATTGTTAGGAAAGCCATTTCAATATTTTTGTCGCTTTGATTTGCAAACAATAGATCAAAAGAGAATAAATATATGCCATTTAATTGAATTCTCAAACAAATTTATGGTATTGAACGAAAATTGTATTCAAAATAATAATAAAAAGAGAGAAAAGTTTATGGTTGAGTGAGGGTAAAAGAATGTGATGACTAATAATCATGGTTATTGCCACTTGTCCCTTTTCCCATCTCTAAGCACCTAATTCAAAATGTAAATATTAACTCTTGCTTAATTATAATCACATTAATTACATTAAAAATAGTTTAATGTTTAGTTTTAAGGGTTAATCAGTTATCCTCCCAAAGTTCACAAGATTGTTTAATTTTAAGCTTCCATTTGACCTATTCTGTACCGTTTTACCACTTAACCAGATTCATGACTCATAAATTATTAAAATACCATTCAAGATGCAGCAAGAATATAAAAAAAGCATCATTGAAAGAGGAGAGAAGACAGAAAAATGAAAAGTAGAAGGAAAACTATGAAGTAAATAATTTAATCACTGTGCCTTACTCGAGAGAAAACGAGTCACAGAGAGTGCAGAAAATGTAATATAATGAAAGAAACCATATTGAAGAACTATTCTATTCAAATGTAAATTTTAACATTGCAAGCAAATATTTGTATTCATTAAAATTCACATAAAATAAAAGACTGAAAGCTTCAACTTTACTGTTTGTGCAATAAAATTTCGTATCGTAAACATTGAACATGAATTTCACATTTTGCACAATGAGCAATGCATATGGCGAACTAAATAAATATATATGTGGAGAGCTTTTGTTGGGGCCCATCGGCAATGATATCGCAATGATTATTTTAATGTAACATTCGTTCAATAAAAGATTTATTAGAAACTTGTCACCAGGTGGAATTTCTGCATTCACATTTTGCAACGAAATTCTGTTCTTCTAAACTTTTCTCTGTTGTGTGTGCGGTGAAGGTTTTGTGGAAAATAAATTTCTTTTATACTCAGCAACAACCACTAGTAAAATGGTTTAAGGATCATAAAATCCCATAAAATCTAAAAGATTGTAAACGAAGCATGAGTAATTCTCTTAAAAGAGTCAAAGAACCTTTCATAAACGAAGCTTTAGACTTACACGATGTAGTTATAAAGTATATTTCTCAATATAACTTTACAACTAACATTATTGACTTGAGCATAATTTCTATAAAGCCAACAGTTTAAATATCATTCGTTCGCACGCAATATCGTGCAAGAGTACCAAAGAGAGCGATATATTTGTCCTTATATTCATTAAAGTTTATGCATGTTCATTAACATGAGTGCGCTTTTGAATTGCGCTGTATTGGATTAAATAAAGTCGATGTTTATGTTTCTTTCATGCTTTAAAATAAATTTATTCACTTTAATAGCATTTTGCCTGATGTTGATATGAAATGTGATGGCAACAGCTAATTAAGTCATCGAGTTTCCATATAAAGAGCGCCTCGTTTTCACAAGAAGCCAAAAAAAGCCGTCAACAAATTATAAATTTGGTATACTTTTCATGTTCTAATAAAATTTCGACACATTACACATGTTAAGATGGAAATAAACGTCAAGATTGATTTTGACGACACTGCCAACAATATGTCGCCTTTGCAAGTAGATATTTATTATTATTATTATTTCTCTTTTCGCGACTGAAACTAGTCCATTTATCATCTAGTTTTACGTAACCTAATAAGCTCGAATAAAACATACGATGACATCATAATGAAGTTAACTGTTAGAAATAACAGCTAGATAAATCTTTTTCATTTTTACGATTCCAAATGCTCTTACAATGCCCACACACAACATATTGTTGTGCTGATCGCTCGTGCGCCCATTAAAATTTATGATAATGTGGATATTTATTATGAATATCGAATCTGCATCATCAATAGCAAATTAGCAGGAAAGACATCGCACGATAAACTGGATGTAAATTCAAATACTTCGACATGCGTTCTATTACGTCGTTGAAGCAACAGCGGGAAATTACGAGGGATCAGTGAAGTGTCATTTATCATTAATGACTTTAACCTAAAGTGACACAAATGTAAGAAACGCTTGTTGGTTTCAAATTAATTGAACGTTCTCAAGGCAGTATGGTATATGTTACTAAACTTGTGTAATGCGCAACATCACACAACATGACAGAGATTGAACTATCAAAATTATTCAGACAACTTCGCATTTATTTATTACTTTTTTTTTCTTCACTTGTCTAATGAGCGGCTAATCACTTTAAGCTACACATACGCTACTTCAAGTAATGAAACATGTTAGAAATAAATAAAAAAAAAATGTTGCAGGAACAATTATTAAATTGTGTGGTCGCACAAGTCATGTTGAATTTATATTTCTCACTGGTTTTTCGTTATTTATTGAGGCGGTGATTAATATGATGCATATTTTATCGCATTTGAGTGTTTTATTTATACATTTTTTGCACGCAAAATAAAGAAAGATAGAAAGAAAATGCAACGAACGACATGCTTGCAAACACTTTATTTGAAAAAGAGTTTGCTTAGCTCTTAGCAACACTCAACATGGAAGAATTTCCTTCCTTCTACTTATCTACACAAGATAAGTTTAACAGTACATAATGTACTTGAGTCAATATTGTTAGGTTTCCATTCATAGTTGATAGGAAGGAAGAAACCAGATCAATTTAATGTTATTTTCTGCACTTTAAATTGATTGCACTTATCAATGGTTCTTTTTGAATATGAAGATTTATGAGGATATATTTTATTTAAAATCGAAGCTTGGGTAAAATATTTTATGCTGACGTTGGTTGTCTGAGAAGAGAATTCATCAATTTATTTTAATCATGTGCAACTTTCTTTAAAGCTTTAAAATTCCAGCGAAAAGTCGAAAGAAGACCCTAAAGGTTAAACTACAAAAAAAAACCTGTTTAGCAAAAAGAAAATAAAGCGCAGAAACTTATTCGGAAATGCCGACATTTTCAGGCAAAATGTCTGACACTTCTCTTTTCAGCAAAGAAGCTTGGGTAGTTGTTCAAATAATGATTTTGATGAGTAATTAAGAATTCTCTTTCGATAAATTTATTTGATTATATGATATGAAACTCGTATTGTGTGTCACATTTTAGAGGTTGATTTGACGATTTGTTAAGTAATCTTAAAGTCAAAAAATATTTGACTAACAATCAAGTTTAATTTGCGCAACTAAATTCGCAAATGTTTCAACTCTCATGCCACTGAATTATCAATTTCAATTAATTAAAAAATATTTTCTGATTATATTTGTGGCTTTTTTCTTCTTTTCCATCAAATAATCTACGCATCACTTCACATCACATCACAGAATTAATCTTAATGAAACTTTTTATTAGTGATAATTTCCATTGGAACTTCACAAATCATTTCTTGTCTGGGAGTAAGCAAAAAAGACATTCTTGATGCTTATTATCGATGTTTCATTTTACCATCAACTTTTATCTTTCATCGTCTTCTCTTTCAGTTTTGGCATAAATTGTCTTCCCGTCAGACATTCTTTTGTGTGCACAACGGAGTTATAAAACAAATACGCGAAAATTTCAAAATTTAATGCTCATGCGGGACGACAGAGATAAAAAATAAATAAATACGATTCAAAACCGGCTTTTTGTGTGCTTCAATTCATTCGGTTTCGCCAATATTCGATTGTTCATACTTTAGTGATTCTTGGAAGCGATCAAGAAAGATTCAAAAGTGTTTTTACTTCATTCACTTCAATTCTAATTAAAGCGAAATATAAAGCAAAGCAAAAAAGGCGAAAAAGTGAATATATCTCGAGCTTTTTTCGATTGGGGGCTTATAAAAATTATAAACAGGTTTTAAAACCTTTTTTTTCTGCTCTCTCTGTATTCGGAGTTCAGTCATCGACTTTTCAGTATTCATACATCTTATGAACCATTTTTTGTTTGCACACGAAATACAGGTTTGAAGTTCTTCTTCTGAGTATTTTTTCTTGTTTCGTCTTGGCCCCGAAAAAAATATATGAATCGCTGTTTGAGAACATTCGAACATTTACATACTGATGATGAAGAGATTTTTATTTGACTTAAAATGTTTTAAAAAACTTGTTTATGAGTCAATCAAGAGTAATATTTGCATTATGATAATAACATGAGCAGCAACGCCAACTTTTTTGATTCCCCCCTTGATGACCTAATCGTTTATCTATTCTCCGAACGACTTGTTCGTCAAGGTGTAGCTGATTTTTTTTCTTTGATATTCTCTTTGTGGATTTTATGATAAATCTATATAATCAACATTTTTCAGTCAGAAAAAAAAACGAAGAAGAAAAATGACTTTAGAATGTTCTGTCATTAGCAAGTCACTTATGTAAGAATTGCAAAAGTTATGGTAATTTAGTCTAGAAAGAGTTCTAGTCTAGTGAAGATGAACGAGTTCGTTCAGTGATGACATTGCCGGATGCAATTGATATGTTGACTATGTAAGCATAAGCATTGATCAATGATGCGTGAGAATTCTCTCTTAAGCATTAAACATTAAGAACGATGATAATACAATATTTAATGAGTTTTTAAAAGACGATTTTCATTCTACTGATGCAACACGACATCTTAAAGACCCGTTAGATAGAATTTTTCTCACATTATCACAATACAAAATAAGCAGACGAAGTCGTTTGCAACAGGAAGAACTATTAAAATCTTTTCTCATGTACGTGCATATATGCACGATACTTGATTATAAAAAGAACATGAAATTCACGAGAAAGTAAATTAATCAAATTCTTTTCGCTATTTCTTATGCTTTATTATTATAATTATTGTTTCTTTATTGCAAAAAAAAAACCAAGTTTGGGTCAGGTTCAAAAAGATCGCGAAAAAACACGGAAGTGGACGATGGCACGAGCAAATTAGAGATTATTCAGAATTCTCTGTCTCTACAGGAATCATTTTGTTTTAAAAGCAAATTTTATCTTGAAATAATCAGGAAATTACTGGAAATAGTCTCTGTAAGTTGTAATAAAAATAATTTTAAAATATCTTTATGAATCTTTTTGTATTTTATAAGTCTTAAAAATTGTGTAACAAAGTCAGTATTTTATTTGTTGAGGGGGTTTTAAAGTTATTATATCGGTTTTGAAACTGCATTATAAGGAATTCTCATTACATCACATTTCTTCTTATATGGAAAACTGAGAAATGAACCTTTAGAGTTCATGGTTTAATGATGCCTGCAAATATTGCCAGCAGACACAACATCAGCACACGACTTACTTAAATTAATATCTTCAGCGAAATCTCTGATTTCTTAGCCATACATTTTTTATTTAACTTTCGATGCGCTTTTGTCATGAATGCTTTTCATACTTATAAAAGATCTTTTCAAGTTTGAGCAGGAAAGAGAAAACACAAGTTTAATCACTGTTAATGCCAATTTGGCATTTAATCTTACAATGAAAGTGTGACGAATCTTACACATAAGCGCACACAAATCAACTCTGCTTTGTCGCGACTTTCGAGAAGAAGAAATCATGATCACAATAATTACATAAGACGCAATACTAAACAGCAAAAATATTTCCTTCTCCTCTATTGTGATATAATCAAGACTTAAACAGCAGGCGATAAAAAATTAATTTCACGAGTTTCATATTCATTCTTTTGTTTTACTTTCCAAGTAGATATTCAGTGAAAACGTTTTTGGTCGTTATAATTGGTGTCATGTCTGTCGGACGAACAATGGAGCTGAATTTTAATGACAGTTTTAAGTAGAACTTTACACATTTTAGTTTATGATAAGTCACACTTTAGTAGCGAGACAAACTACATGCAAACTAAGTCAGCTTTCAAGTGGTGAGACAATTCATTAACATACGGTGACTATTAATTTCTGACGAGTATTGAATTCAAAAATACTTCCACTGACGTCCTTGAACTATTTTCATTTCATAAATCAAAGTTTTACTTCTCCTTTGAGAATTAATTTTCGTATTTGAAGGAATAAATTAGAAGAAATAAAAAACAAATGTAGATAAATCTACTTAAACATATTAAATAACCTTCATGTGAAATAAGAGTTTGAATGATGTACATATGAAGTTTGAAGTGAATAAAGGCAATAACTCTGTTACTTTTCATCACAATCGAGTGTGCATTGCTGGAGGCATTAGAAATATGTATATAATCGGGGAGAGATGGAGAAAGAGGGAGGGAAAAAATGTGCATTACATTTTAATTGCTTTTCACTTCTCACGTACACGTTCTTTTCTACATTTTTTATTTCGTTGAAATTAACGAAGGCAAACATTTATTTAAGAATCTATTTTTGCTTCCCAGCTGTACAAATGCATTCAACCCAAAACCATAACTTAATGAAACGTTGTTCAAACAAATGGTTCTGGTGTTCAGATGATGATGACCTTGATACGAGGTGAAAAATTGAATATTCAGTTAATATCGTTTTAATTTTAGTTTATTTATTTTAGCATTCGGCGCATTCAGTGAACCGTTAATAAGACTTGAGTGTGTATAAATCATTCCGTTGGGTTGTTGCTATGCGAGTCGCTCGCAAATGCTTCTTTTTTTATTCTCTATCGTTTCTATCCCACATACATTAATTACTTTCCGATTTTAGTTCAGTTTGGACGCATGAAGTTAATTTCACGTAATTTTCGCTTGAATTTTTTCTTTCCTTCTATTATCTTTCAATTTCGTTTATTTATGTCAATCAAAGTTTTCTTCTTTTTCCACACAGTGAATGGCAAAAGGCAACAAGAGCGTCAAGGAAAAAGAGAGAAAGAGAAGGAAAAAAAACACCCCGCCAGTAATTTCTTGAATGGAAATTGTGTAATTATGTAGGGAACAATCTGAGCTCATGTTGACGTCGATGTATTTGAGACAAGGACATTGAAGGTTATTCATAACGGTAACTTTACCCCATCGAATCGCAATGCATTCTCTTCCCAATACGTTTCTTTTTTTTAATTCAACGAGTTGAGCACTCAATTTACTTCAGATTCAAATTATTATATTTAAACTCTAACACTTTCACTTCTCGTTTGGTTGCGCTAATTCAACGGCAGCTTTCGAACGCATTATAAAGAAAATGTTAAGTGAAAGATTATTAAAGAATTAACATGATGAATGGATTACAAAAAATTTATATATATTCAATCGCTTGTGATCTATTACGCAATGAATAACTTAAATTATAAATTTATTCAAGTCACGGCCTCTTATTCATCAAGTTCTAATGAAATGCAAGCTTGTGAAGCTTAATAAGCTATCTGCTGTATAATTTTTTTTGGCACAACAGTGTTGCATTCCACTAGTAACAAAAGTTCAGTGGCTATCTAATGTAGGATTTCAGCAAATATTTGAAATTCGTATTTACAAGAGCTTTTCCAAACCACAAAAAAAAAACATTCCGTACATTAGTCATGCACATAAAGCACTTCAAACAAGTTCAAGCATTTTATTCAAAAAAATGAATCACAGAACTTAATACAATTTGAAATATCTAATTGCTTAACACTAAACGGCTTCTAACAACTCGCATGACATCGTGTCACGTATAAAACATTGTACAAAAAAGTAAGACCTCAAATTATAAAAAAAAGCATAAAATGTTTACTAAATATGTTCCAGGCTAAATTTCACTTACATTTTAGCTTTGTCCCAGTTGATTATTTTTTTTACTGTACGAATTTGAATGGCAATTAGTTATTTGAGAACGATAAGTGGCAAGTTAAATTAAAGGAAATATTTGATATTCAAATGTAGCGTCATAAAAAAGAAAGCAACAACAAGCCTAATGTTTAGACTGAGTCATCATCAACGTTTTATCATTCAATTAATTGCCAACAACTTTCGCATTAAAAGCTCTTGAAATGTTTTAACCAAAAAGCATTTTCAATAAACTTTTCCTCTACAGAAAAGAAGAAAAAAAAATTATTTCAAGAGAAAGAAGAAAAAGTAATTTAGCTGTCATCGAATCGGATGTTTTTCTTTAAGAAGTATTCAATTTAGCTCAGACAGTTTTTTTATGTAACAAGAAAATGAAAATCCATTTCAATATTCCGCGAGTCGAGACTGTGTTTGATCAATACGTTTATAGGCGAAGCATGCAGACAAAAAAATGATATTTTTATTTATTTGCATCGCTTTTGCTGAAATTAGCCAATGATATGGCGAAAATATGCTCTTCGAAAAATCGTTTCCGTTATTTGACGCTCCAGGTCAAAGCACCATAAATTTGCTGCTTCGATTGTGTAAAATCTGGGTTTTTACGCTTTCAGATCTCCTTCGGTGGATGTAAAGGAAGAATAAGACTAAGAGAGAGAATTAAACGAGACACGAAACACAGCACTTGAGCCTTCACTTCAACAATTCTTTTTCTTTCGGAATTTTTCAATTTTTCTTTTTTGTACTGACTCTCGAAAAGTCAGAGGAATGTGTGAGTTGAATAGAATGACCCCCGTTTACTTCTTCATCTATTAGATCTTTGAATAATTTTATTTCTCTTCTTTTTATTCTTTTGCTTCGGTGAATTAAATTGTTGTGTTTGCAATTTATTTCTCTTCTTCCCGTAACAAGATTAGAGCTCTTCAACTCTTTCCCTGAATTGAAATTTCTTTCATCATGCTTTTGATTTAATGATATGTTTGAGAATTATAATTTTCAGATTATTCAAATAAGCAAACCCAAATTCACTTTTTTTCATTCTTCGAATACCTTGGCCATCGACGTAACTAGGTTTTGAGATCTGAATATCGCTTAACAGAATACTTCATCTTTATATCAGTTTCTTTGTTATGGAAATCTTTTAGAGAGAAAAACTTTTTTTTCTGTTTTTTTTTTGCTTCACGAACAACTGTTGAACCGAAGTAGAATCATGCCCAAGGCATTTTTATCCGAAACTTTTCAAATCACGTCACGTAATTCCATCGACCAATTTCAACTTGCAGCTAAAAAGTTTTTCATCAACAACAGGAGATAATTCTGAGCGTGTTGCAGTAATTTATATTTAATCAACTCTCTAAACATAGTAACATAGAATGAGAGCTACAAAAAAAAATTGAATTTGATTTGATTTATTTGAGTAGAATTTCAATCGCCTTTGCACAAAAGCTTGATGATATTTAATTCGAAATAAATCTAAACATTCTTCCATATTTCTACTTCGAAAGACTTGCAATATGTCTGGCGTTTCACAAGCATATGGGCAATGAGAGAAGTTGTAGAATTTGAAGAAGAAAAAAAATTGATACATTTTTCATGAGTGATCTATGCCGACAGTTGTTTTTTCTGTTTCTTATTAGGCTATATGCGCAAAAAGATGAGACATAAAAAAGAAGCCTTTAACTGCTTCGAGCACTTGAATAATTCAAACGATGATTTCTTTATCAGTTCATAGCTTGTGCATGTTTGTATATATGCTGTCTACATATGTACGAAAATATTTCTCCCCGTTGTTTCTAACCAGGTGAATATTACAATCCATCTACATAAAACATAGATGAGTTTAAAACATTTAAAGGCATATGGAACAGCGAACTTTTGGGTAATCAGTTGGAAACAAATGCTTCCGGTTTAATTCATCGATGGCAGTTGGGATCGTTTTCTTTTGTAAAGACACACGCATTCTTCAAACATTCAATTGAGACATCAGATGGTAAAGTTTTAAAGTCATATACCTATAAACACATTTTATTTTTGTAATACAAACCTTTTGCTCTCGTGATAAAAGTTTTTTTAATTGCTTATATTGCTTATATTTTTTCTTTGTCCTCAAATGACAATCTTGCGATAATATTTCTTTTCTTCTTTCTATCTACTGAAGTTCTCCTCAGAATGCCCTTGTGAAGTTTAGAGCGATGCGATGTACTGTTCCTCTTGTTATCACTCGAACGTATCTGTTATCTGAATTTGCACAATAGGTAAAAATGTGAATGTACACATATGTGGTGAACTTACGATTATCAATTTTATTGCCTTTAAACAATCTAGGCAATTATTTCTTTTTCTTTTTTTTATGAGTTTTTTTTTATATATTTTCTGTCGTGTTTCTTTTTTTATTGCGTAAGTTTGATTTTATGAGAAACTTTGCTTAATATAAATTTAATTTCCAATTATCAAATGGTTTTTTTACTGCTTTTTGCCATTCCAGTTTATTTAATTCTTATTTAGATATTCAGTTTATGATTTTTTCCCAATGAAGATATTTTTCAGTTTTTAGATATTTCGGTAGCAAATTTGTGCCTTTAAACTCTTTGTCAATCAGTTAATTTATTTACATTAACTTTTCTCTTATTTTCCATTAAAAATAATTATCTCGTAGCTCACAATTTATTACACTCGTTGTCAAAAACTTTTCTTCCGACTTTTTTGTTTAAAAAAATGATTGAATTTGAAACTTAGTTAAATGAAGATACGTTTAAAAGAAGCAAACTTTAGTTTTTGCAAAAACACTTTTACAGATGATGGAATGGAGAAAAAATAAAACAGAATAATAAAAAGAAAACAAATTTACTTTAACTTTTTTTTCTTCTTTTTTTCTTAGTTTTAAGACCGACTTGCGATGCTTGTGTTCGTATCGAACAGTCCCAAACAACTGACTTGAAAATTTTTTATTCGCTCTCGCGGTTGTTCAATGTTTTTGTTAGCAATATGATTCTTTTTAAAATATGTAGATTTTTACGAAATCAAAATAGATTCCAAGGGGAGATATTTGTTATTTCAACAATTCTTCATGAAGTTGTACACTTGTAACAACAAAAATTTGTGCAATTTCCATTTAATTAATCTTATTGTTAAACTTTTTCTCACGTCCCAATGTTTTGCGCAATGCTTCATGAGAGAGAAATTTTACTTGTTGATTGTTGACGTTGTGCTTGCTTAGTAGTTGCATGTGCAAATGTTCAATATCAACAATGTTTTCATTTTCGATTTTTTTTTCACATTCGGCTTTCGTTGACAACAATGCAATGTTATTTAAATCAAAATGTCATTTCATTTCTTATCAATTGCAGCTAGAAAATGAATTGATAAGATAAAATTAATGTTCCAGACAACAATCAGAAATTCGGAATATATGAAAGTAGAGCTCAAAAAATCCAACTGTTCAAATACTAATTTATCGGAGGCAATAAAAACAGTGATGCGTGTTTAGTAATGTTTACTCGACTTAATTACAAAGAATTTTCAATTTTTTTATTCTGAATATTTTTAAGTGTGTATATTAATGTGTACAGGTTTGAAGTCAATGAACTTTGCTGTATGAAAAAAAGTAACAAAAATTTAGCATACGAAATGATGATAATAGCACAGGAATGGTCATTATTTAGGCACAGCGCCAAAAACTAAAATAGAAAATTCCTTCCCTCATATTTTATGACGATTAAATACCTTAATGTCAGTATCTATAGTTATTCTATAAGATTTTCATGCATTCATTTGAGTGTAAGTACTAATTAATCAATGTATGTATATTCAAGATAAAAGGCAAAGCGAATGACAAAATGAGATTCGAATAATGTTTTTCTTATCAATGCACATAAATAAGAGTTATGAAGTGCTACATTTTATTACATAATTCATGAGAATATGAGAATTATTATTTACTTATCTCGAAAAAATGAATGTTAAAAAAATGAAAAATGAAGTGAATGAAGAAGAAAAGTTTTCGTTATAAGACGGGAAAAACATGTTTGGCATTGTAGTCTTCGAGAAAAGTCGAGTAGCCAGACGCAACGAGTTGGAACTAGTCAGACGAGAGTAACGTCATAAAAATCAACTCGTTGATGAACTCGGTCTGTGATTCATCAACAGGCGATAGTAAAGGATCAAAGTTGAGTAATGAGGTGAGCATTTACGCTTGAATGATTTCTATTATCCAACCTTCAAGATCTCTTTTTATTTTGTTTTATTACTTCACTGCTTTAAGTACTTTGGAAGTCTTTAAATTTTTAAATGCTGTTCTTAGTTTATCGTTTAATAGTTTGAATCTTTTTTCTTTCTTCTTCATCTTAACTTTTATGTTTTATATAGTCAAAGAGTGAACCAATGTCAGCTGAGTCGTTTCTTGATCGTTATTCATTGCCACGAATAGCGCGTCTAATTACATCGAAATCATTTTGCGATGATCAACATAAACAACAATCACAACATGGAAATCAATCAAATTCGATTCTTGGAAAGAGTAAAAAATTGTCATCAGCTAATCATCATCATCATCATGTGCATCAGCAATCATCAATTAATTCTAATCAAACGACTGCGACCACCAACATCAGCAACAGTAATGAGATGAACTGCTCGAATGACATTAAATCAGATAACAACAACAACGGAGAATTGTTTCTGTTGTATCGGCACTTGAAAAAGTATAAAGTTTATCATGCGGTCAACGCCAAGAATGGCACAAACAGGAAGAAAGGCATTAAAATACCTCAAGATTTCACAGGTAAGTGTCGAAATGTTCTCCACTCATCTGATCATCACTCGAACGCTGCCCGCCTTTTAGTTGTACGCATTGTAACGCTAACTTCTTGATTGCACAATTTATCGTCGTTATTTTTCTTACATACGCGCGTCCGTTATTGAAAAAGTGGCTTTGATATTTCAAACGTTATTGATAAACTTGTTTCTCCTTTCTTCGACTTCATTTATAATGCTACAATAACATCATGCTCGCCAATGTTGCTCGCAAAGATCCATTTCTCTGCAGCATAAGTTGGAACTTAATTGAAATCGCCAATAAATTTCATTTCCATTCATACACGCAGACATTCATTCGCTTGTTCGTTTGTTGATGGGCTTACACTTACAGCACATTTTTACTGTTCCATTTAAGGCCACCAAAGGCTACAATGGCCATTAACAATAAGAGTGAAATTGCCTATTTTTCTGATGACTCTACGTACGACTTCGCTTCGACTAGAAATTTACAATTCACGATTCAATTTCATCGATTCAGACTCGAGTCGCATCTCGAAATCTTCTCAAAAATATGAAAATATCAGACTCGAGTCGCTATAATAAGTTTCGATCTCTTATTTCAATTGCCTTTTTCCAATCAGTTATTACATGATTAAACTCAAAATTTATGATGTAAAGAGAGTTTTGTTTGAAAAGTTTTCACGGCGAGACGAAGAAATCTTTAAACGAAGGGGAAAACTTTTCCAAAATCTTATGCAATAAAAGTTTATTACAGCATTCTGACGTTAACAATCTTTTTGCTTCATCAGCTGAATTTTAATTTAGCTTAAAAGTTTCGTCTGCTTTACAAGCGTTTTGATTACGATGGTGTTAAGAATTTAAATTGCTTTTGCGACTGCTGCATTTTCGTTTTTTTTCTTGTTGAATGAAAGAATAAAAAATCTGAAGTCTTCCTTTGAAAGCAGTAGAAGATAAAAGGATCAAAAGTTTCATGGGCAATAATTTTTCGTAATGACACTAAGAGAGTGGAATTCTTTTCAAAGTGGAACGAAAATGCAATTGAATAAAAGGGAATGATAATTTCGCAACAATGAAGTCTCCGTCTTCGTGAGTGCTGTGAAGCGTTAAGTGAACGAGAAGTTTCCTTCCCTAACCATTCCTTGCCTTCTTTATTCAAGTCTTTAGCGGGATCCTGTTTCGTCAGCGAAAGTTTTAATTTACTTATCTTGCTTATTCGAATTTCGTGTCTTTCTTAAACTTTGATATTGCCAACAAAAAACTTTGCTGAAAGGAAAAAAACCAAATCTAACCAAAATTTATGATGTAAAAAAAGTGCGATGAATAGAATAATTTACAGATAAAGACTGAAGGCAAAAAAAAAAGAATTCTAAACAAAGTTAATTAGACGAAGGTCGAAAGATGATGAAGAGTCGATTTCCGATGTGGCAACGAAGCAAAACGTCAACAATTTTCAGCTGATGAAGGCAATTCTTTTTCCTTTTAAATAGGAAAACTTTTCCTACTTTCTGACAACTTTTTGTTGTTTCGTTTGGCATTTTTCCACTTTTATTTCCCCGAAAAAAANGATTCAATTTCATCGATTCAAACTCGAGTCGCATCTCGAAGTCTTCTCAAAAATATGAAAATATCAGACTCGAGTCGCTATAATAAGTTTCGATCTCTTATTTCAATTGCCTTTTTCCAATCAGTTATTACATGATTAAACTCAAAATTTATGATGTAAAGAGAGTTTTGTTTGAAAAGTTTTCACGGCGAGACGAAGAAATCTTTAAACGAAGGGGAAAACTTTTCCAAAATCTTACTTATGCAATAAAAGTTTATTACAGCATTCTGACGTTAACAATCTTTTTGCTTCATCAGCTGAATTTTAATTTAGCTTAAAAGTTTCGTCTGCTTTACAAGCGTGCTGATTACGACGAAGTTGTGCAATTGAATCAGTTTTGTCGAGGTCTCAACGATTACGAGATTAAATTTATGATGAATTGACAATTCTTTATGACTAAGTAGAAACGCAAGCAAATGATTCTTCTTTTTAATTAAAACTTTTGCTGTGAATAATAATTTTTTTATTAAACGATTCCATTGTTTGTTTTAGTGCTACTTTTGTACAGCATTTTAAAATGTTATTGAAGCGTCTGCAGTTGTGACAAAATTTACTTGAATAATTCTCTCATGAAATATCTAATACTCTTGATTCGATATGCATAAATTAGTAGATCAATTGCGCAGTCGAAATGATTGTACAGTAGCAGAATATTTATGCTTATAAATTTGGTCAGTTCTATGCTTTGCGTGATGTTTGTCATGTTGTGTCGTCTCAAAACCAAACAACAATTTGCTGGTTAAATTTTCTAGCCATGGCGTACAACAAATCACCCACAACATCGTTTTGATTACTCTGATTTCAAAGAGGTTGTTGACATTGTCATGAGAAATCTTCAGTTTCGATCTTATTTTAGCCTCAAATTTGCATAGAAATAAGCTTGCGTGTTAGAATGAATCGCGTAAGTTTTCAAACAGACTGAAATTCTTTACCCTTTCATAGAAAAGCTTTCTAAATTAGAAGAGGTTGTTACCAAAATGGACAACATGTAAAGTACATCCAAAGCATTTCACTCGCTCAAATTGGAATGAGTCTATATAAGCAAATCCACAGAGAGTGAAGAAAACAAAATCGCAGATTTTACAATATTTACGACACGATTCAGAAATGCCTAAATTTTGTCGATGAACATAAAATATTCAAGAAAAATTAACGAAGTCGTTAGGCCGAGATAAAGTGACGATAAACAAAGAATTCGTAAACATTATAAGTGTCAGAAACAGAACAATTATACCTGTCAACAAATCAACGACAAATATAATTTAGTTCGTTCATATCTTGACTTCCTTCTTTACAGGTTTTAACGCGTCATTACATAAATCACTGTAAAGTAGCCTGCAGTAGTGATTATCACTGATACTGCCTGAAGAAAAATTCACAAGCCAAAAAAGCAAAATTTAATCGCCATATTACTGACTTGTTAACATGAAATTTTACTCCACAAGTGCCGTAATAAAACTGATGACATTAAATCCAAGTTTTTGTATTTCATTTTTCAACAATTTCTCGTTATTTTTTATGTCTACAGAGTTTTTTTTGCCATTTGATACTTCGTATTTGTTGCTTTCATTAGGAGACAGTCACAGAAAATTGAACATTTTTGAGCAGGACGTCATGTTTGCGAATGATAAAATTATTGTTTTTTTTTGCAGATATCTACTAGAAAAAAAAGATATAAAAATAATCAAAACTGTCAACTCATATGTGAATGAACTAAGTTTTTTGGAAGCTTATTTACTTTTGCACTTTAACAAAAGTCTTCAACTGCAATATGTAAAAGTGATATTTCATTTGTGTCTAGACAATATGATGGCCGTATCAATACTGATAAGTGGTTTACAGATATTCAACAAACACTTTTACAAGCTTGCAATTCTCCAATTTTGCTTATTCTTGCTATGAAACCAGTCATGTATGTAGATAAATATGTATAGAAAGTCATAACTCAGTAACAACTCAACAAAAAGTAAATTAATTTGAAGGTCATAAAATGATGAAGTGCCGGCTTCCGATATGGCAACAGAGCAAAAAAAAAACTCAACAATTTTCAGCTGATGATGGCAAATCTCTTTAAATTTTCTTGTTTTTCTTCTCCCTTCATTTCAATATGAAAAGTTTTCTACTTTCTGACAAATTTTCGCAGTTTGGCATTTTTCCACTTTTTATTTTACTAAAAATCACAAAAGTTATAAAGAAGATAATTTTGTTTCTTTGACCAGATGATGAACATTTTGATGTAAGTTTTTTACTTTGAGTAAGAAGTTTGTCGAGCGACATGAGCGTCAACATGTCTAAATAATTTAGCGAATCCAATTTGATGTCCGAACTTGTTTCTTGAACTTTCGATGAACTTCCAATGTCAAAATCATGTGGATATGAAATTGAAAGCAAATGCGGTGAAAATAATATTAATTTGCGTAAGTTCCATTTGACTTCATTTCATGACGATCATAAAATGGGAATCGCGGTTAATGAGCATTTCGGTTAATTAAATTGTCAAGAAATGTTTCAAATATGCCGCTGAAGGTTGTTTGCATTTCCACGATGAGATTCGTGCGAGTCTTTTGCATGTTAAGACAATTTCATGCGTAAACTCATAATGAAGATCAAATCGATGAAGAAATCGTCGTCTTAAATCAAGCAGAAGAAGTTTCTTATTGTTCAAGTTCTTTTTTTGTCGTTTTTGCTCGCTCATTGTTCGCTAATTGCTAGATAAATCTCACACCTTTGTTCAGCACTTTACACCGCGACAGACTTCATTGCTTGTTGGAATTTTTTCGTTGCTGCATCTTGTTCTGTGATCTTTCTCGTCGCTCTTCTTACTCCCTTAACTCGCTTAGTTGTTTGTTTCACCAAGTCAACTTATAAGAATGAAGAGTCGAACGAACCAACATNGATTCCGCGATGCAATTTCGTTTTCAATTCACTACAAAAAGAAACAAACAAAAAATGTTCAGACGCATTTCATGCAATTTCTCATAACATTCCTATCAGTTTTTTGCTGTTGTTGGTAGTTGCTGTTATCGAATAGGATTGAAATGAATGGAGGACGAGCGAATAAATGAGGTTCATAAAATTTCACAGTCAAATAAAGGGACGACGATGCTTCACAGATGCATTTAATTAAAATCCATTTCTGTGAATTTCAGACCAAGTAAAAATGAGACAAGAGAGAGAAGAAGGCAAGTTTTCTAAAATCGAAAATCTCGACACGAATGAAATTTTTACTACCTGCTACAGCTGACACTGCTCGCATATAGATTGTAATTGTTCACATTGAAATCCACAACGAAGGGTCAAGGGAATATGGGCGGAAGTCGGGTCATCCTAAAAGTAATTTGACAAACACGAATGCATTTTATTGCGGACGAAAATTTCCACCCCCAACTCGAGTATTTTTCCCTGCCTGTAATTTAACAGAATTTAACGGACAAAAAAGATTGCCGAGTACCGAGAGATTGAAGCACCGTGGCAAAAATATCTTGAAAATGAAATAATCGGCATAACAGTTCATTTTAATTTATTCGTATTCCGCTCTTTCGCTACAAAGTTTATTTCTTTTCTTCTTTTTCCTTGTTCTTCTATACTTCGTCTCTAGCTGATAGACGCTCGATTAGCTGTTGTTGCTTTCCAATGCTATACATACTTGTACTCTACACGTGTTGCTGCGTCAAACCAGCTGATCATTCAGAAAATGATATCATGCATCGTGTTTTCATTTTCTACAACACCGCAGTCTTTATTGATCATCGTCAATTATGTAATTAAACTCCTTGCAGCCGTCACACTTTTGTGCACACTCAACTGTGATTTTTGTTGCTATTTAGTTGCTGGTAGAGTTGTCTTGAGTGTCTTGAAACCACTCATGTTAATCGTTTTTTCATTGCAAACACAAAAGCTGAAAAATGACGCGAGTTGAAGTGCGAGATTGATGTTACTAAGTAAAAGTTAGAAAGAAAGATCTCCATCATCGTCTTTCGTTAATGATTGGAATTTAAGGAGTGCAAGTATAAGTTGATGCTGTGGTTTGGGCTGAACTTTGAAACGCTTTCAATACTCGACGATGAATGATTCAATTTACATAATTTCATTCGTTTCTGTCACAGATGTGAGTTTCACCGACTTCCACGTTCTGCTATGAATCCAAATTGGAGTTATAACTTCATTCTATGTGAAACAAAACCTAATCGAGCATGAACGTTAATTCGAGAGATGTTTCTGTTTCGAAGCGCCCATTCAGTTTCAGCCTCTTTCCGCAATGAATACGGCACAGCATCGAAAATCTCATTAATTAGACAGCGATATGTTTTAATTCGCATCTCTTCCTCTTCAATCGCAATCGCAAGTCAACAAAGCACCATCGTCAAATCGGCTTTACTTTTCACTCTACCACACCGTTCCGAATGGTTTCACTGAGTGCGCTGTTTTGTGTTGCTGGAAACTCGAAAACGCCAAAGTTTCTGTTTCAATACGAATTTGTTTTATTTTGCATGGCGAGCAACAATTGTTCATTCAAATCACTAATTACAGAGTTTTTTACAAAATGAAATGGAAATCGCCATGAGCTCGATACCACTGAGCTCTGTTTGAATGAAAACATTTTAAAGTACCTAATTTTGTTTACTCCGCGTGAATCTGTTAATGTTGGTAGCTGAAATGTCGTCAGTAACATGTTTACTACCAGAGTTGACGGAATTTCATCGTCACTTGTCATATTTAATAGGAAAGAAAGCTTCGTTGTTGGAAATTCCGAAACTCTTGTTCACCATCACATGTGGCAAGCATTCTTTGAATAATTTGAAGGTTGAAACTGTTACATTAGTCATCATCGATGAGAACGCCAGATGAACAAATTGTCGCTAATATTTCTCAATTTATAATTTTAATATTTAATCGCACATACCTACAGCAGGTAAGCAATGAGAGAAAACAAAATTATCGACTAATTTTCAAAGCATCGAAGATTCTCAAGTCGATGGTCAAGCTAAGGAAATCGAAAAAAGATGAGATAAAACGCAACAAGCAGAAATAATTGCTCGAGATGACCAGATATTTCTTTAATGTTTAAGTTTAAGATCGCAATTCTTATTCCATTTCTATCTTAAAGAACGAAACAAGAGAAATAATTGTTAAAGCTCGATGATGAATCGATTTAGAAATCTCGCTGACTTGTTCTTTTTCATTCCTTTAAATTCTTTTCGAGATCTTTTATTGATGTTTCTGTCTGTGGTTGGTTAAGCAAATGGAAACAAAACAGCGAGATTCAAGCAAGCAACTCGCCGTTCAAATTGGTCAGAATATGTAATGAAATATAATGAATTTGTATCAGATTAATATCTTTCGTTCATCTCTTCTCGATTATCTTTTTCTCTCGCGAGCTTTGCATCGTAAACAACGAGCATTTTAGCGTGTAAGCGAAAGAGAACGAAACGAGATTACTTAACGGATCATTTTTGGAATGAAACAGCAGGGAGAACAAAGTCAATAACGAATGGTTCTGCTCAGCTGCTTGAATCATCTTCGGCTTGTTCATTGTTTTACCGTGCGTGGACCTTGACCGCCAACATCATCATCTGTTTATCTTTATACTTGTATCTTTATTATTCTTACATATCATACAAGGAAGCTTCTCATTGTTTGTCTACAAGGTCTCGAAGGTCAATTTCCTAATATGCCGATTCTAAGCGAAATTTAATTTTATTGCCCGCATATTCGATTGGGTGGAATGATTAATTGTCTTGTATAATAACATGATTGTATAATTTTGTCTTTTAAGGAATTATTCCATTAATTTTTTGTTTTGTTTTCAATTCTTTTGTTATACCTAAAAGCTTTTAATTTTATAATGCTTTAAAACTTTTAAAGATTCACAGAAGTTGCACTTAATTTCAAAGCGAAATTAAAAGAGAGGAAAATAGTTTGCATTTATTTTTAATTAATAATTCCTTCATTCTTTACATTATATTTAGCAATTTGCTTCGTCAAAAAGTTGACGTAGACTGCTCATTATGGAAATTTAATTTAATATCTTCTGCTTCGATATAACAAACTCTTCTTCTCGGAACATCGTTGCACAATTTATAAATTAATTTGCATGTCTAGCGTTGGAAAGACTACTCCGTTATTATGAAATGACAAGAAAATGACAGAAATACGTACTTTTGAAATTAGTTAATCTTATCTATGTTAATTTTTTCCCCTCCACTCTGCAATTGAAGTTAAACATTATGCAATTTACCTTTAGTGATTTGAAACAATGACAAGAAACGTCAGAAACGACTTAAAAATGAATTAGAAGTAGATAGTCACGTTTTAGTACCTTCTTGGGAATTTTTTTATTGCTATTTTCCCAGCGGGAAGTAAATAATTGTTTGGATTGTTTTGTTAATGCTGAGAGATGAAATGATAATAAAATGATGTAAGGAGATATTTTAATTACTAAACTGTCTAAGTTTACTCTCTCAGCTGCAAATTTTCAAACAATTACGATAACAAGTTGCTTAATTCTATGCTGGCACTTCTTTCGTTGTTGCTGCAACTTGTCTTCACATTATTTGTCTTCATTCGTTCCAGCATTTTCTCTCACTTCATTAAGATTGATGTTTAATTTTAAAAACACTATAATTGTGTTGTTGACGAAAAAAACAACGTTTGATGATGGTGAAGCAATGTATTTAATTTATCTCTACGAAGCTATGCAATGAAGGTTACTAAACGACTTTGTTTTGTTTTATGTTTTTTTTCACAGGATATTTTTCGCTTGTGAATGAGAAGGGCACGACAACTGCAACACAATACACAACCATGACACAACTGGTGCGCGAAAGAGTCTACAAATTCTTGTCGATAGATAATATGCAAGCATATACTGAGTCGAATCCAAATGGTAAATAAATTACATTATTGCGTGCTGTTTCCAACTGTTTCTTCTTTTTTCTCATGTTCTTGTTCTTGTTCTTTTTCGTATTTAATATAATAAAAATCAATTTCCTTTCAGATAACACCTCGAGCAAATCTCATTACGTGAAAATCACCGCAAAAGCAGGTGAAGTTTTCCGCTTATTGGCTGGGTTTGAAGATGGATCACAAGACAGCAAAAGCTATGCATCACCCAAAAAAGACAATTTGAATAGCATTGGCCGTGAAAAAGAAAAAGGTCGTTACGTTCAATTGATGTCGGAAAATCGACAGGTGAGAAACAATGCTAATGTCTTTAGGAAATTAATTTAAAAATTCTTTTGTTGCCAAATGTCACGCACAACTCCTATTTATCTATTTACTCACTTAACTTACTTACTTACATTGTTGCTTACTTACCTGACATTTCAGATAATTTTCGTCTCACTTTCAACAAAAGGAAAATTTTACGAGATCGAACATAGCAGCGTCCCACAAATGTTAACAAAGCACAATAACAATATCAATAAAACGAAGCCATTAAATGCCGATTGCGTTCATCGCATCAGTAGCATCATCAAGGACGACGCTATATTTCCGATTAATTTGAAATTTATTTCAAAGCACAGCAGTGGATTGATGCAAAGTGGAAGCATTCCAGGTAAGAGATGATGAATAAATTAAATTTTAATTGAAATTATGTTAATAAACATTTTTAATTTCTATCATTTCAGAACATATTAGAATTACTAGAGTTTCAATTGAAAATTCCGTCATCGCATGTCCAATTGATGAAGCTGAATTTTGTAATCCACTTCATCTTGTTAAACTTTATCTTCATCCCGAAATGAAGTTTATAAAATGTTCATTGGGCTTTGAAAGCGAGAAAGTTATGTTCTCGAATCAAAATGTTCAGAATTTATTGAAATTCTGTCAGTTTAATTGTGATAATTTCATGCGGGCCATTGAGTACGAAACACTTCCGAAAGAGAGCATAACGAAGTCAACTGATAATCTTTCGAGTCTTGGAAAAGTCAAGGCGAAAGCTCCATCGGCTTTCTCAAAGTTCTTCAGCAGTGAAAAAAATTCCTCGGCACACGAGCGTGAAGATTCCATAATTTTCTTGTCTAAAAACGATTTGGAGAACATGGAACAGCAAAAACAGTTGACTCAAGAAAGCGATAAAATGAAACCTTTCCAGGCCAGTAAGAAGAGTTGGTTCAAAAATTTGCGAAATGGATCGTCAAGTAACAACAACACGAATTCAAACAGCAACAAAACCAACAATTCATTCATAAACCTCAACAGTAACAGCATGGATCGTTATCAAGATATGTCAAAAATGATACAAGAACGTTTTGGGACAATCGAGATCAATGAACGTGGCGAGCCATCATCAACAACTATTAAGTCATCATCAGAAATCAGTTACGATTTAAATGATCGCACCAACAGAGCGATGCAAAAATGTTTCTCTTTACAAAATATTGAACTCAATTCAATGGACATGAGTATGCAGGCACCGGATTTGGTTGTGAAACATCAAAGACAAAATACAAACCGAAATGCATCCAACGACGATAAAATCGAAAAGGATGAAACTTATGTTAGTCATACAAGTTCTTCAAATGATTCTGCATTAAACAATTCCGACCCAAACCAACCGAAGCAGAAAAGTTTCATCACTGAAAAACTATTTAACGAGTTTTATGTCAAGACGAAGCAATATAGCAAATCGTCTTCCAGCTTACATCAGCTGCTTCATTTTTCCGTTCCACAAAAGATGAATATACGCGAAACGAGAAAGCGATTAGAAAAAGTTGAAGACGAGAAACGACAAGAGCAAGAAGAAGAATCACATTCAGCTTTGTTGCATCTTCAACTTCCACCACCGCCATCAACTGAACCGCCGGAAAGCGATAACGAACCTAACAACGATGCAGTATTTGGAGATAATGTTTCGATCGTTACAGACGATCTACCGTACTGCAGTGTTCGTGATTCAATTTTTCAGAATAATAATGACAGAAGTGCGCCTCGTGAAACGCCAACCGAAAGTATTTACGCTGAAATTTGTGCCACACCGCCACCCGTTTCTTCCGATACTTCAGAAGTATCGTATCGCGTGGAAAAGCCAATGAGTGCCAGCATTAAGAAGCAAAACGTTAGCAGCATCCGTATTTCGTTCGGACATGATTCAGTTCCAACAATTTTATCAAATGGCTCTAACATAAGCTATAATAAATAATCTCATTCAACTTCATTTATTCTAATCATTCACCCCAGGATACATTTTGACACACATACACGCCATGTCGTGCACTAAAGAAATGTTTATTCTTTCTAAATAGATAAATATTTATATATTATCAATCAAGTGCAAATATATTTTAATTTATTTCGCTATAAACATTATTATCTCGATACACTTTCAATTTATCTACTTAGCTACTTAAAAGTATGGGATGTGCCTTAATACTTTTATTCAAAGTTCTCAGCAAACTTTTCTTCTTTTTTCATTTTAAATTTGTGGAATAAACTCATATGGATATGAATTATAATGGCATCAAAGTTCAAATTCCTTTCATTTGGAAAAGGTTTGAGTAGCAATTGATTTATCATCTATTTTAACTTACTGAATTCAATTCACTGGTTGTTACATTACATGAATAAATGGATCACCATGAAAGAGATAAACGCACATAATGACACGATCATGGAAGTTAAAAAGATGAAATAAAATTCTTAGAATTACTTATTAAGCTTAGCTTAACATAGATATAGAGATATTGTATCATTTCTCATGCAAATACCAAAGCAGTGTGATAACAGACGAAAGGCATGAAGATGAAAAGAGTAAAAAGAAGAAAAACAAAAACTTTGAAAACAAAACTTTTTGCGACATGTTTTTTGAATGAAAATAAAAAGAAGAAATTAAAATTAAAAGAAAAAAAAATTGACACGAAATAAAATGAGGAAAAAAATTTACAAATTCGGAAACGTTGATAATAAACATTTTTCATGATTGTGATGGGAGAAAGAAATTTCCGGAGCATTAATCATTAGACTAATCACCATGGCTCTGAAAATATTAAGCTTTTGATGTTTTTTGCAATTTTTATGAGAGTTAAATAAATAAATGAAATAAACTGATGCGATGAAATTACAAGAAAAGAATTAAAATTATACATTAGATAATGGATTTAAAATTTCTTTATGGAATCGCGTCATGAGTAAACTTAATGTACTGTTTTATGACGAAAACTGAAAATAATAATAAATGTAATGCAATAGGTGGAACACCTTTCCTTTCATTTCTTTTTTCTATTGATGTAACTTTATGTAAATTTGGTATTTGGTAAATATCAAATAATAAAAGTGATTAAAAACAATGAATTTCATCTTTTTCCTACTATTCAAATATTTCAGTCTCAAACTTTTTTTCTGTAACAATAAACAAAGTAAATCAAAAGAAATGTTTTATTTTCAGTAATTTTTATTAAATAAATAATTAATTTAAGGGACTACAAATTGTTTAGTGAAATCGTAATCGTCAAGGGTTAAATTAAGGAAGAAATGAAGACAATTCATGCATTGAAGAGAAACAGAAATTAAAATTTATGGGTTAATAAGGACCTGCAGTGCGTCATCGTTAACATCTTGGATTTCATCTACTTTCTCAAGGAAGTTATTCATCCAATACACTTGATGTCTAAGCATATCGTTTTCGTCACGATCGTAGTTGACTGAGTGTTGTTGAACATTGATCAAGAACTTCTTACGGGATCGTGAGCGACGTGAAGCAACATTATTTGCAGTACGAGCCTTGCAATATTCTATATTTGAATAATCAGCGCGAGGACGTGACTTAGCTTCGTAGTATATGTAACTATGATCCTCTTGTGCATAAGTGTACTTCAACACTTGAGTTTTAGTGTCATGGCTATGTTTTAACAACTTGTCGAACTCATAGAATCCAGCAAATTCCATCTCGTCAAAAACACTTTTACCTAACCACGGGTAACTATCATCAAATACTGTTGGTGCCGGAGATTTCTTCTTATATTTTTTTCTCTTTGGCTTTTCTTTGGGTACATTTGATGTTTCTTGAATGGATCCATTTGATGTTTCTTCAAGGCATCCATTTGATGTTTCTTCAAGGCGTCCATTTGAAGTTTCATTTTCACTAAATGTTTCAGAACCTTCTTCTATCATTACTTCTGGTTCCAGTTTAATACTTCGATTCAAACTGTAATCAATTGGAGCTTCTTGTGTTTCTGCGCTTGATGATTCAGGTGGAGGTGTAGGGTATGAAAAATTATAACGGATTGGTGGTTCTATAAATGGTGGTGTATTGAGGGGTTGTGAATTGGCATTCATCAGTTGTTCAGAAGTAATTAATTCATCACCATAACTTCTGTAATTTGCATATTTTCTTTCTTCCATATTTGGAGTTCCAACACAGGTTTGTACCATTTCTTTCACCGCCAAATGGTTAATAAAATTTTGTATTAATTCTGGAGGCATGTTTCTTGTTCGCATATGCCGAATTAGACCGATATTATTGGGATCAATAAGATCATCAATGGTGTATTGAATATCTCCTTCACTCATTCTGTAAGACGTAAGGGAAAATAAAATTTTAATTATCTTTCCACATCATCAATTTCATGATTATATATTAGCAATTAATTAATTTGATGAATTTTCTGAACAATAACCCGCAGAGTAAAAACCGTACTTAAGCTTTAAATATCAGTTACGTACAATTATACTCTACGGATCGCTGGTCACATTCTCGTTCATTTCTAATTGATTCGATGTCAACTCAGTAACAACCCGCAGAGTAAAAAACCGTACTTAAAAATTGAATATCTTTTATGTGCGGTAATACTCTACGGAACGTAGCTAAGTTCAGAAGCTTCAGATACTTCAGACACTTGGCACTTTTTTAATAACTTTTCTTTAGAAACTTTTGAAGTTTTAATTCCCATATCTCTTCCGTACTAAAACTAATTAAGACAATTCAGCACAAAAAGGATACAGGAACCACAACTACACTTTATTCCATTTCTCACTTCATCACAGCTTAATTGCACTTCAAAACGATATTAACAGTACTAACCTTGATTGATCCTTGAAATAATTTTTGATGAACACAAACTTTTTTGTGTTTCGGCTTCCTTTTTTTTTTATCTTCACCTTGAAAGTTTCACTAAAGAATGTAACAAAATTAGGACGTGCAGCGATTTTTATAAGGATCTGTTCGAGAGAAAATTAATTAGCTCTCAAAATTTTTTCAAAACTATAATGAGAGAGTCATCAATCCTTTCTCAAAATTCGGTTGATAATTGGTTGATGACAATTGACCTGAAACAATATGCACGTCAATCTTTCTCCTTTTCTATCTTCTCTTAGGTAACTATGGTAATTAAAAATGGAAAGTGAAAAAACCAACATCTGTATTTAAATCGATGGGAAGTCCTAAGTAAAAAGGCAGAAATTTAAGAAATTCTCGAAAGTGCTTTATTGGGGTAATCCTAATTTATAACTTTCGTCAACGGCTTTTTTGTCGCCTCAATTCTTCGATAGAGTTAAAGGAAAATTGTAACAATCTCATTATCATTTCATGATCGAACAAGATTTCTCTTTAAGTTCTAACGTGATTAGTTTCATGCGACAATGTTACATATTTTTATGACTCTTGTCAGCAATAAAACTATTGCAGCAATAAAAATAAAATTCTGAAATCGTAAAACATTATTAAATCCATCCAAATTACTTATTAGATTATCCCAAATTAGAGAGAAAAGAGGCAATTTGAACTTTCAATGTTATGTTCTTTATTTCATGTTTCTTTTTCGAAATATTTATAAATAAGATGTAATGGTTCAGTTTCTACTTCTTGATGGTTTTTGGTATGGCTTCGATTTTTGTTTCATTTCCTCGTTGTCAAGTTTAGATGATCGCAATGCATGAACAGATCCGATCATCGCACCTTTTAAGCTTTGATTATGAGGATCATCAATGATGTACTTCATTAGCCGAATTGTATCTACGCTCATTTTTAGTAGAATATCTTTCTCGTGTTTGTACATTTGGTTTACAGCTTTAACTGAAAAGAGGAAATCGAGATTAGTTTCTCAAACTTTTATAATGATTTGTTTTCAGCTTGTTCAATTACCTTTTTCCTCATTGTTTAGCTTTCTAAGAGCATGCCAACGTTTCTTGTTAAGCTGGGTTAATATTTTTGATCGCTCTAGAAATCAAATTACTGTTATGATATTAAGATTTGTTGAATCGTAATAACAAACTCACCAATTGTTTTCTGTAACTTCATCTCAGATATTTCCGCAAGAAGAGCTCCTTGGTTGGTTTTGTAATGATTGAGGCGATTTATGATGTTATCGTTGTCTTCTGAACATGTATTACCTTGTTCCAAAACATTGTCGAGCTGATCTTCGAGGAAATTTGTCATACTCAACTCGTTTTCAGTAAAATCACATTCATAAGCCAAACTACAGAGAAAGTCATTTTCTGTATTAGGTTCGCTATTCTCTTCCGGAACAGCTTTGAATAAGTTGATGAGCTTATCTTGGCGCTTTCCATTGATATCGTAGATTTTATTACCAAGTAATTCAATGGATACTTCGGTAAGAAACAAATCGATTGAAGATTTAAAATTTTCCATGTTTTAAAATTTGTTTGTTTACAAATTGTAGTGGTCATGTTCCTTTTTGAGGTTTTTCCTTAGTTTCATACCCCCTACTGTTTATTTTTTAATGCAAATTCCTTCAAAGTTCTCGAATGACTACCTTAACATGTCATCCAATGAAGAACTACATAAAAAGCTTCTGGTAGAATTCACAAAAGCTTCAAAGGAAGCTCGTGGCAAGTTAATCATATTTTTTCCATTAAATCATAATCACATAAAGATTTTTTTAGAGATCTATCTGGGATGTTCTGTCGCAGAGACATCTAATTTGCCTGATGGTATAAGCTTTCTCAGAAACAATGTCAGCAAAAATCTGCCACTTCTCATAAAAGGTGCTCTCAATGGATTATCAGCTGTTAAGAAATGGAATTCAGATTATTTTAGGTATTTTACACCGGTCACGATTCTATCTTAAAATATTTAGAGTTGAATAATTTCCTCTATCAACAAATTTTAATATTATTAACAGTTATTCTTATTTATATCGCTAGAGAACATCTCGGTGAGAAGGAAGTGACAGTATCTCTAACACCAAATGGTTACGCAGATGGGATTGCAGTTAATGAAGAAGACAAAAAGGAATACTTTGTAATGCCTGAAGAAAGAACGATGAAAATGAAAGACTTTTTGAATGCTCTTGATAAGAAAAAGTTTGTTTTTTTCCTATTTCTATTTTTATATAAAATAAATTTTTGATTTATTTCTTTTTAGTGGACCAATTTGCTACATTCAAAAACAAAACTCTAATTTAACTCTTGATTTTCCTGAACTAGTCAAAGACGTCAACAGCACAATTTTAAATTTCGCTAAAGAAGCTTTCAATAAAGAACCTGATGCTGTTAACTTTTGGATGGGAGATGAGCGTGCTGTAACATCGATGCATAAAGATCCATATGAAAACATTTATTGTGTCATCTCAGGGTTCAAAGATTTCATTTTAATTCCACCTGTGGATGTTCATCTTGTTCCAAGGCAAATATATCAGTCGGCAATCTACGAATCAAATGAGTCTAATAGCTTTCAAATTAAATCACTATTTGATGGTAAGAAATATGTGAAACAAAATAATTTTTAGTGTACTCAAATCAATCTTAAATATTCCAGATTCGAACAAACCAATCAACATTGAATGGGTGTCAATAGATCCCCTAAATCCTGACTTTAAAAAGTATCCTGAATATAAAAATGCAAACATTTTCAAGGTGCGAGTGAACAAAGGTGACATTCTTTATCTTCCAAGTCTTTGGTATCATCACGTTCAACAGTCTCACGAATGCATAGCAGTCAATTATTGGTATGATATGGAATACGATTCAAGATACTGTCTTTATAAAATGATGGAACGCTTGTGTGGTTTTAAATGTGATGAATAATTCAATAAATTTATCTGAAACTTTAAATTGTTTGACAATAAAATAAAAACATTTCTAAAAATTTACTTCACAAACTTTTATTTTAATGACTTCTTTAATATGTACATTGGTAAAATTATTAACGAATTAATCGTTGTCATTGTCCATTAAGTTCTTTAAATCATTGTTTTGTCGTTTTTTCGAGATCACTAATGAAAGTTGTGAGAAATTCTTCTTTCTTTTGTAGCAATCGATTTTCTTCCTCGTCAAAATCTCGTGAATAACGTAAAAGTTCTAATTCATATTTTTTGCGATATCTTGAGCGACGTGATGCATAATTATTGCGACTACGTTCTAAATCGTGTAGAGGATTTTTAATTTCAATACGCAAACGAGATTTTTTTGGATTAAACTTGATAATCAAAGGATTTAGTTTGTACGTTTGTTTAATAACTTCGAGCTTGAACTTATGACTTTTTAGAAGCTCATGATCAAGTTCTGTCATCTCTGATGAGGATAAATTGTAGAAAATACTTTGTCCTACCCAAGAATTGTTTTTAATATTTTTCGAAACTGGTTTCGTGGGTTTCTTAAAATTATTTTTTAAGTCAGATTCAAATATTGGAGCTGCTGCTGTCTGTTGATTATCGTCTTTAGGTTCGAGTTTAATTATAGGTATGTTCTGTTGAATATTCACAATAACCTTTTCTTTTTGTTCTTTTAGTAACGAAGAATTTATTTTACTAATACTGTAATCAATTGGAAGTACTGTATCTTCTTCAGCCGACAGATGTTCGAGAGAAAATGATTCGCACATATCAGAGTCCCCACAAACTTCCTGCTTTACAACAATTTCATCACAATTCACATCTGGTGTTGTCATATTTAAAGAATTCTTTTTTTGGGAGGCTTTTATCATTTCTTCACATTTATTTCGTATGAATTGTTCAATCATGACATTCTGGAGCATTTGAGGGTCAAGTTTTGTTTGCCCCAAACCAAGCAATGATAAAAGGTCATTCTTTCGAGAGAAATCGAAATGTTCCAAAAATTTAGAATTCATCTGTAATTGAATTAGAAAAAAAGAAGTTTATTTGAAACTACTTAGCGGCATTCACTTTTGTTGAGAACACAAGTTTTGATGCATCTCATAGCAAACCGTAGGGTACAGAAAGTACTTCACTTTTAAAATGCAGTAATGTACTGAATGCACCCAGCGGACTGCTGAAGATTTTCACGACGTTTCTTATCTACATTTGTGGTTCCAACTTAAAACTTTCACTATTGTTGAGAACACAAGTTTTGTTGCGCATCTCATAGCAAACCGTAGGGTACAGAATGTACTTCACTTTTAAAATGCAGTAATGTACTAAATGCACCCAACGGACTGCTGAAGATTTTCGCGACGTTTCTCATTTTAATTTGTGGTTCCAACTTAAGGCTTTCACTATTGTTGAGAACACAAGTTTTGATGCATCTCATAGCAAACCGTAGGGTACAGAATGTACTTCACTTTTAAAATGCAGTAATGTACTAAATGCACCCAACGGACTGCTGAAGATTTTCGCGACGTTTCTCATTTTCATTTGTGGTTCCAACTTAAAGTAACCCGTAGGAATTAAAAGACTTGATCCCTGCATCTTTGCTGCTCTAAGAAATTATTAAAACAATCTAGCCCAGAGAAAATGCAGAAATCATGACCTCTAATGTGACTTTCCTTATTTCTCTCAGTTAATTTGCACTCTTAAATTCATTTCAATTACAAACCTTGTTTCTTTGTTGATGACCTTTCTTTATCCTTCAGGAGTTTTCTTTCCACTTTGAACTAATTGTACAGTTGCTTGTATTGTCTCGTACACTTTCAAAAACCTAATTAACGAGAAATTTTGATATATCAAATTTAAGGTTACTCGAAATTTGTTAAATTAATGAATGATTCAATAAAATTTGATAAGAATTTCAATTACCTTGTAGTCCTACCTAAGCCGAACTACTTTCATTAAGCGTCATCTGAAGAATGTAAAAGTTTTGAGATTAGCGGGCTTCAACTTGTGCAAGTTCTTTCTCAAAATGATATTTGTTGCACAATCTCTTAAGAGAGACAAAAGTTTCAAAACTCGCGCGGAAACTCGCGCGACATGAGGGGATTGTAACTAAATATTTTCTTACCGAAGGGTGTTGAGTGTGCGTATTAAAACAACAATTTTGTTCTTCTCTCGTTTTACATTTTTCTGCAACAAATTCGCTAAAGGTAGGTGTAATTTTAGATATTATAGAGATCTCATTAGATGTTTTCTTTCTTACAATTGTAAAGATCCGAATATAGTTATTAATAATAGCTCAAATTCGTAATATTGTCACAAAATGAAAAAAATTACATAATGAAAAATCATTCGGAAACAAACATCAGAAATTGATTTTTCGTCTCAACCAATGTAAAAAATAAACATTACTTATAATATCTGTAGTTAGATTTATTACTACTCTCTTTAGCAATTAATCATTTTCATTCTTGTAGAAAATCATCAATGGCTGGTGAAGTAACAGCTGAAGCTGGAAGAATTCCAAAACCAATCCTTCGAGGACTTCATAACGCTCAAATCAAGCGGAACTTGGTTATAGCTGGAGTATTGGTTACTGTTGTCACAGTCGCTGTCAAATACCTCCGCAATGAACCCAGAAAACGAGACTACGCTGAATTTTACAAGTATTTATTATAATTAATAATATTTTATAAATTTGTAAATTTATTCTTTTATTTAAGAACTTATGATCCAGAGAAGTCATTCAAACGCATGGTAGATGCTGGTCTCTTACAGAGTGTTAAGGAACTCTAAATTCATGTCTCTGTTCATCAGTTAAATTAGTGTTTCCGATTTAAAATTTCAAAAAATGTAAAAGTAAAGAAGTTGTGGAATTGACAAAAATTATCTTTCAACATCCGATAATTAAAATATATGAATAAAAGAAAATTAAATAGTCAATGTTTTATTCTTGAACTGTGTTCCTCTCATAGCCAATTTGGTTTAATTCTCTTATGTTACGTTCAGGACGAGGAATGGTGCACATTTATGAAATTTCCTGTAAGAATCCGGCTAGAAAGCATACATTTTCATTATAGGTACCGTATTATCATCGTCAGCAAGCAATTTTTGAAAAATATTGAATTGAGCTTATTCACTTAGGAACATGACGAATAATTATCAAATTTGTATTTTATTGGTAATGAATCATAACTGTTTCAGGAACAAAATCGAATGTTATTTTCTTAAAATGAAGCATCATCTAATCATAATTCATATTTATGAAATTGTTCCTTACCTAGGATACCTACTTATGTCTATTAAAATATATGTTTGAAACATTTTTTACTTTTCTTTTTGAAGACAAGAATTTCTTTGTAATTTTTCAAAAAGTTTTATGTCAGTTTAATGAATCTTTTTTATTTCTAGAGTAAAATAAATAATCAATAGTGCATGTGATGAAAGTCGGCAACTAGCATTCATTTATACCCAACAATTTGAGCTTCAGCATTTTATTGTTGTCCAAAAGATTAATTTTTATCCTGAAGTTCAAGCAAACTCGTGACAGAGAGAAGGCTATTATCAACACGTACTAGATTGTAAGGATTGCGAAGAAGTATTCTAGTACGATGTCGCCTCTCAATTTATTTCTCTTTTTTCATTATTTCGTCCAAGATTTCATCATTCATTGTCTAACCGTTGAACGCTAAAGTAAGTCCAAGTAATAATTTTATAAAGCATGAGGTTTTTTCTTAAAATTTCTTTAATTAATGAAATGTTCTTATATTTTAACAGGAAAACAATTTGACAATTACATCATCTTGAAAAAATCAGATTTTGACGTAGAAAGTAAGGTGAAAGATTGAAATATTTGAGTTACTAAAGCTAACCTAAAATTATGATTTTCATCTAATTTAGAAATGAGCTCAAACTCTGACCCGAATCAGAGTGGAAAGCCAAGCAACGTGGCTTACAAAGGCACTAATGCTGAAGGCAACTCATATACGAAATATAATAACGAAAAATATTCTTATACCAATTACAAACCCAGTGGCGATGTTCAAGGCCGATACTTCAATGATGGCAGAGGACATGGTTTCTACAAACAAAATGCAACAGCTGAAAAACCAGCTTATGCCTGGCATGAAAATGCAAGAACTGAAACACGTACTTACATTGAAAAGGGATCTGGCAGTCGCAGCAGTGGCCAGGGAAAAAAAGAGTCCAACTGAACGAATCTGTTGGTTACAAAAGACATTAAATAGCAGAGCAGTTGTTTAATTTAATGTAAAATTAAAGTAATGAAACTCTTAAAATCCTGAATAAATCACATTTCATTACAGATTTCTAATTTTTGATTATTGTGGGCAAGCATTTCTTTTAAATATTTTACAGCTTAAAACCGAATTTGAATTCAATGAAAAACTTTCATGGCAATTGTTCATCATTTTTATCATTCACATTAGATTGCATCAACTTTGAATTTTTAAGTCTGACATACCTATAAACTTTTAACAGCAAATTAATATTTGAATCAGAGATCGTCGACCAGTTTAAGTCGAAATTTTAATCAGTTCCCCTCAATTGGAGTAGTTGAATACCACACATTTGAAATCGCTTAAATATTAAAATAACAAAATATAATATTTTACGGGAAATTTAATGATAAATAGTCTAATAATATGTTAAAAGACAACATGAAGATTGTGTTTATCAATTAAATATTGTTTCTAAGAGTAAAAACGATTGAGTTTGTGTGAAAAGAAAGAGTAAATTTATCGAAGAGCGAAAGAGTAAAAAAAAAGTGAGAAAAAATGTTGCAGTTCAGATTAAAAATTATAGATTTGTTAAAAAACTATTGAAAATGCATCTCAATGGATCATTAAAGGATTGATTTTGATTGAGCTACAATAGGAAAAACATGTTGGCAAAAGAAATTATTTCAATTCCTCAACACACACTCCCACAAAATAAGAGCCCATTCTCAAAATGGCGCTGGGGTTATTTCATAATTTATGTTTTTTTAATCAGTTGTCATAATCAAAAATGTGCATTTGATAAGTTTTTATCAATTATTAGAAAAGTTTAGTTTTTATAATTTTTCAAAGTTGTTGTGACCTACGCATTGAATAGACCCCCACCAATATTTTCCATTACAGCAAGAGCTTTGCGTCATCTAAACAAATTGAAATGCAGTTTTTGCATTCAAAACATTGATTTCCTTTACCAATTGTCCATTTTTTATCTCAATTGAACCTTAGAGAATAATTTTATAACTGCTACATCCATGTTTATCCAATCGTAAGCCATCGAAAAAGTCAATTTTTCAGTCGTCCATTCGCGAGAGCCATCAGAAAAAAAGAAAACGGAACAGTATATTTTAATATATCTATCTCTCTCCATCGTTCGCGAATGGTTCCTTTCTAGGTTTAAAAAATCAGCAATTATGTCTCCTTAAATTAGGCATGAAAAGATCAAAAGAAGGTTTGTTTAATAATGTTTCATAAAACGGAATATTTATTTTATAATATTTAAAAAAAACGTCTCCATCATGAGACAGGAAAAAGCCACCATCATTGAAAACCGTCGCTGTGAAATATTTTCATTAATCTCATAAAGCTTTTTGATGAAATTATGTTCTAATTTAATATTTTATTCTGATAAATTCTCTAAAAACTTAAAATTTATCAGTAAATTTTATTGTTTCATCATAAAAAAGTGTTTATGAGATAGAAAGAAAAAAAATTGTATGAATGAAAACTTTTCGAAAAGTTAAACACATTTACAACTTATGGTGCAATAAATACGCAAGTTTGTGTTTACTACTACACTTTATGAGCGTATAACACGAGAAAAAAAATAATAAAAACAAATTTCATAGAAAAGGTAATATCTAATTTATCAACAATGCAATCCTTCACTTTGATGCAGCAGTTTTTAAATTTGTTGAAAACAAAATCATAAAAAAAAAATCTGAAGTGTTGGCATAAAATCTCAAGCATTATTTGGTGGTTCATGTTCTTGATGAAAGCTCTCCTTCTCATATTGATGATGAAAAACACGTTTTTAATATCATTCTCTCAATTCTTCTTGTCATACTCTTATTTCATAATCATCTTAATATTATCAACATCAACCTCAACCCTTGATAATTGATTGAATCATGCAAACTTATTAAAATTGCAGCAGCATGGCAGCAGACAGCGATGGTAATGATAAAAATTTAACAGCAGTAGTAATCTGTGAAGGGGATTATCATGATCCCTCGTTTCCACAAAAATTAAACAACCTAGTGGCGCGCCTCAACAGTCTCATAGAGGAGCAGCCAAAATCAAAACGACTCAAAGTTAATAAAGTGAGTTTTATAATTAATAATAAAATTTTATAATTTAATAATAAAAAATTTATGACAGGTTGAACCATGGAACTCTGTTCGAGTAACACTGTCCATTCCAAAGGAAGCTGCTGTAAAACTTCGACAACTAGCAGCCGAGGGCAATAGTGCATTAAGGGAATTGGGCATATTATCGGTTCAGCTGGAGGGTGATTCTGTGATATCATTAAGATTAGTTGGTCAGGAAATTGTATTGCGTACATCAGCTGGTAAGTTGAAAAGCAAATAATTACCAGCATTATCATTAATTTAATTCATTCTTATTTTAGATAATACAACTGGTTCACAAAATACAACAAATCTCGGTGAATTGACGCGAATTTTGGCACAAAATAAACAAAATCAGCCAACACCATCAACATCAACTTCTATTGTATCAGATCATACAACAACAGCAGCAGCGTCAACATCAGCATCATCCTCTTCTTTATCGTCATCAAATGTGACGAATTCGATATCTGATGGACTTCAAAATGGACCAATCAATGTGGTTGAGAAGAGTTTAATTAAATCTCCGAATACAGTGTGTCCAATGGATGGCAAACTACCAGCACATGTGCCAAATGCGACAGATACGCCATGTGAATATCCATTTGGGAGTATGACACAAGCTCGTGTGATCCATAGGAGAGAAAATACATTGGGAATTAACCAACAGCAACAGCAACAACAGGGTAATAGTCAGCATTTCATAGCGCCAAGTACGCCTGTTGGTCAACCACCACCGCCACCATATCCCAACAAGCAGCAAAGCTCTTCTTCGTTACTTCTACCGCCGGCTTCAACATCACAACTTCAGTCACATATTGTTGGAGGTGGTAATAATATTGCCATATCGAGTCCATTGTTAGTGAATCTTTTGCAAAATGAAGGTGTTAGTAATAATAATTTAAGTAATAGTTCCGGCGTCCAACAACAACAACCGTCAACGTCCAACAACACAGTTTTGACGTCAAATAATGCTGCTAATGTTGATCATCAACACATACAGCAGCAGCATCAGACAAGCTTAGTGAATGTTAATAATAACAAAAAGTGCATAAATATTAATAAAACACAATTACCTGTGCAACAACAACATACGATGGTGCAACAGCAATCAATTGTCATAAATCAAGGATCAACACCTTCAAAGTCGCAGATGAATAACAGCAATCAACAGCAACATTTAAATAATGCTGTAACTGCAACGACGACGACGACAATTATGAATCCATCATTATCTGTGCCTTCTCATGTTATCAATAATAAATTACCACCACATCAACAGCAACAATCAGTAGCAACACGATTCATTGGACCTTCAGTACAACAGACATTAAACATACGAAATATTTCACCCGGACAACAGCAACAACATCCTTCTGGTGTTCAAGTTATTTCAAGGCTTTCTCAACCATCTTCACAAATGCAACATCAACAATTGCAACAACATCAGCAATTTAGACAGCCGATGGTTACAACTGGAGCTCAACCTCAGTTTATTTCGCAACATAATGCAATGCCTTCGCCATCCTCAGCTGGTTCTTCCACAACAACAAACTTTTTTGATCCCGTTAAAGTTCTCAATAAACCAATGGATTCAATGACAAAAAGCAGCTTTCAAGAGTTTGCTCGGTATCAAATGGAATATAATCTTAGTCAACAACAGCAACAGCAGCAACAAAAACAGCAGCAAAATTTATCTGACGGAAATCAACAATCAGTGCCTATTAGTAATCCTAATGTTGTTGTCACAGCTTCAGCAACAACCTCCTCAACAACATCAACAACAACTTCAATAAACCTTCAACAAATGCTCATAAAAACGGAACCAAAACAGCCGCCAACAAACAATGATCCACTCGGACTTAATCTGGGTGAACTTCCTGATCTCAATCTAACAAAAAACGACCTCGACTCGCTGCTGCCGACGTTGAATCCCAGCGAGTTAGAATGTGCCCTCTTTGATTCCAAATTGGATTCATTGTTAGAGGGGAAGGATCTGGATTTGGATTTTAGTTCACAAAATGCATCATCAACAACAGCAGCAACCGCTGGTGTTAGCAATGTTGTAAGAAGTGAACGACCAACTGGTGCGCAACAGCAAATTATGTCAACAACATCAACAGCAACATCAGGAACAACAGCGAAGATTGGTAATTTCTCTGGTGGACATAAAAAGCAACAAATGCTTCTTATAAATCCACTTACAGGAGATCTGGAACCAATGGCAAGTGATCACGACAGTGGCTCTGACAATGACAGTGAAGAATCAAAAAGGAAGAAACTTCTACTTAAGCAATTTGGTGACATGATCCAATCTGATTTATCCAATTCTCTCTATTCCGATGATGAGACATCGTGCAGCACGGGATTCTCAAATAAAGGCACCAGTGATATGAGTGATGGTGAGAAATCAAATTCAAATGATTTGTTGAGCTTAAAAGCGAAGAAAGTTCGCAAGGAGAAAATGTTGTTGAAAGATGGAAGTGCGGCAACATCAGTTGTGAAGAGTAGTCGAAAGCTTAAGGAGAAAGCAAATAAAACAACAAAAGAAAAAGTGCCGAAAGTGAGATCAACATCAACAAAGCCACGATTGAAAGCAACGACAATGATTTCCGAGCAAGTGACGGTTGAGCAAGGTACTGAAAAAGTTAAAATTGTTTTGAAACTACCGAAAACATCGGACACAAAAATAGATCTCAAACAGCAGCATCAACAGCAACAAGCACAGACATCATCGAATATCAACAATAATCAAATCAATCAGCAAGTGAAAAATATTCAATTCATTGCCCAGACAAGTCAACAGCAACCGTTGTTGAATTTTCCCACCACCTTAGCTATTGGTAATGCGATAGTAACGCAAAATAATTTTTCTCCCGCACAAACCGCTGGCTTAACAATTACAAATTCTCAAATGCCTTCAACAACATCTCAATCATCATCAACAACACCGACAAGTGAAGAACTTCGTGTGCCACCATTGCACATCAGCCTACGTGGACGAAATTCAATTGTTATTAATAATAAAACCGATCGAAAGAAATCTCATAGTGGTGGTGAAGAAGATAGCAATGATGGCTCAAGGAAATCATCGATTAAGAAGCTTATTCCGAATGATTATCATCAACTGACAACAAGTGATAAAAATGAACAGCAGCAACAACAACCACAACAGTCAATGATGGTGATGATGAATAATCATGAGAAGAAAGATTCAATTGACATTCCTTTGAGTGCACGACTTAAAAACATGACAGACCCGCAACATATAATGAATTCATTAGCTAGTTACAACGTTACTATATCATCAACATCTGGTGGGACGACAACATTAGATAATCATAAACATAAAATGTTGGATGAGACGGGAAACTGCCGGAAAGGAAGTCAAGAGAGTGTTACAGCGTCAACAGCAGCAGCAGCAACAACAACAGCAGTTCATAATCATTTGAGTAGTAAAAGTGGTTCAGCGACCACAACATATAAGAATATAACGATAAGTGAAGTGATGACATCTCTGGCTTCCGGTAATCCCAATAATACTCTCATTCAAGTGCCTGCTTCAACATCAATAACAACCGTTGTGTTTGGTGAAGGTAATGATGGAACATCATCGTCATCGTCATTGAAGAAGAATTTAAGTGAATTAACGAATGGATTGATAGGAAATGAAGCAACAATAGTAAAAAAGCGAAGATTAAGCGGCTCATCGGTCATCAATGAATCAAAAAACCGTAAAGATGATGTAAAAGAATTTCATTTTACAACAATTGGATCAACAAATGTTGGTACATTGCCGCAACATTCAAATTTGTCGTCGTCAAAAAACTTGAAGGGCTTAAACTCCACCATTATCAGTAGCGCTGCTGTAATCGGTGGTGGAGTTGGTGGTGGTGGGCAAAGTAACATCAACAACAATAATAATAATAATAACAATAATAATAATAATAATAAAATCAATAAGGCGATTAATCAAAAGACATCAACGCGTCCACTGAAAATAATTAATCTTTATGAGCTTAGTAGTCTTACGACATCAGCAAGTAGTAGTTTACATCAAAGTAAACCACCACCACCAGTGACAACAACAATAGCAACGACAGGTGGTGGAATTACAACTGTTACACAATTGCCACAAGATCACAGCGACACCATCAATGAAGAAAAGTTTAAGCAAAAATTTCTTGAGCAAGTTTCCGGACATCAAATTTCAATAACGCCAACAACTGTTGTTGTGACACATCCAGCAACAACATCATCGTCATCATCATTATTAAAAGCACAACAGCAACATCATGTGCAACAACATTCAGAGCCAAAAAGCAACAATGAAACGATAAATGTTCAAAATCAACAACATCAGCAACGTTCAGCTGTAAAAGTGAATGAAACGTCGCGACCTGATTCACCTGTGAAACAACAGCAGCAACAGCAATCAGTTGGAGATCTCATTAATGCTACAAACAATTCAATTCCTGTTACAGCAACAACAAATGGTACACGACAAGGTTCACCAAATACTCAAGCGCAAGGTGGTGAAGATAGTGGAATTGAATCAATGGATGCACTGTCAGAAAAAAGTCCACATCAAACAAGTCATAGTCCTTTAGCGAGAGATACAAAACGATCAGAAAGTCCACGCGATGACAAGTCAATAAATATGGAAATGGGTGAGATTGAAGCAGCTCTTGCTAAAATGGAAGGAACAGAAATTGTTGATGAGCTTTTAAAAAGCTGTGATAATAAACAAAAGATCAATGGTGATTATACAATAATCATGCATCAACAGAAACATCAACAACAGCAGCAACATGACGTGTTGGGAAGCATGACAAAAGATGAAAATAAGAAGGATGAATGTTGCAATAAAAATAATTTGAATGATGTCAATGATGTGAAGGAACATGAAAAGTTTAAGAATGATGACAATCATCATCATCACCATCATCATCATCAACATGTTATTGAGCTTGATGACGAAAAGAATGCGAATATGAATTCGACAAAGGAAAGTGTTAACTTGAGCGGTACATTAGCAAGTGCTGTCAATAAAGAAGACGATGTTGTTGCTAAAAGTCAACAATTAGAACCGAAGCCATTAAGAACAAATCCACCACTCTACACATATTCATCATCAGATAAAATGCAAAGAGATAGTACAGGAAGTTCATGCAGCGAGTCAGAAAATGGTGTAAAGTCAACATCAAATAATTCAGAGAAGAAATCAGAAATCTTACAACAACTTTCTATTGAAATTCCACAACATACTGACAATGAGAATCGAGTTAGAACGAGAGCGAGTAGTAAGCTTGAAAGTCCTTTAGAAATCACAAGGCAAAGTCCAAATGATTCAACATCAACAGCAACAAGTGCAATGATGAAATCAAGTCAGAAACTTTCAGCAGCTGTCATTGATCGGTTAAGTCCAAAACCAACGACAACCACATCGTCATCGTCTTCAGCAACAACAACGACGACGGGCAAGAATAAAAGAAAACGTCAAGGGTCAGAAAGTTCAACGCAATCGTGTGTAAGTGACGACATGTCGGTACAAAGGAAGAAGACAAGAACATCAGCGAATGCTTCAATTATTCAAATCCAAGATGATTCGATGAGTGGGAAAGCTGGTGGAAAGAAACAACCGGAAAATGCAAAAGTTAATCACACTTCTGTGACTGTTAGTGCGAGTGGTGGTGGTGGAAAGAAGCCTGAAGAGTCGTCAGATAGTGATGAGCCTTTGATTGATATGATTGGTAAGACGAAAGGTCCTCGAAGTTCTTCGTCGAGTAAAAGTCAAACAACATCGCCGACAACTGTTAGTGAAGAAAAAATCTTAAGAAATCACAAAGTTCTCACCATCAACACCAACAATTCATCATCAAATTCAAAATCAGCAAACACATCGCCGACAATTTCATCGTCATCCGTCACTATTACACCTATTGTAACAAATTCATCTTCGAATCTTACGACAACAAGTTCCAGTGGTGGTGGTGGTAAAAATACTTCAACGTTAAAGCCACCAATTGAAGAGAAGATTGGAACAAGACGAAGTGTAAGAATGACAACATCATCACTTGCATCGAATAAAGCTAATGTTAAATCAAGTGTGCTTCATAATGCATCAACATCACTCACTGTAACATCTTCGCAACAGAACACAAGTTATAATAACAATAATAATAATAGTTCGACAGGAAAGCTTGACCAAAATGAGCCAAGAAGAAAGACTAGAAGTGCTGGTGAGTTTTGATTTTATTTTTTTCTTGTTGTCATGAATAATTCATTAATTTTTTTGTTGTTGATTTTATGACTTCAGGTCTTGATAGTCAAGCAGAAGGACGACGTCGACGTGGCTCACGTGATAGTAAGTGACCATTGGTCGGCTGTGTCTCAACAACATCATCGACATCAACAACAAATGGAATGAGTGAGACGCAGTATCATCATCATCATCACCATCATCAACAGTCACAAGATGAAATGCAGGATGATCAGGAATCTTTTTTAAGTGAAAGTCATTTACTAGGTAGCAGTGATTATAGCATAGATGAACTATTTGTATCGTCGGACGATAGCAATTTGGAAATGTCTGTGGTAACTATTTCTTTGTACTAGAAAGAAAGCAAACAACGTTCTGATGGAATCGTATTGAGCAACAGCAGCATGATTACGTATTATCTTCAAGCATTTCATTCGATATGATTTGTTTCTCTTGTTAAAGAATATTTGCGGTGAATATATTAAGAAAAGAAAAGAAAAAAGATTAAATTAATAAATAAAATCACACCTGATCATTGATGAGAGTAAAAGAAATTAATTAAATGAAACTTCTTGAAATGAAACGATGAAAAGTTGGTTAAAATTTCTATATTTATTCATTAAGAATCTGCTGTAAAAAGTGTCTTATCATGATGAAGAAGGAAAGAAGAAAAAAACAGAAAAAAAACAAAAACAAGAATAATAATTTAATAAGTAAATTGATGAGCAAGAGAATGAGAAAATATTAGAAATCCAGGATAAATAATATTTTTCATATCTAATGAAAGAAAGAAAAAACAAAAAGAAAAATAATACACGCATACAAACACACAGATTTTTATTAATTAAATTAGTTTATTGCAATAGGCTTTAAAATCGTTTTCCATCTCATTTCTCTTCTTTTGTTGTCATGCTGTGTTAATTTATTTTCATCATAAAGCAAAAACAAAAATTATCATCAACGTACGAGTAAAAAGTTTGAACTTTCACAAAATTTGTGTCGTTTAAAATTTATTTGATTTGTAAATTAACATTTTTCTTTATCTTCTTGTGCAATCAATAACAAGATGAGATGCGAAATGGGATGGAAACATGGTTTGAAAAGATCAAATTGAGTTCACAAATGAATGAAGAGCAGAACAGAATAGAATGGGCAGATACGAAAATGAAAAATGATATGAGAAGAACGAATGTGTGCTTCTTTCTTTCCCTTAATTCATATTTAGTTAAATGAATATATTATGAGATAAAAGAAAAAAATGAAAATGAAGAAAAAAAACTAATTTAAGAAAAGAAAAAAGTAAATCAACTCTCAAATGGACTGACAGAAACTTTTTTCATGAGAGAAAACATTGAAAATGAAAGTCCACAGAATTTTTGTATATAATTCGTTCGATTTTAGTTGTTTAGCGCCCTCAAAACAACAATTAAAATTAGGTTTTTAAAAAAACAACTAATAATATTAAATTATGTTTCAAGTTTAGCTGAAAGTGAATTTTTTTAGACTTATGATTAGTTACTTCACCTTCACAAGACAAACAAACGCAAACCACACTCACCAGAGTTTTCCTTTCTTTTTTATCTTTATTTTTTTAATTTTATCTTACTATCAGAAATGGAGTAAAATTTAATTTTCTTCTCCTATTCATTTCATGTAAATATTACATTCAAATCCAAGAGAATCTAAAAAAGAAATCATTTAATAAGACTTTTTTAACAATCACAAAATCTTTACAACATGTGGTGTCGTAGTTGAGCAGTAAGTTTGCAGCATGTTTTTGGATATTTTTTCTTCAAAAAATCTTTCTCTCATTTTCATTTTCATTTGATTTTATAAATCGAACAAATTTTTAACATAACGAAAAGAAACCTTTAAATCCTTCGATCAGCCATTATAGTTTAAAAAATTGAATGTTACACGCCTGAAATAAATTATTTATTACTGCTGCTTGAAATCAAAACAAAACAAAAAAAATGAATAAAAAGATCACAAATATTTACTATCTCGTATCCACCCCCGCAAAGGTGTTGTTAGGGGGGAGAAAGTGTTGTGAAAAGAGAAAAGAATAATAATATTGGTGAAGACGACAAACATTTTATTCTTTTTCTGTTATTTCAATTCATTAACGCAGAGAGATAAACACAACAAACATTACACAACACACATTTGTATTTAGTAAAGATTGATTAAAGAAGGAAAAACTAATAAATATGATAAAGGTATATTTAAAAATGAAATTTAATATATTGAAAATGCTATCGTTTAACGTTTAAGTAATGGAGAAAGAGAAACCTTAACAGCTAAACATTCATTTTCTTTTCTTTTTTTGTTTGTTTGCTTTTTTTTGTATCTAAATTTCAAATGTTATTATTTGTCAAGTTGAAAAGAAAAAAACTGAAAAGTCTTTCGCAATGTTGTCGAGTACAAATGAGTTCGTAGAATCTCGTACTTGATGCGACTGAAAATCAAAAGAAAAACGAGGAAAATCAGAAAAAGAAAACTGTTGAGGTAATTTTTCATGAATGTAGAGGAAAAATAAGAAAGGAAAAGAAATTTAAAAAGTGGTGGTAATAGTTTCAATGTATAAATTATTTTGTAATATTTTTTTTTCTTAAATATTAGATTCGATGAAGAAAAAGAAATAAGTTCGATTTTATGTAGATTTTTTTTCTTCTTTTTTTTTCCTTTGACATGTACGATCTAATTTCAAAGAATAAAAGTGAAAAAAAGAGAAAAAAATTATTGTCGCGTTGTCGGTCGTCCCGAAAGGGATTTAAATTGATTAAAAAAATCTAACTCTTCATATTAGTTAATAAGCGCTATTGTTGAAATAATAGAATTATATATCAAGAATACAACAAACAACAAAAAATGAACATTGTGTTTAAAGAACGTTGTTTTATTTTAAAATACACAATCTGGAAAGTAATTATGAAAAATATGTTTGATGGTTTTGTTTTATTTACATTCACATTTAATCTCTCCGCCCTTTTCTGACCCGTTTGCTTCCTCTTCTCAGTGATGTTGCTATCAGCTTGATTTATTTCAGAAACGACAAGAATTTATGCTTCTAAGTCATTTTTTCTTTATTAATTTATATTTTATAGTGAAGAAAAAAGTCTGGGAAAGAAATTTGAGTTATAATGAAGAATTCCTTGCTAGCTATTTTGTTTTAAATTAATTCCGATTGTTCGTTGATTGGACTTGTTAAATCGGGAGCTGATAAATTGAGTTTTGAATTTAGATTATCCAAGACATCATCGAAATCGTCAAGTGATCGAGAAACTCTAAGAAAATTAAAAGAAATTTATTACAATTGGAATCTGATAAGAAACGAATAAGAACTTACCTCGCACTCGAAGGATTCAAACTTATAGGAATAGGAACGGAATCAACAGATGAAGTGGAGTTGTCGTTATGTTGTTTGGGATTGAAATTTCCAACGATTTGTTGATTGAGAACCTCACAGTTACTGCTATTCAACAAATCCAAAGTATTTGCCAATGTCGCTCTTAAATCTCCTCGATGTAATCCAATGACATGCTTTAGTTGTGAGATGTTTTGATTTAAAAGATAAACAGCGTAGAGTAAGACATTTGGTGGTGGAGTTGCACGACAAAACAGTGGAAAACTAAAAGAAAAGTTAAAACCGTGCTGATCGAGTAAATTGAAGTAAAACTTACGTTCGTTCTGCGTCGGCGAGAATCTTAACATTGTCAATGATTCTCGATCGAGATCCTTCATGTTTGATTGGATTTCGAAGGGGAATATTCAAAATTTTGGCGACTATAATCACGACATGCGCTACATATCCTAAAGCTACTGAAACGTCGGTTGGTGTAACAATTGTATTGACATACGATTCAGCATCAGGCAAGTGAATGTTGTTGATTGTGTATTGTCCTCGCGAATTCTTTTTGATCGTGTAAATATCATTCAGTTCCTTCAGAAGACATCGTTTCGTTTCGTTTAAAGCGAGCTTAATGTTGATGAAGACTTCTCTTTGTAAAATTAATTTCTCCAGATGCGTCTTCAGATTTTCCCTGCTTAATGTTCTAAGACTGTTCCAAATTAATGTTTCCTTTTCAGTATTTTCATCTTTCAGCTTTTCTCTTTTATATTCTAAGCTTCTGTTGTATTGACGACTCTTATCACGTTCTTGTGTCAACAATTTTATTCTAAATCTCGCTGCTTCCATTTTCAAGCGAAGGTCGTGAGCTTTCAGAATTATTTCTGGTTTTGGCGGTGCTTGTTGTTGAAGTAAAAGCCGACTTAGTGTTTTTCCCATTCCAGGTTGTTTCTGTGGCTCATAGAACACAGGTTTCCTCATTATTAATTGAAGATTCAAACAAGCAGCACTTTTCGTACAAATCCGGTCAGCCAACAACTTTGAACTTTCATGTTTTTGCTTGATACGTCGTTGAAGGTCTTGAATTTGTAATAACTTGTCAACAGTGTAACTTAGTTGCACTTCATTTTTGGGTAAATCTAGCTTTACATATTTCGTTTTAAAATGTTTAATTTCGTTTATTGCATCGATTACTGTAACTGTTTCATTTTCCATTGAATTGGGATTGCTATCGATAGAATTTGGTGGGGTTGAAATTGATTGCTCAACGTTGTGATGATTATTTGATCCATTTGTAATGCTAACACTAGGACTTGATGAGTATTTATCAGAGTTTTGATCACAGTTTGTTTGCGTTTCTGGAATGGTGTTGAACACTATTTGGTCTGGTGATGTGAAGATTTCGTCGAACAGATGGAAGAGAATCGTGTTATCTTTGAACATTAAATCCTCACGATTCGATATTGACACAAGACCAGAAAAGTAAACTCCCCAGAGAAAGAGCATCTTATCAGCTGATGAGTCATTCGTTAGTTCTGTATGCAACTTTCTTTTGTTATCACGTAGCCACACACGAATGCAAATAAATCTGTGTGAGCTGTTCTGGATCTGATGACAATAAATCTCCGACCATTCCACCTTCTTGCGACATTCTTTTTTCTCACTGGTGTAAAATGGCTTGGAAAATGCGCTCAAATGTAGTGTAAAGTATATTAAAGAATTTTTATCATCACTACAATGAATATTTACTACAGATAATTTTATTAAATTTCTTAAACGTATCTGGGCCGTCACCAGTGGTTCAAAGTCTCTGCACCGTGGACGATTAAACATTTTTCAATTAGAAGCCACCAAGGGCTATTTTTTTTATCTTCAATTTCTTAAAAAATTTTAAACTTTATTATTTTTTTCATATAAAAACAATGGAAAACTCACATAGGTTATGTTTATAAATGATATCAACTTTGTGCAATATTTGGAACAAAAAATTGTACAATTTCCTGATAATTTATTTTGATCTTGGGTTATTCTGAGTAAAAACATGATTGATCATTATGAATAAGATAAAAGTAGTGAAATCTTGCTAAAAAATCAACTTTTATGGATATTTAAATTCTTAGCTCAAAATTATGAATTAACCCCGAAAACGAAAAATTTCAAACACTTTCTTCAACTGAACGCACTTCATAAGAAAAATATTATCAACCCGATAACTCTTTCAAGTTTTTCGTGTTTGGAGGATATTCGACAAGTTTAAAAGGTTTAATTGATATATTTGAAATTATAATTAAGAGCATTGTGTACAAAAGTGTTGAATTGTCAAAAGCTGACATTTTTTCAGTCAAAAGATGATAAGAAAAGAAAGTTTATCAAATTTGCGACTCAGAGATGTTTGAACAATTTTTTTTGTTTCATTTCATTTCACGAGAAATGTATTTTCATCAAACTCATTCATTTTCACAAACGATCTAATATCATTTCAATATTTGAGTAAACAAAAGAGAAATCGATCTCAAATTTCAGTGCCACAGCCTTGCTTTCAATCAACTGGCAGTCACTGCTTAATTGAATTAGAAGTTTTCGCGAGATTTTCATTTTCATCGAAGCGACAGTTGTTGACAAGAGGAAAGTAGGGAAGAAGAAGAAAATATTTTCGTCAATAACGAGTCTCGAGGTTTCTCACACTTTTAATGATTTTTTTTTGTTTTATCGCTCTGAGTCATTTGATAAGCTTATAGATTGTTCATCATATCAAATTCCGTTTATTGCTATTTATGAATGACTTTAACTGACACATTTTGCGTATTTCTCTAATAATATTTCTTTCTTTTTATAGCTCCACCTAAATAAACAATCAACTTTACCTTACCGACTAGAATTTATTTACTCGATTGCATTTTTTCACCTTTCATTCAATCAGACATTCAGCTTTGCGAAGGTGAGTAGCTTTGTGCTGTCAAAGTGAATGTAACAAATGTTTATCATAAACATCATTACAGCTTCACAAAAATAAACAAAGAAAAATGGGAAATTCAAGTACAAAATTGGCGGAAAAATGTTCACTTTTGAATAAAAATGAAGTTCCAGTGGTGGCGAGTTCTTTTAAGCTTGTGAGTAAAAACTCGGAACGAATCAAGGAAGATGAGTTGAAGAAGTTTTGGGGCACACAAATGGATCCACGTTTGAGTCAATACATAACGAATTTTCTTTTCGGTCCTTTGGGTAATCGAAATCCCGTCGTGGAGTTTCAGAGATTTGCTGAATTGTATGTTTATTGTGTACGTGGGACAGTTGATGAAAGAATAACTGTTTTGATGGCTAGTTTGGGACAAAGCGAACAAGAAACGGCAGAAATTGCATATCCATTGATAAAAGAGGTGGGAACGGTGAACGTTAATTGAATTTTAATGAATTATACCGTTGAAAATTATTTTAGTATGTTGAAGCAGTTGTCAGTAGTTACATGAGAGCTTTGCGCCTTGAAGCGGGTCCACAATATAAATCATGGGAAGCAAGAGGCTTTCGTATTGTTAAGGATTGCGTTCAAAAGCTTGCAGAAAGTTTGGCTTATGATGTTGTGACGCAAGGAACACAGAAAGTGACACGAATTGATGCTGAGCGATGGTTACAAAAAAATCCCGTCTTCCTTCGGATGCTTGAGCATGTTTTTCTACATTTATATCATTATCGAGCTGTTAAAAATACCAGCGAAGATAAGAACAGAGATCGAAATGATGAAAGTGGCGGCTCCGGACAAGGAAGTGGCAAAATCAGACCTTTCTGTATCGAGAATTCTCTTCTTCCAACATGCGAGAACATTCATTACATCCCAGACTATCCAGCATTTATTGACATCTCACAGATTCTCTTCATAAATTCACAACTTCCAGCTGAATATCAATCGAAATGGCGATTTTTGTTTTCATCTCAAATCCACGGTGAAAGTTTTTCAACATTCATTGGACGAATTATGGACCAAGGATCGACGGTTATCATTGTTGAAGATACAAATGGTTACATTTTCGGAGGATTTGCCACAGAATCTTGGGCTCTTAGTCCAAATTTCACTGGCAACGATTCATCATTTCTTTTCACATTACGACCACGAATGAGATCTTTTCCCGGTACAACTTACAATGATCATTATCAGTACTTAAATCTTCATCAACAAACGATGCCGAATGGCCTTGGCATTGGTGGACAGTTCGAATATTGGGGACTTTGGCTTGACAGTGAATATGGAATTGGCGAATGTTCGGAATCTTGCACAACTTACAAGAATTACATTCAGTTAAGTGCAACAAAGAACTTTAAAATCAGAAATGTTGAAGTTTGGGGTGTTGGAGATAAACCAGTGAAAGAAGATGAAGTAAGTTTTATTAAATTTTTTAATGATTATTTTGTTAATAAATGTTTAATTTAGGAGGATGAAGGTCAATCATCGGGATCAATATTAGACAAAGACATGGAATCAAAAGCAATTCTAAAGATAGCTGGACGTGATCTTCATTCAGATGGATATCGAGAAATGAACCCGCATGAATGAGATAACTGGATACTCAACGACGAATTTACACTTGATCTGAAATTGGACATATGAAGTCATAGTGAACGTTTCTTAGTCGGCAGCAATAGTGTGCAGCTGATAAAGTTCATTGATGGACTCTCAGACAACAAGAGAAAGTGAAATTCGTCGCGTTGAGTATAAAATTCATTTATACATTCAATCAATCATTCATTCATTGCATGCTTTTTGTACAATATAAACAAAACAGAAAAAAAAGAGAAATCTCGAAAGTCATGCCGCCACCTACACAGTACTTTAGCTTAATGTTGTTACTTGTTGATTACTCTTACTCTACAAATTAATATTTATTGATGTTAGCGTTAAATGCTTCAGTTCATGGGTTGCATTTAGTGAAGATGCCATTTTAAATGTGATTATTATCAAGATTATTATAATGAAATGTATTTAAAATACCTTAAATCTACCTAATCATGTGTGTTTAGATGCATTTGAAAGAATGTTATCAAATGCCAGGATAAAAAATAATCATGTAGCTAATTATATGAAACAAAATGCACAATTTTCTATGGGGACAACAAATGATTAGAAATGAATTTAGAAAGTAGACCAATTTTGTTTTAATTATTTATTTGATTAATAAACTTAATATGTAAATGAAATTGGTATGAAAAATAATAACTTGTAAGATTATTGTGACATCTTCTGATATTACCATTCACAACTTTAATTTAAAATTATGACAAGTAACGAATGAAAAACTTAGAGCGCAATTTCTGTTGGTGAACATGTTATTGATTGAGATGATTTTAAAGAATTTGAGTTATTACATTATGCATAAGGAAATAAAAATATATAAATTACTTAGAAATGTTTCATGATACCATTTTAATTTATAAACCAATTAATACAATTGACGTTGATAGAAATTAATTTCTAGAATTTCTTGAACATTTTCAGCAGAAATTAAAAACATGCTTCAATTGTTGAATGATTTTTCTTGTTGACATCTAACTCCAGATATTTTTAAAATCTCGGAAAAATGTCTTGAAGCACAAATTCATTTTTAAAGCCGTTATGTAAGGAAGAATATAATTACTAAATTCCTCTTAAAGAATCGAAACTATAAAACAGCAAAGCTTCACCAGTCCTTTTGATTCAATGAAGCGGAGATAAGCTTTCCAAACATGTAGTTACGAGCTTTTGAACTTATTTTACGATCATAGTGCGCAAAGAATTTACATTCCTTTCGTTCATTTAATATTTATGGAAATAGGGTGAACTTAGACGGTGTAACAGCAGTTTTCTAGTGATGGCAATAAAAAAACATTAAAAATGAACAAATGGAACAGAAATGTTGATGAGTAGATATTTAGCAACGGTTCAAAAATATTTAAAAACCAGATACGTGAGAATGAAAAGTAAACGAAGTGATTATTTTCTGAACAGCTACAAGCATTTTCATTTCGCGCATGTCGGGAAAAGCTTGGTGAAAAATTTCATTTCTCGGGATCAGATACAATTTTATTATTTTGACCTCAGCAAAGTGATTGAAAGTGTTATCAACTCATTTGTTAATTTCTAAACAATCTAATGATATCTAGTAATTGCAAATCCATCAACTTGAAACTGAAAATTACTCGGAAAAACTCATGTAATCAGATTGTGGAAAATTTTTCAAGAACTTCTTTTTCACGATTACATTTTTTTCCATAATCTTACAGTTGTGATAAGAAAATTGTTTTGTAAATGAAAATCTCGGTGATAAGGTGCGAAAATTTGCAGTAAAACTATCGCTTCATGTTGTATAGTAAACGAGAAATGATTTCATTGAATACTTTTCCAATAAGAAAAAGGTGAAAAGCACGAAATTCATATTAAAAAGTAAACCTTAACAAGTGTTTGCACGAAAAAAAAGTAGAAGTGAAGAATGGTGAATATTTCCTCGTGCGCCTCCATATTTCCTTCCTTCTCTGACTCTGATTTTAATTCTCGTTAATTTAATCGAAGAAAATTATTTTATGCATTTGAATGTGATAGTGGATATTTTAAAGTGATCTTTTTTGGGATCTTTCTTAATAGATGATAATACACGAAGTGATGTTCTCGCGCGTACAAAAGTTTGAGAAAGAGAATTGAAAAGAAAAAAAAAAAAGAATTAATAAACTTTTTTGATTAGTAAATGTTGAGACTGTCTCCATATAGCACTGATTTGCGAAGCTCTACAGCAAGAGTTTTCTTTGCTTTTGTAATTGTTTTGCGTGTCTTTCTTTCTTCTTTTCGTCATCATAGAGAAGTGATGGACTGGAAAATATTTTCTTTAATTTATTTTTATCATAGCATCATTTATTCGAAGAAATTAAGTGACACTTGATACTCGTTCAATAGACGAGTAATTTTAAATGTATTTTCCTTCTTGTGAATAATTAATTAAAATATTAGTGTTGAAGCAAATGAGACAATTTAAAAAAAATGTGAAAATTGAGTGTGAAAGTTCTCTGAAAATTCTTTGACACAAACGAAAGAATTCCATTCTGGTGCCAAATGAAAGTGAAAAATTTTTAAGAATAATCCCAAGTATCATCACTCAAAATATTTTTGAACAAATGGAAAATGTTCTACAAAGTTCTTTGTGTTGAAATTTTATAACAACAAAAAGGAATATTGTGTCTTTGTTCTGAGCGCAATTCGAGCATCTGTTTAATTGATTTTCACTTTCATTTGTGTTGTTTGGGAAAATATCGAGACAGAAAGCACTGATAACATGAAATATAAATTTTCCACGCAAATAAAAGGGAATGATAACAAACCCTGTTGACAACGTCTATAAAACTTAAAACAATAACAACTGTTAGCAAGTTTATCACATGAAATCATATATAATGCAAAGTGGATTTGTTTTTTTATTTACTTTTATTTCCACATATTCAACCATTAAAACTCAACATTATTTTTCACTCTTCCGTCTCATACATTAGAGTCTATCAGCAGAATCGTATTTCACTTCATCGTTCAATGAATTAATCGCGACCGATTGAGAAAAATAAATATTTGATTAACATGTTGATGTGATGATTGATAAAAGCTACCGTAAAGTGAAATTATATCCCTGACGTAGGACATGTGTAAAGTGGAAACTTATAAGTGAGAGTTTCAGCCAATAGCAACAGGTATTCTTACCAGCACTGAATAGCAAAAATCAATTCTAAAGTCGCTCTAAGAGACCTAAATAAGATAAAAAGTAGTGAAGGCGACGAGAGAATCTCATAAATATGGGAAATTATTGTAGCTCCAGTCAAAAGAAGGACAAAGACAACGTATCTGAGAAATCTGAAGAGTGAGTGTCTACCGTTTCTTATTTCTTTTTTAACTCAGATATTTTTAGTATTCTTTTCCCTCATAAATAAATGCTTAAAACTGTTCAAGTCATGACTTAAGTCAAGACGTTTTTTTATAACATATTTTCATATTTTTGATTCGCTTTTCATTTCATTTTCATATCATAAAGATTGTTTTTAATTTTCTTCTTTTAAAAAAAATCTGATTCTATTTTCATCGACGATTTATTGTGAAAATACTTTAAGTTTTTCACGTAGAAACATTTTCCATGTTTCACTTTTTACTTTGTGTAGAAAAGAAAAAGTCGATTTAACGAATGAGTAGTTTAAAGACACTACAAATGGTTGGCATAACAATTTGATATTTATAATCGAATTTTTCATCACAAAACGACTGTCTCATCTTTTATGCATCGTTGAAACTTTATTAATACTCAAAACCTTTGATCTTGACAATAATTCACGCATTAGATAATTTTTAAATGGAAAAACTGTCTCCATCAATAATAAATAACAGCAAGGGAAATTTCATGCATGATAATCCAAATTAAAATAACTCACTTTTAACGAAACATTTTATTTATGACTTGCTGGCAGCCCACTTGCTTCGGTAACTTTAATCTCTGGAAAAATTATTTAATTTTCTGCACTGCATTAAATATGAAAACGACGCTTCTTCGTCTCTCAAATATTTAATGAGACTCATTAAAATTACTAAGTAGTGGAAACGATTTAAATAAAATCTTCCCTCAAATATTATCTTCTTTGAAGAGAAGAAAGGAAGAAAGTTATCATGAGAAAACGTAGAGAAATGTAATTTCAATGGTAATTGAACCAAATAATCATCAAATTGAGTTGATATGTATACACGACGAAACTTGTTAGACATGTGTAAATAAATGAAAACATGTTCAATTCAATTTGTATTCTCTGCTTCTTAAGTGCACTTCATACTTTTAATACCAGCCGTGCTGCTATGCCTTACGTTTGCTGGTATTTAATATTCGTGATCTGAGTGTAAACATGAAAATTGTTTTCACATTTAACGTTTCAGTATTTTTTTGCACAAATTTTCAACTAAACATTTTGAAGTCGATTTTAATCCGAATCACGTTAAGTATTCCGTTTGAGTAGAAATGCTTACAATGTATTCCTAATTACGCATTAGAATGCCAAAGAACAACAATAACAAACATCTACAAAAGTTAAATATCCGCAAGTTGGGATAACACGAACAAAATCAAGATTACTCAAAATGATATTTACAAATTTTCGCGGTATGTTTAAACATGAAAAATGTATATGAATCTAATGCTTTGACGTCATAGCGGTGAGACGTAGCGACCGATGTTTTCTTTCTTTTCTCCTTTTGAAACGAAACGTTCAATTTGGAAAATATTTTATTACGAGTGAACTTCCGCCTGCTTTTTATTACACCACATTACTTCAATGTATTTTTCCTTCTCTCTCTTTACATTTTATGAAGCGAGAAATATTTTGGAAGACGATGTGATGACAGTCAACTAAGCTTTTGCTTATTTATTAATTTTTTTTGAATGTTGAAAAGAAAAATATTTATCGAGGTCGACTGAATATAATTTTTTAGAAATTGAATTTTTCATTTTCATGGAAATATTATTTAATCATTTAGATCCCCTGCATACCATCTCGCGGACAAGACAAATGATTCTAAAGAGCCACCTTTGGCGCAACCTGAAATTTCTGATACAAATGGTGTTATTAAAGCCAATGACTTGTGTGCTCATTCAGCACCATTGACTTCGACTAATCATTCAGCTGATTCAGAGAGTCCAATGTGTGTTTCACCTCCAAGTGATATTTCCACACTTTTGAATCTTCCACAAAATTTAACGCCACTTTATGGTCGACCGACGGTTAGTCGCAGAATCGAAAAAGACAAGAAAATCGTTCTGTATGTGTTGGCAGCTGATGACAGTTATCAGATTGAAAAGACGATTTTACTGAAGCTTCAGATATTACTACAAGACAAGTACAGTCACAAGGGCTTCGAGATTCACGTATCAGATCTTCATGTGCCCGAGAACTACAGCAAATCCAATAGATTTGATCTGGAAAATTGGCTTGACGGGCCACTTGAAGCTCAATGTGGCCACCACTTAGCAGCTAATTGTTTAGCTGAAATAACAAGTAATTAAAATTAATTGAATGTCTTTTAGGAAGTTAATTAACTAATCTATTTCGTGCTTTAGGACATTCAACCGATTCCTACGTTATTCCATTGCTGTTCCTTAATTCATCACTCGGCGACCCATTATTGCCTCTAACCATTGAAAATCAAGACTTTGCCAATGCAATATCCGCTGCTGACAATTGCGGAAAATTACTTTTGGAGAAATGGTATACACTTGACGAGAAGTCACAGCCATCTTGTTATCGTTTGAAATCGATTAAAGTTGAGAAGGAAAGCATTAAAAGTATCGATGAAGAATTGAATTCATTGCTGGTCAATTTGGTTGAAATCTTCTCGAAGGAATTACGTGACTCATATTTGATGACTGTTGTGGAGCAAGAAGTCAACAACACAGTTTTAATAAGTCAAGAACTTTCAAAACGATGCATTTGGATGCAAAACACTGGGATTCAAGTTAAAACAGATGAGAATTCTTCAGCTAGTGATGCTGAAATGAATCGACGACTGTCAAACATTCAGAATGAGTTGAAGGTAAATAAAATAAATTTTCTTTCAATTAAACAATCTTCATGAAGATTTCTTTCGAACAGCTGCAACTTGCTGAGAAACACATCATCAAAATGCCAGTCGTTTCCTCACAACAACAAGAACAATTTTCAACTGTTTTGGAAGCTGCGCTTTCAGCAGAAATTGATTCAATCATTGAAGAGCACTCAAGCAAATTTCAAATTCCTTTCTGTACATTTGGCGTTGATCGTCGTTTGTTGAGTGAAATTGAAGAAGTTAATCGTCATTCGCAAACTTTAAACCAGAATTGTGCGAATTTTACGATTATTGATCAAATTAAATCATATTTGACTGGGAATTCAACTTCGCCTCTTGTTGTACATGGCAAAAGTGGATGTGGAAAAAGTGTTTTATCTGCAAAGATTGCACAAAATATTCACACATGGATACCTGAATGTAGTTTCATTTTAAGGTGCGTGGGTGGAATAGTAGCAAAATATTTTAAGTAGCTAAATTTTGATTATTATTCAGATATGCAAACTTAACGACATTGAGCAGTGACTTGACATCAATCTTAGGTTCAATTACAGAACAAGTCTCAGTTCTTCTCAAGACACCATCGAACAGAAGCGATCATGTAAGTCATAAATATCCTTGAATTTAAATCAAAATTCTCATCATTTTATTTGTTAACTTCCAGACAATCGAATCATACACGAAAGAATTGAAGCATTTAATAGAGAAATCAGAACATCAAATTGTAATTCTGATTGATTCAGTTGACAAAGTTTTCGACATAAAAGACATAAATTGGCTGCCATTACAATTGGTCAACAATGTTAAAATCATTTTGACAATTTCTGACTCTGATTCATCGTTTGTTTACAAAGCAATACAGAAGAAAATCGATTGTAAGAATTTTCTTTTGTTGTCGTCTTTCACTCAAGAGCAGTGGGAAGATGTGTTGACTTATGGTGGTGGAGCGACTAATGGAGCATTGCAACTTCCAGATTCATGGAAGAAATCAGATGAACGTGCACCAATTCAAGCAAAAGTAAAACGATTTTTTTTCTAACTTACTTAATATTAAATTTCTTTCATTTTCAAAAGATTCTTTGGTGGCTTGCATGGCTTGGACAAAGGAAATTGGAAAACTTAACAATTTCATACATAAGTGAAAAAGTTTTCGAAATACTTGAAAATAAATTTGGCGTGACACAAGTTAAATATCTAATAACACTTATTAATGTGTCTCGTGATGGCTTATTGGAAACAGAAATTGTTGACTTACTAGAAAGTTCAAAACTCGTAAATGGTAAGAAATAAAAATCATTAGAAAAGTTTTTGAAAAATTTTCATGAATTTTCCTTTTTTATTTGCCAGGATCTGTTGCAAAACTTTGGACCAATTTTTGTTGGGTGATGGGTCCACTTCTAATTCATAACAAAAACATTAAATTGATGGATTCAGTTATTTGTTCAGTTGCAGAAAAACGTTATGGATCAGAAATAGAAAAAGCTCACAAAACTTTGTTTGATCTTTTTGTTAAGCAACCTGACTTTTACTTTGACAAGAAGAAGAAAGAGAAATGGTGAGTCTTTGACCTTATTCAAAGATAATTATTATGATTTTGTGACGTTCATTGAAGTCATCTAGTCTTGTGACATTGTCTAATAATATTATTTGTTATCGCTATGATAAGGTGAAAGCTCATTGAGTTAAGCTCGCTAAGTTAAAACGTCACGAAAGCGATTTTCATTTACTTCTCGTTCTATTTTATATTCAAGCTCTTGATCAATGATTCCGATAAAAGAAATTAAAATTTAATTAATTCTTTCTTAGAAAACTAATCAACTTTCATAAATGTTTCTTTTCATGCAGTTATAACATCAGAAAGTTCATCGAATTGCCCTTCCACTCATTCAAAATCGATAAGACAGAATTTGAAACGTCTTCTTACTTGACAAACTTAACATGGCTTCAAAACAAAATCAACTCCACCGGTTGTGTTCAACTATTACTTGATATCTATCTAATAAATCCACCGAAATCATCAGAAACTAAACCAAACTCACCTGTTGCTAGTAAACTCAGTGATCATCTTGAATTTACAATTAAATTTCTTCAACTTCATTTCAAATCTCTCAATTACGATGCACAACAAATTTATTCCCTCCTTTTAACTTTCATCACACAAGAATCATCAAAAAGAAATGAAATCAAAGAAAATTCCATCATACAAAGTTGGAAGAAGGAGATCGAACAGCAAAATATTTTAAGACTTGAAAGAATTCAAACAGCTGATGATGACGAAAGTGATCAAAGTCATGACAGTGATTCCAATAAAAATGGCTACGATTCTTTAATTAACAGTAATCATGATGAAAATTTCATCATTTCACTCAGCACAGAACGTGAAGAAATTTGCGTGTGGAATGTTCTCAAGTAAATCTCCTTAAAGGATCATAAAATGTCATTAATTAATAACTTTTAATTCTTGTGACAGATGTGCAAAGATACGAACATTAAAAGGCGTACCACAACCTTCTTCAGTATGTCCTGTTGGAGATTTTGATCTTGCCGTTTTATGTAAAAGAGAAATTCGTGTTTTGGATTTAAATGAAGGGAAATTCAAGGTAAGAAAAGTTATTTAAGAGAAAATATTAAATTAGGAGAAATTTATTTCCACTTCAACAGGTGACATTAAAAGGTGTAATGAATCAAAAAATGCCGTACTTTGGATTGCACGACGCACATCACTTAGTCTGTTTATCGCGCAATCGAATGTACGTTAACCTCATGAACTTAGAGTCAGGAGATTGCGTGACGACGTTCAAAGCAGGTGAAGACAGATTCTTGAACTCATTACTTGTGTCAGGTGATGGAAGGTGAGTTGTGTCGAGTGAAATAAAAACAAAAGCAAAGTTTCTTTTTTATCCTTGATTAGAATTCTTGTCTGTGGTGATGAGACACAAAAACCGTTTCCATTACTCGTATGGCATTTGACTCAACGGAAATTATTGTACGACTTAAGAATTCCACATCATGACGTAAGTTGAAGGTTTTAATGAATTCTTAATTAAATTAAAGTTTATTTTTTCTAATCTACAGTTTATCACATCACTTTCTGCAATTACACATGAAGGCTCATACGTTTGTGTTGTTGCGAAAGAATTGGCAGAACCATCGCCAAACTTTATTGTTGTTTATGATCTTCAAAGTGGGACATTATTCAAAAAGTGGAAGCCGTCATGCAACACTGTTTCCTTAGCTATTTCTCAAGCTAACACTTGCGTCATTGCAGGCCTTGAAGATGCGAGAATATTAATATGGGACTTGGTGACGGGGAATTGTCGTTGTTCTCTCACAGGTAAGAAAATTAATCAAAATCACAATAATTATTTCATTATTATTGTTCATTAGGTCATAGTGCGCCAGTAACACTTTTAAAGTTAGATCCACTTGGGAAAATTTTACTTTCTGGAGATATCGAGGGACGTGATCGATCAATCAGATTGTGGGACTTGAGTACAGGTAAATTCAAAGCTTTGATTGAATGAAAGAATCTTCAACAATTCTTCACCTTCAGGCACATCATTGGCGGTTTATACGCCACAAAAGCAAATAACCGCTTGCGAGCTTACTTCAAATGGCAAACATATTGCTTTGGCATTAAAGAATTCACCGAAACTTGTAACTTTGGTATTGAAAGGTGGCGATTATAAGAAGCAAGATGACGACCAGAATATAATTTATGGACAAGAAGATAATGAAGGAAAAGTTTTCGATTTAAAAGAGTAAAGTTTAACAACATTTGTTACCATTCATTTCTAGTCAATATCATAGTAATAAACTTCAATTTCAAGCATGTTTAATTGCCGAAATTAAAACATAAAAGAAATTTGTTCAGCGAGAACTCTTCAAATTAATTAAATGTAGTAGATAGGAAATTTTATCGCTCAAAATTATCGCACTAATTCGATTGTCATCAGCAAGCATAAAAATTTTTATTTCTATCGATGATAATCTTCATCTAAGTAATTAATTTCATTTAAGTAATTAAAGAAATTGCATTTATGTAACAAAGGAAAACAAATAATTTACAAAACAGTAGCTTTAAGCAGGGAAAATATAAAATTTCATGGAAAACTGAAAAGCTTTTCTAAAAGCTTCAAAGCTCTGACACAAACTTACATCATACCAAAAAATGATATAAAAAGATAAAAAAAATTAAATAGAATTTCAGTCATCGAGGGTATAATGAATGTGTTAAAAATAAAATAATTAATATTTATTTTAGGAATCAAATTGGCTAATTAAAAATTCAAATTATTCTATTAGGTAATAAAAAACATTTGTTTCTAATAAAAGCAAAATAAAAAAACTTTCATATAAGTAAAGAAAGACGAGAATAATTGTAACTCGCACATTTGGATTGTATTTGATTCGTTACTTTAAATATTTAAGAGATGGAAACAATTGGAATCTAGACGGTAATTTAGTTAAGAGTCTTAAGAGCCAGAAATAGCTTTAGAGCTTGACCATTATCAATTTTTAATATTTAACTACATGATGAGGTGAAGAAAGATATAAAAAAATGTTTTAGCCAAAACAAAAGCAAACAAAGAGTGTCTCCCTTGCAACTTACAAATGGAACATTAGTGTACGACTAAACTTATTAGAAACCTCATCTGGCATGAGATCATCATTATAGGCTGGAACCTATTATCATTATTATCAATTATAATTAATTTTCATTTCCTTTTCTTAAAATATTTCATTTCAAACTTTTGTGTTTCTCAATTTCATGTGTAAGAAGTCTATGTGTGTAGAAAAGTAATAAAGTTCTTAATGTCAAAGATGTTTAAAGCGAATAAATTTCAAATGAAAATATATGAAAACAAAAAACTCAAAATAATTTCCCATTAGTCGAAGAGAAAAACAAACAAAAATTATTCTTCATAAAAATAAAATTAAAATTGTAATTTAAAGGAAATTAAAAATTGATTTAATAAATGTGTAACTTATGAATCGCATAAATAAAAAGAAATCAACAAGACATAATTCAAAAGAATATTTCTTATCGTTTTACTTGTTGCACGCGTCAAAACATTTTCCATTTCAGACAAAGCACGTGAAAGCTTGCGAGAATTTTGTGAGAAAATTTTGTTATGAATTGAGAGAAGTTTTGCAAAAATTGGAAATTTATGAGAATATCTCACGGCATTTGAAAGCTCTCCGGTCCTTTCTGAGATAAGCTCCAAAAGTGCTATGTGGAGTTCATAACCACATAAAAAATTATCCTAAAAGCTTTTGAAAGTTCCAACAAAACTCGTTTTTTTAAAAAAGCCTTTTAATAAACTTTTAAAGCATTAAAAGCTTCTCAAAGCTACTTTGTAATAAATTGAAGATAATTGATGTAAATAGAATTTTATTGTGATTCATCCTAGACAGAAAGCTCCATAAAACCCTCGTCACACCTCAAGACGAAGCGCAGAAGTGGAACATCATTCGAGATAAAATTGACTCGCATACAAAATCTGTGCTGCACAATAAAATTCAATTTAGTCGAGTTAAATCATCGTTCACAGCGCTGTCAATTATGTTATTCAATTACTAAAGTGGAAGAGATTATGAAAATTGTTAAAGTTTAAAGATACTAGCAAAATTTGTGACGAAAAACGATGAAACATCTCCAACTTTTCTGGGTTGTCTTGTTTTCAGCCATTTTTTTCAAAGAGGTGAGTTTTGTGGGTGGTCGAGTGGAGTGGGGATGAGATGAAAATCGACTTTGTTTACCTTCTCTTTCCTCAGCTGATCTTGCTCTCTGATTTCAGCTGATCACCTCACACCATCGAATTTTCTTGCACATGGTTTTGAAGGTGGCAAGTTTCGGTGGAGTGTGGGTGGAGAGAATATTTGAGAAGAAAGAAATTTCTACACATTTTTGTTATCTTTTCTCTTTGTGAATGGAAATTTTCTTTGTTCGACATAGGATTAAGTATTCCCACAACACAAAACGTAACTGAAGATCCAGATGAAGACTTCGATGAAGACGACGACTCTGCTGAAGCTGATGATGATGGTCGTGTTTATAAAAATCCTAGAAATCATCCATCACCTGACTGCCCTCGAGATGAAGAACAAGCAACCTTGCTAGGTATTTCACTCAATATTTTACATTTAAATTAATTAAAAAACTTTTCTTTTTAGGTCAAAAATGTTTAAGAAAATGTTCGTCAGACGAAGATTGTAAAAGCAAAAAGAAGAAGTGTTTATGTGATGGAGCATGTGGAATGAGTTGCATAAAGCCAGACCGTGAGTGTCCCGAATTGCAACATCCATCACTTGGAACTGTTGTAATGTCAGGCAGAACCTTTGGTTCGAGAGCAAGTTACACATGTAATCATGGATATCATGTCGTTGGCTTACAAAGTCGAATATGTCAAGCTTATGGTGAGATCAAATATTAAATTGAATTTAATTCATGAATGAATCATGATGAGTGATAATAATTGAAATTCAAGGTCATTGGAGTGGATCGGAACCAGCATGTAAACAAAATATTTACTGCTTAGCACCACCAACGATTGAACATGCGCGACATTCTGCTTTACCCGAGCAAGCAACATTTGATTTAGATTCGACTGTTCAATATCATTGTCACACTGGTTATGCAACTGCAGGGTTTCCACGTGCTAAATGTTTAGCAATTGATGGGCAAGCGAGTTGGTAAATTTAATATCCAATCAAGTGATTAAAAGAATGTTTGATAATGAAAAGTTTAATTAAAGGTATGGTCCCGATATCTCATGTGAACCTCGATCTTGTGGACAACCAGCTGACCCCGCTCATGGATGGCATGCTGGAGAATGTTACACATTTGGTTGTCGTATCACATATCATTGTGGTGATGGCTATGAGCTTGTTGGAAAGCAAGCTGCTGATTGTCAAGCCGATGGTGCTTGGTCACCAAAAGAACTTCCAACGTGTGTTTGTAAGTAAAGAAAAACATGAAAACAAATTCTAATATTCGCATAAACCTAATTTGAGTTTCTTTTTATTTTCATCATCTTCAAAAAGCATTAACCTAAGTAAACATATTAACAGCAATATTGTTTATCGATGATACCGTAGAAATTTGAGATTTAATGTTATTGATGTGTAGTTCGTTCATTCATTGTATGATGCTTTCAAAATTGTTCAATAAATTAGTTATCGCAATGGTGGTTGTTTTGTTTTATTTATCTTTCATTCTTTCTATTTTTCATTTTATGGTGACTCATTTTATGATTGCGGTAACTAATTTTAATCTTTCAGAAATCTTTTTCTTTCATGATTTGTGAATCTTAAACCAAGAAAACAAAAATTCTTCTGACATTTCAGTGGTGACAGCAGTTCAATGTCCATTGCCAGATAATCCGAAGAATGGAAAAGCAATTTACACGAGCGTGTCATATAATTCAGTTGTAAGCTATGAATGTCGTTATGGTTACACGCTCGTTGGCGAAAGTTCAAGGAGATGTGGTGCTGATAAGAAATGGTCAGGAAGTTTGCCAGTGTGTAAAGAAATCAATTGTGGACATCCTGGAACATTGTACAATGGTTGGTTGGAAAATACTGAAGGAGGTTTTGGGCTTGGTGCTAGCATCATCTTCAGATGTCAAAGTGAAATGTTGCTTGTTGGAAATGCATCGACCGTTTGTCAAATCGATGGTCGTTGGAGATATCCATTGCCAATGTGCTTGGCACCTTGTGTTGTTCCAACAGTTTCTCAAGGAATTGTTGTTCCCATCGAGGTGAACTTTCATTAATTTCCTTCCTTCTTTTATTTTAATTTTCTTGAACATTTTTAAGGTTGAAATTCAAGATTCGAATGTTACAACAGTTCCATCAATTCAAATGGGAATTGGAAGTACGAAAGTTCGTCATGGAACAATTCTCGAAGTAATTTGTGATGAACATTACGAGTTTCCATTCACAACATTAGCACCACCCACATGTAACAATGGCACATGGAGTACAATTCCACGTTGTGTCCCAGCACGATGCAAAACACTTCCAAAGCCACCGAAGTTCGGAATGGTCATCTCACCAAAAACTGAACACGGAATGAAAGCTCGATTTAAATGCAAAGATGGATGGCAACTGGCAACACCATCTGGTCAACAAATCACTGACCAAAATGAAAATGTTTTGACATGTTCGTTTGGTAATTGGACTGGAGAGACTCCAATTTGTCAAGAAGGTAATCAATTGAAGTTTCTTTAAGAAGCTTTCAAGATTTTTAAGAAAAGATTCTGTTTCAGTTTATTGTCAATTTCCTGGTTACATTCCAAATGGAAAAGTTTTGCTTGTTGGCAACATGGGTCTGTACGATTATCGACCTTATGTGAAGAAAGTTATAAACAACAAGCAAATCATGTATGATTGTGACAAGGGTTATGTACTTGAGAATGGTCCGATAAGTGTGAGTTAAAGATGTGAAAGGAAAAATTTTAGATTTCATTGGAATTCTGTTTTAGTCAGGTGCAACTTGTATTGGTGGCAAATGGTCACCATCTGAACTTCCAGAATGTCTTCCAGGACAACATCCACGACTCAGATGGAATCGTAAGAAACGTTCAGTCGACTTAAGATATGCAAGAGGAAAATTTTTACTAAATCATTATCGGAATATAAAACGAAAGCATTTTGATCATCACGCAGTTGAAGATTTTGTGAAAGTTGCTTCAAAGCGTGAAAAACGTGACATTGAAAGTTATCGCGGTCGTCCAATGCGGAAAGTTCCAGCATCGAAAGTTTTCAGCATTCGTCAGATTCCCACAGAGATGAGAAATTCAAGGAAACGAAGAAGTGTCAACAAACGTGAAAGTCGAGATTACAGCGAGATTGATCGAGCTTATTCAAAGTATTATGAGAAGATCAAAGCGAGGTATCGAAACTACGTTAAGAATCTCTTTCCAAGTCCAAAAATAAGAAGTCAAACATATAACAATAGTTATCCAACTCAACCTTTGGACGAAGTGAAGAACACGAGAAAGATTCAAGTTCAAGACGGGCGATGGTACAATTCGTACAACAATCCAGAATTTCGATATCGTGCAACACACAAAGCAAAAGGCTACAATAATGACTTGCAAAATGAAGAGTTTGATAGTGGCTTGGGTCCACCAGTTGCACTTCCAAGCATCAACGATCCGACAATGTCAAATCGTTTTGATATTCAAAGAAATGAAAATGTTTCCAATTATTATCCGCCATATCCTCATAACAATGAACGACATTATGGTGTTGAAGAATCTTACGAACCTTTAAGAAAAATCAACACAACTGACATTGCTGCAAATATTTACGCACAACTTCAATCACAAATTGTTAGACGACGAAAACGTGACACTGAAGATGAAACTAAAAGTAAAGTTTTTGAATTGTTTTCAGCATTTTATTGACATTTTCTTTCTCTTCAAGGTGATGACGATCTTCCCCCTGAGACTGCAAATGGAAAAAGAAAAGAAAAGTTCCGTGGACCTTGCGAACCACTCATCAACGTTGATCACTTGCAAATTGAAGTTGTGAAGCCGGCAAAGGTTCAAAATGAATCTTTTGGACATGGAATGGTGTTGAAAGTGACTTGCAATGCTGGCTATGCTTCTAATATTCAAACTGTTAATTCAACTGTACGTTGCAACAAAGGAGTTTGGAAGCCTTTAAAACCACTCTGCACTTTAAGTAAGAAACATTTCATTGAAATGAAAACTTTTAATTAATTCGAAAGCAGTTAGCGTTTCAGAGCCTTGTTTTGTGCCATCACTTGAACATGGAAAGTATTCTGGAATGCCATCATCAGCCGATCCTTTAGAGGATCAAATAAAGCCAATAACAAATCCTTTAACACCAATGGATAGAATCGATAATGGATTAACAATTTCGTTCCATTGCGACACTGGTTACAACATTCAAGGGACAAGCGACTTAAAATGTATTGACGGCAATTGGTCATCGTTAGTTCTTCCTGAATGTCTTCCAGCTCCATGCGTATTGCCCCAAGTCATGCATGCGAGTTATCAAGGCGGTTATCGAGCTGGCTTAACAGTTGCACATGGATCACATGTGATGGTTCAATGCGAGAATGTTCTACCAGATCCCGTCCCACCACCAGTACAAATGGATTGTGCATTAGGTGCTTTAACACCACAAACCATCAGCTGTAGTTTCTCGGCTTCACGACAATCACGAGATGATGCTGATCATTCCAACATGATCACTGACGAAGGCAACATTACGACATCAGGAGAAGAAAATGATTGTGGACCGCCATCAAGAGAGTTGATGATGTTGATTTACAAGAACGATGCTTCGAAAGAAGATTCAACAGCAGAAACTGATGAAACTTACCCAGCTGGAACTGAAATATCGTTCAGTTGTATGATGAGTGTTACTGGCGAGAGAACAACTTGGAAAATTGTTTGTGAAGACGGAAAATGGATTGGAAGGGCGCACGATTGTGGTAAGATTTACTTGAAAATTATTAAAGAAAATTAACTTCTGATGAATCAAATTGAATTTAGGTGATGATGAACGACTTTATACGCCACTTGCGAATGGATCTTGTTTGTATAGAAATATGGATCCACATGTTGTGGGCTTCTATAACGATCTGGAAATAAGAGAAAATATTGTCGAGTTTCCTGCTGGCACAACAATCATTTCAAGGTAAGTTTCGCTTTCTTTATTTAACTTTATTAATCATATTCAGCTCCAATGGTGATGCTGATATCTTCAGACAACACGTTGGTCTTATGAAACCATTTGTTGGTATCTAAAACAACTTTCAAGTGAGGGAAAATTTATGAAATATTCAAAAGCTTCATTTTAATTTAATTCTTACTAATTTCTCCTGGATTGACAATCACTGAAAAGAAGTTGCAATAAAAAATGCATTCGGGTGGTGGTGCCAAAAGCCATTCCTTCTTTCCTTTAAGTTGTGCTTGCCTGGAAGAATTCAAATTAAAATGAAGAAAATAAATTTTTAAACTTCTCACCATGATGGAAGTCTGACATTGTCGAGATGCATGTGCGCACCAAGTCCACGACCTCCCATGAAAATCCAATCAATTGCATTCAGTTCAGAAGTTTTTGGAAGAAAGTATGGTCGATCGTAATGCTTTCTTAACTTCGAAGCGATGTGTTCATTGCAATTACTCCAACCAAAGTACCAAGGTTCAGTTCCTGGTTTATATTTCACCCGATCGTCATCCATCTTGAATGCTTCAAAAATGTTCTTAAACTTGGTTTTGTATCGGAAGAATTGACATTCAATTGTGTCATGATTTGGATCTTCCTTTTCGTATAAATTCTTGAAGAAGTTGAAGTCAAAAACTTGTGGTGCTGACCAATTTGTCATTGCGTCTGTAACAATCACGACATGTCCACTGTAAGCAAACTTTTCTTCAAATTCATCGGGGTTTATGTTGGAAATTCTTTGTCCTGATTTAATTCCACGACAAAAACTGCAATCGTCAGGTTTTCTGAAAACTTTCTCGAGATCTTTCGGCATGGAAATTATGCACTGAAATTATTTAATTTTTTTACTTCTCCTTGTTATTAAAAAATTAATTTATTTACTTTTTCAGTAAGAAATAATTCACCAAACTTTATATAAAAAATGAGTAAAAGAATGGAAAAGATGAAAACTTTCGATTTAAAGTTGACCTGTAAAAGTTTTTTTCTCTTCTTAATTGATGGTAAAGTTTTTAAATTTATATTCTGATCTTGAGCTTTTTTAATCAAAGCTTTTAACTTTGCTTGAAGTTCTTCCGAACTTGACGTCGACATCTTGTCAGTTTCAAACCACTTTAGCGAATGTCAGGAAATCTCTTACAGAAGTGACAATTTTACAATTCATTGAACTATGAAATTCATTCAACTTTATTTGTTATCAGTTGAAATTTGGTTTCCACATCAATTGACTTCTAATTCAATTACATTTTCTTTCTTCTCGCAGATGCGTTGACATTGGAAAGTTTACATTGATTGGAAGCAATAATCGAACATGTATTCGAAGTCGATGGACTGGACAAAAGCCACGTTGTTATGGATTGAATCAAGAGAATGATTATGCGAGTATGTCATTCATGACTTGTCGCTGCTGTCATTTTAATAAATTTTCAAACTTTCAGTGGAGAAATCTCCGACAGTTTTATTCCGTCATGAGAACGGGCCGATAGCTCAAAGTAATGATGGAAGACTCATCGTTTATCCAGGCACAACAGTTCATATGGAATGCTTATGGATGAGAAAATTCGGAACACCAAAATGGAATGTCAGTCATGACTATGCGTGAGATTTCCGAAAATATTTCTTGGTAATTTTCTTTTCTAAAAGTATTTTAATTTAAATTATAGTGAAATTCGAAAATATCCCGAAGGTTGGAACACAGAAACCGGTCGTGATTCAACATTAGAATATCGTTTGAGTATTTTCGCAGCTGAAGCTCAAGATTCGGGCATTTACAAATGCATGACACCAGCGCGACATGCCCATGAAGTTATTGTCGAAGTCAAAGCTGTTCATTGTCCAGACATAACACCAAGAAGAGGTTTAGCTTTGAGCACAACTGTAACTCAACTTGGAACGAAAGTTCAGTTCTCGTGCAACAATGGAAATGCTTTGATTGGAACACCTGAAATCACATGTTTGGCAAGTGGTAATTGGAGCAGTCCATTGCCAATTTGTGAGAGTGAGTTAACATTTCCTTACATATCGCGATGCATCGTTAATAAAATTTAATAAAATTAATTTCAAAGGTGTTGAATGTGGAGAAGTTTCAATTCCACCATCAGTCATCGGCACAGTTCCACGTGTCGCAATAATCTCAAGAGAAGTTGGTGGAAGAGCTGCTTTTTCTTGTCCACCAGGTCATGGTCTGAAAGGCCCTTCCGAATCGATTTGTCTTCCTTCAGGTGAATGGAGTGGACCATTTCCAACATGCTCTGAAGTTCAATGCTTCCATCCTGGTCAACCTTCGAATGGATATACTCAAGGCACACCTCCTTATAAAGCTGGTGATGTAGTTCAATTCACTTGTAATCCTGAGTACATGATGCAAGGACAGCCAATTATTGCTTGTCAAGACAATGGCAGATGGTCGGGCATTGTGCCGAAATGTAAGAAATTTTTTAATTTAAATAAAGCCACTTAAATGATTTTAATTTAATTTTGAAAGGTGTCAGAGCGTGTTCATATCCAGGGACAGCAATAAGTGGACGAATGTCTTCGGTCAAGTTCTATTATACTATCGGTGAGAGTGTTACGTTCTCTTGTGACAATGGTTTGGAAATTAAAGGTCCAAAGATGCTCAAATGTCTTAAAGATGGTAAATGGAGTTCAAGCATTCCGATTTGTGTCAGTCCCGACGCACCAGCAGCTTCTTAAGCAATTTCATTTAATGGTTGAACATAAATATTTGCTATGGTTGTACATGGTTGAAGTTTTTAAGTTTAAAATTAAAAAGAAAATTCCAGCGAGATTCGCTTTTAAAGGAAAATTATGTGATGGTAATAAAAATTATAATACTCCATAAATAAATAAATAAATAAACGAATATATATCATTTATGAATGTTACATATTTAGTTTTAAGACTTAATTAGTAAGGAAACATTTTTCTTGTTCTTTTTCTAAAGCTTTTAAGTATCAAAGTCATGATGAGAAAATGAAGATAAAAATTTAAATATTTTTTAAGACTTGAATGAATAAAATGGTTCATATCATCTATGGATTTATATAGAAATATTTATGATGATGATCTGATTGATTAAGAAATATTTCGTTGATGAATAAAGTTTCATTAATTACTTAATTAATTAGTCATGTTTGCAGTTAGTTATTGATTTTACTAGTGCTTCTTCGTGATAGCTTTGATAAGTTACATTGTTTCCAATTAAATAAATAATAAATCAAGGTATGAAAGTGAATTTGAAATAACAACAATAAGTTGAAATATTGAGATTCGTACACAATTTAAATAAGGAATTTTGAATAGATACCTACCGTAGAGTTGGGCGATCCATTTTCCGATACGGATCTGCGATCCAAAAAATTCTTGTTTATGTGTTTTTCTTTGGAGTGGGACACGAGAGTCCTAGAACCCCCGATTTTCACCACTTTGGTCATCGTTTGGGACATAACTAGAGCAAGTTACTTTTCTACCAAACGGAATATTTGTTAATAATTAGGTAATATTGATTCACAGATATAACAGGAATAAATTATTTCTGAAGTCCCTTGTGAATTATAAAAATTTCATATAAAAGGGACAATTCAGAAATTTTAACTTTTACAATGGATGGATACAATCATTGAGATTTGAATAAAATGAAATTAATTCTCTTAATTGTACAATTCTGAAAGAAAACTATCCTAAAATGTTGTTTGACTTCAGCGACACCGACAATAAAAAAAAGTTCTTTAAATTTTTTTTTTCGATTTTTTTATTTCTCGATCGCAAAACAATTTAATTTTACATTTCGAATAATTAAATCTATTTTGTTTCAAAATTTCATGTTGAAGACAAGCCCACGTTTGAAAATTGTTATCTGATGGCTGCTAAAACAAAAGAAATTTTATTTCACATTTTATTCCTCGGAATTAGCTTTTTCAACGCTGAAAGGTTCAGCAACGTCGATTGTTCCACAATCAGCAATCACAACATCATCGACAGGTTTGTCACGATTATCTGTTTTTGTGCCTTCAACTTTACGAACAACGTTCATGCCTTTAAGAATTTTTCCGAAAACTACGTGACGTCCATCAAGCCATGTCGTTTGTTTGGTGGTGATAAAGAATTGAGATCCGTTTGTGTCTTTACCTAAAGAAGTTATTCAATAAGAATTGATTTCAATTATAATTTTTTTAATGAGCAACTACCTGCATTTGCCATGCTCACCCATCCACTTCCATAATGCTTCAACTTGAAGTTCTCATCCTCAAACTTCTCTCCATAAATTGAGCGTCCGCCTGTGCCATCACCTCGTGTGAAGTCTCCGCCTAAATTATTAATTAGCATAAGTAAAACGTAAGTTACATCTTTAACGGTCACTAACCTTGAATCATGAAATCTTTGATGACTCTGTGGAATTTGCTGCCTTTGTATCCTTCGCCTACTGCCTTCGTCGCCAATTGTTTGAAATTCTCAGCAGTTCTAGGAACAGTTCCTCCAAATAATCCTATTTCAATACGACCAGCTGGTTTTCCACCAATTTCAATGTCAAAGAAAACCTGTGAAGAAGCACAAAATATTCTTAGAACTTTGAGAGAGAGAATAAGAAAAACGAATACGTGTCCATTGACTCTTCATTTTATCGCAAGATTAGACAATTTCTTCTTATCTTTACTTAGCGTTCATTTTCTAATAAAATTATTTCCGATGAGCAGAACGTGAATTGATGTTCAAATACGAACAACAAAGCCGGAAGAACCGGTTTGTATATTTTCCTCTCGATGAGTTCATTCACCACACGAAAACTTTTTTAATTCTAATCAAGGAAATTTGTGGAATAAATTTACTTACAATATCGGTGACTTTAGGTCCTGCACCATCTGCAGATGCTTCTAAAGTGCATCCAACGATAAACAAAAGCAAAACAACTAACTTCATTGTTTCAAGTTTTGAGAGAAAAAGTATTATTCTAACTTTACAGGTGAAGATGACAGCGACGAATGAAAGAAAAAAGTCTGTTACCGAAAGTCGGCCCCAACAATAAATATCGTGCAAAAGCCCGATATTTAAAACTCCGGCAGTTATAGAATTTCTAGACGAACAGTATTAGTAAAAATCTAACTCCAATAAGGGGCCACTTTGTATAATGTTTCCACCTTCGATATTCCAGAAACTTTTCACACAAAGTGGCCCCTTATTGGAGTTAGATTTTTACTAATACTGTTCGTCTAGAAATTCTATAACTGCCGGAGTTTTAAATATCGGGCTTTTGCACGATATTTATTGTTGGGGCCGACTTTCGGTAACAGACTTTTTCAATCATTAACTTAACATACAAAATTTAATTTTCACCATCCAAAAAATAAATCGAGAGTTTTATTGATGATTCCTGTTGTTCGTTTCGGAGCATTTGGACTGAGAATAACTTCAGTTGGTTCTTGTGCTGATTTATATGCAGCTTGAGAAAGTGACCTAATACGACTGACATTCACTTCACGCTGTTGTTGATTCATATCATTTTCTTTATCAATAATTGATTCATCTGTACATCGCATCACTCCAATCATCAAATTGTTGCAAATTATTTTTCCATTATAAAGAAGGGCTTTGTCACATTCAAGACGAGATGAAAATTTAAGATGAATCCAGTTTCCATTGGAGCACATTTTTTCAAGAATTGAACCACATTGAGAGAAGTGAGCTAGGATTGCCGAGACTGCAGTCTGTGGAAAGCCGAATATTGTCACCCACAAATTATTATTGAAACCGTTCATTGGAGCTGGAAGATTTGTTTGAAAAGTCGAATTGTGCTGCTGAGTTTGATAAGAGTTATTAAAATCAGAAGATGCCAATATTGGTGACATAATTCGAGATTGATTGAATCCTGACTGATTGAAAACCGAGCCATCCTGTTGATTTGTTGCTGAAAAACTTTGCTGTGTTGATAAAGTTTTAGTTGGAGTTTGAAAGCTTTTATCATTTCTTAAATAATCAAATAATCCAGTGGTTGGTGGTCCAGAAATGCTAGCATTAGGGTTCTGAGACTGATAATATTGTTGTTGCTGCTGCTGTTGTTGCTGTTGTGATTGATTTAAACTATTGTTGGCATTCGGAGGACTTTGAAGTCCAGTAAATAGTTTATGTTGAAGGTTTCGGCTGAAGTCAGGTGATGATGTTGGTGAATTAGCTAAAAAAAAATGATTTATTTATGTATGAAGAAGTAATAATATAATTAAAAAACCTCACTCACAATAATTTCGATTTCCTGATGGTGCTTGATTATTTTCTACTCCCATCAAATAACACGGCAAATAAGAACTTTGTCCTGGACTAGCTGGGCTTCCTAACTGCATTTTCTCCATTTTTGATTTAGCGAGTAGTATTTATTTCAGGTATATGTGAAATTCTTGAGACACACTTAATTAGCGACGACGACTAAACTTCAAACAATTTCAAAAATAATTTGTTCTAAAATATTGTTTCAAGGGATATTCAAGGGATATTTTTCAAAAATAAACCGTTAAAAATTTTGTACATTTAGAACAGATTAATTTCATGTAAATCTACAATAATTAAAGATTTTTATTTATTATCTAATATTATTTATTATTTTAGTTTATTAATCACAAAATTAGAAAGAAAAACAATTTTTACAAATTAATACATTCAGTCCATAATGTTCCAATTTTTTACGAATTCTTTTTGACTCAACTTCACAAATCAGATCATTCCTTCTTTTTTGTATTGTTCTGTTTAAGTTTATGCATAAAAAAATTAAGCATTAATATAAAAAATTATTTTGGGTATAACTTAATTTTCCATCATATTGTTTCTTCGTGTTCTAATGTAGAAATGTGTTCCAAGAGAGAGTGAAAGGGAAAACATTGTCTGGATAATTGAAGTAAATAACATTCGCATATAAATCTGTGTTATCTAAAAGTTTTCCTTCATTCAACAATAATGACTTTTTTTCTGATTTTTGTATGATGAAAAAAGATTTCACTTATTAAGACATAACACTATAATTTTGATTAGACGGTTCAGGGCCGGGACTATCAGAATCTTCGGTATAATTTTGTCTTATAAAAAGATCAGAAATTGAGTCAAGTAATCGCTGTAAGAACGATTTATATTCCAAACTATCAATAGATTGTGTTTCACCGAAATTAAAATCAGCAACTTCGACTAAAAAGCTATTTCTATTCTGAACGTAATACGCAACGCCGAAAACAATTAACACAACAGCCATCAATGTGAAAACGACGGGAACAATTACGACTGATAATTGTGAACGTGGTTGAGCTGTTAGGAGAGAAATTAAAAAATGTATTTGCATTGAATACTTATCAATGAAGCTAATAAGACGAATATTTACCTTCGTAAAAATTAACTCCGATAGTTGTTTTACTCATTGACACTTCATTTTTTATAAAAACAAAGAGACTATAAGAGTTTGATAACTTCGAAAAGAAGTGTTTGTAGTTTATTTCTTTGACATCGATCGTCTTCCAATCACTGCATTCATCATTGTCTTCTGCAATTTCGGTGGAATTTTTGCTACGAACAATTTTAGTGCAATAATCAAACGGTGCAGTTCCACCAAATTTGATGAGCAATTGACACATATCACCGTGCTTAAGCCAAGCATTATTTCCTACTGTCACATTAGTTACTGGATTCTCTACTGTAATTGTTCGCTGGTAATATCCATAAATCTTTTTCGGATCCGTTATAACTTTTGTGTTATTTGTACAAACGCCAAAATAAGGAACTTGAATATTCTCTAACATCTTAATTCTCTCTTCCATCGGTATCACAGTCGTTGTTATGACTGGCGCTTCTGTCATATTTTCATACGCAACATTTAGTGGACTAATAGAGCCCGTTTCAATTAACGTCTTAACATTCCATTCCAAAGATGTTTCATTAGCACTTCGCTTCCTTCTCTTCCTTTCTGATGGTTTCTTTGTTGTTGTTGATGTTGAGGTCGACGTTGAAGTTGACGTCGACGTCGAAGTAGAAGTTGATGTCGAAGTTGTTGATGTCGTAGTTGTTGGCGTTGCTAAAGAAAAGATGTTAATTAATTAAATATTAATATACAAAATAAATTTCTTACTTGTTGTAGTTTTCGGGGTTGTTGTTGTCGTTGTGGTGGTGGTTGTGGTAGTGGGTTTAGGGGTGGTGCTGGTTGTGGGAGTCGGTAGAGGTTCATATGACAACATTAAGAGCGCTTCAACATTATATTTTGCATTTTCTGTTCGATACCAATTTGAGAAATTCAGATTGTCTGTCATTCCAACATAAAGACAATCGATGAACCAATAAACTCTCACATAAGCAGCTTTTTCGTATAATTTCTTATCTTTATCTGAGATTACGATATTGTGAATGGTCTCAGATTGACTTGAAACGTATCCGTTCTCTCTTATCGTGTTGTTTGGATTTTGAATTAATTGCATTTGCCCATTGAAGTAGTTGGTGACTTCAAATGATGCTCTTTTCTTTACTTTCTCAAGGTACATGAAGATATAGAATTCATCAACTGCAACTTCGAATGTATAATGTCCATGTTTCAATCTTTCGGTGTCAACAACAAACTTTACATTCGATTCAGAAGATTTCAAAAACTGAGGAATAAATTAAATCATTTATTCAGGTAATGGTGGATGAAGCTTAACTTACTTTTTCTTGTTCATCATCGAAACTTCTCCACCGATATTGATAATCCTTTTTCGGTGCGATTTTTCCATCAATTAGAACGGTAACATTGAATGTTATTGAAGTTCCTTCTGCAATTGGACTATCTGAGAAAATTTTGAGGTCGTAATCTCCACATAGTGCTGTAGTTAAGGCGAAAGAAAATAAAGATAACAAATGCAAAAATTGAATCATCAATTTGTGGAATAAAGAAATTCATTTCACTTTAGCCTTTTTATTCGATAGCTCAAAGATAGGATGAAGAATGAATATGTGATATGAATGTTTCAAAAGAACTATAACTTACCTTTTGAACAAAGAAACCCACAAATAATAATTATTTTGTAAATAAACATTTTCTGCGAAGTTAAAAGATCGAATTTCATGTTTACTGAATACACTCACGTACAGTGTGTGTGATAATTTTTCTTTTTATTAATGAAAAACTTATTTTTGTCTATTCCTTATCCTGTTTTTAATAATGATAATATCTGTTGAATAAGAGATGGTTCCAAATCAACGATCTATTGATTCTACAAGAGTCAAAATGAAGAATTTCATATTAAATCGAAATTTAACACACTTCACTGTACAATTTTATTGAATGCACCACCATTAAAAACAATTAAAAAGATTTAAAATAGAAATATTTATTTGTAGGCTTTCATTCAACAAATATTGATCGAAAAAGTACGAAAATTTGTTTTTTACAACTTTTAAACTGAGGGACAATTAAAAGCGACAAAAGAAATGCGAAGTTTATGATTTTTTAAGCCAAAAATGGATAAGTTGGATGAATTGTTAAGCTATCCTAGAATAACCCGACGTAAAGAAGAGAAAGAGGACTGTCCTATTGCAAAAAAACGTGAGAAAACGTTGAAAAAGCGGAAGGTGTGATGATCCATGAGAATAAATAATAAAGAAAAATTGAATTAATGAAGAATTTTTACCATTTTCTAGGTTGCTGCTATTCTAAGAAAATGTGAAACTTTAAGAACAAGCGACGAACAAAAATATTTAGAAGAACATCCTGATGCATTTAAGGAAGTTAATGAAAGAAAAAAGCGCATTGAAAAGTATAAAGACAGAGCACTTGAAAAAGAAGATAAAGCAGAGACGATTGAACTGAAAGCTAAGAAATTAGCAAATGTCATTGCAAATGCTAAACATTTGATAGTTTATTCAGGAGCTGGTATCAGCACATCAGCAAAGATACCAGATTATCGTGGTTCTCAAGGAATTTGGACTTTATTACAGAAAGGAGAGGAAATTGGCGAACACGATCTTTCATTGGCAGAGCCAACGTTCACTCACATGGCGCTCTATGAACTTCATAAGAAAAATATTTTGAAATACGTTGTGTCACAAAACTGCGATGGTCTTCACCTCCGATCGGGTCTTCCGCGCTTTTCTCTTTCAGAAGTTCACGGCAATATGTACGTAGAAGTTTGTAAGCATTGCAAACCGGCTCTTGAATATTGGAGAATATTCGATACAACGCCATTGACATCACGCTTCCAACATAAGACAAATAGACGTTGTCGAATTTGTGCGAATCCATTGATAGACACAATCGTTCACTTTGGTGAGAGAGGATCATTAAAGTGGCCACTTAATTGGAATGGCGCAACAAAAGCTGTTGAGAAAGCAGACGTCATTCTCTGTTTAGGATCAAGTTTAAAGGTTTTGAAGAAATATCCCTGGCTTTGGGCTTTGGATCGACCACAAAAGCAAAGACCAAAAGTTTTCATTGTGAATCTTCAATGGACACCGAAAGATTCAATTGCTTCCTTAAAAATCAATGGGAAATGTGATGAAGTCATGACGATTGTCATGAAACATTTGAACATTGATGTACCGCAGTATAATCGATCTCAAGATCCAATTTTTCATCATGCTTCATTATTGAAAGAAGAAGAACTTCATACAGCATCTCAACCAATGTTAAAAGCTTTCATCTTTAAAGGAGAAGAAACGAGCGAGTTGGATGAATCAAACACAGGAACTTACAGTTCCGAGAAGCAAACTTTATCAGCTGAATCTGAAGATTCAAAATCACAAATGGATGTGATAAGAAACTTCAGTTGCATTAAAAGTGAGAAATGCCAGAAGAATGACTTTGACGTTGTTCACATGGAGACGTCGGGAGAAATTGAAATAAAAGCTGAAGATGGTAAAGTGAATATTAAAGAAAATATCACAGAAGTTCTTGACTTAACACAAGATGATGAGACTGAGAACGTCATTACAACAAATGGTCACAATGGAACCAAACAAGAGACAAAACGAGAAGTGATTGACTTTGAAGAACTCATTGATAATCTTGATATGAAAGTGACAGCTAAGAATGAAGAAAATGAGACAATAAAGGAAGAAATTAAGAAAGAAAATGACGAACAACAAGAAGAATCTTTAGAGACAAATAAGACGATGATGACGAATGAATTTATTCAACAAAATCAAAATCTCATCGACATGGCACTTTTGAACAACAGTTTACTTACAGCATCATTAGCACTCGCACCTGTCAGCTCAACATCAAGAGAAACCCTTACAGCGACTGCTCTTATTCTGAATTATAATAATCAGATCATAAATACATTAACGAACAACTTAAATCTTTTGCCTTACAATAATGCCCATAATGGAAGCGCCACGAGTGTATTACTTCAAGCTAAACAAAACTGTGATAAAAATAGCGCGTTACGAAAAGAGATTCTGGAGAATGACATTGAAATGGTTGAAACAAGTGATGATGACGACGAAGACGATAATAACGATGATGATGATCAGTCACGAGGGCAAAATGGGAAAAGAAACTCATCAGCAACAGTCACTGCAGAACAGTATTATAAGCATTTACTTGCAAGTTATTGCTTAGCAATAAATGACAACCTACCGAAATGGTCCGATGTTAATTACGCTTATTCAGGTCTTCATACGATTGTTAATCTTCCACCAGATGATGCGAATCTTTGGAAAAGCAGCGATGAAGAAACGCAACAAAAGAAGAAATTGAGAAGTTCAACAGCAGCTGTACGACGGGCTGCAAAAGCTGAATGTAAGTTCTGCTGGGAACATTATGAACAAATGGAATGTCAATTCTATAAGCCAATCAATCGAGAGTTCAAAATATCAACTTTTCGGAATAGCAAGCTCATTGTTTGTGAATGTTGTGATTATACGGAAGATGAAGAAGAACAAATCGAGGATGATATAACAAAACTTAATAATGATGATCGAGAGAAGCAAGGTGTTGTGATTAGAGCTGGATGGTTTGGAAAAGGTAAACAATTTTGTGGTTTCATTTGTTGACTTTATGAATAACTTTAATAATCATTCCAGGATATCGAAAGATTCAAAAGAAGCGAAAGAAACAGTCAACTTCATAAAGCTTTCATTTCCAATGAAGATTATGAGGAAATTTCAAAGATAAGATGGCGAGTCCTTTGCTTATGTGGAAAGCAAGAAGAAAATAAAAATGATTCGTATGATTGTAATTTATTTTTTATTTCATATGAATTTGTGTTCAGGAATAAATTGATTTAGGTTGTAGAATGATCAAGTAAGATGATGAAAAAATAAATGTCTGAAGTTTACTCTTCAGTGTTTTCGAAAGTGACTTTAATGCTTTTAAGTTTTTCGTAGAGTTGATAATTTTTCTGTAACTTTTGTTCGACGTTTGCTGACTCAATCACAAGTTCCAAAGCTTTTTCATAGCGTTCACGTGCTGTTTTCAAGCTTTGTGGAACAAGAATTCCAAACCAGTTAATGGGGTCAATATGATTTGATTCTTTGTTGACGGCGCTCTTTTCTAGCTCAAACTCGGAAGTTCCAAGATCATTTTCTGATCTTACTGTTATTTTCAATGCATTAAATTCTGGTCCATCGTCGGATTCCCCAGGAAGCTGAGACACTGATACAGTTTTTGGTCCTTGTGAATACCTTTAAAAGACACATTCATAAAAACATAATAGAATTAATTTCATTAAATTTACCTTGTTTTCGCCATTAACAAAGCACCTTCATTTGTTAACTTCTCAATATTTATCTTAAGTGTCACATCTTCCTCAACTAATTCTAATGTTTGAAGAATCAATTTATCCATTAATTCCTTCAATTCAGTTACATCTTCAAATAATTCCATTATTTTTATAATTTTTATAAAGTCTTGTGATTTTCAATGTTTACAAAATTGTAGCATTTCTAAAATCGGTGAAAATTTCCCGGTTTATGTTGAACCCGGTTAAAAATAACCACGAAGAAGTAAACGAGAGACAACTCATCAGTTAATTAATCATGGCTTCAAGAGAAGCAATTAAAGAACAGAATATCCGTCAATACTATACGGAAGTTAACAAGTTCGGACAAGCGGGTGAATACGAAAAAGCGATCAAAGCTGCGAATAAAAGTGAGAAAATGATTTTAAAATTTAACCTTTCACTTATTATCAATTTTAATTTCTCTTCTTCAAGTTCTGAGTATTGCATCAGATGAAACTAAAGCAGGACAATGCAAAGCAGTTGCTTTAATTCAATTGTCAAAATTTGATGAAGCTTTGAAGTTCATTGAAAAGAGTAACTTAGGTCAAAGATTGATCTTTGAAAAGGCATATTGCGAGTATCGTCTTAATAAATCCGAAGTCTCTTTAAAAACAATAGAAAGTGCCAATTTAGATCCACTGCCAGCTAATTTAAAAGAGTTGAAAGCTCAAGTTCTTTATCGTTTAGAGAAATTCGATGATTGTTTTGATTTGTATAAAGACATCATTAAGAATTCCAGTGATGATTATGAAGAGGAAAGAACAACAAACTTGTCAGCCGTCATTGCAAATATGTCAATAGAAGGAAGTGTGAGTATTCTAAATGATATTAAAAATCTTGAAAATTAATTATTTGTGACTATTTTAGAACAAGAAGCTTCCAGATCTTGGTGAAAATACTTACGAACTTGTCTACAATCATGCATGCGCATTATCAGGAACAGGAAAGTTCTCTGAAGCTGAGAAGCGTTTGAAAACGAGCGATAAAATGTGCCGTGAGTTCCTCGAAGAAGATGATTCGATGACTGAGGAAGATATTCAGAATGAATTGGCAATCATTCGAGTTCAACTTGCTTATTGTCTTCAAATGCAAGGAAGAAGCAAAGAAGCTTCAGCGATCTACGCTGAAACATTGAAAAACAACCCAAACGACGTTGCTTTGATTGCTGTCGCATCTAACAACGCCGTTGTCATTAACAGAGATCAAAATGTTTTCGACTCGAAGAAGAAGATTCGAAATGCGATGATCGATGCTGTTGAACATAAGCTGAACAGTCGTCAGAAGAAAAGTGTTGCTGTCAATAATTGCATCTTAGCTTTGTTCACTAAGCAAGGTGATCTTGGACAATTGGTTGGCAAGCTCATCAACAAGTATCCTGACTTAGAATACAAAGCGAATCTTATCAAAGCTTGTCAATACGCTAATGACAAGAAGTTTAGAGAAGCGAGTGACATTCTGGAGAAGTTCACAGCCAAAAACCCGAAATTCTCTTTCGAAGTGAAGTTTGCTGTTATTCAGATAAATTTGATGGCTGGTAATCGAAGCAAAGCCATTGAAGTGTTGCAATCACTTGAAAGTGATAAGAAATTCAGCCCTGGAGTTGTGTCAGCTTTAGTATCACTTTATTTGGGCAACAACGACAAGTCTGCAGCTTCTGAAATTCTTAAAGTTGCCGTTGATTGGTATAAGAAGAATAAAACAAATGTTGGTGACTTAACTGACATGTGGCGACAGGCAGCTGACTTCCATCTTCGTGGAGGGGAAGCAGAAACAGCAGCAAAGAGTTTGGAAGAGTTATTCCGATCAAACCCATCGGACATGAAGATTCTGGCACAACTCGTCATTGCTTATGCTCAATTCGATCCCAAGAAAGCTCAAGACGCATCGAAGAAGCTTCCGGCTCTTGAGACTCTAACAACTCAAGCTGAAATCGACGAACTTGAAGCGACTAATTGGATGATGATAGCAAAAGCTGTCAAAAAGAAGACAACGAAAGCTGATCAATCACCAGGCACGCCAGGAAGCGAAGGAGCGCAAAAGAAAATCAAAAAACGTAAACGAAAGAACAAACTTCCAAAAAATTACGATCCAAATGCTAATCCTGATCCCGAACGGTGGCTGCCGAAACAGGAACGAACTGGTTATCGTAAGAAGAAAGATCGGAGAGTGAAGGAAGTCATGAAAGGTTCGCAAGGAACATCATCAGGTCAAGCTGACATGTAGTAAGTACAAGAATTTAATTTTATTAATTTTTCACATCTTCATCATGAATTTTTTTAATTTTTTCTTAATTTAGTGACATGACGAAAGCTCAGAATCTTGGTACGAACATAAAAACTCCTGTTCGTGAAGAGACTGCACCAGGTCCCCGTCAACAACAACGGAAACATCAACAAAAGAAGAAGAAGGGAAAACATTAAAATTGTTCTCTATTTTTATTAATTATATTACTTTTTTAATTTGCATAGGAAAAAACTTTGCATTGGAATATAAAGTTATGGTTGAAAGCATTTAATTGTTGTTTTTTATTTCATTAAATCATTAACTCATTAAATATACGTTAGACAGAGAGGACAACTAAACCAATGGTGAATTATAGGAATAAGTTTGGGAAGAGTTCAATCTTTGATATTCACATAACATTCGAATATTTTTAACTTGACGTCATAAATTGCGCAATTGAAGATAATAGTTTAGAATAACAATAAATGAATTCAGTTTCATTCAACTTATTTATTGGAACACACGTTTTCTTGATAAAAAAGAAGTTTGAAAGGGAAGCGTGAACCATGACGAGTGATAACGATGATATTGAGGAAGTTTTTGTTGAATTATCAAACGATGAAGTTGAAGAGTTCTGTTTGTTCTATAAAAACTTAAATATTCCTGAATTCATTCACATTCATTTGTATTTGAGAAATCAACTTCGATGGAATCGAATGATGATAAAAATGAGTGACAATGACGTTGCTAAGATTTCAGATCGATGTAAAATGAAATTTTATCGTTACAAGCATGGCGATGAGAAGAACAAAACTTTACTTGGAATCACAGGCGATGAAGATTATTCAATATTTTTTGCATCACTTGATGAGTCACTTGAAGAGCTTCGTGAAAGTTTAACAAGAACAAATTTAATTAAATGGAAGAAATTGCCTTTGGTTGTTGCCATTCTTCGTCGATATCACAAAATGTTTTACGAAGTTATTGAAGCAAAAAATGTCAGAGTTAAAATTGATAACTTCTGTTCGACTCTTTGTATGGATAAGGACAAAGCAATGAACTATGAAATCGTAATTCCTGATGATGTTGAGCTGCGTGAATTAAATGTCGACGATTATAAACACGTGAATGATCTTTGGTATTATAAATACGAAGGTTCAGAAATGTTCATCAAATCTCTCATTGAACTTAATGGTGGACTTGGAATTTATTATCATGGAAAGTTTCTTGTTTCGTGGATACTTCAAATCGAATGCTTCGGTCTTGGTCTCCTGCAAACTGTTGAAGAACATCAAGGAAAAGGATACGCGAAACTCTTAACACGCATGATGACTAGAAAAATCAGCAAATGTTACAATGAAGACACAATTCTGTTTGCTTCGTATGGCAAGCCAAAAACTGTTGACTTGTACATTCGTCTCGGTTATAAACACGTTTCATTCACTCATTGGTTTTATTTAAAAAATATTTAAAGCTGATCATCATAAAGTTGAGTTTTATAAAAATAGAATTGACAATGTCATCAGTATTAACACATTGACTGGCAGTTCAAAGAATTATAAAACGTTGAAAATGCAAATAAAGCCAGAATGAATTTCTTTATATTTAAAAATAAAACAATTTAATATAATTCATGTAAATATTTTTTAAGCTTTTTATTTTCTTCTAAACTACCATTTATGACAAATTCTGTTGGATTTTTGTTTTTATTTTATACAGTTTTCCATTTATTTTCATCAAAAATAAACAACGAACAATCTAAAGACGAGTGTAAAAGTCTCACAAAAAAAACTCATTTTAAAGTGGCGATTTAAACATTGACTTATCAAAGAGAAATCCTGTAACATTTAAGGCTTGTTTTATTTTTATATTTATATAAACTTTCTCCAGATTTCTATGTTTGCAATTCTCTGTTTTTTCATATTATTATCACATAAACATTTAGCAAAAAATAAGAAACAATTACTGCAGAGACTGGAAGAAATCCAAGAAAAATTGTGGAAATTCTCAGTCTTATTTTCGGATTTTATAAGTTCGATTATGTCATAAATCTCGTAAATCCTTTAAAATTTGAACATATGATTGAGAACTCAACAACTTATTTCTTCTTGAACGAGTTTCAGTCTGTGAAATACTTGTTTTGTTGCAAGACACTGGACAACGAACGACAGACACACACAACAGTTTTAGTCTAGGATAAATATTTGTATGTACGTCCCTTGGATATATTAAACATTGATTATGGGGGAATGACTCACAAAATCTGTCGTTATATCTCTGAATATGACATTCTTATTTTATTTTTGTAACATTAGACACAAAAAATGTATCGCATAAAGATTATCGAAGAATAAATTTGATTTCTTTTACCTGATTTTAAGATTTTTCTATTTTTCTTTTTCTGTGAACTTTCCCTTTGTTTGATGTACAAAAAGCTTTTTGAATTTTGGATTACACATTGACTAGGATTTTTATTATAATTTCCTTCACCATCATCTGCTATCGCCCGACTATATCATTGTGAAATATTTCACACTTCTGAATCCATTTCAGATCTTTTTTTTTGTTAATTATTTTATTCAGTTTTAAGATTGTGATTTATTTCAATCTTTTCCTTTGGTGACTTAAACATCTGTGAAAAAATTTGATTTATGTCATCAGTTGGCATATTAAATTTAATATAATTTGAGATATAAAAACTTACACGTAAAGCAGCTTTAATCATGAGATGAAACCAGAAGAATTGAGGTAGAAACAAAGCTATAATTGATAGTTGACATCCAAGTGGCAATTTGATAATCGCCCTCATGAATGACAAGTTCACAACAGTACTGTAGTAATAAAGTAGCGTTGGCAACATCAGAATTCTAAATATCAGGAAGGTAATTAACATAACAATTCCATTTACAAAATAAACTTTCGACGTTTTCATTTTGAGAATACTCAAAATAGCTCGGAAGCTAACAAACGGAGTTGAACATTCCATCAGGAACATGAAACTGAAGATGCAATCGCCAAGACCACCTCGCCAGGAACTGATAACAATTAAACCATAACTGCCGATGAACATGTGATGGAAAACCATAAGTTTCGTTATCTTTATATACTCCATGAAGCTAAGTATCTTTTGATTGTTAACTGTCATTGGTGTAAAATAAGACAACTCTCCAGACTTTGTTGTTGGAATCATTGAATAAAAATCATTTTGTGCTGACCATCTGAACACTTTCAATTTAAGATTATCGAAGAGTTTTGCGTTGTAGACTTTATACATGCTGAATATATCATAAAGAAAATATGCACATCCAAACCTGAAATGAGATCGTGAAAAGATATTACACAATCATCATCATCGTCATCATCTTTGTTATAATATTTTCGCATGTCGTAAATTATCTTACCAAGCATATGATTCAGAAAAAATGTGAGATGTCGTTAGAAAATTTCGCTTGCATGAATAACGACAAACAAAGAATCCAAATACACATGATAGCACAGATTGAATTGCTGATACAAGTCTGAAATGTGAAGAGTCATGTGATTTATTTTCAATGACACACTTAAAACTTAAGACTTACTTGTTTGATATGTCCATGCAATCTGATAATGATAGATTGAAATGTTTTATAAACTTTAATCCACTGGATGTACTCAACATAAGTTTATTAAACATGTTAGTTATATTCACGAAGAAGCAGAAGCCCAAAAATGCCAAAAGCACTCCTAACTGAATCGAAACTCTTGTTTCCGTTTCTAGTTTCAATACCGTACCGAAAGCCAGCACAAACGAAAAAATAACTATTAAAAATTCGACCCATATCGAATCGAACTTTGACTTTGTCACTTGCATGATTAACTGAATAATTTATAAGATTTTACGAGGAACCTTCAAAACGAATACCATTGAATTGATTTTAACTCAAAAGATATCATTATTATACTACATTCGTTTCCTTGTTTATTTCTTTCTACGTATTTGAGAATCTTTTGTTATTATTGTGCTTCCTGGTTAGCTTTCAAGTGCTGAATGTAATGATTTTAAATGAAAATATTGAACTCTTTCTAATTTCAACAAATTTTTCCCTCTTCAAGGGGTAGAAACTACTTTGAAAAATTGTATGCAATCGGTTCATTTGTTTTGATTAAATTGAGTAATATGGTAGAGTGTGTGTGTAAAATCACTTGTAGTAAAATTTACAACATTATTTAAATTAAATATTCTCATAACTTTAATGTTACCATTTGTTAAAATCACAATACTCGATTTTCATTAAAAAATGTGAAAATGATTGCTCGTAGGAATTTTCAAAAATTCCAAATCAGGGGTACAAAGCTCTGACAAAGCAATCGCAGCCATACAAAAAGACAATTTTAAGTGCAAACAAGTGAAAAAAAAATAATATCTCGCTCAAAGTGGTCAAAAATAATATAAAAATGTCATTTCTTACTCACGTAAATCGATATGATGACTATACTTATAATGAGGATAGCATGGAAGAAGACGAAGAAGGTTTGCGCCATTAATTTAAAATTTTTTCGTCGAATTTTGTGTTTGGTTTTTTGTTTTTACTTTTTCGTTGTCTAATTTTGTTTTTTTCTTTCATTAATTAGGTTCTAATTCTAGAACAGGTACTGATTATCGTTTTTTATATTTAGTTTAGAAAAAGTTTTAATTAAGTTAATTTCATTGTAAATTGTAGGAAAAAATTGAAAACGTAAACAAATTTCATTAAAATTATTTTCAATATTGTAGACACTGAAGACGCCTCAGAAGCAGAAGAACCTAATCAAAGAATAGACGAACCGGTCGAGATCAAAGAACAGTAAGAAAATTTATTTTAATTTAACTTCAATTTATTATCTCGTTTATATTTAGAATGTACCAAGACAAGTTAGCCAATCTTAAGAAACAACTTGAAGAGCTTACAAATGGAAATCATCCTGAGTTAATTCGTCGACACAAGCAATTAGAACGTCAATACCACGACCGTCTTCGTCTTAACAACTACTATCGAGATTACCTGATTGAGTGCGTGGAAAAAGATTACATTTTGGAGAAAAATGCAGCAGTCAAAGAATATGAAGAGAAGAAATCAGATTTGAAGGAAAATCTTCTCGCTGACTTTGAGGATAAGAAAAAATTGATTGAATCTGAACGGACAAGTATGGAAATAATCGAATCAAGTGAACTACGCCAAACTATAACGCGCAAGCTTCGAAGACGACCAAATGACCCTGTACCGGTTACAGAGAAAAGAAGAAAGCCAGGAAGTGGGCCTGGATCAGGACTTGTTTTGATGTTGGATGAAAAGGACATCGATTATGATCTCAAACTTATATCGCGTGGAAAGTCCATGATTGCTAGCAACATGCGAAGTTATTCTCAAAATTCACTGATGAATAACAATTCAATCAACAGCTCAATGATGATGGGCTATTCCAACAATCACAATGACATTCATCATGTCGTGGAAACCAGAATTGAAGACGGCAAATTGCTTTATGAACGTCGTTGGTTTCATCGTGGCCAAGCAGTTTATGTTGAAGGAACTGAAGTCTCAAAGTTCTCAGCAAATATTTCTGCTATCGTCGGCAACGATGTCATTATGGTGAAGCGTGCAAGCGACAACAGCAAATTTCGCATCTACTTACATCAACTAAGTAGCGGAAAAATCTCCATTAAAAGAAGAGCAAACTAAATTTAACTTTATATATTTTTTCTTATTATGATAAATTTAAATATTTGAGCGACAGTAATAAAAACTTTTCTTCTTTTGAATTTTCATATTTTTTATTTTCTTTTATAATTGTGTATGTGATCTTACTACACATCATGTTTAGATGGTTGCTTCTTTATAAAAAAAAGTGTTTATGCTGCAAATATTCCTTCTTAGATCATTCGCTGAAGCAACTCGTTAATCTTATCCTCGCGATTTCCAAAGTCACCACCATCGACGAAGTGGTTGTTCTTCTTGCGCCATCCTCCAGTTGGTGTGTTGAGTTTGAAAGGCCAAAGGAAGTTGTTGACCTGTTTGAAGACACGACCAACGGTGTACAATTGGTAGACCATATCTTCGAGGCATTGAACGTTGTAGCCATGACGCAATTTACGTTCAATTACGAAGTTGTCGGTGATGGGAATACGACGTCCTCCGTGCTAAAACAAAGAAGATTTTCATTATACTATCATTCAGGATTAACATTTCTTGCTTTTCTACCTTAACGAAACCTCGTTTGTACAATAAATCACGAATGGTCTTCAGAGATGGATATCCGTAGGTAATATACGGTTGGGCAATACGCAACATATTGAGAGTAGCCTTATTGAGCTTCACAAATGTAGCATTATTGATTTGACGCAAACGGAGGAGCTGTAAAACTTTCTTTACTTTTGGGGCAACTTTGTTGATACTGCAAAAAAGAGAGAAAAATATTAGCACATAACCTCGAACAATTTGTTTAGATTAAAACTTTAAATTAAATTTCAATCTGATTTATAACATATAGCAGCATCAAAAAGTGATCAATGTTATATTTAAATTCAACAGTATTCATGTCTTACCCTCGAATACGAATCACTAAAGCAATTTTCGGTCTTTCTGGAATGTAAATATTTCCAGATTTCTTTGCTTCGCGTGCCTTTTCAATGACATCTCGTTGCAATTTCAAGTAGGTTCTGGTGTAACGCTCAGCACGGATTAAGTTTTGACGTTTACGCAATGCTACTTTAGAGCGAATGATTCGTTTACGAAGTAAAAGCGATCCACGAGTCGTCAATCGACGTTTTGCATCCTTCAATTTACTTTCGGGAACTGCAGGCAATTTTTTATCCTTTGAACCAGCTGCTGCTGGCTTGGTTGCAGGTTTAGCAGTTGGTGCCATCCTAGAATAATATTTTTAAAGTTAATATTTTCTCATTGAAAGCGTTTAAATAATATTAAAACTAAAAAGATATTTATTCATGTACCTTCACGTTTTAATAGAAGAAGCGAAAAGGGCGAATTCAATTCGCTCCATTCTGACCATAATTTTTCGTGGTGAAAAGCTTCAAAATTGTTCACCACTAAAATAAGTTGGAAATCTTGCCGTTTTTAAATATTTTAAAAAATCCATTTAAATTGATATTGTCTTCATATGAATGAACATTTACATCTGTTACATCTAGCACTTATTAAAAAAAATATGAATGCTACTTTGAATTAACTTGATTTGTATAATTTTTAATGAAATGCAACATTTTTAAAGGTATTGTTTTAATTGGATCATCTAACTTATTTCATCAAATTCATTTTGCTTATGCATAAATATTACTTATCTACCTACTTAAAATTTATAAAACAAAGTGTAATGCATTCTTTTTCTTTTCTTCTATATAAAAGATAACGCCTTGAAATTCTTAAGTACACGCTACTTTCGATAAGTGTTGTAAATAAGTCATGACTCTCCACTCAGATAGCTTTGAATAAGAATTAACTTTTATCATATTTTTTTAAATCAAATCGTAAAACATTTAATGTCATTTGGTAAATTGCGAGAATTTTGTTTACCAGAGAAAGAAAAATGTTCGTGCTTTTTATGTTTTATGATTCATATGTTCGTGCGGAAACATAAGACACACACAAATGTATTTGGAGCTTATCATATTTTCTTCTTCCCTGTAATCGACACGCATGATATGAAAGCTTGTGAAATAGCAAATAGTTTTATTTGTGTTTTGAAAATTGTTTCAAATGGACATACTTCGCGAATTAAACGACGAAGAGTTGCAATATATCACGGAAGAACTTAAAAGTAAACTTCCTGATACTTTAAAGGATTTAAATTACATTTTGACAGTGAAAAGAAACAAAGATTTAGTTAAGAAAATTGAAAATGTATCAGAAAATTTCTTGCCAACTTTCTACACTCATCGGAGAGGATTGAAAGAAAACTGCACATTTTTTGCAATAACAGGTGCTGGTGATCACAACGTTTGGATTTTTTCATTCGAAGAAAACTTAAGCGAAGTAACAGAATGTTTGGAACAAACTTCACTTATTCGATGGAAAGATAAAATATTATTTGATATTGTGGACAGAAAAATAGCTTCACTAGTTATTGAACAGATTAATAAAAATAATTATAAACTGAAACTGTCTGTCGAAGGCTCCTACTATTACTTGAAAAAGGAAAAAGTTTATCAATTCGATCTCAGGTGAGAATGAATCGATTTTGATTGAATTTTTATTTCAAGGTCAATCTTCTTAGTATTCCTGATGGAACTTATTTGAAGAAATTAACTGAAACCGATGTAAAATTTTGCACAAGCACATGGGAATGGAGCAGTGAGACTACGGAAAATTTTGTTAGAACAATAATTCTGATTGATTGTGCTTATGGTCTTTGTGACAAATCAACTGATGAAATCTTATCATTTGGCACAATCAATCATTATTCGGCTATTTCAATGCTTTATACTGTTGAACATGCGAGAGGCAAAAAATATGGAGAATTCATTGCAAAATATCTGGCAGTAAAAATTGCGGAAGATTTCAGTTTGATACCAAACTGTTGCATTGTAACATCAAATATTGCATCAGAAAAACTGTTTAATAAATTGGGATATGAACGCATTTGTGACATAACTTGGGTTGTTGTCGAAGAAGCGAAATAATGTAAAATAATAAAGACAACTTTAAAAAGAACTTAAAACTTATGTGTGCATTTGTATCAAATAAGAAGAAAATAATTTATTCAAGCACGTGTATAATTAATATTACGCACTTGGAGCTTATCAATCTTCTTCTTCCCTGTGATCAAACGCATGATATGAAAACTTGTTGAAAACTCTATTCTTATTTTCGTGTTAAAATTTGTCTCAAATGGACATACTGCGTGAATTAAACGATGAAGAATTACAATATATCATGGAAAACCTTGAGAGTAAACTTCCTGACACTCTTATGGAGTTAAATTATATTTTAACAGTGAAGAGGAACAAAGATTTAGTAAAGAATATTGAACACGTATCAGAAAGTTTTCTGCCAACATTTTACACTCATCGAAAGGGGAAAAAAGAAAATTGTACATTTTTTGCAATAACAGGTGCGAATGATCACAGAGTTTGGATTTTCTCTTATGAAGAAAGTTTAAGAGAAGTGAAAGAATGCTTGGAACAAACTTCACTCATTCGATGGAAGGATAAAATTTTTTTTGACGTGGTTAATAAAAAAATAGCTTCACGAATAATTGAACACATTAATCAAAACAAATTCAATTTAAAACTGTCTGTCGAAGGCTCCTTCTACTATTTGGAAAAGGAAAAAGTTAATCAATTCGATCTCAAGTGAGAATAATTCGATTTTGATTGAATTTTTATATTCAAAGTCATTCTTCTTAGTATTCCTGATGGAACTTACTTAAAGAAATTAACTGAAAATGATGCAAAATATTGTGCAAGCACGTGGGAATGGAGCAGTGACACTACGGAGAACTTTGTCAAAACAATAATTCTGCTTGATTGTGCTTATGGTATTTGTGACAAATCAACTGATGAAATCTTATCATTTGGCATTATCAATCATTTCTCAGCTATTTCAATGCTTTATACTGTGGAACATGCAAGAGGAAAACACTACGGAGAACTCATTGCAAAATATTTGGCAGTGAAAATTGTTGAAAACTTCGATTTAGCACCAAATTGTTGCATAACAGGATCAAACATCGCATCGGAAAAACTATTTGATAAATTAGGATATGTCCACATCTGTGACGTATCACGAATCATTGTTTAAGAGAAATAATGTTTTAAAGTAAATGTTTCATCAAAAATATTTCTTTGAACTGTCACTGATATTCACTAAGCCGCCAAATACAAAAAACATTTTGAAATTTTGTTTCAAATTTAAAATTTACGAATATTTATCTTAACTTTATGATACTCAGCCTCCAGAGAAATTGATTATAATTTACTATACATCTTTCAAAGAATTTTAATAAATTATTATCAATTTAATTTATTATGAACAAAACTTTAATCCTAACTTCAATTCTTCCGGCACAAATTAAACGGAAAATTTAAATCGACGAGTGCGACATCTATGGAGAATTTCAGTACTGTTTGTCAGAAAAACATTTTTCTTACGCCTTGAAATCTTGCATTGAAGGAAAGCAAAACTTCACCTTTTCTTTTTTATTAATTCAACTACAATAGAGAAAATTAAACAACAAGATAATGCACAGAGGAAAGCCAAGAATGAGTGATGGGTAAATATACTTAATATTTCACTTTAATTTCCCAATTAATCTCATCTTTAATTTGTGTTTTTTTTTCTGAAAAGATCATTATTTCAGATTATAATTAATATAAATCAAATCTAATCATTATTATATCTTTCAAATGTAATTGCAGTTACTATGAAAACCAAAGCCGTAATTTTCAGGTAAATTAATTAGTTTCTTCATTTGCATGTTTTCTACTCCATTCTGAGTAAATTTTCTAAAGCAAAGAATTAAAGCCAATAACAAGTTATGCTAATTGTATAATTACATTAAAAATATGTCGAAAGTCAGACTTTCATAAATTTTCATAATTTCGTACTTTCAACTCTTTCAACTAAACTTTCACAGAGTTCCAAGTACAGTGGGAGTAATCGATATTATCGCGACAGAGATCCATCGCCAAAAAGAGTAGGACAGCGTTCAGTATCACCTGATGCCTCACCAAAAGATGGTAGAGACCGATATCATCAAAGTTCTAGTTACAGAAATAAAGATCGCGAGCGAGAATATAAAAAAGAAAAATATTCCGGTAGGTTCAAGATTGCTCGTAATGATGTTAAAACATGCATAACTCTTTCTATTCTTCTCGTAGATAAAAGAGGCCGTGACAGGGAAATGGACTACAAAAATTATAGTAAAAAAGCAAAAACCCGAGACCGGTCAAGTTCTGAGGATGAGCATAAAGACTCTGATAATAGATTATATGACAAGATGCGTGATAGACGTGGATGCGAGAAAGAAAAAAGATTCGGTGACTGGAAAGAGATGATTAGCAAAGGAAGTGGCAAGAAGTATTATTACAATGAAAGAGACAAATCATCGCAATGGGAGAAGCCAGAAGAATGGGCTGAATATGAAATGTAACAATTAAAATTTAAATTATTGAATATTTTAATTAACAAAATTCTTTCTCCTCACAGGACGAGAGAATATTCGTCGGGGCGGGGATATCGTGATAAAGAACGAGAAAGGAAGAGTCGTGATGATCGATACAATAGCGGAAATATAAGAAGAAGTTATAGTAGTAGCAAACATTCCCGAGGAAGTTCTCGTGCTCGATGGCCTCATGATTCCTATGGAGTACAACCATCAACAAGCTCATCTTTGGGTCATCATAAACGTAATGATGGTAAACATTCAACATACTCATCTTCAATAGTTTTGATTAATTATATTTATTGTAGAAAATGCGGAAATGGATATAAGTCCAGATTCAACGCCAAACTCGGAACCGAGTTATTGCTCTCCCACTGCCAGTAATCAGCACGCAAATAGTTCAAATCTCAACATAAATCATGAAGATTCAATAGCATCGTCACCTAACGGTCACCATAAACAATCGTCTGTGAACTCAACCAACCATCAGCTACATCATCAAATATCGAATACATCTACGACGTCAATAAGCTCTGGAAATCGTATTTTATTAAATGCTCATAAGAATGCTACAACAACGTCCTCATCACCACCAACAGCTCACAATTATTCATCATATCTTTCTTCCCATCACCATCGTTCTAATCGTTCAACGTCTCCAAGTGAAATTAATTCTTCACTTCTTCATAATAGTTCCGGTCATGATGCGAGCAATGCTCATCCCAATTCTAATAGTTTAAGAAATTCTCCATCTTATGGTGGTGGCACAAACAATGTTACAAATTCTATTAATTCAGTGAATCGTTTGGAGATGAACAATAGCGATCATTTAATTGGTGATGGACCACCGACGCCTGAAATGGATCTTAATTGTGCTAGTGATCACAAGAGAAGTAAGAAAAAAGATTTAATTAAATAGTTTTGATATCATAACTTAAATTTCTTTCTAGTTGATGCAACTACTAACATGAACAGCTTACAAAGTGTCATGTGTGGTACACAAATTTCAAACAGATTGAATCCTTTGACTCCAAGTTTAGCAAAGTTTTTTCGTGCTGACCTGATAACTCATGTAAACAATTGGCCATCTGAGATGTTAGAGAAGCAAGTAAGTCTATCATCAACTTCTATTAAATTTTAAGCAGCGAACAAATCATCATTTAATATGTTTAATCGCAGGCACAAAAATGCGCCGAAGAAGTTTATCTGCTTGGTGATCTTGAATGTAGTCGAATTTCAGCTGAAATTCAATGTGCAAGAAGTATTGTAAGAGTGGCAGAAATAGCTGCAACAATTCAATCACAAAGGTTTGTAATCACTCTTTCAAAATGAGACTTTCATGATGTTAACTTTTTCATTCAACTTTAAACTTCAGGAGGCTTTTTTTGCAAGAACAAATAAAAAGCTTGGACGACTCACAGACGCAGAGCGCTTCAGCCTTGTCTTATTAATTCATTGGAGATCACTTTACCTCCATGAGCTTACAATCAGATCAGTAATCTTATTTTATTTAATCAGAACCAGCAAATCTTTTCTTTTTTTAACACTCAAATAGACTTGAAAGTTTCCCTTTAGTTCAACATTGAGCTCTTTATGGGGTATCTACATATATAAAATAAATAAATAAGAAAATAAATAAATTATTACAACTTTTATTAAATGGAAATAGTTATTAATTTATTATTAAACTTTTGTACAAATTTCAGGCATTGCTGGTTAAATAGAAACTTAAAAAAAGTGAAACTTTACTTGAAATTCCAAAACAGCTAAACAGACATTCGAATGAACTTATCAGTCTGTATGATAAGAAGATAATTGATAAGTGTAAGCTATTAAATACTTAACAACTAAACTGATTCAATGCAATCAAATCTCATTGGTGATGAAGTGTTTCTAATATTTTATGGGTGGCGAAGATTAACATAAAACAACATAAATAAAAGTGACACAATGTCGAAAGTTCTGCAAGAACTTAATGATGAGGAATTGCAATACATCATCAATAAATTGGAAAGACATTTACCTCGCTTGATTAAAGATTTGTATTTCATATTAACAGCGCAACGATTGAGAAGTTCATCCGCTGATAATTTTCCTATCTTTTACAAATATTCTGAAGGTTTGATGGAAAATTGCACAATATTTGGGATAACAAAAGAAGGTGACCACAAAGTTTGGTTATTCACGCTTCAAGACAGCTTACAAGAGTTAACTGAATGTCTGGAAAAAACAAAATTAATTAACTGGGATAAAGTTTCGTTTGTGACTGTTCACAGGGCAATGACATTGCCGATATTTGAACATATCAAGAAGAATAATTTGAAATTGTTGGATGATGAACAAGGAAGTTATTACTGGATGATGAAGGAAAATGCTTTGAATTTGAATATCGAGTGAGATGATGCTTCGAAATTCGAATAATGTTAGAATAAATGTTGATACTTTCAGAATTCCAAATGGAACTTACGTGAAACGTTTATCGGACGCTGACAGTCATTTCTGCAACAATATTTGGAACTTCAGAAAAGAAAACTCAGAGCCTTTTGTGAGATCTTTAATCAATGTTAACGGTGGCTACGGTCTTTTCGATGAAACAAGTAATGAGCTTTTATGCTTTGCGTTAATCAATGATCATTCTGCTGTTGGGCTTCTTACCACAATTGAAAGATTTCGAGGCAAGAAATATGGACAACTCATTGCCAAATATGTTTCTTTGAAAATCTCAGAGACTTTGAATCTTCATCCAACAGTCTACATCAACGATGTTAATCCAATATCGAGAAGAATATTTGAACGAATTGGATTTCAAAAGATTGGCGATATGAATTGGATAGAAGTAAGAAAAAATTTAAACAAATAAAAAATAATTTTCCTATGAAATTCCTTTATGTAATTATCTCCTTTTCTCTAAATAATTAGCAACATATAAAATACTGTCTTAATTGTACATGTTTACAATATTTATGCTCTATGTACATAAAACTGTCAAAAAAAAGATAATAAAAAAATAAATTTTGCACCCGATTTTCTTTCATAAATTTAACTTAATTTAAATAAAACATTTTCCTAGGATGTGACAAAAATCATTGCAAATTAACAAGTTCGTAAATTATTAAATTCATCGTTTTGCTTTGATTGAAGCCAGTTTTTGGGTATTGTGAAAAGGTTCATTAACCTCTGAAAAAAGGCAAGAAAATGATAAAAAATGGTGGGTCGGATTTAAGACTTGATTCAAAAGTTTGAATTGCTTAAACGGGAATAAAATTTCAAACTTACTTTCGATAAATCTTAAAATCTTTTTAAGAATATTTGTCTGTGATTTAATGGACTCAAAGTTTTCAATGATACGACTTCCAATTATCACGCATTTTCGAGAAATATCAACGACAAGCAACAATAAATTTATCGACCTGAATATCGAGACTATCTAAGTAAATGATTCTTTGATTACATCACTAACATGCTGCTTCCGGTGGAAGTATTCGATGGATTGAACAGAAGATTCCGATGAAAACCGTTTTGCTGATAAGGTTTTCCATTCGCAATCGTAGTTTCATTTTTCAGTACTGAATATTTCGTGTCGGCGTATGTTGGCAAAGTCACCTTTTGCAATCGTGCAAAATATTTCGCCTGTCAAAATATTAGTCATTAGAAATTTAATCTAATTTCGAAATAATCCTACTCACTCTGTTGTAACAAAGAACACCACAACACGCCATGACCATTCCTAAAATATTCATCCATGTCACAGGATTTCCAAGAATAAATAATGATATACCGATGACAAATATTCGTTTTGATGCGCTTGCTACCGCATAGGTCAAGGGTGTCACAAGTGAAAGTACGGAGAAAGCAAGAATATTTTGTAGCCAATTTAACACTCCATCAAAAAATAGCAAAGAAATAACTCGATAATCAAGATTTATCTGAAATATTTCATTTTAGTTACTTTTGTTGATTGTTAAATCATTAAATGACAACTCACAATTGACGGATGTTTCAGAACACTAAACATGTCTGAGAAAATCCAAACAGGAAGGAAGAGAAAGAATGCTAAACGACCAAGGACGTGAAGTAATCTCAAATGATGAATTTGTGTGTCTTTTAATACTTTCTTCGAAAATATATTTTGTAAACTGAATCCAAGTGTCGATATTAAAGCTGACACTAATCCTATCATATCAAAGCTTATTTCTGTTAACGTAGCTATCAACACTCCAGTAATTATGGGCACCAAACTGATGTAGATGGAAAATGTTTGTTTTTCTTTCATTATTATTCTTGAGAGAACAACTGTGAAAAGTGGCATTGTTGCTTTAACTGTAGTGAAAAGAAGATAAAAATTAATTAAATAAAGAAACACATGTTTCGTAGACATTGCTGATTGTAATTTCTGTGAAATTGTTTTCTGTTTAATTTTCAAACAAGTTGAAACACCTGAGTGGCATAGAAACACGCAGAAATTTGAAGGTCGAAACTTTCAAATCTAACAGTGGTCAATTGCAAAACTTCACTTTCACGATTCAAAAATATGTTACACATTTAATTCAGTGAACTCTCACCTGTGTGGGCGTAAGAAACAGGCACTTTCCATATAGACACGTGACTAGATACACTACTTAAGAATTTTCCCAAAGCTAGAGGGATAATAAATTGGAAATAATATTTCCAATTCATGTCTGCATTTTTTCGTATATGGAATAAGTTGAAGAATGGTCCACTATAAAATGTTATCGATAAGAGTTGAACCATGGTGACTGTCATTGGGTACGGAAGTTCACTAAGAACCATTTTTCCTAAAAATAGAAAGGACGAATTTTCAATAACATTTGAAAAATAAATTTAAACAATTTTAATTCTTACCTATGACATTGTTAGTTGAGCTGCAGATATACCACAAAACACATAACAATATAATTAGTACCGTCTGTTTAGTCTCTGTGGCCATTTCAGTCAACTAACTACAATTAAACTCTACAACTAATAATTTATTTATTTACAAGACTTAATATTTTTTTGTGACACATCAGATGGAAATATATTATCCAATAAGACAAATGACTATGTGGAATTGTATTTGAACTGGATGAAAAATGTATTTGTGCGTATGGGCTTATTTATATTTTGTCTCTATTTTTCATTTTTGAAAAAAGCTTCGTTGCGTTTGGATTCTATGACATTGCTAGTTTTGATTAAATCAAATTTTCAACAAATCGACACAAACTTTTATGTTTACCTTGTGTTTTACAGGTTTAAGACAATAAATTTCACAATTTTAAAGAATAATTAAACATTTTCTAGTGAATAATAAAAACGTCGTTATCTTATATTTCTTTTGAATGCTATAATTGTAGTACCAGGTTTTTTTTGGCGCCATCTCCTTTTACTTTAACGACATCTATGTTTGAAAATTGTTTAGCTTACATAAGTATTTGATTCCTATCACTTCAAAGAAAGACGAATTTGTAAAATATTGAAATATTAATTGAATTTCAAGATATTAATAAACAAAAAAGAGTTTTCTGCAAACTTTGACACGTTATCATCTAGGATTATATAGAATGTAAGCATTTAAACTTGATAGAGTGTTATAAATCGAGTTAAAAATCGGAATGCTTTGAAATTTTATTTAAGTTAGTGTTAGTGAGAAATAAGAAAATGGAGGATAATAAACGCTTTGAACTATTGCGTTTCAAAAATCAGCTTCTGAAGCCACATGTCGGGTTCTTGGTGTTCATGTGTAGCAAATTGGACAAAGCAGAGGCTGAAAAATGGAATATAATGCTCAGATTCATAAATTCCGATAGAATGTAAGTAGAAAAGAAATGAAGCCTAAAAGTTTTGTTCAGAACCCTCTTTTAAAATCTCTAAACAGTACTTCTCATGAGTTATTCTGATATTTAAGCCTCTAATCAAGTGGTTTTCCTCCGTATTATCTTCAACACTTTATTCTCGGTTTCTGATTCTCTTTACGTTCGAACGCGTTGTTACATAATCTCTGCTCATTCAAGGAGCCCTTAATTTATAAAATGAGTAGTTTCTTCATAGATGTTTGAAAAACTACCTGTCTAATCTAAGGGGGTGTAAATATTTCATTCTTATTTGTTCAAGCATTGAAATCTTAATATAATGGTGGTTGAAGGGAGACATTTTTCACTTCAATTTAGTTAACTTGGTTTGGGATTTTTCCCTTTCCCCACTTGCAGTGGAACAAAAAATATCGTACTATCGAGAATATCGTTGTATCAAGAGCTTCCACTGTAATTAATATTTTATTTGTTGATTACATCAAGATTAATTCATAAATTCCACAACATACATAAACTATCATCCCATACATTAAAACTTCGATAAGCCGATATCTTTTTGTCCCCTCGAGCCATCGGCTTATCGAAGCTCCACCGTATTAATATTTTTAACTCTTTCAGAGTAAGCAAGGATCAGATCAATAACATGAACAGTGCCATTTTAAATGCAAAGAATACACTTCGGAGTAAAACTGCAAATAAGAAATTAGAGGTGAGTTATTAAGTATTTATGTAGTTATGAAAAGTCAGACTTATGAAGTATTTCACACAGATTCATCAACCAAGTTCTTCGCATACAGTTGATCAAAGATTAGAACAATACAAAAATAAGAGCCCTGTACGGTATTACGGTCGACAAGATTCTGGTGGCTATGCGGTTAAAGAAAGAGTTGTTGTAGAAAGAACAATTTACCATAATAATTATTCAGAGCGTCAAGAAAATCAAAGTTTTGAGACGTCAAACTTTCATAATCGAGATCCAAGAATTCGTAGATTGCAAGATGCTTCATCATCTCATCGAAACGAATTTGATAATAACCGAAGAGAATGTACAGAAGTTTCAAATTACATCAAATATCTCCCTTCAAGTGAATCTTATAATTCAAATAATCAGTCACAAATGGCACACGATGGTTCGAGATATCAAGGTCATAAATATTCTCGTTTGCCTCCTAAAGGTCATGCATTACAGGAGTTTGAAAGTCTAAAAGAAACGTACAGTTCAAAACCGGAAGATCTAAGACCACATTCTTCATCAAAATATTCGGTATCGAATCATTCAAGCCGTCGTAACTCGCCAATTTTCAATGATGAAAGAAAACGTTCACCGTATAGGCCACGGAGTAGTGGAAGACATTCACCTATTCAGTATAAATCGAACGACTATGATGATCATTACTCTGGACATGAAACATATCGTTCAAGAGGAAGATCTCGTAAAGGTCGTCGTCAATATGTTGAAGATATGAAAAAACGCTCTGCGTCGAGAAATCGATTTTCACCTCATGCGACTGATGCATCGCGTTCAAAATTCGGAAAAACTTATGAATCTACAACAACTCGAAAGGATTTTGAAAGAGAGCAAGATAATCTCAGATCTAATTCAAACTCACATCAGTTCTCAAGAAAAGATCCATCAAGTAACGAAAATTATTCAAGAAATTTTGTTGCAAACGAGGTTAGCTCAAAAGCACAAGTTTGGGGTTATGCACGATCAAAGTCACGTGCTAAGTCAATTTTCAGCCATCATCCGAATCTTTCGCATGAAAATCAATCCCCTGTTATGCCGAATGAAGTCAAAAGAAAGCCACCACCTCGTCGTAAAAGCATGTTTGAACCTACAAATTGCGACAGGTACGAAAATTTTTATCAATCTAATAATCGATCAAGAGCTGCTTCTCCCGAACAAAAAACCTTCTCAAACGCAAGTTCTGGAAACTTCGATAATAATTTTGCATGTGATAATTTCAGTGGAACATGTTTTGGAATTTACAAGCCTTTTAGTGATTCCAAAAGCAAGAGACCATCTGAACAATTAGAATTGAAGCATTTTTCAAATGAAAACCCAACCCCAGTGTCCAATAACGTCGCAAGAAAACCGCCACCTCGCCGTAAAAGCATGTTTGAACCATCAAAATACGACAAATATGGAGATATTCATCGATCAAGACCTGCTTCTCCTGAACATAGAATACTCTCAAACAAAAATCGCAGAAATTCTGGTGACAGTTCTGCATTGAATTATAAAGCCACTGCCAATAATTTTGGAACTCATAAATCTTCTAATGATTCAGAAAATAATAAATCTTCCAAAGAATTGCAACGTGTTTCACATGAAATTCCAAAGTCAATGACGTCTAGTGAAATTAAAAAGAAGCCGCCACCTCGTCGTAAAAGCATGTTTGAACCATCAAGATACGACAAATATGAAGATTTTCATCGATCTAAGAATCGATCAAGGCCTGCTTCTCCCGAACAAAGAATTGTCTCAAACAAAACTCGCAGAAACTCTGGCGACAGTTTTGCATTGAATTATAACGCCACTGCCAATAATTTGGGAACTCATAAATCTTTCAATGATTCAGAAAATAACAAATCTTCCAAAGAATTGCAACGTGTTTCACATGAAATTCCAAAGTCTATGACGTCTAATGAAATTAAAAAGAAGCCACCACCTCGTCGTAAAAGCACGTATGAGCCATCAAGTCAGACCAAATCTGAAGAAAGCCATCGATTTAAAAATCGATCAAGACCTGCAACTCCAGAAGATAGAAAATCCAAAGACTTGAAACGTAATATTTCTGACAAAGGTTATGACGCTTCTAAGAAAAGTGCAGGGGTTGAAAAAGGTTCTGCTGCACACGAGTCTTCAAAACGTAGAAAAGGAGAAGAAACAGTTAAGGCTGTGGTATCAAAAGAACTCGATGTCGAAACTATTACAAATTGTTCTAAAAAAGTTGAAACACCAGACGAAATCATCAAAAGTCTACAAGAAAAATTGGGAACTGATGGTCTAAATCAGTTGAAAAATTTGTTAGTACAACATGTTAAAGATAGTGATAATAGTGGTCCGCCCATTGCCGGAACTTCAAGCGAGATAACGAAATCAAGAAATTCTCCAGAGCTTGTTAAAAGCGAAGATAATAAAAGAACAGAAAAACAATCTCCCGTGAGGGTTAAGAGTAAAACTGAAAACAGAAAATGTACAAAACGTTCTCTACCAATTATTGATGAAGATTCATCCAGTTCTTCTGATACTGCTTTAATTATCAAAAGAAAGAAGAAAAAAATATCAGAAGAGTTGAATGCAAAAGATAAACCAGTAGAAATTAAATCTACAAACAAATTGATTAAAAAGAAAATTGAAACTCAAGCATCTCCGTTGGTGACACAAAGAAAAGTGCCGCCGTCGGCTTCAACTCAACTAAATGAACAAGCAAAAATCACAAATAAGCAAGCTAAGAAGTGTGGTAGAAAATATAATGAATTAGACAGATTACATAATGATATCAAGGAGTTCTATGATGGCGAAGGGATAGCTCATTCAGGTGGTCCTAGAACTTGTACGATACAAAAGAAAACTTGCGATCAGAAGGATGAGTTTGGAATGGTTAAATGTTTTGTCGAAATTGAAGAGATTGATTTGAAACAGGAAGAAATGCCCGTAAAGTTAAACCGTGAGTTTTTTGCAAGACATTCTGAATTAAAAAAAGATTGGAGTCACTACCTGAAGCTTGAAAGATTGAAGAAAGAATTGGCTATAAGTTCACCAGAATCAGTGAATAGAAAAGAAATAAAAGAAACGAAATTAGAAACTTCTAAATTTCGTAGTCGAGAGGTGGAAACTTCGAACAAACATTGCCGGTCGAACGTAATTTTGAAAAGGCTTGGACTCGATCAAAAGAACTCCAAGCAAATTTGTACAAAAAAGAGACCAATAAAACAGATTGAGATTTCAAAAGCATCGCACATGTCACAAGTTAAAAATAAAAATCGAGTTTCAGAATCAATAACAGAAGACTCATATCCAGATCTAGTGGAAACATCAACGACAGTGAAGAAGACATCAAATGACTTCAAGGAATACGTCAAGAAAAACCATTCGAATTCAACTATACAGAAGACACAGTCTCCTCAAGCTGAGATATCAACCACGCTTAAAACTATGCAACCCTTTTCAAAAACGGTTGAAGCTAGAAAGAAAAGTTCAAAAACAGTTGAAGCTACAAGCAAAAGTTTGAAAGCGTTACATGCGCCATCTAACTCAGAGAAATCAACTACAGTACAAACTGGAAATGAATTTTCGAAATCAGTTGAAGCTGGAAATAAAAGTTCGAAAACAGTTGAAACTGGAAATGAAAGTTCGAAAACAGCACTAGCGCCATCTAACTCAGCTGAGGAATCAACCAAAGTGCAAACAGTTTATCCATTTTCAAAAACAGTTGAAACTGGAAATAAAATTTCGAAAGCGGCACAAGCGTCAACTAACTCAGCTGAAGAATCAACCAAAGTGCAAACTGTTTATCCATTTTCGGAAACAATTGAACTTCTATTTTCAAGTTTGAAAACAGCACAAGCGCCATCTGATTCAACTGAAAATTCAAGCACACCTCAGCAATCAAATAATAACATTGGTTCTCATCAAAATACGGAAAACGCTTCAAATACATCTAAAAAAAGTTTATTAGCAGATTTATTGAAGACTGACCTTATTGAACAGAGATCAAAGTTGGTTAAAAAAAGTTTTAATCCTCCAAACATACTGAAGAAAAGTAAAATCACGGAAACTTGCGCAACAAACATATTGGCACGATTTAAGCGAGCAGAATTACAAGACGAATGGGAAGATATTGAGGAGAAAAAGATTACTGAACCGCATAAGAAAGTCAAACTCCTTGATCTTGTAAATTTTATGGATAGTAAAAATATTTCTTGTGAGCAGAACAATCTTCTAAACTTCAAACCAATAATCACGCCTAGATTGTCAGAAGGAACATCAACTTCTGAGAAAAACGACCAGAAAGTTGAAGAGAAGAAAGACGATTCTCGATGGTTTTCACTGCTTACAGAGAATGAGAATGCATATTACTATTGCAAATTATGCTTGTTTAAATCATCAAATCAAGAAGCATTTATTACTCACATCGATTTTCTTCATTCAAGTTGGAAATGGTCAAAGTATTGCAGTATTTGTGAAAAAAACATCATTGAAGGAAGTAATTCGCACAAAGATGAATTTAAACATTACATTGAGCATATGAAATCTAGAAAAATTAAAACACAAATTCCATATACTGTTTCGGAAATCAAAGTTCTTCTTGGGGATTCATTGTCTCAAAAACCAGTGGAAAAGTTTATACCAATCGTGAATTCATCTGCAACAATTAAAGTTGTTGAAAACAATAAGGAATCAAAAGAGTTTTCTGCTGCACTTGTACCAAAACAAAATTCTTCAATCTCTTTCAAAATGCCACCGAAGACTGTTATTAAATACGTTTTTGAAGGCAACAAATTAGTTCCCATGAAAAGTTCACAGAATACGATCAGTTCATTAAAACTACGACCATGGCTTATGAAAAGACAAGTCGAGGTTTCCAAAAGCGAAGCACTTTGTGATGCAATGTTACAAAATTTTTATTGCCTTGCTGCCTTTTACAAATGTATGGGAACTACGTGCACATTTTATACTTGCGATCAAAATATTTTTCGTGATCATCTACTTAAACATTGGATGGTACAAAAGGAAGATTCAAAAAATTGGTTGATTTGCAGTTATTGTAACTATCGTGGAAATATTATTAGCGATTTTATAAGACATTTGAATGCTAATCATGGCTGGGATCGTTTTCAATGCACTTACTGCTTCTTTCGTGCATGTAATTCATCTTCTGTTCTTTATTATCATCAAAAAATGCATCATTTTAAATTAGAACGTAAAGTTATAGAATGTGAGCCACGCTATTCTCGAGATGCATCTCAAGAAGTTGCAGAGATTATGAAGAACATTGCAACATATGTGTCTCTGCTTACGTGTTCAAGTGAGTGAAAAATTTAAGGAGATTTTATGGAAAGTTTATTTTCTTTTTATTTTATTTTATTAAAGTGTGTCCGGCTAGTTTCTATACCTTTGATTTATATGAGAGGCATCTGATTTCACATAATGACAAGATGGCAACAAAATGTAAGAAATGTTGTCGAGTTTTGTTAGCTGCGTCATTTCAACAACATCTACTTAAATGCCAAGGAATTGGTCTTTACCAATGTGTTTATTGCTGGTATGGGACTAATCTTTCTAAAGATATTTTGAATCATGTTATTTCGTGTCATTCAAACCGTTCTTCGTATTATTGTGAACGAATGCTACTATCTGATGGAACGAATTGGAATCAAGTGAAGGTAAGAAAACATCAATTTTAATTACAAACAATGTTTAGCTTATTAAGAAATGTATCTCTATAGACCGCTCCTAATTCTATAAATACTTTGAGCATCAAGTTAATTAAAAATAGTTCGTCTGGAGTTCCTTTCGTGAAGATAGCCAATGATCCGTGTTTGAAGAATGAAAATAATTGGCGTATCATAGACGCTTCATCGGTGAAAGCTGTTGAATCATCACAAGCAGTGAATACAGATTCAACTTCCCAATCAGATAATTTTATCCCACCAATAGCTGTAGACCCAATGTCTGTTAACACCAGCAATGATGATGGTGTTCAAAATCAACAAGCTAAGTCATCGCTTCAAATTTCAAATGTCATTTCGTTGGCTGGAAATGTCGATTTTTGAATGGTTCAACAAAATCGTTTACAATGCTTACAAATGAATATCGCAAGAAATAGAAGTGAACAAATATTAATTTATAAGTTGTTTTAATGTAATTACAAGCTTCAATAACGTGTGGTTCACTGTATTGTATAAATGAAAGATTCACCAATGTTTCATGATTAAATTTGAAATTAATCAATAAAAACATTTGAAATTTGTATTTCCAAAATGATATCGAAAGGATGTTATATCGAGAGAAATGTTGTATGGAGTGAATTTTTTTTCAGATTTCGAGTGTGTGCAAAAAATGCGACACTGACATTTAATCAGCGACTTGACTAACCGACTTGCGTCTTTAAATTACTCGACTTATCTACTTGACTTGACTAAAAAAACTTTTGAATTGACTTTCTCGGGTGACTTGACTTGAAGCAAAACCCGAACGATTCAATATAAGCATTTAATTCATAAATAAGATTAAATACCTTACAGATAAGTAAATAACCGGAACCATTCATTTTTAATAAAAACGTTTAATGAAATTTTTTGATAACGGATAATTTTTATTATATAAGTATTTTAACGAACACAAATTAGTTCTATTGAACATCTTTTATACATCGAGCATTGTTAATGAAGACACATCGTTCTTGCTCTACATCGTAGTGGAATAAATGTTGACATTGTTGAATTGATCGATTTCCATTATCGCAATAGACAAACCAATTACAATTTGTTGGATGTGGAAGTGTGCCGACAAAACTAATGCGACAGTCAGGGAGGGTTGGTGAATCGTCGATAGCAGTTTCCTGAAATATTTTCAATGATGACAAATTATATCCAATCGCTACTTGAAAATATATTCTTGTTTCTTACATCACATCCTGCTCTAGATGGATCATCACAATATTCCATTTCAATGTTCCAATGTTGACCATCTCGACATAAGACCAAATTTGGAACACCATTCAAACAAATGTAATACTCATCACAATGATCACCAGGAAGAAAAATCACTTCATTGGTGTTTAATGGGCATTCAGAGTCTCCATTATCTGGATAGTCTGGATAATCTGGATTATCATCTACGTCACTCCAACAAACTGCTTCTCCTTCAACACCTTTTTATGTTCCGTTAATTAAGATTATTGGATATTTTAATGATAAGAAAAATGTGATTTGTTAAAATAATTTTATGTGACTTAAATTAAAAATTCGAAAGATGAATTTTTATTTCACCGAGTGATTAAAAAGAAAATAAAATCTACAATATTGATGTGTGTTTCATAAAATCTCATTCGATCCCAAAGAATTTTCTTTCGATTGGTTCAATTAAGCATTCTTGAAATCCATTCAATGCTTATAATGATGATTGATAAAATAATTTATTATTTTTACCACAAAATTGTCCTTGTGCATCAAAAATTGGTTGATCATCCGGACAAAAGTCTTCATATGGTTCATTAAATTCATCGCATCCCCTGATTATCATTTCAATTAAATTTATTAAACTATGAAATTATTTCAACTTGAATATTTTACCAAAATTGATTGCAATTTTCATGTGCAAAGAATGCAATATCAGGAAAAAGTTCACAAAAGTCCGGCTCAAACATACCTTGAGCTGGAGTAATTCGCAAGTTATTTCGACGATTAGACGTCAGAACAACTGTAACTAAACTCAGAACTATCAACAATTTACCACCGCACATGTTTAACGAGAACTAAAGTTAGCAAATATTTTCCAATACTTTTATATCCAATTTTGAAGAAGGTTATCATGATCATCATTTACGATAAGGAAAATAAAAAGGTTGATAAAACTTTTACTCAATCAATCAAATTTGCAATTTATTTTCTTCTTTTTATTATTTATTTCTTATCAAAATATTTCCATGGTCTTGTTTACTCATCAAGTTGCTCGCCGCTTGCAGTCAGAAACATTTTTAATCCAATTTCGTTTCTTAGACTTTCTTCATTGGCACCAGCTACTGCTAAAAAGTGTCTGTGGGTTGGTGTCAGAAATTGTCTCAGCGTGAGTTTATCATCGGGCATTCCCAGAGTCTGTCAAATTGTAACAAGAGAAAGTTTGATTTTCATTCATGTTAAACTATGCAAATCTTCTCACCTCTTCTAAAGTTCCTACGAATTTAATGCCAGGCGAACTCAGTGGAACCATTCGATCATAAAAGTAAGCGGTTTTACTGGGATGATGATTGGCTATGTGTGATTTTATTGCACCCGTTGTAGGTGCTCCATAGCGACACCAACCACATTGTTTCTCACCATAATTGAAACATTTCCTGAGATGTCGAATAGTTGTCGAAGACATTACAGATTGCGAACATTTTGTACAATCTCTACTCGGAACATTTCTTGTGTGACATCTCTCTATGTGCTTTTTATAGTTATGAATGTTGAAGCATTTGAATGCACATACTGATCAAATAAAGAAAAGGAAAACTTATTAATAGTTTTGAATTTACAACAAATAAGAATTCACATTCACAAATTGAAAAGTAATTTTGAAAACGATGTGAACTCGGCAAGGATCATGTTGAGATCGACAATGAATCTATTATGGGGTTCAAATGTTGCTTTTCAACTATACAGTGGGCTCTTTATAGTACGATATTCAAGGGATCTCCCTGTATCGATAGATCGTACTATCAAGATTCCACTGTTTTACCCCTCCGTTGAAACTAAACAACAATTTATTGAAATGCACGCTTGCTAAGTTACATCCAATAAAAGTTAATATTTATTAAATTATATCATAAAGTAATCACAAAAACCATCTTGACCATCACAATAGGCGATCGTAAAATGTTTACATTGTTCAAATGTCACGTATTGGGACGACATTCTAGTACGATAAAACATTCAAGAATTTTCAATATTTAGAACGTATACCTAAGTGAAAAGGAGAGTTTATTTAGTTTAGAATGTTAAAGTGATAAGTCGTAAGTAAAGTGAAATTATTGTGAATAAATACAAGAGACATGAAAACTTTTTTTAATAAAAAATTCTTTGGTATGAAACTTTCTCAATGTCTTTGAAAATATTTAAATAAATAGAAAAAATTGAATTAGGTATATAAAATGAAATACTTACAAAAACATGACATTGCAGGAGCAAATATCGAGCTGTTAAATTTGACTTCAATCAACTCGTCATCAGAATGTCTTAGTGAAAGTTTCGGGTTGTGAATTAAGATAACTGAAGGATTTTTTGTTGGATGATACATTGATTGATGAAGTCGCATTTGTAAATCAAATGAACGATAAAAGCAGAAACAGCATTGCATTGGACTCTTTTGATGTTCATCCATGATATGTTCAATAAGTTCCATGGCTGATTCTGATTGATATTCACAATAAGCACACAAAGAAAAACTATCAGAATCTGTTGGGTGTAAATTATTATGAATTTCTAAATGTTCACGAAAAAGATCACTGCTGCTTGTACAAAACAGACATTTCGTCGCCATGCATTTGAATAAAGCATTCAATTGAAAGTTTTCCAACATAGTGATACAAGCTCGATGAACTTTTCTATTTGTTAAATTCATTGAATGCATCCATGGTCGAAGCTTCCTCATTGTCATATCTGCAGTAAGAATAGCGTTCATACAATTATGAAATTGCTTTTTTTCTTCCTTTTGTGGAGCGATGCGAATACTCGAAAATGAAGCCATGTAACTGTCAGCACGTTTCATGCCGACTGGTAAGTTGGTGATGATAAAATCTTCACAAAGTATATGATCAACCACCATATGATTTAATTCATCCATTAATGAGCTTGCATTCTCTTTGATATTCTTTTGACATGCACGACATTTTCCAAACCAACGATAGTTTTTATGTTGGCTGTAGAGATGTTTCTCAAAAAAACAAAATTCCTTGGTTTGAAGCACACATAAGTTACAACAATAACTAAGAACTGAATCGATTACAGTGTAATGCATGTGAATGACTGTTCGTTTGTGAACGACATTTGTTTCAGATGGTCTCGGCTTTTTTTGTTGATATTCCACAATTTCATTAAATTTAGGAGTTTCCATTTCAGTTTCAAACTCTTCAACCACAGGAGTCGCATTGAATTCTTTTGGTTCTTCATATGGAATATCCAATTCAGGTTCACTCTTAATTGTCACTTGTGAATTAAATGAAAATGAGGATGCTTGATTAGTGTGTGGTGTTGGAAGTTTAACTTCTCTCATCTTATTTTGGAGGACACATCTTTTAAGCGGCACAAAACAATCCTTTATCTTATATTTCTCTTTCAAATAGTCGATGTTACTATTGTACTTCTTTTCCGAGCAAGTTATTGTTGGAATTATTGACTTGTTATTGTCGGTATCACTTTCTTTTGACTTATAATTATCCCACAATCCAGACGAAATATCCATAGATTCATGTTGAGATGAGGTTGTAGAGTTTTTAAGAATTATTTTTCTAGTTTCGTGATTGATTTTAGAATTCTGGTGAGGTAATTGAGGGATTTTAGCTCCACTGACTTTTTCTCGAACAACTTTGATAGTGTAATCGATATCTTTGATTTGTTTTAAAGAAAGTCTGTTGAAATTTATAAAGTGATGAGAAAATATTAAACATTAAATATAAACAAAAGGGGGGAAAACCATTTAGCAATACTTACGTCTCATCGGAAGTTATAACTTCATAAAGTTTTTTCCATTTTCCTTCGAATTGAGTGTCTTTCACTTTATCTAGCATGTGTTTAACGAACGGTAAATGACGCTGACGAAGGAAATTTTTTGTGTTTGTCTCTGACATTGTAACTCTTTTTAAATTTCTTAGTTATTAAAAATTTTGAAAAAATATTCAACAAACAAATTTCATAAAATATTAGATGAGAACTAAGAATTTCAACTCTTTTTTAAGCACTTCATGTAATTTTGCCACATATTATTTAATAAAACATCTTCACTATGNTTATTTACGATAAGGAAAATAAAAAGGTTGATAAAACTTTTACTCAATCAATCAAATTTGCAATTTATTTTCTTCTTTTTATTATTTATTTCTTATCAAAATATTTCCATGGTCTTGTTTACTCATCAAGTTGCTCGCCGCTTGCAGTCAGAAACATTTTTAATCCAATTTCGTTTCTTAGACTTTCTTCATTGGCACCAGCTACTGCTAAAAAGTGTCTGTGGGTTGGTGTCAGAAATTGTCTCAGCGTGAGTTTATCATCGGGCATTCCCAGAGTCTGTCAAATTGTAACAAGAGAAAGTTTGATTTTCATTCATGTTAAACTATGCAAATCTTCTCACCTCTTCTAAAGTTCCTACGAATTTAATGCCAGGCGAACTCAGTGGAACCATTCGATCATAAAAGTAAGCGGTTTTACTGGGATGATGATTGGCTATGTGTGATTTTATTGCACCCGTTGTAGGTGCTCCATAGCGACACCAACCACATTGTTTCTCACCATAATTGAAACATTTCCTGAGATGTCGAATAGTTGTCGAAGACATTACAGATTGCGAACATTTTGTACAATCTCTACTCGGAACATTTCTTGTGTGACATCTCTCTATGTGCTTTTTATAGTTATGAATGTTGAAGCATTTGAATGCACATACTAATCAAATAAAGAAAAGGAAAACTTATTAATAGTTTTGAATTTACAACAAATAAGAGTTCACATTCACAAATTGAAAAGTAAATTTGAAAACGATGTGAACTCAGCAAGGATCATGTTGAGATCGACAATGAATCTATTATGGGGTTCTTAAATGTTGCTTTTCAACTATACAGTGGGCTCTTTATAGTACGATATGCAAGGGATCTCCTTGTATCGATAGATCGTACTATCAAGATTCCACTGTGTTACCCCTCCGTTGAAACTAAACAACAATTTATTGAAATGCACGCTTGCTAAGTTACATCCAATAAAAGTTAATATTTATTAAATTATATCATAAAGTAATCACAAAAACCATCTTGACCATCACAATAGGCGATCGTAAAATGTTTACATTGTTCAAATGTCACGTATTGGGACGACATTCTAGTACGATAAAACATTCAAGAATTTTCAATATTTAGAACGTATACCTAAGTGAAAAGGAGAGTTTATTTAGTTTAGAATGTTAAAGTGATAAGTCGTAAGTAAAGTGAAATTATTGTNTTAATAATTTAATTTTATAAAATAGTAATAAAATAATATTTCTTATTGTACATAACAGGTGGAATGAACATAGGTATTTTAACGGTGATTTTCATATTAGAAACCTTTTACGGTTGAGAATGTTTTCAATGTTTTTATTTTTATTCGTTATAAAACATTTAAAAACATTCAAAAGCATCAAAGTGGGCATCAAACTCACAATTAAAATTTATATCACAACTTCAATTTCATTTTTTATATCATTAAAGATATTTCAAGATAATTCAAATATTTATTTTTGTTCCTTAGTTTAAGATAACCTTCTTAAATCTTTAATCTTCCAGTTATTAAGTGAATTTAAACACTTTCTTCTATTTGTTTACAATTTTTTAAGAATGAAGTACTTGAAAAGAAATGGATAAAACAAATTTAAAGATCAAGGACGTTTCTAAAGATAAACAACATCTCAAAACTCATATTCCCTTTATCGAGGATATGGTAAAAAGATGCAAAGACACACAATATGAAGAGACATGGAAGAAAATGTTATTAGTGATCAGCTCAGATATGTCGTAAGTTTCAATAGAAAAGATATAAAGTTCTATCTAAATACATCTGAATTGCCGCTAAAAATTTGCAAAAGCTGAATAAACAGTTTATATTTTGATCACAAGAGCCTTACTAAAAGATATTTTATATACTTCCAGCTTATCACTCAGTCGTATACAAACTTTGGAAGAAAAAATTTCTAAACTGAAAGAGGACATGAAAAAACAACAAAAAGAATTGGAAGTAAGTAAGGTAAAGTAAACAGCTTCTATTTATTTTAATGTGTTATCCTTTATTGCACAGTGTCATCTCAATGTGAAAATTAAAGAGGAAAAGTGTGAAAATAGTCACGAAAACATCGATTCAACAAATACTTCAGCTAGAGAGCAAATACCAAAACATGAGGAAACTCCTTATGATGATTTACTAGAAGTTATTAAAACAGAAACTCCAAAAACAGTTTCAGGACAAGAAGATATTGAAAATAAGAAATCTGTTAAAGATAAATCTTCTTCCCCTAAAGGAGTATCTAATAAGTCAAAAAATATCCAGAAAAAAAAGAAATCTAACAACCCAACACTTAGAATACGTTTAAATAGAAGAAAAAAAGTTAACAAAGTACGAAAAAAAAGCCAAAAAACAAAAACTAATTTATCGAAGAAAAATTCAAAGAAATGTATCGAAAAACCAGATTCGATATTGGAAGAGGAAGACGAACCTTTACTTGTAGAAATTGTGAAGAAAAAAGACGAAAATGAAGCATTATTGTCAAAGAAAATGATTGAAAACTTGAAAGATCTTAACAACAAAAAGAAGAATGGCGTAAAACGGAACTCGCCCTATGATTTTATTGGCAATAGGAAGATAGCACAATTGAACGCAGCTGTTAATGAATTGTCAAAAAACGGTGAACCGAATCCTGAAGAGATTTTAAAATCCTTTGAAAGAATATTGGGTCAAGTATTCTTTTTGAAATTTAAAACCTTATTGGACAAAGGAAAAGCCGGTTACAACGAGTTGGAGTTGTTAAATCGATCTTTATCGTCTTCGTTTATCGGAGAAGCTGTCAAAGCAACCTCATCAAAATTACGTCATGGGAGATCTTTTGGCAGTGATAAAAATGAGAACGTCAAAGTTAAGTATGAATTAAAGGAATGCTGCGTTTTGATCGAGAGATTAGATTATGAACTCGTTCAAACTACGGTCAAAATTCAAAGTGATGGATCATTCAAGAAAATTGATTACAATGCACAGCAAACTTTAATACCATTAGATGAAATCAAAAAAGAACCTTCAACTGATATGATGGAGGAAATTGATGCGACTACAGACTCAAAGCCTTGTTTAGTTAGTCACATTTCAAAATTCATTCAGAATTTGGAAATAATTGTTGAAAACATTTCAATCACCAACTGCCGAGGAGGAAAACTCTTCAAATGTAAACAAAGACGAGATCACAATTGCAATTTTGAAAGTTTTGATGAAGAAATATTCAAGTATCATATTCAATCAAAACATTTTCTTGTCAAATGGAGCGGATTTTGTGAGACATGTAAGAAAAGTGTTTCAAATATTAATCCTCTGCTTGAAGAATATTTCCATATAAAAAATTGCCATAATGAAGGGATGTTAACTGAAATAACTGAAATCGATCAAAATAAAAGTCAGTGGAAAGTTGGTGAAGCAAAGAATGGAGAGTTGAATAAATTAAAACTTTTCAAAGTAGATGCTGCTGAGAAAAAACCTTCAACGGTAGTCGCAAATGTCCCAAAATTGAGTGAGAAACCATCAGAAGTACCGAAATTAAGTGAGAAACCATCAGAAGTACCGAAATTAAGTGAGAAACCATCAGATGTACCGAAAGTGACTGAGAAACCATCAAATGTACAAAAACTGAGTGAGAAACCACCAGAAGTATCCGAAGCAGCAGAGAAACCACCAGAAATGTCTGAAACAGCAGAAAAAACTGCTGAAGAAACTCATCCACCTACAACAACAAGTGAAATAGAATCGACTACAAAACTTCGGCCTTGGCTGAACATGCAAGACTCAAAAACAAATGAAGCCATTACACACATGTTGAAGCATTCCTATTTGTTCCATTTGTATAAATGTATGGGATCGTCGTGTAGTTTAACTACAAATAACCCAAAAACGTTCACAAATCATCTTTCAGAACATAAAATTTCACATAATTCTGACATTGGCAATTTTGGAAGTTGCGCCTATTGTAGTTTTAAAACATTTCTACCGAAGAAGTTAGTGATCCACATCGAGAGTAAACATTCGACATCCAAGTTTTCTTGCTCAAAGTGTTTCTTTCGCGCCATATCAAAACAACATGTGCTTTGGCATTATGAAGTTTTTCATGAATTGAATGCAAACACCAAGCAATTAATGGTTTTAGAATGTATAGGAAGTGGAGAAAATGATATTAATGATGAAATCAATAACATCAGACTTAATTTAGCGGAGCACGTTCCACCAATAATTTGTGCTTGTAAGTTCAACAATTCAGATTTAATTTTGTATTTTATTTTGATATTTATTTTTGTATTACAGCATGCAAGAATAAATCTTTTAATAAGTCTGCCTTCATCACACATCTTATCGAAAAACATCCAGATTGGAAGAGTTGGAAGAATCGATGTAAAAAATGTCATGAAGATGTCGATTCACAGAATATTTTTCAACACTTGGAGACTTGTCATCAAATATTTCGTTTCCAATGTGCATTCTGCGTTTACGGATGTGAAGAACTTAAAGAAATTCGATATCATTTGATGAACTTTCATTCAAATGAACGTCCTTTCTTCTGCGAAAGAGTGAAATCGAAATATAAAGTTAAAAACGATCCAACTAATATCAATAATTTTGTCACTTTGAAATTGATGGAATTCAAAGATAGCGAAACGAGTTAAATGAATTAAATATCTCGCTCAAAATGAATTAAATTATACTTAATATCTTAAAATATGATTGAATAAAGAATTTGTACTTGTCAATTGGATTTTTAATTTTAAATCTCAATTCCAACCCTTAGTTCGAAATTCTTTTTTGTTCCATTCTTTGACTTCCAAATATTCTCAGAATGAGATTTTTGTTTTAAAATTTCGTCATATTTTAGTTTCGCAACTTCTATCAAATTGGATCTTTCCATTGGATCGAAATTATTAATTAAACTTCGAAAGTATCCTGAAGGTTGTTGGAGCAGTTTATATGGAACGCCATATTCCTTTGCATATCCATTATCCATCACCAGAACCATATCAGAATCCATAATGGTATGTAAACGATGAGCGATCGTTAAAACTGTGCAATCTGAGAAATTTTCTCGAATGGTTTTCTGTATCAAAGCGTCTGTAACTTGATCAATGTTTGCTGTCGCCTCATCAAGCAGCAGAATTTTATTTTTTCTAAGGCAACTTCGAGCTAAGCATATTAGTTGCCGTTGACCGACACTGAAATTATTCCCACCTTCAGTCACCATGTTTTGAAGACCATTAATAACAGTTTTCATCTCAACCACCTCCAACGCCTTCCAAATCTGATCGTCTTGAAAGACATTAAACGGATCTAAATTATAACGAATCGTTGCAGTAAACAACACGGGATCTTGTGGAATTATTGAGATTTTCGATCTTAAACTCTCTAAATTTATTTCGCTTGTGTCGATGTTATCAATCGAAATTGTTCCATCGATATAAGACAAACGGAACAATGCATTGATTATTGAACTTTTCCCAGCTCCTGTTCTGAAGAATAAAGGAAGCATTTTGAATGAGAAACTAAATTTCAAGTTAATACAAACCTTCCAACGATGCCAATTTTCATTCCAGGCCTGATGGTCATGTTTAAGTTTTTCAAAGCAGGTGACATTTTGTTGTCGTAGTAAAGCGAAACGTTCTTGAATTCAATTAAACCTTGACGAAGATTAAACAAAAAATGATTGAATAAGTTTTAATTCCATCGTCAATTAATGTTTACCATTCATCGGCCATTCTCTTGGAGGTTTTCTTAAAATATTTGGTTCTTCTTCTAATTTCGTGTATTGCAAGACACGTTCTGTGTCGGAGAATAGTTGAAATGATTCCATCGCTTGTCTCAATCCATATTGGACCATTCCTGTGAGTATAAGTGCTTGTGATATCGCTAAACCAACATTTGAAGAACTTGTTGCTGTTTTTTCATTCAATCCAATGAAACTGAAGCAGATACAAGCAACGAAACCACATGAAACGATATCCAACCAAAGCCCAAATGCTGCAATATCAAAGAAATTAAAAGCATCAAGAGTGGATCATTGAATGATTATCGAACCTGCATTGACACTCATCAATATCTGCCAAACACCCGAATGAACATCTTGGAGATCATCAAATTCAATTGTCAGTCTTTGACCAGCTTTGAAAGCTCGTACAGTTGAAATTCCTTTTAATGTTGACGTTATGTGACTAAATACTGGCGTTTTAGCTGTAGCAGGTAATAATTTAAATGATTTAATGCCAATAGAAATTCTTATCAACTTACTGCTTCCTTCCAATCTCTTCAAATCTTGAGCAGTTCGTAAGTAAAGTTTGAGAATCAATCCATAAAAAATGATTGCACCTCCTAATGCTATTAGAAACCATTGACCTGATGTTGTAATAGCAATGAGAATCAATATTCCCAACATCACCAATAAATTCTGAGTTGCCTCAACGATTGCTTTTGGTAAAAGTTCGTCAACTGCACCCATGTCTTTAGAGAATCTATTTAAAATCCTTCCAGATGGATTTGTGTCAAAAAATGTCATGGGGCTGTGTAAGAGTTTTGAAAAACTTTTATCGTGAAGCTTCTTTGATGCTCGCATACAAACAGCAAAGAAAATAAATCCACGTGAAAGCGTCACAATAACGACAGCAAGAATTAAAATTCCATAAATGTACAACCCTTCGTTCGTTGTACAGAGAGATTCATGACTTGTCCAATATGTTATAAAATAATCAGAAGCAGACGTGACGAATTGTGAAAAAATCAAAAACAACAAAATTCCTAAAAGAAACGGAACATTTGCACCAGCTCTGAAGTACAACCAAAATACTTTGTAGAAGGGAATATTCATTTGATTCATCTCTTCATTTATGAATTCATTTTCTTCATTAATATCACTGATGTCTGTAATGCTGCTGGTAGTTGAGATGCGTGAAAATGACTTTTTCGGTTCAAGTTTTGCAATATTTTCTTCTTCATCTCCAACGTTTTTTTGTAAATCATCGTCATTCAAGTCATCATCACTTTGACTAGGAGATGTGAATTGAATTAAGTTTACATCCATTACATCGTTGTATGTGCCTTGTCTTAAAATACTTCCTTGTTCCATCACGACAATCCAATCGGATCCTTGAAGAAGATGAACTTGATGTGTCACTAAAATACGAGTCGCTTGTTGCTTTGCAAGATAACCGTTGGGTCCAATACATTCATCAAATAAATGCTTTCCAACATGAGAATCTACTGCACTTAGTGGATCGTCGAGAAGGTAAATTGAAGAATTTTTATAAACTGCACGTGCAAGACAAACTCGAGCTCTTTGCCCGCCTGACAATGCACTGCCACGTTCTCCGACAAAAGTTTTATCACCATGTGGTAATTGTTGTAAGTCTGTTATTAATGCACAATGCTTTATAGTCTCTTGATATCGAGTCTTATCGTATGGTAAACCGAACAAAATGTTATTTCGAACTGTGTCTGAGAACAGCCACGAATCCTGCGAAGCATAAGAAATATCACCTTTTATAAAAACATTTCCAGTGTTAATTGACAATTCCCCAAGTAAAAGTTGAAGAATCGAACTTTTTCCACTACCAACTGATCCCACAATAGCACAAAGTTGCCCATTTCGAATCTTTATGTTTAAATCAGATAATGTTTTGCTTTTATATTCGCTTGTCCATGATGCATCCACGTCAATCACTTCAATTACATTTGTTTCAGGCTCCATAATTTCCATTTCACTCTGATGCATGCCGGGCGTTGATGGATCTTTCTCTTCAAGCATTAAAAATTCTTGTATTCGTTGAATTGAAACCTGTCAAGCATTGCGTTATGAAAGAAGAATGAGATAAAAGTTCTGAACTTACCAAAGCTTCAGCACCTAAAGAAACTGCCAAGGGATAATAAATTGCTGCAGTTAATTGAAGAACATTGAAAAATGTTGCCATTGAAAAGACTAAATCAGCTGTTACAAGATATTCCTGGAAAATGCAAGCGATGATGGCAATGAAAAGTGTAAATCGCCATAAATAATGAATTGACAAATAAATTCCTCGAATGTAAGAAGCCCATTGAATCTGATCAATCTCCTTTTTACGTGCAAGCTTAACAACATTAAAGAATGGCGTCTCCCAAGCGTACATTTTAATAACTTGAATTCCTTGTATCAACTCATTCATTATTGACACGCGGTGATCAGTTCGCTTTGCAATTCTCATTCTGTGAATTTAGTTAAATTTATTTCGCAGAAGAAAGGAATTTTCTGTAATTATTCACCTTAATATTGATGACACTTTTGATAATCCCGTTTGTATTGGAACTGTTTGCAACAAAAGTCCAACAACGCCTACAATAGCAGCATATTTGACTTTGCGCCATATTAAATAGCAAATCAGAGCAGCTATAAATGTAAAATCAATTAAAAATGTAATTGATATTCTGTAAGACAAGAATCTACCTTGGAACGGCAATATCCAAATAAAATGAACAAAAACGAATCCATAATCTAATCTACCAACATCATTTGACAAAAGGTTTACAATATAACCAGCGGAAGTTTGTGACGAAGCTCGTTTTGACATTCTTAATGTCTTACGACAAATTGCTGCAGAACAAGCTATGCGCATTTGAGCTCCCACCATTCTTTGTCTTAGCTCCATGTGATGGTTGACAATGCATGAGAGAAATGTGAGAAGAATTATAATCGTTGACAGCCAGAAGGGATCGTTCCTTTGAATTTATTTAATTAGGTATGTATGAGATTTTTTTTACACCTACGCATTCTTTATTTGACTCACCAAAGAAAGTTTAAAATGAAATTTTCATCAACTACTGCTGATTGATTTGCTTTAAAATCAAATGATTTTATTCTGCTGTCACTATTTGATGATGATTGAAACTGAACAAGCAACTGTGCTAAGAACACTGGCAAAATAGATTTCAAGATAGTAAAAAATAAAACAAGAAATCCATCAGCGATGCAGTTCTTCCAGAAAGTTCTTAAAATTGCATTTCTTAATCGCGGTTCTTTTTTTTTGTTGCGAGATTCCGTCAGTTCATGCTGCCATTGCCTAAAAATTAATTATCTTCTATTATGTAAATAAAATCACGTAAATAATGAAATAAAGAACGAATTGAAAAAGAGTGAAACTTTGATAAGCCGATGGCTCAAGGTGCATCGGTTTATCGAAGTATTTTTCGATATAAATTTGATTCAAGGGGGACAAAAAAATATCGGTTTATCGAAGTATATCGGCTTATCGAAGTAACGGCTTATCAAAGTTCCACTGGAATTTAAATTTCTAATCAATTAAAAATGAATTTTGTGATAATTTACAGAGTCTCACGCCAATTTTGATAAGATTAAAGTGCCACGCGTGGACTTTATACCAAAACATTTAGTGTAAATTCTTTTCGGCGACGACAGACATCATGTCGTTTAAATGTTCTACTCGCGATAAAGAAGAAAAAAGTAAATTCAAACGAAGATTGCAAAATGTCTCGCTATGAATTAAAGCTAAATATAGAATTGAAATTATCGGTTGCGAATTTTGGAGTGTTACAAATTTCAACTCATTGATTGTTGAAATTAGATGTAAGACATTTAAAATTTTGAATTGATTCCTCCGTGGTAAATTTCCATTTTAAGGTTCAAATAATCAAATTTTGAAATTGAAGATATCAAAATCATAACTGATAAAAAGAATAATAAATTTTTAATTGATCTTTAATTATTATTTGATTTTAATGAAAGAGTTTAATCAAGCATGAAAGCTTTCATTTTACTGTCAAATCGTCATTCGGAGCAATCAGACAGGAAGGAATTTTTGCATTAATTTATTTTATAATTCCTCTGTAGATGATTAAAATATTTTTAGACGTGTGACTTGTGATAACCCAATGATGTTGACCTTCTTTTCATCTCTGCCTAAATGCTTCATACAATGATCCCTCCCAGAATTAATTAGGTAATTTTTTGCACGACTTAAATGAAACATTTTAGAGGCAATTGACGTAATTTAATGTGATTAAAAATGATTTCTACTTCATTTGGGTTTTCAACTTACATTTCCAGTTTATCGCCTAATTCTTGTGAGCGATCTTTCTTTAAGCATTCCCATAAATTTTCTTCATTCAAACTATGGAAACATCCCTAGAAGTTTTGTGAAGAGATATCAGTAGAAATGATGAATATTTGAACTAATTTGATTACTTTGCACTATAACTTAACTCACTCGAAACATTGTTGGAATAGTCCATAGAAAGAAGAGCTGAGATAATTTATTAGCTCCATTTCTAGGGTTTTTTAGAACGAGCTTTCTTGAGAAATTCATTACTTTCACCTTCCACTATTTATCTCAATAACTTTCTTTCAATATTTTTCACTTCATTTTAAAAAGAATTCTTTGATTCATTATCATCCAAATTACTCATTTATCACAAATTGTCAAAACTTCTGATCATATGAATTAAATTTAAGTCCCAAATCACAAGTCTTGTTACGAAACGATCACTTTTAAAATCAAAAAGACTTGAAACAAAATTAAAGCAATTTAATTTTCAGCAAACTTACGTCTTCACCACAGAACGAGTAATTGCAAAATGATTAAAAAATCCGAGAGAGTATCATTTATTAAATTAATCTCATGATTTTTATTTAAAAACTCTCTAAATATACACATCCTTCAATGCGAATTTGATAACTCCGAGTTCATCTTTAAGACAAACCAATTTCAAAAATTTCCATTCTATTTTATTTGAATTCAAATTTTTATAAATAATTTATGAAATTATTTGGAAAAATCGTTGGAAAATCATGGGTTGAGAATTTTGCACTTTTCATACTTTACAATTATGTTGATCAATTATTCATCGGATAATCGTTTTACATCCATTCATAGATATAGTTTATATTTGCAATTCAAATCTTTATGGGGTTTTTTGTACTATTCTTAGGAATGTAAAGTGAATTATTAATAGATCATGTATCAATATTTTCATTCTTTGAAGAATTCAAAAATATGATTGATAAACCGTTCAATTTTCCACTTTTTCCAGTCATTTATGCCGTAGGATATTAAAATGGAAATAAATATTTGATTTCACAATTCATTTAGAATTTTTGTTGCTAGCATAGAAGTTTGAAATGTTGTGACATTAATTTCAAACACTGAATGGTTAATGAATAATTTGTTGACACAAAACAAATATTGTGAGAATTTTTTTTCTTCACGTTTGGTGGCAGACGACACTTGATTTGAAGAATCTGTCTTCGCTTGTTTTTTGGCGATTGTGAATTTCTTGTTGATGATTACAAACACACATAGAAAACTTAGCTAAAATCTTAGCACATCATATATGCTTCATCCCATTGATAACCCTCTTATATACGATGAAAAAACAAATTTTTGTCTTATTCTGTCAGAGTTCTTTCATTGGAAAAGATTGAAGAAAGAAGATGAGAACAAAATTTTTGATTCTTTTTCTAATCGTTTGCATTTTAGCAACGATTGAATGTAAGAAACATAAATGTAAAGGACGTAATCGTTCAAGAGGTTGCAATAGGTCAAGATCAGGATCAGGAAGTGGAGAATCGGAAGAAGACTACGAACCGTGCCAAGAGTTCTGTGAAAGACGAGAAAGGGAAAGGCAAAGAGAAAGAGATGAAGCAAGGTCATGTTCAGGAAGACGGGGAAGGGGAGGGTGTCGTCGTGGTAGCAAAGAACGCAAGCCGCACAGTAAAGAAAGAAGAGGCAGCAGGGAAAGAGACTCAGATCGTGAAAATGAAAGAAGAGAAAGAGATTGCGAATGCGCCACAAGAGTAAGTGATTTCTAATCCAAATAGGTTTAATTTTTAACATAAAATGATTAATTTCAGGTGACTACAGAAGCACCTCAATGCCGACCACGTGATCCTGACTGTAGAACAACTGAGAGTACATCGTCTAGCTCCACTACGACATCTAGCACGACTCCCTCGACAACGATGTCGACTACCACTCCGTCTACTACGACATCTAGCACTACGCCTTCAACAACGATGTCTTCTACAACCCCATCTACGACATCTAGCACCACTCCCTCAACTACATCGTCTACTGACTCAACTACCACTACCACTACTACCACGACAACCACTACAACCAGAATACCGATTTGAAATATAATCTGAGAAACAATGAAGAGATTCCACTGTATCAGCTATATTTACTTATTTGAGATAATCGAATAAATAAAAATACTAAGAAGATTTTAAACTGGCTTTTTAACATTTTATACTGGAACATAAGCTTCGTGAATGTTTAATCAAATGTTTAATAATCAAAACAAAAATATTCATTTTTGATTAGATGTTTTTTATTCAAGAAAAAATTTGAACACTGCACTGCTAAAGTATCAAAAGCTTCTGATAAGATAAAAAGAAGCTTTTTAGTTAGTCTTCTTCTCAACTTCTGCTTTCTCAGGCTTATCTTTGAAATATAAGAAGACAAATGAAAAGACGAATACGCCAAACATCATTGAGAATGCGCTTGCATAGTACGGATAAGCGCTTGGAATGAAACGTTCATATTGAGTATGTGTAAGAGGTCGAACAGAAACTTGAGTTGTGCTGTAGAGATGATTTAAACCAACTCTGTCATAATCAACTTTAAATTGATAAACCCCATAAACATCAGGAATTTTAAACTTCGCCTGATATTTTCCTCCTCCAATAGATTTCAAAGTAACTCGCACAAATGGATCAATCCGAACAAACTCAAGTTGAACATCATTTGCAACAAAAGGTTTCCATTTTCCATCAATAAGTTGTTCAATCTCAATGGTATAAACGACTGGTTCTAGGATTGTGTAACTCGCTGGTGGTTCTTTTTCACCTTCTTTGTGATGTTTAACTGATGCGACTCTAATCTGTCCATTTTCTCCAAACACCCATCGACTAATTGAGTTGATAACATTGATGTTGCCAGATTGATCATGAACAGTGTTGTCATTAACTTTCTTCACAATACTCATGATTGCCTCATCAGAGAAGAAGTAAAGTGAACCAGAGAAAACAATTCTTGCATTATTACGAGCTTGAAGTGCAGCAATAAGAATTGTTCCTTTTCCAACGGCATGAGGATATTCTTTGATTGGTGAATCAGGAACGTAGCTGTAAGCGGTTGAATCAGCTGTGAGTAGGGGAAGAATGAGAGGATTTTCTCTGTCAGCAATTATTCCAGTTCCACGATATAATAGAGGTTTGATATTCTTTCCTCCAACAATAATCTCAGAATCAATTAGATTTTTAGGTGAGGCAACAATGGTTGTGTGATCGCCTTTATCAAGAAGTGCATCAAAGTTTAAGTGGTCGATAACCGCAGCATTTTCTTCGTCAATTTCAAATCCACATTCTGATGCAAGCTCACGAATAGCATCTCCAGATGTTGATGATCCAGCGACTAATACATTACCACCATTATCAATAAATTCAGTAATAGATTCAACTGAAATTGATCCTCCAAATTCTTCTACAGATGGTGCAAAAACTATCAAGTTTTGATAAAGATATTCGCCATATTTTGAAAGAACTAATCCAGCATCATCAGCAAGTTTGAAAGTTAATTTGAAATCGCGATCTAATAAAACATGAAAATTTTATAATATGGATGAGGTGGCCTTTTTTAAAAAGCTTCACTTACCTTGCAAATTTTTGAAGAAAATCGAATGAGTTTCACGTGTTGCTAAATTATCTAAGAGCACAAGTGTTTCCTTCTTCTCTTCTGCATTAGCAGAGCACATTAATAATGAAACAAATGCGAGAATTACAATAAACTTCATTTTTGACCGGCTAGCTAGAGATAAGTTTGAGGGGATGAAAAGTTGGAAATGAAAATTATCCATATTGGAAGCAAACCAAAGAAGCGAAGAAATTTCAAATAAAATACTGTTAAAAGTTTATTAAATTCACTTTCAATTTTCACACTTTTTTAAAAGTGTCTCATTCTGAATATTCTGAAAAAATACTTTAAATACAGTTATAAAACATAAATGGATATAAATTTAATTCATTTCTTATGTTTCTATGTAAAGTTTTAAAATTCAATTTTTTACACAAACTTAAAAATTCGAGAAGCGAAATTTTGATCGCAACAAGTTGGGAAGTAATATTCGAAAATTAATTTTAAAGCGTTTATATCGATAATTCTTAAAAATATTTCAATTTAAACTTGTACACGGGACCTATTTGTGCAATAATAACAAGTTTACGTTTGGTAAATTAATAAAATTTCGGTTGTTTTTTAAATCAACTGTCATTTCGATTTCAAAAATATAAATTTCTGGTCAAAGCGACATTGTGTAACTAAGCTTTTCGTTTTAAAATAAAAAAGCTAATAAAAATCATAAGAGTCAAGAAAAAATATACGAATCGAGAAAAGAGTGCATTTCCAGTCAGAAACAATAAGGAAAAACTCAAAGAATGTTAATCTAACGCAAAGACAGTACTTGTAAATTAGAAGAACGTGATAATATTCAATCAAATGATGTTAAAAATGCTAATAACTGTTTTCATCCTCCTCGAAATTATATCTTTTGCAAAATCGGGCCGCGATGAATTTTCACACGATTCGTATGCAGAAAAACTGGAGAATTTAGCGACAGAATCGATAAATTCACAAGATGCTCTAACATCACTTCAATTTCAACCAAAAACCTTAGATTTTCTTCAAAGGTAATTTTATTTCTATACATTTTTCCTCTCGTGTGCCATCACAGTTTGAATGTGTGCGTGTTGTTAAGATACATCTGGATCAAAATATTGGACCAACTGTGTACACTTTACATGCCACATGCAACGTGGGAGATGCAAATTAAACGCAATAGAATGATTGAAAGCAAAACATCTTTTAAATATATCTTTAGCCTTTGAAATCGTCATCATCTTCTGTCATTCAGTGTGTTTTTTTTTCGTTGATAACAACAACAACATAAAATGTTCGTTCAAAAAAAATATCTCAAAAATATTTTTGATGACATACTCGATTTGCGACTTCGACATACATACATTGATGATAACTTTTTTTGCTCCCGATAATTTATAATCATAATTTAAGTTTATTTATTTTTTTTTGTTCTTATTGCAGATCTATTGGTGATCCACATAATCAGGTGGTTATATTGTTTAACAAACACAAACATAAGAAAGTTTATCTGGGAAGTATAACGGGGAGTTCATCAGACTTCTACAGTTCATTCTTCGAGGATAAAGTGATACCACCTGAATCGAACACAACTTTTAAAGTTGTTTTCTTACCCCGACAATTAGGCGAAACAAATTCGTCGTTCATAATTCACACGTCATTTGGCGCTATAAATTATCAAGTACGGGGCATTGGAGTCGAATGTCAGTATAAGTTGCGACCAATCATTGGAATAAAATTACCACTGAATGCAACAGTTTCTCCTGAGATTCAACTTTATAATCCGCATGATTTTGCTTTGCAAATATCAGAGATTTATAGCAGCGGTGGTGACTTTCAGTTGGAACTGCCGAATGTCTCATCAAGTGGTCAGGAAGGCGACTATAAGTTATGGGAAATTCCACCTTACACATCAAAGCCAATTATTCGTGTTCGTTTCCATGGCTATCGTGCTGGAAATCATACAGCATATGTGAGAATAAAAATAGCAGGTACATCACAAATGGATGAGAAGATGCTTGTCGTTCCAATCGAAATTGAGATTACAAATGAGACAGGAATTTATTCACAGGTTCCACTTCTTGATTTCGGAACGGTGGGAGTTAATGACGGCGTAAGAAAATACGTTTACAATCTGTTAAATTCAGGATCCACATCAATCAGTATCAAGAATTGGGGCGTTGAAAGTGTCTACGAAAGCGTCAAAAGTTCACAATGTGTCAACGTTGATGTTGTTCAGTTTAGTCGACGAAATTTCACAGATCATTTCACTGTCGAAATCGATTGGTCAAAGTGTTCGAACTTACCGAACGTTGTAAGTGGTCACATTTTCTTAACCGCCGATCAAACGATCGATGATGAAGTCAATGAGATAACGTACAAGATTCCTTTCTTCGGACAAGTTATTGACGGAAATTTAGGTTTCAAACCATACGACTTAATGTTTCTAAGGAGTGATAAGAAAACTTACGAGACGTCGAGATCGATTTTAGTGAAAAACAAATACAATGTTCCATTGGCGATAACGAATCTTACCGTACCTGAAAGTTCCAGCCGCTATTTTAAACTGACGGGCTTCAAACCGTTTGTTCTTCAGCCGGGAAGCTTTGCCAAGTTACTTGACATTCAGCCCTTAAGCATTCTTCAGATTTTTTTCAATCAAACAACACTCGAAGAGAGTTTTCGTATTGTTACAAATATGACGTATTACGACATTCCAATCACGTCTTATACGGGCTTACTTCGTCGAATTGTGCCAGTTGATTTCGCACGCGAACGCTCGCAAATTGATGAGAAAGCGTTGAACTTTGGTGCTCTCTTGCCTGTGTCAAAGAACTCGGAACTTTTAATAGCATTTGTCAATGAAAATCCCATTCCAATTGACATCAAAGACTGGCGAGCTGACATAACAAATGGAAATGGACCTGCACAAATCACAAGCTTACAACGAGGCTGTAGTAAAATGTCATTAGACGATCTCGTGTTTTGCAATCCTGTGAAGCCTGGTGAATGGATTGTGTTTGCGATATCTGTGAAGTCATCAGTCGTTGGATCATTTACTGGAAACTTTTGGGTAAAGACACAATTCGAAGACATCATCACACCTGTTAAATTCTCAACGGCCATGGGTCGTCTCGAGCTCAAAAGTAAAATGATTTTCGACGATTGTTTTCCGGTGAGTTTCATTTTCGTTTCTTGTTTGTTCTCGTGTGTTAAAAAATTTTAATATTTAATTAAGCACGAAATTCGTTTTTTGTTATTGTTGTCGATTATTCTTGCTTGTTTGATAAGAAGGAAAAAAATACATGAAATGACCATAAGTGGTTCAACTCTTATCAACACGAGATATGAAACCGAAAAATGTGTGAACTTAAAAAGTGTGTGAACTGTGAAAGGAAACTAAACAATAAATAAATTTATGTAAAATGTTTAAAGCTTTCTTGAAAGAAAATTCCAAGTCGCACTTTTTTCTTATCTCATGTTTCACTCAAATGTTTTGATTTTTTGTCACACACGAAGCAATTTGGTTTTATTTTTCACAAATCAAAAAATGAATTTTGTTGATAACAATTTTACGTTTTAATGAATGATTTGATTTTGATTCTTTCTAGGGCAAAATTTGTTCACTGAATGTTCAAGCATACTCGACTTTTATGAAAAAGATGTATGTTGAAGGGATCGCTGTTGATATGGATGGAATCTCTTATGAGTTTGCTGTTAAAGGACCGAATGAACTGCCAGAGATTCTGCCAAATATTGACACAGATGTCGGTAAATTGTTCTTTAATCCAAAGGATGTGCTGTGTAAGAAGCGTTCAACATGTTACACAAGTTTCGATGCTTTGTCACGTCCACATGGTGAAGCTTGGATGAGAACGTTAACAAATTTCACTGCCTACAGTTTATGGGACAATGAAAGAATGAAAAATCAACTAAACAGTTTCATGGAAGTTAAGCAGAGTTTAAAGCAAATGCAATTTCGTCTAACAACATCACAAATACGCCGCTATGAATTCAACGCATCAATTAATTTTGTTTGGCCACGTCTGATAAGTGGAAATGTTGAATTTCCTTTTGTTCAAATCAACAAATTGGAGACGAGATTTATTGAAATCTACAATCCATCAAATCAATTGTTGTATATTCATTTTGTACTTCACAATGTTTCACAACATGGTGATAAAGTGACTGTGTTGCCAGAAGCATTAAGAGACTGTCCAAATTGTCTTCTAAGTCACGAAAGTCCTTTTTCATTCAATTCAAGCATCAACAAAGAAGTCTTTATGGATGAAGTCATGCCACGATCGTATCTGAAGGTTGGCATAGATTTATTTGCAACAACGCCTGGTACTTACTCGACGCTTCTTTACATGCGTAATAATTTGACAGTTGTTGAAGCTGTTTGGCTATCAGCACGTGCTGTTGTACCACAATTTAAGTTTGGTAATCGAAAGCCAGGAAATGCGACGCCATTACAATTTGAGATTAGTGAAAAGCACTTAAAATTATGTGAGAAGAAATCATCGGCTGGTGCTAATATGCTGATATCAAGTAAACGAACATTTACAGCAAAAAACTATGGTGAAGTGCCGTTAGTTATAAGCGGAATGCGAGTAGAAAATGATTTATGTCTTGGGTATGGCTTCAAAGTTCTCAACTGTGAGCCTTTTCAATTGATGCCAAATGAATCGAAGAAGATTGAAATTGCATTCTCACCCGACTTTACATTGTCAAGAGTCGTGAGAACGTTAAATTTCGATACGAGCATTGGTACAAGTGTAAACTTCACATTGATTGGAACGGTTGCAAGTTCAGCACTTGAAATGTGTAGTAAAAACATCCAACGACCCCATTGGGAGCCTGATTTTAAAAGAAACGCTCTAATGGTGCTTTGGGTGGCACTTATACTTGTTGTGCTCGCATCAGCAATCGATTCTGATCGAATTCTCAAAGAACATATGAGAATTATTACGAGAGAAAAAGGCCCAATACAACCGCCACTTGATCTCCGACAAATTGGTCTCGAAGCTAATTCAGCTATTGATGGAACGACGACAACATGTTTCGCATCAACAACAAATCAAGAACGTTTAAACAATCTCAACAATCATCAAACGTCATCGTCGCTTAATAATATCAGAAAGCGACTCACGATGACGAAGAAAAATGATGTGAGTAGTGAAACTTTTTTGAATGGTCGTTTTAATCTCAATAAAGAATGGAGTGAGTTAAGGAAAAAGTTCATGTCAACAGCAAAAGTCACACCATCATCGAATAATGAACAGCAACAGCAACAACCACAAGCAACTAAAACATCACCACGTCCTGTACGTCATGATATTAATAAAACAAAGAATCATCAAGATAACAATCCGAAAGAAAGTAAGAAAGTTTCTATCGTATCTGAAGATGATTCTTTGTCGTCATCGTCATCGTCAAAAGAAAATTGTGAAGTGTCATCATCAAAAGTTATTCAACATGAATCACCGCCGTTAAATAAAAGTAAAAATAATAATAGTAACAGTGGAAAGAAGTCAAAAGTTCAATTAAATGTCAGTGAAGCATTGAAAGATCAGAAGAATTGTAGTCAAACACCTAAAGCAGTTGTTAAGCCACTTAATACAAATCAAAATCAAAATAAAAATCAACAGACGGCTAAGGAAGTGAAAATCAATAAAGTTCAAACATCCAACAACAATGTAACGCCATCAAATGCTAAGATAAATAACGGTGATCTTAAAAGCCATTCACCGACATCTAATGCAAGTTCATCTGAAGGAAATCAACAACAAAATCATCATCATGGTAACAACATCAATGAAATCATTGCTGATACTGTTGGAAATGATGCAAATTGTATTGCGAAGGTGAGAAATTTTTATATTCTTTATTTACTTAACTTTGTGAGAGGTGTGTGAATAAATTTGACTATAAATTTAAAATTTTAACGACCATAAATGCATGTCAAAACATTTAATGAATGCACATTGAGTGTAATGAGTTATTTTAATTCTTTTTTGTTTTGGAAATGACTTTCATCATGACATTCGCTCGACTTTTGTGTTTGATGAGGAAATTTATAATATTTTTATATTTATCATGTTTTGAATTGTCAAGGGGTCTTAATAGTGAAATTTAAGAAAGAATTAAAAAAAGTTATTAAACTTAAATTGCATGAAACAATAAAAAAATACTCAGCGAGAAAATTGAATACAAGTACAAGCGAAATTCAACCTTACGTCATGTGGATAAGGTAGAAATTTATTTATTTTTGTGGATAATTTCTTCCTACTTCTTTACTAATTTTTAAATTAAGATATTTCAAAGTCCCTAGTCACTGCAATAAAAATCTTTAAATGCCATGTCCATGGTCGTCTCGACATAAAATAATTTAACTAAAACCCCCCGAAATAAACTAATAAAATGTTGTGAAGTTTGGTAAAAGTCAAGTCTTTGTTAGCAGTCGCTCTAAACGACAAAAATTCTTTTCCGATGAAATGTTTCATTAAGTTTTTATTCCTTTTATAACTATTTTCACATTTTTCTGTTCCAGAATGAGACTCAGCAGCCACAACAACAGAGAAAATATGGAAAAACATCTGGTCGTGACAAGAAGAATTTGTTAAACACGCAGCAGCAGCAAAATGCGACGCAAAACAATTGTATTCATCAAAATGGTATCAATAACATCAACAATAACAACAATAATAATAGCAAGCGTGGATCATCGAAGGACAACAACAACAAACAGTTCCTTTATCGGCAGAATATGTCGTCGACATTTGGGAATGATCGCAAGTTGTCTAATGGCCATCAAAATTCATATGGTGGAGCTGGTAACAATAATTGGAATCAACAACCACCAACAAGCGCAATTTGGAGTTCTACAAGTTACAGCGACGTTGTTGCGAAGCCGCCAATTGACAATGCCACAAGCAAAACGACGACAACTGCGAATAATTTTGTTGGTGCAATGAATGGAATGGTGAATGGTCACAAACATCAAGATCATGATTTGATTCGGAATAGTTTCAACCGTGATCGTTACATTATGATGGATCAAGACGAGGGATCACAGTATGGACCGATTGGAACAAAGAAGTCACCGTCATCGACACCATCTTGGGAGCCACTTTCAGCTGGAATTAATCATTACAGTCAACTTGCTAAGCCATCACCTTTTATCTCTAATTCAAGTTACTTTTCACAACCACAAGCTAATAACAATAATTATGGAATACAACAGTCAAAATTGATGAATTTTATGAATTATAATAATGATGGAAGTGTCAATATGCAGCAACATCATCAATATCAGCAACATCAGCAACAACAACAGCAAAATCAATTCATGGAGGAACAATATCGGTACATGCTAAAGATGAAGGAACGACAACATGCTGAATGGTTGAATGCAACGGCAGCTACAAGTAGCAACAACTTGTGGTCACCAGCTTATCGTCGCAATGACAGTCCAACATCGCCATCATCAAATTGGTCATCGCCATCTCCACCGTTAGCAGTTCCACCTGGTTTTGAACAGAAATATCAACAACCGACAAACGCACAACCACAACAAACTCATCAAAATCATTCTGCTGCTGTTGCTAATACGCAAGTTATACCAGCTTACGATCCTTTCAAATCTTTGAGCGTTATTTGGGAGCCAAGTCGTAATGAACGTGCTGCTGATAATGAACGTGAACCATGGAATCAATGAATCCTTTAAACTTCTTTCTCTTCAAACGCAGATCAACTTTTTTTTCTCTTTTCGTTTTCTTTTTTATTTCAATCTGCACAACAACTAACCATGCTGAATTTATGACAATGTTTTTTTTTCTTTTTATCTATCAATAATATGATTTGACTTTCTTTATCTTCTTCTTTTTTTTAAAACATTTGTTTTATTTTTGTTTTTTCTTTCTTGGATAAAAGGAAAGAAAAGGAAGATTTGATTCTATGTATGTTGATGTGATTTGAAACATAATAACTGAGACATGCTCGATATAATATTGATGATGAGATGCCCAGTACTTTTGTGAACATATTGTAATTTCTCTTCTTAAATATCTATTTGAATTGATGAACTTTTTGATCGATGGTGACACATCACATAAGAAAGATGAGAAAAATCATTTTTTTTTCGATGTTTATGAACTTTTAAATAAAAACAAACAATGTGAAGATTGCAAAATGAATCAAATTTAGTTTTATTTAAGTTAAAACTTTTCAGGAATATTTCAGTGTGACATTTGTTTGCAATTTCTGAGCTTAAATTTGAAAGTTTCTTGCAAGTTTTCAACCCCTGACCACAACCTCAACTTGAATGAAATGAAATTTTCTTCATATTTAAAACAAAAATTTTTTTAGTGACAAGTCATCCTTGAGTGACATTGACAATAAATTTCGTTCCTAATTTTCATTACTTGAAAGTAAATGTTACAAATTGTATTTAACTTAAAAATAAATATCGTAAAGTTTCGTTTTAATCTTTTAATACAATAAATGGAAGCTTTCAAATTGACTAATTCAGTATTAATTAACAACATACAAATATGAGAATAAAAGTTTTGGTACTAAAATGTTAAAACATAAAACAAAAGAAATTTTACAAAGCTACATCGCGATATTTACGGAAATCATCGATTGATTGTTTACTGTTTCCTAAGCTACTGCTATTATTAAAGTAAGCACTGTTTTGGTTTCCAAGATAATTGTTGGGATATCCCATGTAATGTGACTGGTGATGATAAGGATTATTGTAGTAAAAGTATGCTGGATACATTTGTTGCACGGGGTAACCGGGAAAGTTTCCTGAGAAAGCATCTTCGGTAACGAAAACACCCAAATTTTCTAACGACACGCAATTCCTGCCAAGTGACTTCTTAAAAGGCGGTTCCATAGTATGATAAATTTGTTCCTTAGAACCCTTCATCTTCCTCAAATCTTTGTTTAAATTATTATGCATTCGCATGTCGTAACTGTTGAGCGATACACTGTCGCTTTTGTCTTTTGACTTTTGAACTATTTTGGTTGTGGTTGTTTGAATGAATCTTAAGTCAAGCAATGACTGGGTACGTTTAGCTAAAAATAAAATTACACAACAAGAGATCGTAAATTAATGATTGCTAATTGAGAAAAATAAAAAAAATATTTCCTGGTTCCATTTAATTAAACCGTGAAATTTCCTTTACTTAATAATGTTCAATAATAATATTAAAAGCTTTCACAACTTTAAAAGAAGCCAATGATCTGACTTTTTCTTGTTATTAACTGCATTTTCGACATTTAATAATAATTGTCAAGTTTCTCTTCTTACCAATATTCGTGGCTGGCGGTGGTCCAATGTATTGCGATGGATTTAATCCAAAGATTGAAGCATCGAATTCATTATGCGATCCATAATGCAAATAAGGATAACTTTGAAGATATCCTGGATTGTCTGTTCCATTCATAACCTTCTCGATTCCATTCTCATGCCTCGTCGATTCAATTTCAATGTCTTTTGTTGATCTTGATATTGTATTACTAAAGTTACCATAATTGGACACTGGAGTGGCTGTGAGTTGGAGTCGTGACGCTAGTGATTCCAATTGTTTAAGAATCTTCTTTTCTTTACGCCATTTAAGTGCTAAAGGCACAACATGTATAATAATAGTGCAGTTTAAAATTAATCGTGTGATGTAAAAAACCACTTCAATCATGAAATGATCTGAATCCATGCTCTGGAATTAAAGAAATTGAAATATTTTTAATTGGACAGTTCAATTAATTATTCTCACCCAAAATTGAACCATGATGAGCCACAGCTCTGGTATTGTTAAAACAGCAACAATAAGCGACCATACAAGCAGTCCCATTGCCATACGAGTAGCAAGTCCATTAATTAAAATCGTCGCTGACAAGAAAAGCACAAAATAAATTGTGCATAAAAATATCGAGACGAAGTCTGTCGTTGTTCGTCTCGTGTCGATTATACTTGAAAGCTCACATGAAAAAGCAATCAAGTAGGTAAGCTGAAAAACATAATAATTATTAAATATTGAAAAGCTTTCTTCAGTTAATTGCGAACATTTCATGTCGGTAGCATTTAATTCGAGGCGCTCAATTGTTCGCGATGATTCATTGATGTAAACCAACTTCACCGCACCTCACGACTCACGCCAATTTCAATTTCTATTTCTCTGTTTATTTTATTTTATTTTATTTTATTCCATCTCCATTCCATCTCCGCGTGGAGATGTTGTCATAAGTTATTTTCATCAGATGGCAATGAAGGTCTTTGTAAGTAAGCAAGTAAGTATTCGCTCAAAAGAAAGAGAAAAATGACGTCATGAAGCGTGATGGGAATTTACAGTTTGATGTTATTTTGCTAACCACGCGGCATGGCATGGCCTCTTAGTATGTAGGCGATTTAAACTTGAAATTCTTCATCAATTTGGGTAGATTCGGAATCAATGATCTTTTAATCTTCTCTTCATTCAAAATCTTCTTCTGACATTCAGAAATTTTCTCGCTATTTATGCTTTCAATAAGATTCGCTCTTAACCGATTAAATTGCTGTTTGAATTTCGATTTCAAAGCAATTAATAAAAAACATATGAATCTTAAATAGCAGATAATTATAAGCTTTGATAGGATCACGATCATTATTATTTAATAAATAACACATTCAATTGTAATTTTGAAATAGATCAAAAAAGAAATTATAATTATTGAAGATATCAATTGATTAAAGATCAAATTTCATTAGATATCAAAAAATTATTATAAATTTTCTTTAACTCTAATTAACTTCAATGATCTAAATTTTCTTTTCCTTTTTCCATGAAGTTTCAAAGCATTTAAAATATTGTTCAGAGACGAAAGACGAGTAATTGAAATTAGTTTGAGTTAAAATTCTCAACAACCGAAATTAATTGTGAAAAGAAATTATTAAATTACTCGCGATTCTTCTTCTTTCTCTTCATTTCTTGACCTCTAAAAAAATACCTACATGAATTGATGGCAAACAACATCGCTGCTGAATAATGAATTTAATTGCGTATGATTTATAAGCGCTTAGTGGAAGAGAAATTTCGGTGTTAACGCTTCTTTCGGGGAAGTATCAGTTTTTATGAACACAATTTCCTCGATTCGCATCGTTCAGAATGTTAAGAAATTCGTAAATTGCCCTCGCATCTATGTGATTAAATCTCAAATGTTATGTAATTAAGCTTGATTCTTAAACTTGAAGTTCTGTGAAGCATTGAAGTTTACGGTTGAAGATTAAAAGGCCAAAAGTGTTTTTTTAATTTTTCAGTAAGTTAAAAGCTTTGAGGGATGATCACTGAATGACGTCGCATTTTTATTTCATATGTACACCCACACTCAGAAATTTATAATATAAACTTCATTATAAACATAGAAAAATAAATCTTACCAGTGACAGACAGGCAGTTGCCAGACAGATGTAGATAAAGTTTCGTTTTAAATATTGCTTCATCTTCACCACAATTTCGTCATAGCTTATGTCATAACAATTCACTCCCATCGAGAGGTGAGACGAGACAAAGCTGGAGTGAAATCCAAAAACTCTTAATTTATGTGTGATAAACAACTATTGTGACCGGTTAATTTTTTTCGTCATTTCCCCATTGCGAACGCACCGCGTTGTTTCAACTTACTCCATCAAGTCACTAAGTTTTTAAATTAAATAAGAAAGGTTTTTTTATTATTTTCTCGAATGCTTTATCACATAATGTAGTAGCGAGATCAGACTATAACTTTCACTTTTATTTCCGTTAAATAAAAATTAAGTAGATATTTGTAGTTGCAACCAAAATAAGAATCTGCAAAAATGTTCATTAACTAAAAAAGCTCGCACTTCTCACTTCTCTCTTCACTAGTCACAATTTGATCTCTTTTTTCGATTCGAACCAGGTCGGTCTCCTATGATTTTAAAGCGGCACAAACTAAATAGTTTCACTTTTCAACATTCAATTAATTGATTTTTACTTCAACTTGGTAATTAAACGAATTGTTTCTGCGTAAAACTGAAATAATAAAATAAACATATCTTAATGATGATTTGTCTGTTGGTTCCATTTGATTTCGGATTAAATGTTCACTGAATATGATGTTTAATGAAGACTTTCCTAGTTTTCCATTTAATTTGGTAATTAAACACGAATATATGATTATAAGTTAAACTGTCGACAGGAGAAAGGTATCTGTGACTATGATCATTATCAAATAAAGTCAATATGATCTTTCAACAATTGTAATGCCGAATTTGAATACGTGCCGGTCTCAAAATTTCGACAATAAATCACAAATAATTCCTAATATTTGATTAATGTTTTAACAACTTGCAATTTGCAGTTCCAGTTCGTCGTCTGGGTAAAGCATCGAAATGAAAACAACTCACGAGAAACTTGTACATGCTGTTGCGATCGCGCGCCATAGCAATCAAAGGTGAATGATTTAAATGAATTTGAAGTCTTTTGAGACAATGAAGGTAATTCTAACGTTACCACGCTCGTGCACAGACTTTTAAAGCTTCCAACTCGTATAATTAATAATTCATTTTCTCTATAAAATTCTCATTCTCATCGCTTGATTAAGTGAGAAGTGGAAAAATTGAATGAAATATCTTTGTTTGAATAACAAAAAGATTTTTATAGGAAATTTGGTTCGCAGACAGTTGCGAAGATGATTCATCATCACTCAGACTAATAGTGAGGGCCTTCGATTGTCTTTTCACGTGAAAGAATTAAATCTTTCTTTAATCGTTTCAAATCTTTATAGCCTAGCGCCAGTTTTATGAGTAAAAAAGTGGCTTAGAGAAATTAAACCACGCGTTATTGAAAACTGTAATGATCGTGTTTCTATGACTCGTTCTTTTTCCTACTGTTTATTAACGTCCGCTGATTAAATTTCTCTTTTCAAGTACCTATCTTATCATCAAACAAGATTCATCTTCACATCTTAATTAAACACCATTTTCAATGATATTTTAAGTCTCTTTTTCAAAAATTAGTTTCAAAGTTCTTTAACGGCAATTATCACGCCCATCATATTTAATAAACACATTTGCTGTTGTTGAATGTTATATGAACCTTTTTATTTCTTTTTTTAAATGTAAATTACGATAACTGTAAACACTTTTGCTTTGAGGTAACAATTGGAGAAAAAATATCTTCGATATTTGTAAACGTTTAAGGTGACAATTTTTTTAAGAATTGGTTTTTTCTCTTTGTTATCACATTTGCGGATTCAAAAATAAAAAAACCTGAAAATCGTCTAAACAAGGTTTTTACGCAGTTTCGAGTTCTTTTTGGACTTCACGGTGTTTTATTTATTTATTCTAGTTTTAAAAAGATTTCAATGCTCTTTATTTCGAATGGAATTTCAAGTTTTAAACACGTTCAAAGCGTCGGTGTTGAATAATTCCGTTTCATTCAACAATCGGGCGAAAACTGAGAGCAGAAGAATTTTTATGAACACGTCAACCAGCCAACAGCAACAGAAAATGATATAAAGAGTAATTGAGAGAAAACAAAGGTAAACAGCTGGTTGGAGAGAAGATGGAGCAATATCGTTTCTTGAGCGGCAATTTGTTATGTCGATTTGTCTATGAATGAAACAAAACCAACAGCAGATACAACCAAATCTCAGAAATCATTTCACGCTCACTGGCGCCCTGAACAATGCAAATGTTTACCGAAAACCTTACAAAGTTTTCATTCTCCCTTAATGTTATTGAAACTTAATACCGGATGTGAATAACGACGTGATATGAAATGTGATGAGCTTTCCACAAACTTTTATGCGGTAATTTGCGATGAATATTTACCAACTAAACTTCAGCTTGACAAATTGCTCAGGTTACAAGGAAAGTTCTTAACTTACTAATTATTTCTGTCGTTCGAATCAATCGCCTCGGGGATTTCTTTAAGGGTCACTGAACTGGAAAATATCTGATCTTCACGTCTTATGTACTTGATTGATTAAAATCTCAGCGGTGGGTTTAAATAAGCCAAAAGTTTATTGATATTGTGATGTTTGAGTTAATTAAGCCATTAACTTTCTTCATCCTAGATATCAATGAATAGTTTAAGAAAAAAAAAACTTCCTGCAAAAAGAAAACTCCAAACTTTTCCTTCAACTGCCTTCTTTAATCTCAATGCAATGTTTTTTATTTATCTTTCATAAGTTTACTTTCTTGACTGGTTTCTTCTTTTTTTGTTTCCAGTAATATTTATACAAGTGATGATTGTAGATTCATGAATAAATTTTTATTTGACAGTTCTCATCATCTCATAATGAGTTTTCTGTAGTATAAGTAAAACATCAACAATAAAATCAGAAGCTGATATCATGAATAGTTTTTCTTTTTCTCTCATCTTTTCGTTACTTATTAAACCACAAATTTTTATTTGGTTGCAATTTTGGCACAATATGTAGAGTTAAAAGTAAAACATTTAATAATTTCATTTAAAAGATTATTTCACCTTCCTTGAGTCAATGATTATGGAATAAAATTTGTGTGTGTGTTGATAAGTAGATAAATTAACTGAAAAAATTAATTTTAATTTTCTAATTCCACATATTACATTTCATTTTTATTCACGATACGCTTGTGGTGAACTAAAGTTAATAAACACATCGAAAAACTTATGATATTTTCCAACTAATTTTGATAGAAATAATTACGTGATGATTCACGTTTATCATGTTTCACTTGCACTAATGGGTGCATGCGTTCATGATATCCGAAGCATTGATTCACTATCAGAGGTCAAAATACTTCATTTTCCATTTAATAAATAATATTCGGGGATATCATGTTTATGTCTATCAATGATGAAAATATGTTAAGCAGTCAATGGAATGCTTTACTTAAAAATTAATTAATTTATTTTAGTTTTTTGGCATATTAAAAAGTTTCATTCCGTTAACATAGTTCTGGGTTTGGTGGATAGAAGTCAAGTCTCTTTTCTTTTCATTTTTAACGTCTTCCAAATCTGAGGAAAACGTGGTCAACGTCGGTTCGTTTGCCTGCTATACCACCAGGATTTGCTAGATCTTCCCCTCGCATCATTAAAGCTGTGAATAATAAAATAATTCCGTCAATATGTTTGATAAATATTCATATGAAGTGGTTGTGGTTACCAGTTGCTTCGTTTCTGATATACTGATTAAGGGCTGAGCTTAGTTGGTTGGAGTTTTCGAGGGCAAGACACACCTTTTTAATATGTGGTGGCATTTCCTCTACAATGCCAGGTTCACAAAGTGGTGGCGAGTTTGCACTATTGAGAGGCAAAGGCGTTGAAGAACTTTGAGTGATGACAAGCAATGCCAAGCAAATGGTTATGAGAACAGTTTGATCTTGCATCTTTTTATTGAATCTATTGTGGAATGTGAAATCAACAAATTGTATTAAATAAATATGCTTCAGGTTAATTTGGTTTTAAAATTGGATATTTTGCAGTTCAACATATTAATCAATGGTATTTAATATCCACCAAATGATGGATTGTCAATTGATTTCAAATTTATTGACGCTTGTTTAATAATTGAATACACGGAAAAATTGTTGCATCGGACTTTTGACTTTTTCACGTCATTTCTTCAATTTTTTATCGAAATTTATTTTTAACCAAAATCCTACAACATTAAATCAAATTGCAATGCCAATCTTGTGAGTAAATAATAATTAAATCCCATAAGAAAGAGAGAAAGAAAAAATAAAGATTTGATGTTAAAAATTGCGTGACAAACGAGATTCATGACATCCAACGCTTCCTTTTCGTCACACAATGAGATTTGCTATGTCATATTTTTTGCAAGGATTTAAAATTTAAATTATTGACGAGAATGGTAACTAAAAGCTATGAAATGTGAACATATTACTGAACATATGAAAAGGATTTTGAAGAGAAAATCTTTAAGGTGAAGGAAAAATCCAATAAACAAATGTTTTTTAATAATTCAAAAGTTTTTCTTTGCAGGAAAATTCTAAAAAAAGGCAAAAAATTGGTTTTTCATAAGAATCAAATCAAAAATTTGTTTTCTTCAGCTTGAAGAGTTTATCAATAAAATATTTATGTCCAAAATTAATTTGTTTCAACAATTTCCTCGATTTAATTAACTGAATTTTATTGATGTAAAATAAATTTCAAGCTTTTATTAAGAGTTCGAAGAATTAATAACAAACAATTTACGATTCATAATTATCACTAATTTCTTCATTTTGTCCGACACTCCATGTATGTAATTAAATTTATTTTTACACAAAAAAGGAAACTTTTTAAACGCTAATTATGATCCAATAATTGTTCTAATTTTCAACATGAAAGTGATTCATTTTTACACTCAGTTGCTTAGTTCATTAAAGGCTTTGCAATCTATTTGGAATCATTGGCAGGGCATAAATAAAAGGTTTGAGTTTAATGAGTTTGTTGTGATTGTAAATCACATCGATAGCCTCAGTTCAGTTATGAGATTAAAAGTTCGATATCAGATTCATTCACTTTGTAATTTTGTTATCACTGACATTGAAGAAAGTTGGAAATCGTCGGCTTTTGATGAAAGGTTAATGATGATTTATTGTCTTTTGAGTTTCGGATCAAACCAATAAAAGCAGTTCAATCCTTTAAAGACTTCAATACTTACTTGTATTCAAATATTTCCAATAAATCCCTTTTTTTAATCCTCGAAAGATGAACAGTAAACAATATTGTGTATCGCGAGAATTTCCTCTGTGGCCTTTAAAATTTCACCGATAAAAAATAAGCAACGGAAGAAAGTCAGATTTTCGTCACTTCAAATCCTTATTGTAAACATTCACTTCCGTCAATTCCTGTTTAAATTTTTTTAACTTTTTTAATATTTTAATTCCTTAGGCCGCGCTACTGAAGTAATGTTTAATCCGTTAGGTGATCACAAAGACACAAACTGTAATGATGCTTGGTGAAATTGGAGGATCTTCTTTTATATAGTAACAGAAACGAAGTTGATGAATTTACCACGCAGAATCACACGAACATAAACTTTTTCATTTCGTCACATTTTTCGATGTTGAATATTCGGTTGAAAGAGTTTTCTTTCGTTTTCATAAAGTATTAAATATTATTTTATATCATTTGATATACGTATTTAAGTATAAGAAATGAAATCAAAAATCTGTCTAATATCTAATGAGGTGAATCAAACATAAAAAGATAGAAAAACATAATGTTTGTGTGTCTAAGTATCTCTAAACAAATGTGAAATACAAACATTGAAAGTAATGAGTCAAAGCTCGGTTTTCAGTTAACGAAGGCCACTGAAGGTTTTTCCTTGTTTTAGGATATTCAACAAAGATTTTAAAATAAACTTTTTGAAAGAGTAAAATGAGTGGGAAAATATTTACTTACAGAAAAAATGATTTGATCTATTTAAGAACTTTGAACGGAAAGGGTTAAGTGTCAAAGTAAAACATATTTTCCTATGGAAAATAATAAAAATGATATCTTCTTTGAAATATCCTCTTGAAAAAATGTTTGTTCTCTTATAAAATGAATTAGGGTGAATAATAAATGAAAAATGGGTTTTCTGTTCTCTTCTTATGTTAACTTTTTCCAGTACTCTCGACAAACTGATATTTATTTTATTTTCCATAATATAATGATACAAATTCCAGTTTCAAACAGTTTATTGAATTGCAAAAACTAAATAATTGTGGCGTTTTGAATTTGATAGCTTTCCATATTTGATAGAAACTTCAAATTATGTGCACAAAAGAAACTTTTTTCAAAAATCATCTATCGAGATAATTTGAATTAAAGAAAAAAGTATGAAAGTCATTTTCTGGAGCATTGAGTATTAAAAACATCAGATAAATGACGATAATGCACCTAATTACTGGTGCTTTTATGTTAAATCCGTTACCATAGTGTCTTTAAAACGCCATTAAACTTTTTTAATTGAAGAAATTTATTAATTCACGTGTTTCTTCTTAAAACGTTTAATTATATAAATAAAAGACAATTATAAAATCTTTGAGCATGTTGAAAAAAATCTTATGATCTATTCAACATTTATCTCCAAAGCATCAATTTATGCATTTTGTTAAGACATTTGACATCATTGGATCTAAAACCATGCTCGCGGTTTAGTCACTTAAGTGACGTTTCAAACACCACGCCAACGACAGTGTCTTTTTTTACATGGTAACTGATAATAAACGGTAAAAAAGCTCAAATCAACTCCGCACAATGTGTGATGATAAACTAATAAATTTTGTTGAAAAAAATTCAAGTTCTTCATTATCTATTAGTTTACTATTTTCGTGAAATCAGAGTATCTAAATAGATTGTTTAATGATTGTTTTTCAACATCAATTAGAAGTAGTGAAAAATGAATTAATATTTCGTTTGACTATCGGATTTCTACTCAAATTTATTCAGTGTTGATGCAATTTTAAATGTTTTATTCATGATAAATAATTCTGCAATAAATTGATTTGAATCTATTAACAATCTATCAAAATCTATCAACTTTTTCTTATTTTTCTATCAATCAAAAGATGAGGAAAATATCATTAAAAATGTGAATAGTAAAGTTCACACTTTACTTAAGATATTCCTTTATGCGTATTGTGTGTGAAAAATATTAAAGATCAAAGATTAGGTCATACATTTAAGATGTTACTTTTGACTCTTGAGAATCCATTCTGTCTTTGTTTGACCTTTTGTTTGACGTATTACAAGTTTCCTTATTAAATTTGTATGTCAGCGTTAAATGAAATTGTTGACTGTTAGAAACTTCTTACTCCGATTTTCCCTTGTGTATCAAAAGTAAACGAAATTATGGTCTGGGAATTATCGTAACAAGGGACGTTAGAAACAGGGAGAGATGACGTAATATCTAATAATAAAAAGAAAAATGGGAATTTTCATCTTCAACTCGTTTTGCAGAACTTTTGGGAATGAATTCTTAGAATTTATTTTCATCATAAACAGTACAAAAATAGATTATTTGATTTTATGAATTGAAACGACAATTTTCATTATTCAGAGCACAAATTCTTTTGACCAAACGTCATAGAAAAATGTTGACGTAGATATGAGAAATAATAAAAAAGCTTTGAAAGTTTCAAGAAGAAAAATCGGTTTGAATAATGTTCATCAATTTAAGGAAAAAATAAATTTAATGACGAAAAAAGGCGCCAATTTTCACTAAAAAAATAAAAAGCTTAATCAATTGATATTATTGCTTAACACGATTAATTGGGTGATTAAAATTATGGCTATGTTCTTATTGTTGAAAATCACTTTGATGTATTATGTGGAGGATTATTGTAAAACTTTTAATGCCGACTACAGTATGTGGGAAGATAAAAAACGCCATTAATGAAATAAAACCAACTGATTAACAAGCTGTTGAACATTGCAATAAGAAATTAGGGGGAACGAGCATAACATTATCAGTTAATAGTGTCAACAACATCGAGAAAAGTGAAAAAACACCCACTCGAATATGACAAAATTATTATGACATAGCAAATGTTTAATTTCCACAAAAAAAATTTGACTATTTGACTTGGAAAGATTCCTTGATGGATTATCGTCGATTAGACATTTAGAATATAACTTTACACCTGTTGACAACAATAAGAAGAAATTTTAATCAATTTTGTTTACTACAAATTCATTTTTAAAAGGCTTACTCCAGAATGAGTCAGCGAAATTATTTAATGCTTAAGCTTTGACTTGATGATTTCACTGTAAATGACGGAAATGTGATTAAACTTTTTTCTAATCGTGTCACGTCTCTCTTATCCAACTTTTCTTGTTCAATCTTTTCTTTGTGGTTTCTGTTAATGTAGTTCATTTAATTTTTTACTACATTCAAAGGTATTAGCTGCTTAATTTAATATTGCAGCAGATCATGCTTTATAAACTTATTTCTCTGACTTAACACTTCATGGTTGATGCATCTGAAATTTAATTTTATTACTTTTCTCAAACAAGTCAGTTTATTAAATGTTATCGTAACATTGAAATAATCTGAGAAAATAATATGTAAATAAATGAAACAGCAAAGGATCAAGAAGGCAACAATTTAATTCCGATGATGACACTTTATAACGTTTCATTTAATTCCTTTATTCCTTTTGATAACAAACTGAGTGACAAAATTCTTTTTTTGTTTTTCTTTATCATTTTACACATTTTCATGAAATTGAGAATTTTAATTTAACGTCGTAGAATCTGAAAGGCTGAATCATTGTAAGAATTAACAGATGATAGAAAATTAATTTATTGTTTATGCCCCCAAATTTGAGAGATGAGATAAAGAAATCATTTAATGTTAGAAAATTTGTAAACTTTTTATTAATTTCTGTCTATAAACGTTAATTTACTAAAACTAAAATACAAGAAAAAATACTATCGAATGAAATTAGTAACTTAGTTTAATATTTGTTAATTTTTAAAACTTTGGATTTCTCGTTCTCAATATTTAGAAAATTTCCTTAAAAATTGTTATGAAATGTTAATTTCCTACATCGAATAAAATCCTAATTATCGTCATCATTATTGTTTGTTGGTTTCCTGCCAATGCTCTCTGCTTCTTCGATTGTATCAGGCAGAGTAATTCCGAGGGTCTCTGGAAGTGTAAGTGATAAAATTCCGGCAACAAATCCAACAAGTCCAAACAACAAGAGTGGTAAAAATGAGAAAATATTCTCAAGAAGGGGAACGAACGGCGCCAGTAAAGCACCAAACCTGGAGAATGTTGAAAAAACACCAACACCTCCACTTCGTATTAACGTAGGCAACATTTCAGCTGGAGGGAGAATTATTAATAATTTACTATTTATAATGACATAATTACGTTCATTTACCTGAATAGACGTAACAGATTGAAAATGACGCGGTTATTGCCAATTTTCCAACTAAGAATAGAATGATTTGAATCCAAAAGATTCTCTCGGGCACAAAAGCACCAGCAATACAAGTTATGCCACACAAAAGCAGCATAGATGACATTGATATTTGCCTGCCCAGTTTATTCATAATAATCTAAAATAAAGATATTTAATCTTTACGTGACCATTTAATGAGATTTTCTGATGTTACCCAAGCGACGGTGTTGCCAGGAATTTCGATTAGACAGCCAAGGATGAAATTCAAGTAAATGTTCCCACTGAGGTTAACTGAGTTCAACGAAAGTCCATAGAAAACGAATGCATTTGTCCCCCTGTTAATTACGTTTAAAACTTTGTCATCATCATGCTAATCAATCAAAATTTATGACAGAATCTTACCAAATAAAAAGCAGAATCAAGGAACGTATTAATAAAATCTTTGATTTCAACAAATCCTTGTAAGTGACCTTTTTATTGTGTCTGTCACTCATACCGGAACTTACTGATTTCATCTCATTATGTTCATCATCTTCATCAAGCTCTTGGTTGAACTTTGAAAGAATTCCTTCGGAAAGTTTCACACCATTGTTCTTTGCTGCTTTTGTTATAATCTTAAAAGCTTTTCTGTTACGTTTCTTAGCCAAAAGCCAACGAATGGATTCAGGAATGATCCAATAATATGCAACAAATAAAATGGGTGGTGCCGATACCCAATACTGTAAATTCACCCAATCTCCATCAAGCCATGCAATGACCCCAACGAGTGCTTCGCCAACTGAATAAAAATAATTCAGAACAACTCCTGACATTTCACGTTTCCTTCTTCCAACCATTTCAACGCCGATTACAAAAGCCAAAGGATAAACGCCGGAAGTTCCAACAGCATTTAAGAAAGCAAATATTAAAAACATGACGTAGCCCGTCGACACTGCTTGTCCAACACCAGTTAATGACATGAAGAGAATGGCGATGATGAAAAGGTTCTTTCTCCCATATCGATCAGCAAGAAATCCGAATATTCCTGACCCCGCCATGATTCCAGCAAAGTGCATTGTTCCAACAAGTGCAAGCTTCCATTCATTCTCTAAACATGTTAATTTCCACTGAAATATCATAAAATTCTTTCCTTTTTGATATTCAATTAATTAAAATGCGAGCTTACGTCATTCACAATTGTTCTTTCGTCTTCATTAAACACCCAAAGATCACACTTCTCGCGGTTATTAGAATCAATTACAAACCAATCCGCTGAACATGTTTCATTATTGCTTCCCATCCAATCGTCTTTCAAAGGATATTTGTAACAATTTTCTGCTACAAATAAGCCTGAACTTTGTGAAACGTCTCCTGGTAAGACATCTTTGACCCAGTCTTCTTTGAATTGTGGATTCTCTACGGAATCGCATGATGGAACGAAACATCTGTTGAATTTATTATTACATAAATCAAAATTTGTTATCAGTTGTCGTCAATATCAACTTTTTTTTACTATCTAATGTTATTCTATTACTAATATTTAGTTGAACATTTATGCAAACCTGTAATTGGGTGCTCTGGCAGTAAAAACGTATGACAATGAATTAGCCGCGCCATAGAGCACCGGTAAGCAGATAAGCAAATAATTTGTCAGCTGAAATTTTCCAAACTCCCCGATTTCTTCAAGTATAAGATCGAAATCCATAATGCTAGAAAATTAAGTAAAACAAACTTCTGAGCTTCTGTTCTCAGTATGAGTTGTTAATTGCAATTTATAACAATAAAAATAATTATAGCTTTTCTTGATGATTTTAAATTTACTCGAAATGCTTGTAAAATCAACAGCACGACGAAACCTCTTAACTTATTTAATGCGAATAAAGAAACTGCAAAGAATGTAAAGAAACAATGCAGTTGTTGTATGAAAATGCATTTTTTTCTTGGCGAAATATTTGGAGATGATAAGACAACACCAACGTGGTTAAATTTGTTTTGTCTGGTGGTCTTGATAATCATAATTCTCAAATTTTCATTGAGTGCAATGGCATCATAAGTAAATAAATAAATCAAACAAACACTTATGCAATATCATCAGTCAATTAAATTAATAATCGACGACACATATACTGTCGATTACTGTTTAAGCTTTTTATCTTATCAATGTTTGTACTTTAATTCAAAGAGACATGAGAAAACCCACTCTTGAGACAATGTGGAAGGAGAATATAAAAAAAAGATTTCACCCGTCAATCTAAGCAATTAAAAAACAAAACAAGAAGGAATTGATTAGATAAAAACTTTAGAGATATGAAATTGAAGGTCAAAACTGTTCACAATTTAGCCACATAAACCGTTTTTTGCAAATCCATATCACTATATGATCTTTAATCACTTCGTACACGCGAACTTATTGAAAATATTAACAGTCGAGTTATGATGACAATATTCGATAATTTTCTGTTTAAGATATTCACATTTATGAATAATCGCTTTTTCGCAATGTCAGCAAAATTTTCTTACATTTTTCAGTTAAAATTCAACTGATTTGCATTTTTGATTTGATCGCTATTTAGCATACTTGAAGGTGCTTATGATTCATGATCATTTTTCATTCACCACATAGGAATTATTTCAAAATAACCGAAAAGAAGATTTGGTCGAAAATATATTTTCCATCATTTTCCCACACTTCTTGGAAAGGTCAAGAATTTTCACTTACTAATATCTGGTTAATTTATCACAGATGAAATAAATTTAATTCATCACTTTGTACTTTTCAAGTAGCTTTATTGTTTAATAATGAAAAAATCACAAATCATTCTTGCTTCGTTGACTTTCGGCGATAAATTGATCGGAGCGAGAAAATATGTTCGTGAAAATTTTCTACATCCCAAAGTCTCGTTCTAACGTCAATCTAAACCTACACTGCAAAAAATATTCGGGACGATGATATTTTAAAAATCGAAACGTGTTTTTCAGCGTGTAAATGTTCATAGTCGCATGTTGCTTTTCTTTTTCTTTAATACATATTCTTTGTGATGCTGTTTAAGGAAATGCGTTTGTTCTCAACTCTTTAAATATTTCCGTAAATATTAAATTCTTTTCACTCATATCTGATTAAACTTAAACTGTCATTAAATGTTAGAAAGCTTATGTAGATAAACACATCTTGATATGCCATAAAAGAACAAAAAATTCTTATCTTTGAACAGTTAGTTATGTTATGACACTTTTATAATTGAAGTTTATTTTCGGATGAATAACGACATTGTGATAAGAGAAAAAAAGATTAAAATTAACTCTGATTGTGAGAAAATCTTTTTTAATATTTTTAATAATTTAATGAGTTTATTGCTCTTTCGAAGTAATTATTCTGACCTAAATATAAAAATATGTAGGTACCAAAATATATTTTTTTACAAAAAGAAAAGTTTTTGAATGACAGGACTGAATTCTAAAGATTTTGTGGATAGTTTTTAGAAAATTAAAGCAGATCAAACAATCAATTTTATTTAAAATGACAATTAGATATTGTAATACTTATTTACATCCGAATTTGTACTTAAAGTTAACTTTACCCAGAAAAATGTGTCATAAACTTAAAATAATTAATTACAAGTGAGTTTGTTGGTCTTTTGTTGAATGTCTTCCAATATTCTCCGCATCTTCAATAGTGTCGGGAAGTTTTTCGCCGAGTGTTTCGGGTAAAAGTGTTGATAACATTCCAGATGTTAATGCAAATGTACCAAAAACTAATAAGGGAAGAAAATTGTAGAGGTTCTTCAACAAGGGGACAAAAGGTGCAAGGAGTGCTCCAAATCGAGAAAATGTTGAAAATGTTCCAACTCCCCCGCTTCTTATCAGCGTTGGTAACATTTCAGCTGCGAAAAACAGAAAAATAATTCAAAGGCAATTTAATCGAAGGAATTTCAACTTTAATTACCTGAATAAACATAAACAACGGTAAAAGCTGATGTGATTGCCATTTTTCCGACCAAAAATAATAAAATTTGAATCCAAAAAACTTTTTCAGGTATGAATCCACCACTAATGCATGTAATTCCACAAATAAGCAAAGAACAAGCCAAGGATAATTTTCTACCAAACTTATTAATGATTACCTAAGAAGAAAATTGGAATTGTAATTAATAAATATGATTAAGAATATTTTCCTTACCCAAGCGATTGTGTTGCCAGGAATTTCAATCAAACATCCAAGTATGAAATTAAGGTAAATATTGCCGCTCAAATTTATAGAGTTCAATGAAAGTCCGTAGAAAACGAATGCATTTGTCCCCCTATAAAGTAAAGTTTTCAGTAGTTTACACGAATTTGTATTCATGTTTAGTTTAGCATACCATATGAAGAATAATATCAAGCAACGTGTAATTAATGTCCGTGATTTTAAGAGCTCACGATATGTTGCTGGTTTTGGTTGCACAAGCGTCACTTCCGAGTTTTGCTGAACTTTCATGTTATATTTGTTTTCTTCTTCTTGCTTTTGGTTTTGTTCTTCTTCAAACTTTGCAAGAATGTTCTGTGAAAGTTCAACTCCGTTGTCTTTTGCAGCACGTTTAATAATTTTCAAAGCTTCGTCATTGCAATTCTTTGCAAGAAGCCATCGTATGGATTCAGGAATGATCCAATAATATGCCAGGAATATTAGCGGGGGTGCCGATACCCAATACTGTAAATTCACCCAATCTCCATCCATCCATGCAATGACTCCTACAAGTGCTTCACCAATCGAATAAAAGTAATTCAGAATGACTCCTGACATTTCACGTTTCTTTTTTCCGACCATTTCAAGTCCAAGCACGAAAGCCAAAGGATAAACGCCGGAAGTTCCAACAGCATTTAAGAAAGCAAATGTTAGAAACATGACGTAGCTCGTCGACACTGCTTGTCCAATTCCAGTTAACGACATAAACATTGTGGCAACAACAAAAATAAGTTTTCTGCCAAATAAATCAGCAAGAAATCCGAATATTCCTGACCCCGCCATGATTCCAGCAAAGTGCATTGTTCCAACAAGTGCAAGCTTCCATTGATTCTCGACACATGTTAATTTCCACTGGGAACACATAAAATATTAAAAGCTTTTTTAACCATATAAAAACTTTAAATGTTAGTTATTGATTTACATCGTTGACGATTGTTCGTTCACTCATATCGAAAACCCATTTATCGCATTTTACTTTTTCATGATCAAACCAATGTGCTGGGCAGGATTCGTTATTAATGTTTATTGAATAATTCACAAAATTGTACTTGAAACAATTCTCCGGTATAAAGTGTTGATAACTTTCTGATATAGTTCCAGGCACTACGTCCTTGACCCAATCTTCGTCATATCTGGGATTAGTCACTGAGTCACATTCATCCACAAAACATCTGAAACAAAATCAAGAAAAAATTCAATAAAAATTCTATTTAAAGTAATTTTACCGTAAATTGGAACATTAAATTAAATTCAAACGAACCTGTAATTAGGGGCACGAGCCGTGAAAACATATGACAAAGAGTTAGCAGCTCCATAAAGTACTGGCAGGCATATTAATATATAATTCGTCAACTGAAATTTCCCAAGTTCTCCAATTTCTTCAAGAACTAAATCAAAGTCCATTGTTTCCTATTGATTTTAAGAAAAACTTTAACTGTTTGTATTATAATTTGATGATTAAATGAATCTATCGTTTGCTTATTTTTGTTTTAAAGCGAAGTGTCGATATTTTGTTACTATTCTCTCAAGCATTTACCATAACAATGTAACGTCAAATTGATATCAAAAATGAAATCATTATCAACATTGTTACATATTCTCTATCATATCGCTTGAATGATTGTCCCGACAAATGAAGGCAAGAAAAATAGAGCATATAAGAAAGATAAGTTGATGCATGTGGAACAAAAGTTATGACGGCACATAATTGTGAGTTGTATTTAACCTCGACTTCTTATTCTTATTATTAACCCTCTATTTAAAGTTTTGGAAGTTCCATTAAAATGTACCGACAATTGTCATGTTTTTGTTAAGTTAAAAAAGTCATTGCACATTTACGAAATCTTACAGTTGAATTCAATCGTATGTACTTGTAAAATACGACCAAACATTGCAGACATCTGCCAACATAGTAGACTGCTATTGTTGTGTATATCCAATTAGATGCTTTGGGTTTTTTTTTCACATACGACGATTTAAGAGTGTTAGAGGGTCTGTCTTCATTTTAAACAGGAATACACAAAAATATCAAAACGACTTGCCTCTAAACACCACGGAAATTTTTTTTCATCGTGTCATTAAATCACTAAAAATAAAAAGTACTCAATCGTGTTTTTTTGTGAAAAGTCTTTGACTTTTATACCATGACCTAGCTTAACAACAGAAAACAAAGTGAAAATAAAAGTCATTCATAGTTACATTTGAAACGCGAAGTAACAAATAAACTTTGTAGCTTGCCTGCTCTCTAATGTAAATATCGATTCACAATAATTGATACCGTTATGAATTATTCAATCCTAATGACCAGTATTATAGTTGAGTTGTTAGTCCCTTTCACAGATGACTTGACAGATTGATTTAAATATTGTCGGAATTTTGCTATAGCAAAATCATTTTAATGAGAGAGAGAAAGCCACTAAGAGAACCGGTTTTCCACAAACAAAAAAACAAACACTGAATTCGTAATTGATCATTTTGAAGATTGAAGAATTTACCTTAAAATATTATTAAAACTTTTACTGCTTCACAAATCACAGAAAATATTTTCAGATTTTCATTATAACAACATGTATCTCAAATATATTTAATTGTTGTCACCGAATAAAAGTTTAAAAATAAGACACTAGTGCTGAAATAATCGCCTTTGATGATAGAGCGCGATTCAACAATGTTGAACGAAGACGAGCTACTGAGAAACGTGAAGCACGTTATACATAAATCTTATGTCATAAACACTCTCAACAATTTTTACATCAATTTTATTATGTATCCATTAGTACTGATTACTTTTTTTAATTACTCAATAGCTTAATTACAATTATAAATATGGAAATGTATACATTCCGTTATGTTCTTATCAGTGTGATTAAATTTGAATTATTTTTTACAGTGTAGACGTAACGGTTCAATAACACAATGTAGCGGTTCAAAACTAACATCAAAATTTGTTTCATCGCTTCCCTTTTCGCTTCTCATTGTTTACAAATCTGAAATTTGAGATTTGTGAAAATAATTTTTATATTTTCACATATATAATGGGAGAAACAGCGTTAAATATTAAAATTAAACAAGAAAAAGTTACACCTGAACGAGAGGAAGAGAAGGATGATATAGTGAAGTTATTGGAGTCTAATTTATTTGCAGAAAACGATGAAACTCTTGATAAAAAGGATATTGAACCATCCAAGTAAAAACTTTACCTTTTTCCTAACGAACTCTGACATTTTAGTTATTTTTGTTGATTGATATTTGTAGAACCAGCGATCAGCTTCTTGAAGAACTGTTCGGTGTTTTTGGAGCTAATGTAAGTATTCCAGATATTTTAAGTAACAATGCAGATGTAGAGAAAAAAAGTAAAAAGAAGAAGAAGCGTAAACACGATGACTCCGATGAAGAAACATCAAAAAAGAAACATAAAAAGTCAAAAAAATCTAAAAAAGTTAAAGAAGAGCCTAAGGATGAAGAGGACAAGTTGAAAGATCAAATTAAGAAAGAGAAAAAGGAGAAATCTGTGAAGAAAGAACCAACAGAAAGTCGAAAACTTTCAATTATCATTAAAGATTCAAAGTTTAAATCTGAAGTTGTTAAACCAAACACTTCTTTACCTTCAAAAAACAAAGAAAAAGATAAGGAAAGAAGTCGAAAAAGTAAAGACCGTGAAAGGGATAAAAATAGGAAAAGTCGCGAGAAAAAATCGAGTGGAAATGTTTCTGATATTTCGCTATCCGATGAAGAAACATACAGAAAAATGTTGGAGTATCATACAAGCTCTCGTTGGGAAAAGGAAGACTCTTATCGAAACAGCCATATAAGAGAATGGGATCGTGACAAATACAGAAGAGGACGAAGTCGCGACGACAACAGGCAGTAAGTTTGCATATAAAAAATATTTAAAAATTTAGATTTAATGTTTATTAAAGTTCCAGATATCACCGACCACGTTCACGATCACGTTCCAGGTCTCGAAATCATTCTCCAATCGATAAGAAAAAACTTCTGGAAATTGCAAGAAAGAATGCAATTTCAATGTTGAAAAGTGGAAGTTTACCTCGTAGCATCAGTGAAAATGCCAAAGAAAAACTGATAACAAAGATAAGACATGGTGGACAATCAATTGAAGAGTTAACAAATTATTGCAAGAGATTATCAAAAGCTGAAAATTTCGGTGAATTGTCAAGTTTTTCTGATAGCGATAATGACGGGGATGGAAAACCACGAGCATTTCATCATCCTTTTGAAGTGAAAGATCGCGGTCCAATCGTAATGAATATAAAAGTAAACATGAAAAATAATTCACAAATTGAATTTGTGCTAATTCTTTTTATGTTACAGAATTCTGTTCCAATAGCACCGAAACAAGCGAGTGAAATTAAAGCAATCATGTCACAATTCCCAGTATCATCTGGAAAACAACATCAGAAAGTTGAAAACACTTGGGTGCCTGTCACAACGTCAAATACAACATCAACAGTGACGACTGTCGCGACGATCTCAAAACCAATTATAACTCTACAAAAACAAATTCAAGAACAACTTCCAGAACTTGCGAGACCTAAACCAACACCAGCAATTGAAGCTCCCCCCCCACCACCACTGGATCCAGCACTCACAAAGCCTTACGATTGGAAGAGTGACGATCATTATCTTTCAAAGTCCGTCGCTATCATTCCGGAGTTAGCGCCACCACCTTTAGTAAGCAATTTTATTTAATTCTTCGCATAATGTTCATTTAATATTCTTTTATAGCCACCCATCGACGTGTCCGAAGTAATATCTCAACGATTAAATGCAATGAGAAAGCTACAAGAAAATCCTTCGGATCATCAAGCGAATCAAGTTCTTTTCGAGACACAACAAAATGTAAGTCACAATAATCCTTATTTATATCAATGACGAAGCATTTATTTTCTTCATCTTTCAATTACGTTTAGATGTCTCAATGGGCTCAATCAAAATTTACGCCAGGTCAATTCTTAGGCAGCACGAATGTTCGTGTACTTAGTGCCAAAGAACTTGCAACTGGTAATCAAGCATGGGCTAGAAAAAATCAACTTATTGACACGCAACCAGTTAATTCTGGAATGGGAATGCATTTGTTGAAGAAAATGGGTTGGACACCAGGCGAAGGTTTAGGAAAAGAAAAGAATGGAAGTTTGACACCGTTGCTGCTTGAACTTAAGCTTGATAAACGAGGATTGGAGGCGAATGAAGAGGTGATTTTATTTACTGACGATTTTATTTCATTATTTATAAATATGTTAACATTTTCGAACAAGGTTTTGAAGCAAAAACAAATGAACATGAACAGAGGAAAGAAACCAGGCCAACGTGGAGGTCCCAACGCTCCAATACCATTAGCGAGTCTTGAACAAAAGCATCCCGTATCACTTCTTGGTGAACTTGCATCGAAGAGAAAATGGGGAGCACCAAACTACACGCTTGTCCATGAAAATGGCCCACCACATGCTAAAAATTTTATATTTAAGGTGAGATATTAAATTTCAGTAATGTCTCTCTAAAACATGAAAGTTTCAAGCATTGTCGATGATAATTTTCAAAGAGATTTCACTGTAACATTAAACATTAAAAAACTTTCTTATTTTCAAACAGGTTCAATTGAATGGAATCGACTACACATCTCCAGTATCTGCAAATAACAAAAAAGAAGCAAAATCGTGTGTTGCCAAGTTTTGTCTTCAACAACTTGGAATTTTGCCGTCATAAAATGTTTCAATTCAATGCTGAGAAGGGAATGGAAGAAATCTATTGTCGTCCCCCATTTTTTTCTTGTTAATGGATTCCAGAAGATGATCATAAATTTGATATCGAAGAGATGATAATGGTCGTAAGATTCCTTTATTGACTCTGTGGTGACTATACGGTGCACAATCATGAATAATTTAATTCCTTCATTCTGATGTCGTTTGCGATTCAATTGAATAACTTCGCTTTGCTATTCTCGGGGAAAGTATTTTCACCTCCAATATGTGAATTGAATTAATTATCATCATCGATGTTTTGTTGCTCCAAAATAAATGTCAAAAGGGTCGAAAACTTTTTTCAGTTTATTCACCTTTAATCTTGTGATCATTAAACTCTTTTGACATTATTTAGAAACAACAGTAGACGAAAGATATCTTCTCATTTCTAATCGAAATGGTAAAATACCTTTCTGTTATCTTTCTTTGATTTTCAATTTAGGAAAATGGGAAAATAAAAAGAAATCTGTCAATTTGATGTTTGGGGTTCGTTTGTGAATGATTTCGAAATATTAATAGAGCATCTTATCTTCAATTTTAATCGCATCACATCACAAACGACCCTCAAACGTCCATTTCAATTATAAAGCTATCAATATCTGATGAAACCTTTTGAAAAACTTCCTTTCAACCTTCTTATTCAACGAGCTGTTATCCCACACGGTAACAGACCAGCCAAAGTGGTAATGAAGGCAAAAAAGTTGAATTTCTTAAAAGGTTTCGTTCATTTTTAAATTTTCTCTGAAAAAAATTCTTTTCTATCGGAAATATCAAAAAGGATGTTGGATTGGAAGTTTAAAAAGAAAACCGACAAAAACTTTTTCATGGCTGAAAAGAAAGTAAAAGTGAAAAATCAAAGCTAAGCCTACGAGTTTTGAAAAGTAAAGAAAAAAATTATGCCACGTGAGAGCGAATGGGTGGAAGTTGTTTTCCAGGTATGTTTTTATGCTAATTACTTTTGAAAAGATTTCAATGATGATAGGAAATCCGAGGAAATAATAATTTAACGATATTTTATGTGAGATAATAAGCCTTGAGCGTCACACGTTTTACGTAAATCAAGACGTAAATCTTCTTAAAAGTCGACATCTGCCCACATTGGTGAATTTCGAGAATGAAGATTAAATTCCATTAAAAAGTAATCAAATTATCTCGTTGATAAAGGCACTTTAAATCTATTTCTCTTTTCATCACACCTTTTCGATGAAATTCAATTTGATGAAGTCCCTTTTCTTTATCATTTCTTTAATAGATATTAAAATAATCTCTTAGCTACACCTTCCAATGTTCGACAAAGGCACGAACAAAGTTGCTTTTGATAGAGTTCTTTTGTTAAAGTAAATTCTCTCGAGCATGTAACTCAATACGTTTGTTTGTGTTTGATTTGCAACAGAAAGAAAAAGAAAAAAGCTTAAGCTCATCGAAGCTTAAAAGTGAAGTGAAGAAATTTTTTCAGAGAAAATCTTTATCACATATTGAAGATGAAAATATTTTTCCACAGCATAAAATGAAAAAACTAAACCTTTATGATCCTTAAATCCTACCTAGAAAATATTATTTTCCTTTTCTCCACTTAAAGTTTTCTTCTTTCTTTCCTGATTCCATATTTGAAACGTCAATTGATGCGCTTGAGTCTCGCTCGCTGAACTCAATTCGAATTATTCTCTTAAGACTCGTGAAGAGTGTTGAACAAATAAAATTTAGATTATGCTCCTTGGCTTCCCTTTCTCGTTTTCGTCGTCTTGAACAAGAGAAAAATCAAAATAAAGATTGAATTTGAAGAAATTGAAAAATTTTCTTTTCATTTTTGATATAAATTTCTTTCAGTTAATTTGTTAATTGATTGAAGTTTAGAAGCGTTCAAAATTACTTCAATTAGTAGAAAATTCCAACTATTTCAAAGCTCTGATTTCCATACTTTAATTATGTATGTTTTAATATCAGATATCAAGCAATCATGGAATCATGTTTATGTAAATTACTAACTCATTCCATTTCTACAACACCAACCCTTCTGCATAACTTTAAATTCCTTTAATCACATAACAATCATCATGATTGTCAAGCACACGATGTTGGAATTTGTCGTCGAGCTGAGTGAATTAAATAAGCAAATATTTAGAAACGATCTATCGAATATTGTGTAAATGAACACATGAAATAATGTTGATGCGAGTAAGACGAAGCTGAACAAGAAAGCTTCATTAGGCTCAATTCAAATTTCAAACAAATATTTAACACCAAACCCCCACAAGAGAAAGAGTTTTTTGAAACAACATTAAATATGCTTCGTATTAATTTTTCATGACTTCATTTCGTAGATGTTCGTACTTGAAGGGAATAAAATTAACGGAATTGGATGGGGGAAAAGGAAAAGTTAAAAGTTCTTCTTTCGTTAAAATTATATTTATTGTTCTGGAAATTTTATAAGTTACAAGCCGAAAAAAATTATAAAATATGAAATATAAAATAGCAGAGAAAGAAGATGATAAAGTGATCAAAATGTTATTTAACTTTTTTTGTTTCTCTAAAGAGTTGTGATGAGTTTTTATTCGATGAGGCTTTTCCTACTCAACGAAGCATAATTTTCTTCTTTTGTTGTCTTCCTTCCCGTTTTATTTTCTACCTTCACAATGTCGACGATGTTTACCAGGCTAAAATGAGTTTGAACAAGAAATGAAAGGAAACATTTAAAAATTTAATTTCGTAGCAGCAGTTAAGCTTTTCAATTTTACCATATGAGATCAAAGGTGCGGAATAACTCATGTGGCTGACCGCAGTAGCTGGAGAGTATGCGACGCCCAACAATTTTGCGGCAGGAGCTGCGGCAACAACTGAAACAAACACAAAAAAAGAGCAGAAAATCAATAATTAAAACAAGAGAATTTACATCATTGAAATTAAATGAAATTCTAACCTTGAGCAGCTGGTGCATGATATGCCAAAGGTTGAGCTGTGAAAAGTTAGTTATACATGTTTAATTCAATTAAAACTTTTGCTTAGAGATTTAATGTTGAAAAGGATATTTAAAGGGTTAAATGGTTTTGGGAGGGATAAAGGCTTATTGAAAATTATTTGGAATTTCACACAGCTTCCTACCGATTTGATAAGCAGCTGGTGCTTGATAGGTACGAGCAGCATACGCCAAAGGTTGAGCTAAAGTTATTTCATTATAAATTAGAGAGCGAGAAATGTGTAGAATTTTAAAATGTTTGAGATAATTTACCACGAACGACTGGAGCGGCTTGGTAGGCTGTTGCATGATAAGCAGCTGGGGCGACTGTGGAAATTAATTTGTTAGTAATTAATCAAAATTAATTAACATTGAGTGTTTTGTTGTACCATAAGCGACTGGTTGGGCACGTGTGATGGCAATTCCTGGGTTGCTTACACGAACATCAGACTTTGAGACAGATGAGTATGGTGTGTCGATAGTTTTTGAGTTGTACGAGACTTGTTGTAAATTTCCATACGATCTCAAAACATTTTGTTGTTCGCTGGTAATTGTGGGGGCAATGACAGCAGCACCATTGTAATTGGCGATACCAGCGTTGCAGACAGCGACGACAGTCAAAAGACACACAAACTGAAGAAATTTATGTTTAAATATTATTCATTTAAAAGAAAGAAATTTCAATCTTAAATCTTATGATGCTTTTGATATTCTCATGACACTATGGAGGAGGGATTTGAATGATTTTAAATCAAAATATGTACGGGCTTGGTGTCTGTCATGAATACGAAATTAGGATTTGAATTACTGAGAATGTTGTTTTTAAATCCGATTCAATTTCAAATTCAATTCAAGAATTTTTTAAAGCTTTTTTTTTCGAAAGGTTTTAATCCAAACTTTTTCTGTTTTTTTATTAGAATGTTTTTAAATATTTGAAGATTATTATAATAAATCATTCATTTCTCTCCTAAACTTTTTGTCTTATGAATCTTTTATCACAGATCATTGATACGTAAAACACTCACTCGGAACATTTTTATTGTAATAAATAAATAATCGCAAACGAAGTTTGATCAACGAGAATGATTGTTAAGGCACTTTTGCACGGTTATGTAACTCAACGCAATCTGAATGTATCACAACTGATGCTGTTCCTTTTTATACCTTTCTTGAGGCCGGTTTACTCTACTTGTACGTGGTATCCGTATCAGCTTCCAATCAGTTGATGTCTTGTATTATTGTTTCTGCTTTTGCTTGAACAATTCAATTGAACGATGTGTGTATACAACAATAATGGAAAAAAAGTTTTTCGCAACAAATTTCTCTTTATCACTTATGTCTTGACGTGATGTAGGCCAACTTCGCGAAGGGTCTTGGTGTGTGAATCAACCGAAACAATTATTAAGCTCAAGAGGGAGGTCGAAATCTCTTGAAGTATCTTTTATTGTGTGGAAGGAAAATAAATGTAAAGGAACGAACGGATAATTTTATTCATTTCGTAACAAGGTTTTAGAATGAAAACATTTCTTAATATAAAATCTTTTTACACACGTCATAAGCATATGCATCCCGAAAGCGAAATTGATCTGATTTCCAGAAGATAACGAAAAGCACACGAAAAGGGAGAGAAGGCAGAAAAAAAAGGCAAACGAAGTTAAATATTTGTTTAGGGACGCATGAGGGAGGAATAAGTTTTCTGATTTCGTCCGTGTAATCGATAATTTAATTTACACAGCCGATTACATTCATCAACTGACCCTTCTGCCATCTCTGTCTTTGCTTGTTGAAAAAGAAGAGAAATAGGAAAATCATCGAAACAACAGTGACTCAGTCTTCCAGACCGGTTGTGCTTTAAAAGCAAATTAATTTAATGTTTTCGAGTTGTTTCATTGCCAAGATGAGGGATTCTTCAAGTTAGGCATTCAAGCGGCAAAGGAACGCTCATTTTAGTAATTTTAATGTAAAATTTCTGTTATCATAGCCTTTTATTTATTTATTGTTTTTAAAACGCGTTTCGTTCTGCTTTTGGTTGCTTGCTTCAGTTTCCCTTGACTGACAGACTGATGGCAATTATAAGATTTAATTAAAGGATAATTATGCAAGCGAAAAAAAGTTATGCGGTTGATTGAAAGCTGAGTAATTGAGACTTTGTTACAAACTCAATTCATGAAGAAATGAAAAACTTTTCGATGTTTCTACCGATAGATAAATTTCTCAAGTGAACTTGTTTGCCTTATTAAATATTAATTATCTTTGAGACTCAAAGTCATTCATTTTTTATCGCAATAAAAGCTTCTTTTTCGTTCTTTCCTGAGAAGAGCTCAAGAGAGATGAAAAGATTTCAGTTTCAATGTTAAAGATGAATGAATTCTCAGTAATGACAAAAAATAAAAAGAATAATGGAAATTTAGGAAAAACAATTTTCCTCGACTTACAAGCTCATTGTTTAAAACTTCATTAAGCTAATGCAATGTGCTGTTTTTCATGAACAAATTATTTTGAATGTTTGAGAGTAAACGTTGAGTTGTCATGATAAAAGGAAATCCAAGCTTGTTCATTATCTTGTTTCGACGCTAAATGGCTGTGAAATGTGAATTTAATCATTTCAAAGAGAGACTCAAATCTAGACCTACATCAGGCCGATTAAAGATAATTAACTAGGTACTCAATTGTTGTTAATTTATTTGCCAACGGTTATATCATGTAAATTATAAAGCTTAAAGTAGAAATTTCTCTCTGCACTGCAATAATTTGTGTTTAATCTTTCAAGGTCAGGTCTTATGAAATTGGCCCAAGTACTTTAAGCAAATGTAAGTTTGTTGAACTTCTTGTTGCACGTTACATTTCAACAATTATTAAATAAATTAACGTATGTACTTTGTAAATCGAAACGACGAATGAGTGTAATTTACATTGATCGCTGAAATATGGAAACAAGCTGAGATTGAAATCGTGACACATAAAAAAAAGAGAAAATTGCATGCATAAAATTTTTGATTGCCCTGCATTAATTTGACACTTGATAAATGTGTCAAACAGGGACAAGCTGGGACAATTAAATTTTCAACGATTTATGTTTATAAAGTCGGATGGAAATTTATTAAGAGTTTCATAAACCTTTTGTTGATAACATTAAACTGTCGTCGTTAATAATTTTCGCACGGACAGAACAAACTACAGACTAGTAAATAAGTCTTCAAGGTTGCGATCTTGCTGAAAAGTGTAAGACAAAAGAAGAAAAATTTATTTTGCGAAGGAGAAAACATTTTTTTATCATGTCTTGCTTACATGAACTGATTTCAGCTTGAAACATACACATTGGTTGCATAATTTATTCTTTTATTTTATTCTTTTTACTTGTGGCGCATTGTTACATGTTTTAAGATTTTATTCATTCATTCATGTCTGTATGAATATGACAAGCGTTAATTAAAAATTCACGATTAATAATAAAATGACTTTAATTTAATTTTCGGATGTCTCTGCAAATATCGCGACTCCATTTAGTCTCCGATGTTGTATTTAAAAAGAAAAAAGAAATTCTACAGCTAATGGCCTCAGTTGACTCATTTAAAAGTTTAAATAAATTGAGTCAGCTTTTAACTAAGCGAAGATTTGAAATTTGAAGAGTTAATTTATGGCTTAATTTTCTATTCAGAGAAATGTGTCGGAGAGCGGATGTTTTACATCAAACATTACAAGCAGATGTCGATTGCTTGTTCTCTTATTTATTCTTCAATCTCTTCTTCCTTTTTCTAACATAATACAAATTCAGGGAACATGGAGAGCTTCAGAGGTGATATATCGCATCACCCACTAAAGGATGTTGTTTTGGTTTTGGCATCGTCTTTTATTCATTTTTCATTTCGTCTGCGCCTCCTTCTCAGCAAAAATCTCATGAATCTTGTCTTCTTACTTTCAAGTTGAGGAAACAATTTAATTTGAAAATCACTTAAGCTAATTCGTATTCCAATTATTTTTCATGTTGTATCTAAGTAAGAACTCCTTCTACTTCAACAACGTTTACGTAGGAGAAACCAAGAGACTTCATTTATATTTATCAACTTTTCGAGAATAAAAAGGAAAATTAATGTAAAGAAAATAATATTTTGTTTCCTCGAGTTAATTCTCGTCGGAAAATCTTCTGCTGTTGATATTTCTTCATTTAAATTGTTCGCCCATGCATAACTTGACTAAATGCTTACGCCTTTCTTTTCATGACAACATGACAAGCTACGACATTCTTTGAATCACAATTTAAACTGCACTTCATAGCAGATGAGTTACAATGAACTTCTCTATAAGCATTGAATTTGACATTCATGAATTAATCGCCAACTTAACGACCTTGTGTTCACTAAAAAGCTCGTATATCTGAACTCATATTGAAAGAATCGAATCGCAAACTGCCCACATGAATTATTGATGCTTTCTCATACATAAATTTCTTTGGTACTTAATAAATAAAAAAGATCGCTTGATGATTTATGCTTTAACATCAATGGATGACTTTTCCTTCACTTTCCATATCATTTTCCATTTGACTTTTCGTTTTCTTATTTTATCTTCTTTTCTTCTTATGCCTCATTTAGATAATGCAAAATCTTTGTGGCTTTATTCTAGCAGATGTCGAAAACATTTACAGATTGCGTGCTACATTGTTGTCGTTGTTCGATGGAAATTAAATGCGTGCGAATTGGTTTCAAGTTGATAAGTGGAAATATAAAATAAATGTATTGACAATACATGCAACACGTCCATATGTCAATCTAACAATTTCTCAAGCAATTTCTCATACATGTTATCATTGAAATCAAACTTGTGTGATGAAAGCATCGTCATAGATATTAACATTTTATTTATCTGTCATAAATATCTTTCGGTTGATGTGGTAAGTTTATACATTTCTGTCGCTGTCTACTCCAAGACTATTTTTCTTTAACATTTGACGTCATTTTTACAGACCACTAACTTTTTCCCTATCTTGGAAACTTTTCTCATCTTCACATGAATTATTACAATGCAATGGCAAACAATGGAAGGAAGGAAGGAACTTTAACGATTTTTCTCATCGGGTTTTATGGTTCTTTAAAGGTTACATCTTTCTCCGGATATATTTTGCAGCTTAAATGCTTTTAAAAAACTGCACCAAAGTGTGTTGAAAATTTCACTTTAATATTTTCAATTTTTCTTTTGTTTGCTAGCTAGAAAGTTTGTGAAGAAAATATTATTTGAGGGAGTTCTAACACAATGAACAATCGTTCAGACCATCACCACCCACAAACATTAAGAAAGATTTAATGCCATGAAATGAAATTGAATATCATAAATGCTTCAATTAGGAAAAGTTTTTCGGATCTCGCTTCATGAATTTTTCCTACCAACCAACGGTGAAAGTATTAAAACTTTGATTATTTTTTTGGCTTGGGCTTTTTTGGGTCACGTATGAATAGTTTATGAGAGGCTTCCCTGAAGATGCCCTGAAGTTGAATAGAAACACCAAACCTTAGTTCAGTGATCATTGATCTTTCCTTCCTTTTCTTTCTCTCCAGATGATTCAAGAAACCTTTCTGCATAGAAACACGACAAATATTGTGGAATAAACGAAACCGTTAGCATGATGAACAATCAGATGCTAAGCTATAAAAGTTTTCTTTTCATCCCTTTCTCATGTTCATAGAGATTTGTTGAATCAAAGTCCAAGGAAAAGAAAAAAGAAGTAACATTAACAAAATATATGAAAAAAAGGAAGGAAACTCTTTCAGTATAATCAGATCCCTAAATCGTCTTTTTTTTTCCATGTTACTGTCAGTAAGTTTTGTTTGTTCATCACCGGATATGTTTTTTGTTTGCAGCTAATCGAGAGCTTTGTATTCAAAAATTTCTTTGTAAAAAATATGTGAATTCAAGAAAGAATTTTCCTTCAAAATCGTTGTTCACTTTCGATGTAATGGAAATGTTGAACCCAAATTTAACAGACAGAAAATATTTTTGAACTTCTTGTGGTGCTTCACATCTACAGATCAAATAAAATAATTTTACATGAGTTGAAAACTTTAAATCTTGAGAGTCCCGTCTTGAAAATTGAACACAATGAAGACTTTCGTTTGTCGGTTGAAAGCTTTCAATGGAATTAATGAATTATGTTGACTGAAAAATAAAGGCAAACTTGTCCTTCCTTTCATTGTTCCATTAATTCAACCGTACTTAAAAGATGATTCTCTCAAATTCTCTCAACAAAAAGGAGCAATGACTATTCAAGCTTTTCATTTCAATTTCTGCATGATTGAATGCTTGACAGTTCTAATGTTTGCTGGTTATAGCATTTATCCTTCGTTTTAACAAGACATCAAATAGTAAATGTTCGTTTTTGCAAGTAATCTTCCTTCAACGAGACCCGTTACGCATCACTTTTTGCAATGCAACAGAAGTGCTAAGTGATGGTTTTGACCGGTTTTTTTGGGTTTTCAGCTTATCACTCTAATTTTTTAAATCTCATTCTCTTGAATAGATAATTTGACGATGAAAAGAAAATCTTTTTATCTTTTTTTGCATAAAAAGCAAGTTCTGGAGTGAGATATCTTCATTGAAATTAATTACATTTGGATATCTTTTTTTTCTCTTTGTAAAAAATTCTCTTCAGCAGCAGTATGATGATGGTCTGAATTCCTGCTTCGTCAAGCAAAACACTTTGGGGAATTTAATATTTAGAAACGAATTTTTCTTTTTTGTTTGACTTGCTGTAGGGTGAAATTTTATCCGCTGTTACAGTCATACATTATTCACAGACATTAAAAAGGTTTTTTTTCCATCGAAGCTCTAAAATCACGAACCTAAACGTGAAGCTGAAATTATTGGATGGTATTGTAAAATTAAGGGGTTGAACCAATCGATCCATTTCGTCCTTTACTTATTCATTCTTCCGATGTTTGTTTGTGATTTATTATGCAATTATTGATAAGCAAAGTTCAGCTTAGTGCTCATTAATACTTTCAAAGGCTATTGTTCTAAGGAAGAAGCTTTTAGATTTATGTTGTTTTGCTTGCGTTGAAATACTCGAATGTATTTTTTTTATATCTTTCCACAGCGGGGAAATGGTTTTGACGCTTGTTCATAGGAGATTAGAGGAGACAAGAAGAAATAAATGACGATAACAACTTGAGGCAGAAGTGAAAAAAATTAAGAAAAATAATTTTCAGTGGGATACATGAACATTCCACATAATAGAAACTTATCTAGTCAACCTTCTTCTATAATACCTTTCTAAGTACTTTTCCTTCTTCTTACTCAACACAACACAACAGTCATAAAATCCTATCTTAATACTATCAACGTGAAACATGTCGAAATGAATTTTTTATGACGAAGCTACTAAGTCAACTCAAGCAGTTTCGATTACGATTGTCATGTTTACAACAGCCTCAAAGGAACTCAATTATAATTTCGAAAGCTTTGTAATAAAACAAAGTTAATCGATTTGAAATCTTTGATGATGGTGGTGACGTCTTCTTGATAGGATTTTGTAATAATTCAAGACCTTTACGACATCACACCAAATTATAATCAAATGAAATGTCAAATGAAATGACTGAACAAAGATTGTGCAGTTGTCATAGTTGATTAATTAGAACTTCAGATCCTCTTTTCCCATTCACCGTATCGTCTTTGCCATAATTTAGAACACTGAAAGCCATAAAATATAAATTGCTTTGGAAAAGTCTTTCTTCCGTTTTAATTGTCACTAATCACCTTCTGTCGTCTTGGTTGCCTGAAACTTTGGTAAATTTATTTATGGCAAGGCAACAAACAAAAGCTTTCTACCATTACGGAATCGGGACTTCAATCCCTTAACTTGAGTTATTCTCTCGTTCCATTTCTTTTTGCATGATCCTTATAACGTGAGAGAAAATAAAGCACTTTAAAGACAATAACAAAACCAGACGATATAAAACGTTCAACTTGACAGGAGGGGGATAGAAAGTGAGAAAAAGTTAAGCATTCAACTTGGAAAGCAATTAAAAAGACACTCGCTGCAAGAAAGATAAGGCAATAATTAGAGTGAATCTAATAAAAAGAATTATATATCTCTAGCAAGATAATTTCTGCGAAGTATCACACTAGTCAGTGTAAGAAAGAACGAGAAATGTTTATGACAGGGAATGGAGAATGTTTTGAATTTTGAGATTAATTTCATTTCCAGAGAACGCTGAGAAATTTATGTGGAACAAGCTTCAATTAATTAGAACCATGAACAAAGCCAATCCCTGAATCATAGTGAAAAAAGACGATGAAAGCAGAAAAGATAAGGAGCAGAATTATGAATTCAATTTGCGGATGAGATAACGAAATTGCTTGAGATGTTTTTACGTCTTTATAGCATCGTTCATCAAATCAGGGCACATAACATTAATTCGCTCATTATTTATCACATCTATGTTATTATGAGTTTTCTTTTTTTTTCACCGACTTTTATAGCTCGAGCAACAATTTCAGATATGTTTGAAGGCTGACGTAGGCAATCATTTCATCTTACAGATTGATTCATAAAAATGAGAAAAATATTTCCCTTCACACTCAATTTGTTCAACTTAGCAACCTTGTAATGAAAGAAGTTTTTTGGAAAATTTAATTACTTGATATTTTAATCTGAAAAGCTTTGAAAATTAATTAGTTGCTGGTCTATAGATTCAACATCGAGCTTATTATTAGAACCTGAAATTAGTAATTATGAGTTGTTGAATAGTAATGAATCTCAATTCATTATCAGATGTCTAATTATGAAAGGAAAACTTTTGAAGTGCCACTTAATTAGATTACTCAAGTTGCTACACGTTTTTTATTAGCAAGTTTTCAATTACTTTTAACAGCAATCAAGTGTAAACATTCATAACAAATAATGTACCCTCCATCAGATTGATCAACAAAAGGCTCGATGCGCTCAAAGAAATCGTCATAAAATTCATTTTGCAATTCTTCAGGCATCGTTGGCGATAAGGTATAAGCACTTTTTACTAAATCTGTAATGATAAAACCATTTAAAAACTGATCGGAATTAAAATAATTTAAATGAACATTACCAAAGTAAGCAGAAGGATTTTTATGATCAATAAAGACTTTATCAAATTTTGTCATTTTAACTGCAAAGTTTATCTCAGTTAACATTTCGTTTAAAACCTTGCATGGGTCATCGATGTTTTTCAGAGGAAAAATCGGGATTTTTACACCATTTATGAATTGACGATATTTCTCTCTCTGCGAAACTTCTTCGTAACTTTTTGACATTGATGTGCAATCTTTCACTAGATTTACTACAAGAAATCCATCAGGCTTTATGAGTTTCCGCATATTTTCGAAAGCTTTTCTGTATTGAAAAATAAAAGTAAAGAAATAATGCTTTATAAGTTACATAAATTACTTTAAATCCTCGATCCATTGAAGGCAAATAAACGATGTCACAATATCAGCAGATTGGTACTTAATTCCAGTTCTTTGAAACAGCATATCATTTGAAAGAGATCCAATTTCAATGACATCAAGTTGATGGAATTTCATCACTTCATTACCATAAGTATTTCTCGCATACTTTATCATGTTGTCGGAAATATCTACTCCAACAACTTCTTTAAATTTTATAGCAAATAAACTTATAACATGCACAAGTGTCCCTCCATCACCACATCCCACATCAATTAAAACACTTCCATCTCTCAGTTTATCTGCAAACATATTGCAAAATATTTTTACAAGTTTTTCCGATTCATTCTTTGTTAAAAGATTTGATTTGGTGAAAAGTTCTGGATTATCCATTTTTAAACTTCTTTTTTTAATTGAGTTAAATTTATTAAACTTCTCAGTTCAAATGTTTATTCGAAAATGAGAATGAAGATTGTGTTTGTTAATATTAAAATTTAATTCAGTAATCATTTTTTGTCAAAATATTTGCAAATCATCGTCCAAACTCTGAACTTTTAATCTCATTCCATTTTTAGAAGCAAAAATATTTTGTATTGCATTATCAAAACGTCAAAGTTCATGAAATTCAATTTCATGTGTATGTGAAATATTCTCACGAACATGGTTGAGTTCTTTATTACCGACTCAAACCACAATATGAGATTTATTTGAAAGCTGACGAAGGCAATAATTTCATCTTATAGATTAAATCATAAAAAAGAAGGAAAATGTTTTCTTCCAGAAAATTTCCTTCTTCTTGTTTATTAATGTACCAATCTTGGTAATGATGGAATTTCTTGGAAAAATTAATTAGTTGATATTTTAATCCGAAAAGCTTTCAAAAGTTAATTAGTTGCTGGTCTATCGGATCAACATCAAATGGTTCATTAAACTTCCAGTCAAACTTTCTTCAGCTTAAACAAATTTAGTTGTAAGAATGTTCTGAGTTCTCTTGAATTGATTGAGATGCTTAGTCAACAAAGCTTATTCTATTCGGGTCTTAACATGTATGTTTAACTTCAATTTAGATTTAATCCCTTGTACATAAAAGAATAATCCTTTCGATCCAAACCTTTCGCGAAAGCTCAATCGAATTTTGTTCTCATGACTTCTTATTCTCGAGCTTGTGATGTTATCAATCACCATCAACTGTCAAAGTAAATGCGTCTATAAACAATGATATTATACACCATGTCTTCGTACGCGTTTTGCTTTCTTTCACGTCAGTTCCGCATCGAATCCGTTGTTGGATCTTTTTCTTTTTGCTTTAAAAGCGATAAGAGAATGAAAATTGAATCAATCAAAAGTCTTTCGTACACATCACATCGCTAAGACATGTTGTAGATTAGCGTTACGACATTGTCAACACGTTTTAGTTGATTTCATAAAACTGTTGTCTCCATTTAAATTCTTCATTTAAGATTCTAGTCAATTTTGTCGTTAAAGACAAACAGAAAAAGAATTCGACATAACTCCTTGATGTAATAAACAAGAGTTTGATTAGCGAGAAAGTTTTTTTTTGCTTTGTTTTGTTTTTCTTTACAGCGTTTGTTTGCCCTATGGTTAAATGAGAAGTTTGGTGGGGGAAGAAGAAAAGTTTTCTTGTTCTAAACTTAATAGCTACGTCTTCTTCCACTAAAACTTCTCTGAATTTGTTTGAAACAAAAATTATAAATGTTTCTTTCTTCTTACATTGAGCAAAGTTTGTTTTTTTATTTCGTCTTGTTGATGCTAGCACGCGAGTTTGGTGAGCTTTTTATTATCTCAAAACAGCTAAACGTTTATTTTTTATTGCGCAAACTCACCATGAAGAAATGAAACTTGTTGAAATCGCATAAGAATTGCTTCACACTTCGTGGGATGCTGCGTGTGTAAAGTAAAAGTTTTCACAAGTTTTCTCTCTTGTCTGGTGAATTTTCTCGCTTGTTTGAAATTTTCATCAGTTCTCCGTCAAGCTTCGACCCATTTGGATGTAGAAAATCTGCGTCCTTATTATCTTCAGTAAATATTTTAAGAGGGAAAATGAAATAAATTTATCAGTAAAAAAAAAAGAAATTCCTCGAAGTTAGTGTCAAATATTTTTCTCATTAAGTCTGAAAAGGAAAATTCTTTTCTGGAATCTATAATTAAAAAACATTCTTCATTTCAAGAAAATAAAAAGAATTAAAATTGTGTTAAAACAGTGTGAAAAGGGAAATCTAAAAGTTATTTGCCATCACAATAACGAGCAGAGTAATTTTGATTGCAAAGAGGTGGAAATTAAATTACATGAAAATGTGTTACCCAACAAAATAATTTGCTCGTAACATCGCAAAGTTTCCCATTTCACCAGCAGTGAGAATATTAAGTTTCAATTACGTGAAGCTTTTAAGGATACGAGTTCACGCCGTGCATAGACGCGAGTGAAGGAATGAAAAACAATAGTGAAGAATACAGAAGAGTGAAGAGGGAATCTGAATGAGTTTCAACAGTGATAATGAAGTTTCTTCAACACTAAACAAATACGGATAAATGGAAAGAGGTGAAATCACATTCAAGAGATATATGTAATGATTAAAATAGCACAATTGGGGTTGAAATGAAGTTCATTTGATGGATATTACTCGTATTTCGTAGTGTCAAGCAAATATCTACATTGTAGACGAACGAACAAATGTTAAACATTTTCTCGGTTAAGTGAAGCAGTATTTTTTATAATCTAGAATATCAAACACTTAAATGTTTGCTTTAGTCCAACATAATTGCTGAAGAAGAATAAAACTTAATCGAAAAACTTGTGAACAAGAAAATGAATGCCAGACAAGTTTGAAATTTGCTTATTCTTTCTTTCCATTACCTGAAATTGGCAATGAATGGAAGAAAAGTTTACAGGATTACTGAATCGGAAGATTGATTGAAAATTCATTGCTGTAAAGTTGGGAACTTTATCAATCATTATCGATTACTTGCCTCACAATAATAATATTTCCACAGCATGTTTGCTAACTTCTAATTTGTTAGGTTGCTTTCACAACACGTTCAATGAGTGACTCAGACGAAATGTAAATGAAATATAATTCGTCTAAGCAATTATCTGTTAGACAATTGAAACCGATCTGAAGCAAAAACAAAAACTTTTCTCATAAAAAAACATAAAATATAAACTCAAATGAATTGCATATATTTTTCATAAAGCTGATAACAACTGAAGTGAAAACAACGAGCTTTATCTTTGTGTAAGCGTTTCCGTAAAAATCTATTATTTACATTTTCATAAACATGATAACAACAACAAAAGAAGCAAAAAAAAGTTGAATGTTGTTATATAAAACTTCAAACTTTGCAGAAGGAGCAAGCAATGATAAAAAGCAACAAATTCAGTTATTTATGATGATACCGGAAGAATCTTTTTTGGAAACAAAAAAAAATAGAACAGAACGAGTTGCTGATATTTTGTTGCTTGTTTACTCGAAAAGCTTTTATGGCATTTCTCACATTTCTGATTCCCTTAAAACTTTTATAACATCTTTTTGGGAATATCAGAGTGAAATTGTATTTATAATACAACAAAAGCAGAAGAAAGCTTTTGAAACACTTTGTGAATTCAACTGACATTAAACGTTTAGAACTTTGTGTTTAAATGTCATTAAACATAAGACGATTTAACAAGACTGAAGAAACAAAAAGTTTGGAAATTAAAAGTATTTCCCTCTCTTTGTATCGATGAATTTGGAAACTTATCGTGTTGTTATGAAAAGATTTTTTTCTTAAGACGATATCGGTGAAGTTCAAATGATTTATTCCTTCTTTTTTTGGGGTTTCCATTTGTTATTCTATAGTGAAGAAAAAAGATACCCAAGAAATGTTATCACAGCTTTGTGTATGTTTTCCAAGTATTATCGGAACTCCCCTCATAGTCATTTCCCATACTTTTATTAACTTCCAATGTTAAGCAAAAGAAAGAAAAAAAAAGAAAGCATTCGCCTTTCACAAACAAAAACAACCTGACATCAGCATTCGGTGGAATTATAAAAATAAATAACAAATATTCCAATCTTTTTATCCTTTTCTAAGTAATCAATTTATTTCCCTACGAATTGTCAACAAAGTCTACGATTAACGCTTAGGCTTGAAGGTTTTCTTTTATTTCTTATTTTTGTTATTCCAACGCTCATCATAATTTGCTTGAAATCTTTATAAGCTGTGGCGCCACTCTTTAATTTTCTCGGTAAATATTTGAGCTTCAACTCGACGCAGTCTAATCGCTTAAAAAGGTTCTCATTTTTCTTTTTTCCCCATTCAGCACTGATGTCAGTAAAGTTAAATTGGTAAAAGAAAAAAAAAAAGAAATATAAATACAAATCGTCCGTTTAACTTGAACTGGTGCCGCTGTCACGAGCAAGAAAAGGCAAACAGAATCATCATAAATCAACTAAATCATTTCATATGTCACGCGAGATGATGGAACTTCCATCCTTGCTGCCGTTTGCCGTTTCAGTTAGACTCCAAACGACATTAAAATATCCTGATGCCGGAAAGACATCAAAAAGATCAAAAAAGAAAAACGAGAGAAATAATATTTCCAACTTCCTTCTTGCCAATGTCGTCGGAGTTGAAATGAAAAATTTTTCCGTCTTTGAAATCAATTGAATCTGTTGAAATTCGATTTCAAATGGAAAAAAGCGTGAATGTGACTTACGCTTTGCATGATTTTAGTTATCTTTTGAATTTCTGTCGATCTCAATGGATTAACGTCTCTTCAGAATTAAAAACTCGATATTTATCATGTTTGATCAAAATACAAACTTCTTTAACAGCTCCCAGCTATGCTTTCATTTCAATCTATCTAAAAGCTGACTTTTATTTGAGCAAAGCGGATGTTTGCTAATAAACATCTCGAAGGATTGAAAGCACGTTGTTTGTTAAAGACGACTTCAATTCCTTTCGTGTCTAAATCATCATAAATTTTCACTGAAAATATCTTCTCCGCAATTACGTAAATCGACATCAATACCAAAACAAATATCAACAAAGCCCCCTTGCCTTCTTCTCCGTTTTATTTCACCCCAAAAGCAACCAAAATCCTTCCACCATCATTTCTCAACGTGAAATCTTTACCAAGTGAAGATTTGTCACTAAGCGTATCAAATAAAAAAATTGAATTTATAGAAAAAGCTGCGCAAAATATTTGTTCGATTCGAGTAAATGGTAGCTTGTACAATCGCTCACGATTCTTGTACATTTATGTGTTTTTCTGCTCAACATCCACGATAGCTTTTTTGCTGTTTTTTCTAAAAAATGACAGAAAGGAAGGAAGATTGTGGAAAGAAGTGTGCTGTAAATTTATTCATTCTCGATTTGCTTTCGATGCTCCATCGTGCAGCAGTTCAATCGAACGACAACGACGAGTAAAAAAAGATTCACAGCAACGTTTTAAATTGCTCATGATTTTGTTCATTTTACGATCCACTCGCAACTCTCAACTAACATTGAAATGTTCAATCGTCGAAACGAGATGATTTCATGTACAGCTACATAATTTACGTACGCCCCCTTCTTCGATATGTTTTATAGCTTTTTGTTGTAAGTACAATGCAAAATTTCTAATTTAAAGAAAACGATACTTGCTGTTGGAGAGGGGAAATGTAATGAAGGATTTTTATGGCTGTGAAGAGAGCATGTATGTAAAGAAGGAAATTTATCGACATCACTAGAATACCAGAGAAAGCACTTAAAGAAATCTTATTTCGTATTAATTTTCATGTCAAAATCAAACTTTCTTGACAAAGTTTTCGAAAAGCGTAAAGTTGATGGTTTTCAATTTAAAGCGTTTGTGACAGCTTGTGGTTTAGTTCAACGTAGTGGAAATATTTTCACAGTAACAGGGCTTAAAATTGTAATCAAACTTTGTAAGAATTTGAATAAATGTTGTGATGAATAAAAGATTCCAAACACCACTGTTGTAAAGGCTCTTCAGTCTCGAGTTGAAACCTCCCATCACAATGAAGCTTTGTCTAAGCAAATGGCACTTTATCAACATACATCAAATACAACATTCGTTCAGAATAAATGTCGATTGTAGTTTTCATAACTCAATTCAAATCCATCTCGTTGATATGAAACAGTCGATATAATTACATCAATATATATTCAAGCTCATAATGCATCAAGACTACATATTTATCTTATTTTTTTCCTTCTCTTCCTGTTCTGGTTTTCTTATTCAACGAATTATTTTTTTTGTTTCCCTTCTTTGCGAGAAACATTTTTTTTACTGTTCTTTTCCTCTGCCATCCATAACTCTACACTCCTATCTCAAATGTGCTTTCAGCTGTTCTTGTTATTATTGTTATTATTTATTGAAGTCTTGAAGAGAAACATGGGAACATTTTCATTGCCCGCACATCTCTCTCGATAACAATACTTTTGTTTGAATTTGGGGACCATACTTTATGGATACAAAACATAAAATTGAAGAAGCGTTGAAAGAGCTTCTGTTACAGCAAGCAAAAGTAGAAGAATAAAGACGAGATACAAGTTTTGGAGACTCTGCCCATAGGCATTACAGTCATAATGTTTGTTTATGAACTTTTCTTTTTCAAGACTTTTGGGCTTTTGCTTTTTGCTTTTTTTTTACATTATTCTTCTTCTGATTTTGCAATCTATTACTTGTTGGATCATCAGCTTAAAAAATCCTCTCAAAGATATTTGTTTGGATTGTTGTAATTCTGAAAGCGAACTGTTTATAGAAGAAATTAATTTGTTACGATCGATTTTTCATTCTTTAAATTTGTAGTCTTGCCATTGTAAACATTTTATTTATTTTTATTTTATTTATTTATTGCATTTGAGCTGCATTAACGGGCATTACCCTTAAGNTATTTGTTTGGATTGTTGTAATTCTGAAAGCGAACTGTTTATAGAAGAAATTAATTTGTTACGATCGATTTTTCATTCTTTAAATTTGTAGTCTTGCCATTGTAAACATGTAACATGTACAGAATAATTATCCATCTTGAAAGTTGTAAGTAACTTTTAAACTTCACTCTACTAATTTCGTGCTAAAATAAAAATGTGTTACGAGCAGACAGTGTGAAAATGTTAAAAGTTTTATCGTAAAAGAATCATAACTTGAAGCACATGTAGAGAACAACAACACCTGTGTCAGAAACGCGAGAATATGAAAGATGGTGTAGGTGTAGACGAAGTACGTTTTTTATGTTTTCAACGCTATCAAATAATGTGAAATGTAATTTTTATATAAATATATACATCTAGAAGTATTCTTATCTAAATTTTGAATCTCTTTTTGAGTGAAGTTTTCTAATAAAGATGTCAACTTTTTATTCCTTTCGTGATGATAAATCATTGAAATCAAATTTACATTCACATCCCTGCAGTGTCTGTCATCAACTCTAACACAAATTTAATCAAAATATGAGTGGCCCAGGCGGAAACAGCAAACGAAATTAAATGAAGAGAAACTTTTCCGGTTCCTTTTTTCGCCTCTTTTCGTTCGTGTTATGAAAATTCATATTCAAATGAAATTTTCGCCGTAAATACTTACATCGAATTTCTCCATTTACTTTGACTTCTTTCATTTTCATGGATTAAACGACAAAGACTTGACAACTACAGAAAGAGAAAACGTGAAACAAATTTTTATTGTGTTAGTTAAAAAAGGAAAACGTTTTAATGTTAAATGGCGAGAGAATTAAGAACCTGATTCGGGAGGATTAAAAATCTACGTTTTTAGAAAAAAAAAAGATTAAGAAAATGTTTCCTTGTCATGTTTAACTTAGATGTTGGTGAACGAAGGCTTAAACACCGAATGAGAATGAAAGCGAGACACAAAATGAAGTTGAAGGGATTCTTAAAAGGCATAACGTGCAAGACGACGACAAGGACCGAAAATCTACTTAGAAACTTTTGTGTGTTTTACCCAATGTCGACCCATATCCATGCCGTCATGTCAACCTTTAGAATGAACGCCATGAATAATTTTTAACGTTTATTTCAGGGTCGCTTCAAAAGCTTCACTTCAGGGAGGTGAACTTTTCACAGATCTGCTTTTGGCCAGCTTAAACTTTTAAAGTATTTATTAAATTGAAAAATTTCTTACATCCCTAACTCAAAATTGCCAACAACAACTTTGCGTTCTCTAATAAAATTTCCAACTTTCATCAAAGATTTCTTCGTAATGTATAAGAAAACTTTGAAGAAAAGTTGATTTAGTTTAACTGTAATCTAAAATTTTCCTTATTTTGTCGTTGAAACTTCTGATCCTAGCCATCCTCTCTAATCAACTTCAACCACAAAAACTTCAACTTTGAAAAAGAAAAACGAGAAGAGTTTGGTGTAAAGTGACGACAATTTTTATTTCTAACGACAAGTACAATTTTGGGAAAGGGGGAGATGCGAAGATCGTTAAAACTTTATGTAAAGAAAAACTGTCACTGACTTAATATCGATATAATCAAAAATAAGCACGATGGTGACACTTGGGCAGGGAAAACAAAACAAAAAAAGGAAAACTTTGGCCAATGAACGATGAAAAATGAGAAAGTGTAATTCGACGTTCAAGAAGAATTAATTCTTATGAAATTACTTTCTTTATCGTTCCGTCGTGACTATGGTTGAGCTTAACATGCTTCATGGGGGCAAGCAAACGATATTGGCGAGTTCTCTAAATGACGAAAGCTTAAGCACTCACTAAGTTATTTAAGTGACAACATTCCATACTTTATGCAACCTCCAACGAGACATAAAGGAAAATTGTAATTACTCTTAAAGTTAAGATTTCTTTCATTCTTTCCTGTTTGACTTTTGATCTTGTTGAACTCGAGTCTGTTTCTCTGGTGACCTGACATTCATAATATTTGAATTCTTCTTGTTTTTTTTATTTACAGTTCATGCCAACAGGGAGTTGAATTTTATTCCAGTAAATAAGCATCAAGGTAAAGCAAATTCAAATGACAAAGTTAATTTATTTTTGAGTGGAAGACGGGAAAGGAATTGAAATTAAAATAATTCTGCGTGACGCATATAATAACATCATAAGAATAAGAAGAGGAAAAAGGAAGAATCTTTTGACAAATGTTCTATTGAAGTTTCATAATGAGATTTACCGTGAAAATTCAGGAAGCGTAAATAAGGATTGGGAGTTGCTTTCAACAAGGAGAAACGAAGTCATGTATTAAAACGAATGACATTTGTTTGCGAGAGTAAACATAAAGATAAGCAAAATTCGTCCTTCGACTAGTCTATCTACATGCTTGTAATCTCCAGAGTAGTTTGATGTATCGACTTCAACAGAGGAAAAAGAAAAACATTTATTCAGTTTATGACAAATGGATGGCGAAAACCGAATCATACTTAACGTAGGCGGCATAAGGTAAGAAACTTAAAAAATTATGTCAACGATTTGATAAAGTCAATTAGATTTTCGTTAACGATGTAATAAATTAGGGGATCGGAGATTTAATTAAGTCGGAACTCGTTTTTACAAATTTTTCATCGTCTTTTAATCTATCGACAAAATCATTGAACAAAAAAATGTCTAAAGTACTGAAAAGGAAAAACCTTTACAAGTGAAATAAGAAGAAATGTGTATTAGAAGCAGTCCATGATTTGCTTCATTAATTTCCGTTCTTTTTTCTACCCGATTCCCCAAACGACATAAATTGCAATCGAGACTTTATACGAAAGTTCTTCCCTTTGCTTCGCTCATTCATTGCTAGTCGAGTAATTTATCATGGCACGAATATAAAGGAGAAGGAAGAAAAACCTCTCATGCCATTAACTTTTTAAAAGCCTAAATGACATCATACACAGAGACATGCTTTTCTTTGTTCACATCCAGTGCTCTCATGCTGAAGAGAAATATAAAAACAATGTCGAGTGAATTACAAAGTTTTCAATTTCATGAAAAGCGCTTAAATGTGCTTGATATTTTTCAATGTTGATGCGAGTATAGAAAAGCGACGAGAAAACTTAAAGAAAATCATTAAAGAAGATTTATAACGAAGTGGCAGTTAAAAAAGATTCTTTTATTTTTCAACTTGAAATCTTCGTTCGTTTTAGACCCATTAGACCATTTTTGTGAAAGGTTTCGCAACATACAAAGGCAAACGAAACCCACGAAGACAATAAAAAACTTATTTTAAAAAAATTATGGTAAAAGAACTCATTTATCAAGTTGAAAGCTTTCAAATTTGTAATGTCATGGTAATTGGAAGAGTTCATCTTTCATATTCATCGTAAAATATAAATTTTCAGCATAATTTAAATTTTCCTTATAAAACATTTCCTTAATTTTTCATAACTTCAATGCTTGTAGGAAAATAATTTATAGATATGAGGTTTGTTGGTGACTATAAAGTTGAAAGTTATTTAAACTTTCGAATAACTATGAAGAAGTTTTCTATACATTTGTTTATCACTTTAATCTTTCGTAAGCTGTTTTAATGACAAACGGAAAATTGGTTTCAAGGATGGATTTTCATCCCATTTTCACGAGAGAATTCATATCTAACATCATTTTTGTTCCAATGCCAACGTGAAAAGCTTTTCTCGTCATTTGGGACCAATTTGTTTGACAAGAACAACGGAAAACAGAGGAACGGAATATTTATTTTCCTTTCAGCTCAAAAACATGAAATATTATTAGCAATTTAATTCATTTATCTGCTCATTTTCTCGTTCCCCCTTTTTCTGTTTTACGATGGTTCGCCGAACAGATAAATGAGTCGAAATAACATGATGCGATATAATTATTACACATAAATTGTATGCCCCAATTGTTCATTAACGCTACTTATTTAACCATGAAAGCATGGCAGAAAATCTCTCAAATTCTTTTTCATTTCTCATCTATCAGGTATGAAACTTACAAAGCGACGCTCAAGAAGATTCCAGCAACGCGATTATCACGATTGACCGAAGCGCTAGCAAATTATGATCCCATTTTAAATGAATATTTCTTTGACCGTCATCCGGGGGTATTTGCTCAGGTTCTCAATTATTACAGGTAAGAGAACTTCATTTTGAACGTTGGTGATTTAAACCTTTCAAAGGTTATTCATTATTCGGGAACAATTAATTATTCATTATCATGATTCTCTGAATTTATTCCTTCACTGGTAACCCAAACAAATTATTTGCTCCGCAACTCTTACCTCAAACCTTCCCCCGTTGCATACTAACGTACACCATTCCACGGGCGTGTAAATTGAATGTAAAGAACCGGAAAACTTCATTATCCAACAGACGTGTGCGGACCACTTTTCGAAGAAGAACTCGAATTTTGGGGCTTAGATTCAAACCAAGTTGAGCCTTGCTGTTGGTCAACATACAGGTGAGTTCAAAGATCAATTTATATTTCCTTTTTTCTGCCTTTATTGAAATAAACAATTTGAGTTGTTGTGTTATTGGAACTCTTAACCACAAATGGTTTCTCCATTTCTTCTGACATTACAAACATTACACAACAGAAAATCTAATTATGTGGTTTCACTTTGTTTTCCTTTTATTCTCTCTCTCTCGTTTTTGTTCTATTTATCTTTTTCAGCATACATCGTGACACTCAAGTAATTAAATGAAGTTTGTTTGCTTTATCTGTAGAATAAAAATGTTAGGCTTTGTAACTGAGGGTTGCTGGATGTGCAATTAAAGTTATTCTCAAGAGAAACTTTCTTACATCATGTTCGAATTCGTTAGATTAATAAAATTACAAGTTATGACAAAACCCGAACATAAATAAATAAAAAAAGAGAAGAAACTTTCTCCATCCATTTATTTATTGTCATCAGTTCAACCAAAAAAAGAGAAAAAAAACGGGAAAAAGTGACATCATCTCTTAAATGATGATTTATTGATGGTAACTTGAGAAAAGCTCTAATGATTGGCCCTTTTAGGCCATATAATAATCCACATCATATTGTATGACTCAACCCCTGAGTACAAACTATTAAAAAGCCTCATTCATCAAGATGTTTGTGAAACGTGATCATGTGATGAAAAAAACGAGAACTTTTTATGAATTCTGTTCAATTTTCTTTTATTACCAACAGAGCACATTAGCAATTTTGGATAAGTTAGAATTAGATGATGAGCAGCTATCTGAGGAATCAATTGCTCGATTATTTGGTTTCGATGAAGCTTTATTAAATTATAATGAATTGAGCTGCTGGCAACGTACGAGACCGAAAGTCTACGCATTGTTCGATGAGCCCTCAAGCTCAACTGGTGCTAAGGTAATCCAATTTATCCTTCCTTATGATTACACGAATTCCCGAAATTCACAGTAAATTAACTTTGAATATCTCTGGAGGAAATAAAAAATAATAATGCTCATATAGCATAAGTAATGTTAGGATGTGATTGACGTTGGCATCGCTGTGATTTGCATCGTTTTATATATGACGTAAAATATAAAATGTTTCATCTATAAATAGACATGGAAAGCTCGGATTCGTCATGCTTCAAATTGAATTCATAAGTTATGTTTACGTCTAACATTATATGAATTTCCTACTAAACGTTATGGTGTACCAAATAGAGCATCACATACATAAATCAATGCTTTAGAATTAAACGTAATCTCGAAGGGATGTCGACTAAAAGAAATCAAATTTTATAACAAAGGAAATTTCATATTAAGCAGAAATGTCTTGAAAATATTTATTATAGATACCTCAGTTTACGACTTCCAATAACAGTTATAGTCCACATGAAAAGTCTATTTTAAGTTCATGAAAGCATTTTTATTACATGTTGTGGCGTCAGGGATAAAACTGCCTCTGCCAATTGGCGATAAAAAAAATAAAATATTGTGCAATTTCATCAGAAATCGATTAAGCAATATTTGAAGGAAGTCATTGATATAAATAATCTGCGATTGTCTCGAGCATTCTAATATACATTTTTTTGCTTATGTTGGTTGTTTCAGGTGGTGGCTGGAATCAGCGTATTTTTCATCTGTACTTCTGTGATATCGTTTTGTTTAAAAACACTTCCCGGTTTGCGTGTTGAAATTCCTTTGACGCTCAATCACACATCTAGCAATTTACGTGACATTTATCAAACGACGACATTACCGCCGTCAACAACAGAAGCCAATTTCATTACAGCAGCATCCATTCATCGTTCGTCTATTGGTGGGACTTTGTTCAATCGCCATTCGGTTCGTATATATAATAACATTAAATATGCTTCAGTGTTGTCAATACTTCCGATATTTATCGCTAAATGTAAACACATATCCGAGGTTTCGATACATTTTAAACAAGAAAAAAAAGCAAAACATGAACGGAAAGCGTTTTTCTACATTATTAAAATTGTTTTCATAACAAACACAAGTAGATAAAAAAAATTCTAATATGAGTTTTAATGCAGAAGTTGTGTCTGTGGTGTCAGAAATATTTTTGTTTATCTCAAATATTATAAAGTAAATTTATGTTTCTCTTGGGTGGGTTGCCATCCGAAAAAAGGTTCCTCAAAAATATGAACAAAATTTAATTTCATTTCGTTTGATATTTCAAGCAATTCGATATGATTAAAAAATGAAATTATATTGAAATTCAGCAAAATCAACAACGAGAGAAAATCAAGATTCGATAAAAATTTATGGATGAATTTTTATCAACATTTGATTTATTTAATTTGCAAATTTTTCGGTTCAAGCCTTGAAACGAGACGGCTTTACAGTATTTGTGCAAACGTCCCACTTATGTTAAATATTTAGATCTATCGACATTATTGACTTGGAATGTCGAATAAAAATACTCCCATGCTGAAATATCGAAAAGATTTCTTTCATTCCTTTCGTTCTAGACTAAAAGTTTCGATTGTCGTTTGGGACGTTTTTCTTCTCTTCCGCATTTCTCTAAGATTTTTCTTAAACTTCTTTTCATGAGTGAACCTCAAGGAGTCAAATCTGCTTGGATATTTCTGAATAAACATTCAAAACTCAAAGAGTTTATTTCTTTATACAGCAATTGATGTCTTGCCAATCTACTCGACTAATAAATTTCAATTCCTATTTGTTTGCAGACCCGAAGTCGACTGTTTGATAACTTGCAGGCAACACATGCCCATTCAGCATTTTTGTAAGTTCAAAAGACTAAACAACAAAAAGGCATTTATTCGAAATATTTTTGTATTTACAGCTACGTGGAGCTGCTTTGTAATGTGTGGTTTATAATCGAATTGTTCATCCGTTTCATAGTGAGTTTGGGCGAGAAACAATCATCATCCAATTTCCATTCTTTATTCTCATACAATTCAATTTATTGTCCGCCCACACATCCCTCATCCTTTCTACCCAACTAATTGCTTCATTGTGCTATATCATCATTTTATTCTCCTCTTAAAAATCAAACACATTCAACCGCTTTACTCGTTAAAATAATTCATGGTCGTAGCGTTTTTTTTATGTTCGCCCTTATAAATATTTTTCATTCTTTTTTATTTATCCTTTGTAATTTTAAAGGTCGCTCCGAACATGTTAAATTTTATTAAATCGCCCGTCAACATCATCGATTTGGCGGCAACGTTGAGCTTTTATACTGACATTTGCCAACAGTTAGGCCAACAGACGGGACTGTTTGAAGCATTTTCAATTATCAGAATCTTGAGATTATTTAAATTAACGAGGCATTCACCAGGACTTAGAATCTTGATTCACACGTTTAAAGCATCGGCAAAGGAACTTACACTTTTAGTGTTCTTCTTGGTTCTTGGCATCGTCGTCTTTGCGAGTCTCGCATATTATGCTGAAAAACTTGAGGTGAGTCCTTTTTAAGCCGATAAAAAGTAAGAAATAAAAAAGATTGTCGAACCCATGACTCAGTAAAGCGTAAAATAATGTCACAATAAAGAAAAAGAAAGAAACTTATAAGGCGTCACTATAAATGTCTATCTGCTCCACCTTTGTATACCTTTAAGTGAGAAGAAGGAAAAGTTTAGCACTTTATTATGCCGTCTTTGAAGAAATTACTTTTCCATTTCTCTCTCTTCCTTTCTTCTTGATTTTTCCACTTTTTTTTAAAATATTTATGTTTTTATTCTTGGTTTGGTATCGACTATGTTATTGAAAATTGAACGAAAGAAAAAAAAAGTTTTGTGTAGAATTATAAGATTTATTACTTTCTTCTCCACCAATTCGCATTCAACTGCTGTCGTAAACAACAACAACAGGATAATCCTGATAACCAATTTAAGAGCATACCGTTGGGTTTATGGTGGGCTCTTGTGACAATGACTACTGTTGGATACGGAGACATGGCACCGAAGACGTTCTACGGCATGTTTGTTGGTGCTTTGTGTGCCCTAGCTGGTGTACTTACAATAGCATTACCCGTTCCGGTTATTGTCAGCAACTTTTCTCGTTTCTACTCACACAGTCAAGTAAGAAACTTCATTTTATTTAAACGATATTAAAATACGTCCATTTACATTCAAATTATACATTATTAATGCTCTAAACGATACTCCCACAAATATTTTATGGAAGGGAATGGTTTGTTAAAGAAGAACAAACATCTCATCATCATCTTATCCATCTCTCGTTTTATTCATTTCCCTTTCCGAGTTAATTTGATAGGGTATATGCTCATCATATAATTCATCTCGATCTAATTAATTTAATGAGCATCATTAGTATGCCTTTTTAAAAAGGGAAGCATTAAGCAAGGTCAAGCTTTAAAATTGGAAAGAAAAAAGAGAGAACGGTACTACACTAAATTAAGGACAAGATGGTGTTTGTCAAGATATGTTTTTCCATCACATTTTGCACATTTTGACGTGATCCTCGACATTCTTTCCTTTCCGTTTCTGTTTATTTACATTAAATTTCATTTTCATATTTTCTCCCTTTCTACTAAATGACATGAACTCTCATCAACGTATAGGCACGTTCCAAGCTACCTAAAAAGAGGAGAAGAGTTTTGCCTGTAGAACAGCCAAGGCGAAAAAGAGGCAATGAAGGTGGCGGTCTTCCTACCGGTCCGGGAAGTATTCAGGGACATCGACGAATGACGCTTCCGAAACCACATCCTACAAATGCTATTTTTAAAGACGCTTTCGGAAGTGCAAAAATTGGTAAAAATTTAATAACAATTTATGTTACGTCTCTATAATAAACTCTATGATTGAAAAAAGCTCTGTTGAAAGCTTTCACAGAAAGCTTCTTGCTGAAGCCCTTCAATTGCTTTTATAATATTTGTATGGTTTCCTTTTCTTTTCTCAGGACATGTGAACGGCGTTAATGTTATTGGACTTTCACTTCAACAAACTCTTCCAACCATTCCAGCACCCGGTGTTAAAACTCCAATATTAAATCAGCCATCATCAGGTGACTTTTCAAGCCTTCAAATGCAGTTGCAGCCTAGAAGACCAACAACTGGAAATGTTGATTTTCTACTTCCTCTTCAACCTGAGCTGTTATTGCGTAATTTATGACCTTCCTGTTATTTAATTGCCGGAATAATAATTAATGATTTTTATATTCCCCCATGTAGAACGAAAAGAATCGGGTTCGCCATCAACTCTTATGGCGCAATTTAATTTGGAGCCTAAAGTCACGCTGTTCGCCGAAAGCTCAACAAGCTCTGGTTTTACAAACGACAGAGATGACAATTTGCATAATGAATAAGAATTCAATTAAAGTGTTTCTTCACTATCATTTCCGGTACGGAAGATGGAGCGAGAACAGAAAATAAAATGATGTGCCAAGAGAAAATCCCTTCGTCCTAAGAGCAGATGCCAAGAATTATTCAATTTTTCACCATCGTCGACGAGCAAGTCAACAACAGTGCGAGGATAAAGAGAAAAAAACTTCCGGCATCGCTCAAGAGACAGCTTTTTAATATTCGTCATATTCTTTGTGCCAATAATGAAGCTTAAAAATATGCATGATCAAAATTAAATGTGAATTAAATGATTTAAAATGAATAGAAATGTCAACATAGAAAAACTCATTTTTATTGCAAGTTGCATAATTAGTAAATGTTTTCCAAAGAGACGTGAATAAAACTTCAAAAGTCTCGATTCACTGACAACAAATTAGCATGAAAATGAAGAAACAGCGAGAAGATCAAAAATGAGATAAATTTCAAATATTTATTTATTTTATGAAAATTGAAATTAAAAATTTTTTAAATGTGTATGTCTTTAATGGAATTTATTTTTATTTCTCTAAAGAGTAAAAAAGATACATGAAGAAAAATAAAAGAAAAACAATGAATGTGAATTCAATTATGAGAAAGAACAAATTCACATACGATATAAATGTGGAAATAAAATTCTTGAGATGAGTGGAAAAGCTCGTTACAAGAGAAAAGATTATTTGGAAGAGACTTTGAAAATAAATTTCAAGTTTTAACTCACATATAGTCAACAGTTTTTATGATTTGTGTCATAACCATAAGAACAGCCATTCAAGCTTGGAAAGTTATGAAGCTTTCTATTTGGTAGAAATAATTTATATAAAATATGTTGTTTTGACAATGACTTTGTATAAATAAATAAGATCAATAGGTTTTTATGAAAGCTTTCAAGAATAGAGAGTGACATTCAATGGATAACGACAGACATTTGTATTTGATTGACATAAACGATGAAAAAGACATTTAATGAGCTTGAATTTATCTGTCAAAGTTTCTCCAAATAAGAAACACCCAAATTGTATCTAATAAAAAAATTATACAAGAGAAAAAGAATAATTTTGTATTTGCTTAATTTATGACCATCAAAATTTGATTTATGTTTAATTCATAGAAAATTATAGCATTGCAAGTGCACTTGAATGTCGCTTAATTGTCAAGGTCATCGCTTCTCATTCCACGCTTCAATGCGTACATTGAAAAGACTCACTGAAGGAAGGCATTCATCAGCATTTCATTGAAAGTTCTTCACAGCGGTGTTCACTTTTGCGTGCATGCGTATTTGTTCATCATTATTTACATTTTTTCTGTGTCATGAAGGTTTCAAGGGACGTTGAATCGTTTACCGACTTTTTTCTGTTCATTTTTTTACCAACAGTAAAAATCATAGTCGTAAACATTTTCCACCTCGCTTACTTCATTCACAACTTCCTATCAGTCTTTTTTTCGTTTTCCTGAGTTGTCCCCTTTGGTGCCATTGCCATTGACAATTAAATGTTGATAGCATAAAAAGCAGTTCGATTCGGTCAATGGAAATAAATGTTTTTAGACTAAAATTCGCATTTAATGTTCGAAGGAACAAAAATAATAATGAATGAGATAGAACGAACGCACCCCTAGCGATTTATAATCGGACCGAGATTCGATGGAAGAGATAAAAGACTCAACAGAAACATTAACATCGAATATTGTCACACATTTACATTCAAATTGATCCAGCACGCTATGGCAATTTCACTTGGCATGTTTCACGAAAAAAAAGAAAAAAAACCGACCGAGAAGAAGAGTTTTATGCTCTAAGGGATTTATTTCCATGTCGAGTCATAGTTGATGAAGTTTTGGAAGAATCATCAGTTTTTATCATGACAATATTGAGATAAAAACACTTAATCATAATGTTTACAAAAGATTTTATGTAGCAAAGATGAAATCTTTTCACAAACGAAATTTGATTTTCTTGGTCAGTGATGTGCGATCAAAAAATAATTTCGATGATGACAAAAAGTTTGAATTCCGCCTTTCTCATGATTTACGATCCCCAAATATTTCAAATAGAGAGTGAATGAGATAGAGAGAGAGAAAAAGGCTCGTTAGAAATCGCTAACATGAACCCATTCAAGATATCTTAGGAATACGGAATGTCTCAACGTTCACTACCCACTCACATTTTTTACTTTTTATTTCTATTCGCCAAAGTATGAATTAGGGACATTCACATTATCGTTACATCGTGCATGATCATAAAAAATGCCAATATCGATTTTACTACCATGAAAAGGAATTGAATGTTGCGATGGGTACGAAAAGCAGAAATCAATCGTTCCATCTCACTTTCTTTCTTGCACACGACACGACGAATAAAGCTTCCCGAATAATAATAATAATAAAGCTCGTAAAATTAAAATGTTTTACTTTTCTTTTGGCGTTGCCTTTCCTAACACCGAGATATATTTTATGAACTCATCGAATGATTTATGCGAAGCATATTCGCTTTCTTTTAGGACCGAATGAACGAACAAACGAACGAAGGAACGTATGAACGAACGAACAAATAAATTAGGCATCTTTCGTTAAGCTTTATTCTGATGTGGATGCTGAATGAACCTACTGTTGTTGCAATCTTCACGACAGATAAAAGCTTCTACTTCTTACTACATAGTACAGTTGGCTTCTTTCTCATTTCACAGACAAGCCAGATGTTCTAGGACGCCAACGCATCTCAGTAATGTTTCATTCTCGTTTCTTGATTAGTGCCATGTTTGATATAAATCATTTCACGATAGATAAATACATATTTGTGGTGAAAGAAAAGCGCAAAGAAAAAGAAGAAGAGAATTCAACACATGTCGAGTTAGCCGTTATTTCCTCTTTCATTCATGTCGCCGGCTGACAGCAAAGAAAAAAAACTTTTCTTCCTTTCTTTTCTATTCTTAAAGCTTAAATATCGGACGAATGATTTCACGCACAAGTTTTCTTTTTATCCACATTGCAACTTTAAAAGTTAAGTGAAGTATGAGTGAGAGAGAGAGAGAGAGTACGTACAAAGGAGAAAGAGAGCGGGAAAAATCGAAACTTTTTTCCATGTTTTTTATGATAAAAAGTGAGTGTGTACATGTTGGACGTGTTTGTGTTGGATTTGTTGTTGTAGGCTATGGAAGCACGCATGTCGGGGAGCGGAGCTCATAAAGAAGCAGAACAGAAAAAGCTTCCCAATGACTTTTCGTGCGTCTCCTTTCCACAGAGAGAAAAACAATCACGTAAATGAGAAAAACCACATGATGAACTTGAACGTGGGAAAAAGCGCCTATTAGTGGATTTATATAAATTCCACGAGTAAATAATTGATCAAAGGCGTTAGAATAATTTAATCAATAAATTCAATCGTCTGTCAAAAGTGAAACAGAAGATCAAAGGTTGAGAAATTTGAAAGGGAAATCAAATAGAAAATTTTATTTGTTGAACGGAAAAGAAAGGCATTCGTCTGATCGCACACGAAATTCTATAAAATTTCTCTCTTCCAATGACGTTAAAGTATTTTCGAAAAACATTTTTTTTTCGTTCTTTCTCATTTGCCGGAATTTTCTTCGAAGAGAGACGGAAATTTTTCTCTCAAATTTTCATCCGTTTCCATGCCATAGAATCTTTTTTTTCCTGTACATCAAATGGGAAGACGAGATTTTCTCTTCCAAAGCCAGTAGTTGTCGAACCGTTTAGTCGTTTAAGTTACTTCTATTGTGTCACCGCTTCCGTCGCGTTGTATAAAATCAGAAAAATAAAAGAAAAGAGTTTCATTTTGGAGAATCAGCAAAATTTCTTATTTTTTTGAGTTTTTTCTTGAGTTTATTTTTGATCCAACACAAAACTATGAAGAAACCAAAATAAACGAACATGCTTAGATTAAGATTAAAGAAATGTGTGAAAAGAAACTAACAGCGTTTCAAGTGACAGATGAGTTGATGTTTATCGATTCTAGCGCAGATTTATACTGGAAAGTTTTTAAAGATTTTTATAAAATTATCACATAAAGAAAAAACACACAAGAAAAATATTTTTTAAGTGAAATTTTAAGTCAAAAACTTTTAGTTTGTGAGTTTTATGTTTGGGGGGTGGTGGTGGAGACGACAGAAAACGAGAAAACGAGAAAGCGTTAAGTACAAAAGTGATAATGATAGCAATTCAGGATAAAATGACCGCTAATGGACAAGGAGGCTTCTTGTATTACATGTAATGAACTTGTTAATAAATAAAAACTAAAAATAAATTCATTCCACTGTGTTGACGCGTATCGTAGAAGAATTAAGTAAAATAAGCAAGTTTTAAACGAATTTATTATGTAGAATGAAAGAAAATCTCTAAGGATTAACGAGGTCACTGTTGTGTTATGTTGATTATAATTTTACCTATTCAAGAGGGAGAAAAGCTCAAAAGCCCACAACAAACAATTCTAATTAACTCCTGATTTATAAAAGAGAAAGCATGAACGAACACTTTGTGCAACATGCTCTCTCTGTATGTATTCTCTTAGTTTAGGTTTGTTTGTTTGTTTTTGTAGTTTTTCAACAATCCTTAACTCATTGCTACTTGCATACATACATCCAAATGAATATCATAGCTTTTGCTTTTCAGCGTAGAAGGCAAATTAATGATATGCAAACACGTACGATAATAGGGTGGAGAATGAAATGAAATGGAATGGATATATAAGTACAGATTATCATTTTCTTTCGTCCCCACACCGTTACAAAGTAAGTTCGTTCATATAACACCATCGACTGCCGTTTCACGAATGCATTTGTTATTAATTGAATCTCTTAAGTCTGCAGTATTTTAAATCTACAAAAATAAAAACTTCAATGAACATTGCGAATATTTCATGAAAGCACCGCGCCAAAGTTTCATTGAAAAAGTTTTCTATGTGGTTCGTGGCTAACGAAGGGCATGATTTAATGGACTTTAATGGTACAAGCTTAGAGATTTTCCATTTTAAAGAGAGAAAAAAAACTTTTTCTTCTTCTTTTGTAATTTTTTCCCCTCTTTTTGATAATTTCCTTTATTTGAACAATGCTAAAACTTTTCTTCTCCCTTTTGTTTTTATTCTGTTAAATTAAACATCCATGCGGCGAAATATCAATTGAATTCTCGTTTAGTGAACCGCAAATATGTTTTAGGCATGTCGCAACGAAAGAGAAGAAAAAGAATAAGAAATAAAAAAACTGAAAATTGATTGTTAAATTTGAAAAGCTCAACGGAGTGGAAATGAAAGGGAAAAAAGGGTGGAATAAATGAATGCAGATGATGATAAGAATGAGAAAAGTTGCGATAAAATATTCATAAATGTTACAACAAAGAGAGAATAATTGTGTGTTAGATGTTGTGTAGCTACTTCTTCATCATTTCTATCTTTGTAAGTATGCAGAATGAATCTTCTCGCAGTATTCAGAATTACTGAATCTTTAATGACTCAGAGACGAATAAGTATGTTGTATACATTCTTCACACTTCCCTTCACTTGTTTTGAAAGAAATTTCTGTACATACTGAAAGGATTATATTCTAACTTTTGAAGTCCTTGAAGAATTCACTTACTCTTGTTGTTGTTTTTATTTAACGGTGACGAGCGAAGATGAAAAAATTATGACACAAAGAAGAAAGAAGAGAGTAAAAGAACTTTGGGCGTGATAGGGAGACACCCAGTTGGGAAATTATTGAATAAATTCTAATTTTTATTTTCATTCTAATAAATGCCGATGGGTTGCAAACGACAACAGATGGTTGAAAAAGGAAAATAAGGGAAGGAGAGAGAGAGAGAGAGACGCCTTCACATCATCAAATGCCTTTGAGAGACTGAATTATTTGAAAAATGTTAAGACTTTTTATATCTCATCTTGAATACTTCTCAGTAATGTCTTGCAAAATTAAAAAGCTCGTCTTGTGCGCTTTAGAAGACATTTTTGAAATGAAGCTTCAACTTTCTTCAATTCATTCTTGCACACAAATATTTGGAAGTTTTCCTTCTTCTTTTATTTATATTTTTCTAAGGATAAATGAGGTTGGGAACTTATTATTATTATTATAGAAATTATAGCCCAAACATCTTCAATTAAATCTTCAAACTTTTACCAAAAAAAATTTGAAGAAAGTTTAAGAAATATTTTCAAGTTATAAGTTATAACAATAAAGCTTTGCTTAGGCGGCAATCAATCTTTCTATTAAAAATTAATTAAAAGTTCTCTCATGAAATGAAATTTATTGAATTGAAAAAAGAAGCGATTAGAATGGAAGGAAGAAAAATTATCTTATTGATATTCTGAACACATATTCAATTTCTATTTCATTTGTTTATTTGTTTAAATGATTACCAAAACGATTATTTCAAGACCATTCTGTTTATTCCTATATTTATTTCTAACAATGACTGAACACTACTTCCATGAACAATCCATAAATTTTTTATTGCATTCAATATAGTTTTTATGCAACTTTAACATTTATCTATCGTTCGGTAGTGGAATCATGAGAATAAACCTAGTTTTACCCTCTTTGAAAAAATAACAATGGGCCACCACTTAAATCGTGCACATGGATTTTTGTTTTTTCCGCTATGACATGGAAAAACATCCCCGAAAATTTATTGCTGATGTTTCTTTTATTATTCTGCTCGTAGAGAGAGCTAAGGGCAGACAATGGGAAGGGACGAAAAGTTATATTTGTAAAGCTTACGTCTGCATGTTTTTAAACCCTAAAAATCTATCACAATTTCTCTAGCTGTTGTCGTGACACTTGTTTAGATTCTTCTACTTAAATATCTACTCGTTGATTTTTCTACAACTTGCGATGTAATCATAGACAGAGTAGAGATGCATGTCACTGTCCTGAAAACACGAATTCCATTGTTTGTACATCGATGATAAAGCTTTTGCATAGCTATTAAATGCGTATGAGTCAAACTAACATTTTCACGCTTTATTCACCATCGACACAGTTCAACAGCTTTCAGTTTATCTATCTACATAAATCTACATATGTATGTACATGAATATCGATATTTTAACATGAACATGAAAAGAAAACATCCCCATTTACAATCTGGTTGATACTTAAATGTTGTGCTTTAGGCAAATTCAAGTGAGTGTTGAGATAAGATTTTATAATTGCTTATGAGAAAGCTATTTGACTAATGATTATCATCGTTTCATATTTAACATTAATTACATTTAATCAGTTGAATGTTTTAATGTTATTAAGAAGTTTCGAAACAAGTCACGTCTAATGTGAAATATCAAGAATATTGAAGATGTCGTCGCTTTTAAGTTATTTATAAAAGTTTCTATTCATAATAATGATTTTTCCATTCCTTCATGTGGTTATTAAAATAAATTGCTTTTGCGAAAGTGAACATACTTCCGATGTTCATAAACAATCAATGTAGTTGTTTACAATGTTTATGTTTGGTAAGACTCAATGTATAATGAAATTCTTTAAAATACTAGAGAAACCTTTCTAGCTTGTGGAAATTCTATTAACAACATCAAACTTCATAAGATGTTGTTCGTGGCACTTATTACATCTCAACATTAGTAACTATCAAATAGAACTTATTAACATTAAACGAGAGGATATTAAAAAATAAATAGAAACATCAATGAAATTTAATTTAAATATTAGACAAAGAGTTTGTTGAGAAATTTTCTTATACTTGTTTGTTACACGACTTCATGTTTAAAAGCTTCACGGCACAAAACAGAATCAACTTCAAATATACGTTCAACGTATTTCAAGGGTAAATTCCGAGTTTATCTTGTGTGCTACACTCCAACTCTGTCCTTAATTTTCCTTTGCACATTCATCTGAAGGAGTTTTTAATGTCAGTAATTTAAACAGAGATTCACTTCTCCTTTTCCTTTCTGTTTATTCGCATACATCACATGGAATGGTTGAGAGGGAAAATGTCTTCGAGAGTTCTTCTGGTTTCGTGATTTTTTTGGGTAAATTACGGAATAATTAGATAAAGCATGACAATAGCGAGGTAACAACGTCTTTCAACTTGCGTTAAGGAAAAACCTTCAAATCTCTGTGAACGACGACGAGGAATAGCAACGTTTTAAAAACCTGAAAAATTCAATTAAAATTCTTCGATAAAAATCTTTTTCTTCCCATTTGCGAGAGAAGAAAAGAAAATTTTCCGTTTTTTCAACACGCGTAAGTTAATTTTTATTAAACTTCTCATAATACGCTGCGATTCAATTAAGCCAGTCGTTAACGACTTCTACAATCAACTCATCTTTTTTTTTCTTTCTTCCTCTAACCCCGGGTGCTGTGTTTAGAGTGATTCAGTTCATATTTACAGCTGGCATAGTGACTTCAAATGTTCAACAATATTTGAGAATGAAAATATTTTTTCTTTCTTATTTCACTTTTATTTAGACAAAAGGAAAGAGAAGGAAAAAAACCGGAGAAAATTTATTAAACATCTTCAAATAAACAAAAAGCCGCCGTTTTTACCAGCCGCTGCCCCGAGAATGAATCTGAGATTATTAAGAAATTGAGATGCTAAAAATACTGAATGGGAAACTTAATTTCACACTTGCCTAGAAATATTGGAGCAAGTAAGGCGAGAGAACATTCTGAGATTTGATACTTTCACATCTACTCGAATGAATGCTTAACAGAAGTCGGTCAGCCATTTAAGTGCACATTAGACAAAGTGATACTTTCAAATTCAATTGAACTATATCAGTTTACAGATATATGATAACAAATAGCATCATTTTACTTGGAAAATGTTTATTCATCTCCCTACACTTGGGAAATTTGGGAAAATGTTCCTTTTTCCAGTAGCAACAATCATTCAGAAATTAATTAGCGGTTCAAGTAATCAAAAAGATTAAAGACGAGAATCACGAATGAGAGTGAATTTTATGTCAAAATCACTTGTGGAAGAAAAAAGAAGCAATTAAAAGTTTTTAATTACTTTTTTTTGTACTTCATAAATGGAATTCAATGGGAAATTGCTTTCATTTTATTATGTAATTGTGCTTTTAAGTGTACGTAAGGGAATGTCAGTGATTGATCGAATTTTATTAACTTTTTCAGATATATTCTTTTTTAACCCGATAAGACTTTGTTCTTAATTACTAATTAGTAATTATAAATTGACGATCGCTTGCAGAAAAGAAATTCTTGAAGAAGAAACTTGATTGCTGATGACAGTGAATTAAAACGAATTTTTAGAATGTTGGCTTATCAAATTTTGATGTGATTGTTGGCTATTTGATTATAAGGCCAAACAAATTTAAATTTTAATCACATACTGACTTGAAGATTTGAATAACTTGAATCTTCAGAATGAGTCGGACCGTTTTGATGACCGAAATGCATTTAGATATGTAATTAAAATAAGTTAAAAGTGATTCGTGTACGTACAAAAATCGTTTTTATTTAGTAATTATACTCTTCACGCATTTCAACCAACTTATTTAATGTTTAATGTTAATGGCAACATTAAAGGAAGTAAAATATTTCTTGTGTCTCATCTCTGACAAATTCCCATGCTAGTCAAGATGCTTTTTCATCATAGAAAAATTAATAAATCTTGCCAGTCACTGCAACGAATAAATATCAAGTGCACGGAAAAGTTGCAGATTGTTTGGTTTACAAATTAATTTGATAAATTTTCATTTCATGAGAGAAAGAAGGGAGATGAATGAAAGCGGAAAAGTGAAAGAAAAAAATATAAAACGACTTTTCCTGTAACGTCAGCATCATGTATTTGTCGTACAGAATTATTCATGCCATTAAGAGAATTCAATTTAAACTTTTGACTATTGTGTTGTGACTTGCGAGGGTAAAAATCTCGTTTATTTGAAATAAAAAAAGCTCACGTTTCCTCTACATAAATTCCATCATGTTTCAACCGTTTAAGTGGGACATTTCAGAAGGAATATCGGCAATGCTACAAAATAACGAATAAGCTAGAGATATCTCTATTGGGATGCCGCAATCTTTCATTGTCGTAGATCCTTTAGTGTTTTCCGTTGTGAACCTTTTTTTAGCTCCAATCACTCAACAGCTGAATAATTACATGTACCGTCGACTAAAGCTACCCTTTCCGAAGAGAAATTGAAACGGCATTGCTTTCCTCTTTTTTCCATCTGTTTTTGTCGAGTATCAGCCAACAGTTCTAATCTGAAAATGCTTGAAAAACTCTCAGGAAACTTTCCAATACAACTCTTACCTTTTTTCCTCCCTCCTTTCATATGAAATGCTTGAGTTTCTGTATTAAATGGGGAGTGGATCATTTGTCTTGTGATCCTGTGTCTTAATTATGCATAATTTATATATATTTTACGTATATTTTATGCATTATTTGAAATAATTTTGCATTTTTTATGCATATATTATGCATGAAATATGTATAAAAAACGCAAATTATTTTTTTTGGATCATTTGTCTTGTGATCCTGTGTCTTAAATATGCATAATTTATATATATTTTACGTATATTTTATGCATAACTTATGTATAAAATGTGCATAGTCTTGGGATCCTGTGTCTTAATTATGCGTTTTGTATGCATGTTTTTTGAATATTTTATGCATAACAATGTATGAATTATGCAAATATTGTGCATAACTTATGTATAAAATGTGCATAGTCTTGGGATCCTGTGTCTTAATTATGCGTATTTTATGCATAATTTGTACATATTTTATGCATAACAATGTGTAAATTATGCAAATATTATGCATAACTTATGTATAAAATGTGCATGGTCTAAGGATCCTGTGTCTTAAATATGTGTATTTTTTGCATAATTTGTGCATTTTTTATACAAGATAATGTGCACATTACGCATAAAATACGTAGAAAATATGCATAAAATATGCACAAATTTAAAATATGCATAAATTATGTATAAAATATTCAAATTTGCATAAAATATGCATATTTTATGCATATTTTATACAAGACAAATGAGTCACAACCATTAAATGTTAACGTTGAGTGAATTTTCCTCATGAGAATCTATCAGCATTAAGTTTCACGCTCAGTTTGTTTCTAATAAAGTATAAAAATGTAAAGTTTGTGACGCTAGGCTGATGATGATGTTTCATTGAAAACTAATGAGAATTTTTTTTCCTTCTACTTTAATAATGAATTTGTTTATAAATGAAACTCATAACTATTCATTTCCGATTCTATTAACATTAAGTCTTGCAATCAATCTTGAATGAAAACGATTACAATCTTTTGGAACTAAAACGGAACGTGTTCAATCGACACAGTTTGAAACAAAAAAAGAGAAATCTAATAAAATGACAATAAAAAGAAGAAATATCAGCGGAAAACCTTCCGCTTCACTTTTTTTCTGACTTTTCCATTGAACCATTTTTTCTTATGTTTTTTATGTTGAAGTTATGAACAGCAGTTGCCTGAAGATTAGTCAGACATTCTTATGTTCTCTTCAGTGCTTTTTTTGTGGTTCTCCAGACTCCTATAAAGTTAATAAATTAATTTTTTTATCTTTCCTTTTTCTTCTATTCTCGATGATGTTTGTCACAAATAACAACACGTAATCCATCTAGCAGATAAGGAAACGAATTTCATCTGAAGTCAAAACAGTCGAAGGAAGTGAAAAAGAAGAAAGAAACGCGCACATGAAGAAAATGTGAATGATTCATTTTGATGTTGCTATAAAAATAGACTTTGTTTTGCTTACAAGATAGCAAAAGAAGAAGAAAGCAAAGGAGAGGTTCATATAAAAAATTTATTGAGAGAAATTTTTATCGATTCGAGGTAACATCGATAAATTCATCGGTGAGTACTCAAAGAGCAAGAGGCAAGCAAGTGTAATTAGATTAACAACATCTTTAGTATCATAAAACTGAAAATTAACCATTCACTTTCCTTCCGTTCATTTTATTTGCTTTAATAGCACTATCGCCATGAATTTGATTAATATGGACTCAGAAAATCGAGTGGTGCTCAATGTCGGTGGCATTCGTCATGAAACATATAAAGCGACACTTAAGAAGATTCCTGCCACTCGACTGTCGCGTCTCACCGAAGCACTCGCTAATTACGATCCTATTTTGAACGAGTACTTCTTCGATCGTCATCCTGGCGTTTTTGCACAAGTGCTCAATTATTACAGGTAACTGTCAAACCTCACATTGACTGAAAAGGAAATGACTTTTCCTTATCCACTTTAACTTATTTCAAAGAAAAACTTTATGCGGAAGTAAGAATTTTCCTATGCAAAAGGAAAAGCGATTAAACAACATCACAGTGATGTCCCATTGAGACGTAAAGTTTAAAAAGATATTTCTTGAAGCTGACAAAATCATGATAAATCAAAGAAGACACAACACACCAGTTACACTCACAATTCAATTGAAAATGAAAAAGAAGATAAGAAATAAATCTTTTTCGTGGAATTTTCATATGTCATTGCGAAAGAAATCGAAAGTCTTCTTTGATTTAAAAGAGTGAAGACAGTGAAAGCTTTAAGAGAATTTCTAAAGACATTTATGTCAAATGATATATTCGAATTAAAGTGACATCATTGCTTCAACTTTCTTCTGCTTAAATAGAATATGAAAAAAAAAGGAGCTTTTCATTGTGTGTTGAGTTTATCAAGAAGCACGTCTGTTCATTGTTTAATAGCCCATTTCCCGACTTTGTTGTGAATGTTTCCAGCACATGAAGTTCTTTTTGACACACACCGCAAATAAAGCGTCATCAACTTGTTTATGCTTTCCGTTGAATTATTTTTTTATCCATTAACGTCTTTGCTCATAAGAAATTCAAATAATGTCAAGCATTAACTATTATTTATTATAATAGTCATCAATTCTCTTTTGGAAATTCTTTAATATACCATGCGGGTTTCTTTCCCTCTTTATTATCACGTGAAAGGGCCATCAAAAAAGCAAATTGTAAGCTTTTATATTTAAATTAATTCTCTTCTTATTTTTAAATAAAAGGGAAAGTTCCAAAGTGACAGCTTCAGATTCAGAATACTTCGTCAAGTTGATTAATTATCAAAATACCTGAACATTACTTTACTTTCCTTCCCTTCACTAATAACAAGCTTAATCAATCAATTTTATTTGTTCCATTTATTGTCAGTTACGCTCAATAATTAACAAGTCCTTTTCAAAGTTTTATCAAATTAGCTGTTTGAACGACTTCTCATTTCATTGATGATTCGAAAGCACCTCGTGAGTTGTTCAAATGAAATGAAATGACTAACTTCCTTTGAAATGTTTTGTGATAAGATGGAGACGCTTCAGTTTAATCAACCATCATCTGAATCATCTGAATCATTCCATCTCCCCATCATTCGCTTTGAAATGTTTTCAGTTTTTCATTCGCAATCTCCACTTCATTCTTTCACATGACTAAGCTTAATAAGAACGAATAAGAAGAAGGGGAAAGAGAAATGTTATGAACTGTTTATAATGAGAAAAACGCTCTGAAGGAATAAATTTATGAAGCCTTCTCGCTGTTCGGTGAACTAATGGAGGATAAATTGATTGAAGAATCTTTTAATCTGCTTGGACTTGCTAGTTCAAGGTTTTCTTCTCGTGTAAATATGAAAAGATGCGAGAATTGTGTGTTCTACTTATTTTAATAAAATTCCATCACATAAATTCATCAACTTCTTTCACTCACTCTCTCTCTCTCTCTCACTGTAAAAATAGGAGCGAACAGAAAATATTAAATTTCCTTTTTCAAATAAACTTGTTACGTTCTTGGCAACACGTCACAACGACAAACAATTTTCCGCAATTTTCCTTTTTCTATTTTCTCTCTTTTCTGCTGTTTATAGGACTGGTAAGCTTCATTACCCAACAGATGTCTGTGGACCGTTATTCGAGGAGGAATTAGCATTTTGGGGCCTCGACTCAAATCAAGTAGAGCCTTGCTGTTGGATGACTTACACACAGGTCTGTCAACATAATTCAATTGCAAAGCTAATAAATAGCAATATAACCTGTCACTATACTAAATATTAATGTTTTCCATCCAGTGTTGTTAAAGAACAGCACATTTCATCTAATAACCTTTTTCCTTTGACTAAACGAGATAAATTCAACCTTAAAAGTTTGTCATACATGTTAATAAGAGGTTTTTCTAAATGATTTTTAGTTTTCCTTTTTATGTGCTTGTCAACCTTCAATTAGTGGTTTCATATTGACAATCGACAACCCTCAAAATACTTTTTCTCATTCTCTTAAAATTTTAAAAATTCATTAAAGTATCTTCGATTCCACACTCACACATTTGTTAACTTCTCGAAACTCATTCAAATGGAATGATGCTTGAATTACTTACGTCATATCATCGTCATAGTCAGAAGAGAAAGCTTTTAGATATCGGTTGGAAAATAAGGGAGAAAAGTCTACATAAATAGAAAATGAAAAACGCAAATAAATTATTCATAGATCTTCAAAGGAAAAAGTTTTGTGTTAGAAAAAAAATTAAAATAGTGTGATGGAAAAGTTTCTTGTTTGAACAACAAGACTCGCACCCTTCTCCATAAACGAAAGCCTCAGAGAAGAGTTTTTTAATAGACTACCCTTAATGGGAACCTTTTTTGCAGAGCCCGAAGATTGTATTTCAATTTTTATAATGAAGATATCATTCATCTCTCAATTATTGCCCATTTTGGCTTCTGCTTCTCACTTTCTAAATATTCTATCGCGGCTTAGAATTTGTATCTTTTTTAATAACGCGAAAAAAAATATGTTCAAGTTAAAAGGTAACCGTAAAAGTTTTCGTGGCCCTTTTCCCTTCCCAACTCTTGAAATGGATCATCATTTCCCTCGCTAGTGGGGTGGTGTAAATAATCCTTTAATAAATTCAACGCCACTTTTTTTGCGAGCACTGCTCGTAATCTCCTAGTTCTTTGAATCGTGTAATTTCGTGAGGAAATCGTTTAAATTATTAAAAGATTCCTTCTTGTAGAGATAAGAATAAGAAAAGGAGAAGCGAAACTAAAGACAATCATTCATTAATTATTCATTTGGTTCGTCGCTTAGAACGGAAGCGTTTCTTGTTTATTGCGAAAAAGCAACGCGAATGGAAATTTTTTTGCCCTACGTTCAATTTTACTTCAAGGTTCTCATTTCTTGTTGCTTTTTTCCTTTATTCTATCTTTTTTTATGACCAAATCAACTGTGAACATAAACAACTTTTTATTATTGTCGTTCCATCATCTACAATACAGCATCGAAATACCCAAGAAACCCTAGCAGTTTTAGATAGACTAGATTTAGATACAGAAAAACCTTCCGATGAAGAAGTAGCTAGAAAATTTGGATACGAAGATGCATATGTGAAAGGACATGTGAGTTGGTGGCAACATATGAAGCCTCAAATCTGGTCATTGTTTGATGAACCATACAGTTCAAATGCCGCAAAGGTAAGAAAAATACCATCAACTTGTTTACATAATGAAACGTTCAACAATTAGCTTCATTACGATGATTTATTTTTCTTCTTCCTTCTCTCATTTCTTCTCGTTCGTATCGTTGGCTTTTGCCGCATAATTACAGATAATTGGCGTCATATCCGTATTCTTTATTTGTGTATCGATTGTTTCATTCTGTTTAAAAACACATCCGGTAAGTTGTCAAATGATTATCATGTTCTGATTCAATCTCATTACCGTTGTTATTCTATTAATGTAGGATATGCGAGTTCCGGTAATTGCAAATGTCACAGTTAAGACATCAAACAGAACAACAGGCTGGTATATCGATAAAAATGAAACAAATGCACATTTGTTCTTTTTCTACATTGAATGTGTCTGCAATGCATGGTTTACATTTGAAATACTGGTAAGTACAAGTTGCTGAGATGTCTGAACTTTCTCTCATTCATCCGTACTTGTAACTAAGTAATAAAATGCAATCAATTAATTTGTCTTCGAAACGATTTCACATTCCTGAATAGAGCAAAATGAATATGACTTTGTACGTTTTTATAAATCAACATGTGGAAATTTATTGATGCATATGAAAGAAGTTTTTTATTACGAACGGGAATACTTTTAAACTTTTCTACACACACTGTGTCTACTTGTTGTTGACTCATATGTATATTTGACATGAGTTACTTTCTAAATTATTGCTTTAACATGTCATTTACATCAGCGAAATATTGACAATATTTCTTCAAGTTCAAACTCTCTTGGAAAATTATTAATCATGTTTAAATATTTATTCAACATTTTTCTTCTTCCCTCCCTCTACAACTCACGAAACCTCAAAGTTCATGATGTGAACCTTCGTTTGAACTTATAATTTATGTCTTTAATCTAAATGATGTTGAACAGTATCATTCAACCAATAAATCTTCAAACTGTATCATGTTGTGATGTCTATTGCAGCATTTAAATTCTGATGATGTTACGTAAAATCATTATTCTTGTTTTTTAAAATATTTATTCTCATGTTCAACGAGCGAGAACTCAAACAGAGATCAACAAACAAACAATTAATTCCTTTCTTGTAGGAATTAATTGGCATTCAAACGAAGACGTGCATCTGCGAAGCGTCAGTCTGAAAATTATTACATTCACCGTCGCCTTTCCACCCACGACTTTTATTTTAATGCTCTAATAATTTATTGACACTCATTCCCGCAGATTCGATTTATATCATCACCTAGCAAGCTGAGGTTCATTATATCGTCTGTGAATATAATTGATTACATTGCAACATTAAGTTTCTTGTAAGTGTAACAGCGTGAATTTCATTTATTTAAATCTTAGTTAACTTCATCAGAAAATGTTTATGAGATAAAATTTAATTTATTCACAGTTGCGACTTGATGTTACAAAAGGTGATACCAAACATGGAGAACGCTGACATTCTCGAGTTCTTCTCAATCATACGTATCATGCGATTGTTTAAGCTTACTCGTCATTCGTCGGGGTTAAAAATTCTTATACAAACGTTTCGAGCATCGGCAAAAGAATTGACATTGCTTGTGTTCTTCTTAGTGTTAGGTATCGTCATATTCGCGAGTCTCGTCTATTATGCGGAGAGAATTCAGATAAATCCAAACAATGATTTCCAAAGTATACCACTAGGGCTGTGGTGGGCGTTGGTGACGATGACAACAGTCGGATACGGTGATATGACGCCTAAGACATACATCGGAATGTTTGTCGGTGCATTGTGTGCATTAGCAGGTGTATTGACGATTGCATTACCCGTGCCCGTCATTGTTAGCAACTTCACAATGTATTATTCGCATACACAAGCTCGAGCGAAACTCCCGAAGAAGAGACGGAGAGTGCTACCTGTAGAACCAGCGAGGCCTGCACGTGTGCCTGGTAAGTTTCATTAATTACTCATGCTTTAAATTTTAATGTTAACGATTCTCTTTAAAATCTTCTTCTTTTTTTTCAGGTCAAATCGGAGGTGTCCCAGGAGTGGGAGGTAACACTGGTTCGGGGAAGCTTCTTGGTTCAAATGCTCCAAGCACCAACAGCATGGAAGCAAACATCAGACGAATGAACGCCGCAAATGCCAAAAACAACATGAGCGGGGGACCCAAAACGATGGGTACGTTTTATATCGAATAAAGTTCAACTCAACTTAATGTCACCCAGCTAATGATTTTTTAATGATAATCTGGCTTTACCTTCATCATTTTATATCCTTCTTCCCTTTTTCTTTCGTCTCCCTTTTCACAGCTTGATCTTCCTCAAACTCACCGTTAATTAAACATATCGACATCGAGAATCCAAGTTGTACATATATCAACAACAATTTTAAGCATCTCACTTATCAGTGAACTTTGAATTCTCTGAGAAACTTTTACAATATCAAACGGAGTAGAAGAATGAAACAGCCAATCAACCAAAGAACAAAATATCTATTAGAGAGAAGGAAACGATATCAGTCTATACACTTGTGAAACTTTGGATTGTTTTCCTAGAGCTTAGAAAATTATGGATGAGAAACATCAACATCATGAAACTGGTGAATTTATTTTTCCAATAATCAAAGTAGGATTAAATTTTCGCAACCGATGGTGACGAATAAAGTTTGTTTGAAGCTTTTTCGGAAGTTGTTTGTTGAATATTTCTCAAAACACAATTAGATACAGAGCTTTATTATGTCAAAACTTTATGATTATTTTTTTTGTTAGCCGTCAAGCCCTCGAGACATGAATTGAAAAGCCGTGTAATAATCAATTTAGATTAATTGATAAATGAATAGAGAGAGTGGAGGAAGAACTTTATTATTATTATTTTTTGCGAAAACAACAGAAATATGAAAGGAAAGATAAATAATTTTATTACGTGGAGAGTTTGGGATTACTTACTTTGTTTTTAGGGCGAATGAGCATTAAAAGAGTGTGAGTGTTGGTGCTACAATTTTATGAAGAAGAATATTACTAAGTTCATAAATTATTTTAATGCTTACAAGTTGGAGCTTAAATCTTCAAGGTGGCGAAATAATAAATTTATTCAACAGCTCATGCTTTTCAATCAGAGCTGAGAATTGACATTGATTCAGTTATGCTTCAATTTGCTGGCATTTTGAAAAGTTTTACAAACTTTAATCCTCATGCTTAACAAATAATTAAATAAATTTTAATTCTTGTTCCAAGCCCTGCCTTTAAGTCTTTACATGATGTACGTAAATATCAGGAATTTTCTTGAAAGAGAAACCAGAAACGAATTCCTTCTATTTCGTTTACTCAAATCAAATTGATTTTAAATTTGAAAGCAATTTATTGGTAAACTCAAACATACATGTTTCAAAAGTAAACTTCAACCCATAAAAATTATAAGCAAATTGAATTCAAAAAAATTCTCTTTGGTGTCAAATGACTGTTTAAATTTCGTACGTCGCTTTGAGGCATGATATCAATTTCATCGATATTATTTTTTACTCTCTCTCTTTGTTGTCACGCTATGATTGCATACACAAAATTTTCATATCAATTTTTCTTCGCCTTTGCTCGTTCACCCTAAACATAAAGTTATGATGATGCACAAAAAGCGAAAAATTATTTAAGATATTAGACAAACAAAACAGTGAATGAGATTTGAAAATAAAAGGAAAATAACATTCAGATAAGTAAGTTTAAAAGCTTTATATTCTCGATATGATGCGATTAATGAAATCGAGATTTGTGTTGAATGGTTTTGCTTGCTTTCCACAGTTTCCTATTATGCTATTAGTATCTCTACTAATTAGTTATAATAAATGATCGAGAGAAGTGTATTTAATGGATACTGATGAATGTTGCCTTTGCAAATCGATATGAAATGAATAAGCAGATAAAGGGCGAAGTATCATTTACAGAAATGTTCTGAATTCATCTTTCTTGTCATTCTTCTCTCAAAAGAAGGTTTTGACATTGAAAGAAGAAAACTGGGGATTATGATAATGATTGCACAAGAAAGAATCTAAATTCTAGATTCCCACAAACTTTTGTTGTGTGTTATTGAAGGCTTGTTATTCTTCTCAAGAAAAACTTTATGGAGATTTAACAAAAAAAGAATTTGTTTCTATTATTCAAATTTTGTATATTATTGATTAGGTTTAAAATGCTTTGAATGTGAAAGCTTTTTCCACAATCTCTAGGTCACTGGTTTGATACACACACAGCCTGAATAATTCTTAAAGAGCTATTGTTCGATCTACTTTTCTAATAATCGTAAATTTTAACATGTTTTTTGCTTAAGAGAGATTTTAATAGAAATCTGGGCGTTATCTAAGTCTTAAGAGAACGAAAAAGTCATTTATTACAACGCTGTCATGTTTCCAATAAATTTCTTAAACTAATTTTGCTGATTCAATCTTATTAGGTTTCTTAATGTAGCATTTTGAGATTAAAATAGTTAAGTGCATCCCTTACATGATTATTTCTCTTTAAACTTTAGCTTGCATCTACCACACCAACAATTTGAAACGGTTTGCAAAATAGCAATTTATTAGCGTAGCTATTAATTTAATTACTGATTTGTAAATGTTGAGTTATCAAATGGATATGAATCGATATGACATAAAATGCAAAATACCTATTCACTGTGATCTTAAAAGATGAAAGAATAGTATGAATAATAAAGCTCGTTTAATATAAAATTTACTAATAAAAAAAAAGTAAAAGTGTGGAAGAAATCTTCATTCAACTTTTGAATTCTAAATAAAAGTTACAATAATTCATTAGAGAGTATTTTATAAAACAACATGAGAAAATAAATCGCTTCTTGATTAAGAAAAAAAATGAAAAAGAATTTACAATCTAGATGTGTTACCTTTAACTCTCACCGCAGAACAAATCTACAAGGATTGATGAAAAATAAAAGAGAAGTTGCAGAGAACAGCGAGAAGAAGATTAAAAACTTTTCTTTTAAGTCTTTTTGTAGATAATTCAAATCTCAAGATGCTTTTGATAACAAAAAGCTCTTTTCACTTTCATTTCATAAGCTTTCTTTCTCAATCAATACAAAAGCTGCTTTAAAATTAAATAAATATTTTTTAATTAAGTTTATTGCCTAATGCAGCTTTTCTTCAATTGGAGTTTTAAAATGTTTGAAAAGAAGATTTAATTTATAATCTTGATAACTTGAATAAAGCTTTTGAAGCTCTCGCTCTGAATTAACTGTGAAATTGTTAGCAAAAGTGTTTGCATATATCTATATGATGAGTAGATGAATATATGTTTGTCTCGTAAAATGAAAAATGATGAAAAAAAGACCAATACTTTAAACATAAGATAGGCATTTATTAAAAATGATGGAGGGAGATGTCGAAAAAGAAATTTTTTATATTATAAGATGAAAAAAAATAAACAAGTAACAACAAAGAAATGGCGATGGATGGAAAATAAAACATAGAAACATGTTTAGATGAATCTACTGCAAGAAGAAAAGTATTTCAAAGTTTTACAACTACATACAATTGCATGTTTCAGTCGACTTCAGAAACTTTAAGAGAGCTCACAATTCTCTTTCTTCCAATCTTTCAACAAAAGAAAAGAAACTTTCTTCCGCTGTAAAAGTTTCTAAAGATTGTTATTTGTTTTTAAAACTTGAAATTTTAATTTTTTATTTTCTTCATTGCTTAAGCTTTAAAAATTTAAATATTGCGTCGAATATTTACAAACTTATGACATTCTATGATTGCAAGTATGGGAAAATCGATGCTTTGTGTCATCTTGTTCATGCTTTGTTCTCGTAAAGGAAACGAAAAAAGAAACTTTTTACTTAATGCACATTTTTTTTCTACTTGCACCTTATAGGAAAATGGTGCCCTTATTAAAAGAAAAGTTTAACTTTCACTTTAAGAGAGAGACTATAAATTATTACATAAAATTCTAATTTTCAATACACTTTGATGAAATGCATAAAGTTTTTTTTAATATCGGAGTTGAATCTTAAAGTTGAGAGTTTTTTTAAAATTAATTTATAATGATGTAATGAATTGATAGAATGTTGATGATGAAAGAGAAATTCTTTAAGAGTCTTAAAGATGTGTATGAAGGAAAAAATAAAATTAGTTATTTTCGAAAATAAACACGCAATTGGAATTTTACTTCACTGTAGAGATATGGAAATGCTAAGTGTTCATGAATATTTCAGTTCACAGTAACTATGATTAATGTCGGTAAGTAAGTAACATAAACCACAAACTCTTCGTAATATCACATACAATTTGTTTTTAAGTGTATAGCTTAAAGAGCTTTCTCTACTTTTACCAGATTTCAAATCTAGATTGCCAAAGAAAAGCTCGTAATTCTCAAATTATAATTTTAATTTTAGTCTCTCTTCGTTGCAACCCAACTTCGTCATTGCAACTTATACTTTTTCTTTAATATTTATTTTCGTTTTTGTTTTCATAATTTTCTACAACATTCCAGCGAAAAATCCACACACGTAATTTTAATGTTTAATCGATAAAAATGTATTTTTATTTGACTTCACAAACTTACAGAGAAAACGAACTTCTTTCTGCTCTGTTCTGCTCCCCGTCATGTGCGAACATATTTTTATTCATTTTATGTGCGTTGACGAATTCGACAGTTGTGACTCATGAATAAAAGGAAGAAATTAACAGTGAAAAGCATATGAAGACGCAACATATCAATCTCACCCCAATAAAAAATACATCTTTATAGATTATCAATTCAAGAAAAGCTTTCCATTTACGACTCATAACTCGAAGTCTTCAATTTATCTGTAAGGAAAGAATGAAAAAGAGTAAAACCCTCAACAGTATTTATTGTGAATAGACGCATATTTTCTGATGTCATTGAGTATGAAATGTAGAATAAAGATCCTTCCTTTAAAAGGGCTTCGCCTCAAATTGTATTCGCAATGTTCAATAGTTAATTGGTTTTCATTCAAAATTTGATGCCGAAATTTCCTTTTACAATGAAAAGGACTCAAACTTAATTCTCGATCCCATTTTCCATTTATCATGTAATATTGTAACTAGTCGTCAAAGTTATTCTCCCAGTTGAAAGATAATATCCTGAAAGCTTTCGCTACATGAATTTATATTTGCCCCTTAAAAGTATGCAACACGTAGCGCCGATAAAAGCTTCTTTGTAAGCACATAAGAAAGCTAAGAAGAAAAGCTATGATATAGTTTTAATCAAACAATTAATTTTCATTTCTATTTTAAGTAATTTTCAACAAACTGGGAAACTATCAATAGAATGAAAATCACTTTCAGTTGAGAACCGAAAAAGAATCCCAAAATAATTGATGATTGAAAAGTTTTGCAAAACATTAAGCTTTGGCTTCCATTGTGTGTAATCAAGAATTCAATATTGCGCCTTCTTTTCATTCCATCAGCTCACACATACACATTGTGTGCTTTAAGTTTTTATGTCAACAGATACAGAACAGAAAAAGTTAACCTTTCTTCCTTTTTTCTCAAATTCTTTGCCAAAATATGACATGTAGCAAAAAGATTTTCAATTCTCGGATATTGTTGGCTTCAAAGGGCGCCCGTAACCCGTTACAATTTCATTTATCCTCCTTTCCAACTGTCGCTATTCTACCAGAAAAAGGGATCAAAAATCTTTTGAAAAATTGAAAAGTCTGTTTAAACAAACATATGTACGCTCATCTGCACACATTCATACAGTCTTCGTCGAAAAGATAACAGGTTGTAAATATTAGAGTAGAAGAAGGCAAAGTAAAACGTTGAAAAACAAAGAAACATTTGAGAAGTCCTTTTAAAGTTCAGAAAAAGAAAAAAGAAAATCCTAGCATTTAATGGAAAAAAGGAAATAGATGAAAGTACACAAGAGAAAAGTCAACATAAAAGTTTCATGCTGAGAGAAAGGAGAAAAAATTTTCGTCGAGCTTGCGCAAAATGTTTTGTAGTGAAGAATATCAGCATTTGCGCGTAACATGCCAAAATCCATTGAAAGTCACGATACACGATCGTCTCGAAAGGAAAAAAGAAAACTTTTCTTTCTACATTATTTCGTAATGGAATATTCATGAGAACCAAGTTCCATGCTTCGTCTTTCCGATGGAATGAATTCGCTTTCGCATCGAATTCGTTGTACGTACATTTTTCATGTTGTCAGTTTGTGCTGTTTCAGTGGAAAGCGAACATATTCTTTCTTTCTCACCGTCAGATATTTTGGTGATTTTCGTGAGAAACGTTCACATTTTCTGTTGTGCTTCTACATTAACGAAAAAAGAAAAGAAGAAAGAAAGAAAGAAGGAAAATACGAAGGGAATAAAGGAAAGTAAAGCTCTCAACGAAATATTGTTTTCCAACTCTCACCGCTGCCTTTTTTCGAAATTGTTTTGTGCGATTTTTCATGTTCCCATCATTCCCTTTCAGTCGTTTGCGAACTTTTCATTGACTTGGAACAACCCAACGATATCTGTTGCTCAACTTGTCATCATTCATTTTCTTTCTCTCTCTCCCCCGCACACACATATTATAATTTTTTTTCTGCAGTCGTTTTGAAGGAAACTACATCCATGGTGTGAATCTGTTAAGAGCGGGTTGAGAGGGCGGTTTGTGTAACAGAAAAAAAAGAATTATTAAAACAGTTGGCTAAAGAGTGAAAGGAAATTTGACATAGATTCCACCATATAAAAGAGCGTGGAAAAAGGATTCAACACTTCATTACTTAAAAGGAGAATAAATCAAAAGAATTTGTGTTGTGTAAGTGAAAACCGAAAATTTTACATAGATATTTGATGCAACAATCGTTTCAATTTCGGAACGTTTTCATTTCACTGTGCTATTGAATAAAAAAGCGAAAGAATATTGTGGAAAAAGTGTTGAAAATTACATGAAAAAAAAAGAAGAAAAAAATGAAAAATTAAGCTTTAAAGCTTTGCGAAGTTTTATTGTGTTCGGTGAATTTTTTTCCTTCATTTCTTCCATTGCTCGTTTGTTACTTCACCTCTCGCTTTTGTACGACGTTGTGGTTCATATTGGGAGAGTGAAAGAAAAAAAAATAAGCAAGTAAATGTAATATTTCCCTTTGAATTACGTCGAGGACAAGACGTTAGAAGGAGAAGTTCTGTTTTTTTTGGTAGGGAGTTATGAGAACCAAAAATAAAAAAAAAATGGAAAGAAAAAGTAAAATAAATTTCCATTTACATATTTAAATCGACATCAATCATTTGAGGGGTAAAGGCAATCAATATTTACTCGTGGATAAAAATAATATTCAGAGGCTAAAGAACAGTGAAGCAAGAGAAGTTGTTTTGTTTAAATTAAGCCTCTTCTTCCTTGTTGTTAGTGAATAAAGGACAAATTTTAAAAGGATACTTCATGAATTTAAATGTCGACACTTTGTTTCTCTTACATTCTTTATCATACAAAATTGTTGTATCATAAAGTTTTGAGGGACAGCTATCGAAAGAAAATTTTCTATTATCCTTGGTAACAAGACAAGGGTTGAAAGAAAACAGTTTGTCGAAGGTGGCATCAGTGAAGTTGAGAAAGTATATCAGATGACATTACATAACGAATAAACTGTAGTGAACACCTACCAACTATTTCTATTGTTTCTCTTTTTTTATTCACGTTCAATTCCAATTCCATCGAGTGAAAGTTCATTATGAAAGCAAAGCACATACATGGAACTGAAGTTTCTAATCAACGAGTGTATTTGATGCTTGTTGTAGCATTGACTTGTCCTATTGTGACATCATTATTAATTTGTCAAATATCAATGAAGTGAACACTCACAGACATCTACTTGAGAACTTTTCGATATTATCTAATAAATAATAAAGGTGGATTTCTTTTTCCTCCTAGATAATAAAAAAGCATGAAAGAAAATAAAATTAGATAAAATGAAGAGAAGAAGAATGTTAAAGAATACATAAATATCTAAATGCTTTCATAATCAGTTGCTTAACTAAATAAAGAAAGAAAGGAAGGATAAAAGAAAATTGAAAAGTGTTTCGTTCGCTGAATACTTAGGAGAAGGATGAAGTAGAATTATTTCATGAAATATTAATTAAACTACTGTTACTACTGTTACTACTGCTAAGTAAATGCTATAATATCAAGTTACATAAATTATAAAACATCCCCCTTCGAAGTTTCACTAGCAGGTGAACACAAATCACGTCGAATTATTTCCTTAACATCATGAGCTATGGAAATGACGTGATTTCAGTTCAAAGCTCTCTCTCTTCAGAAACCTTTAACGTAGCGTTTCTTAAAATAGTTACAATCGTTCTCCGACATAGTACAATCGAAGAAAAATCAATCGAGAAAAACTCTTTCTTTTTCCTTTCGCTTATAAAAGCACATTCGCTTGAAGCTATAAAAACCTTAATGATTTTTTGCTGTTTTTATGCCAAGAAGACAGAAGAAAAAGAAAGAAAAAAAAGTTGTTCGGAGAGGATTCGTCTAGCAGTCAAAAATCATGCCTGCGATATCTTCTCACTTTGCCGTTTACCGTTCATATTAATGCTTTGTGACAATGTGCCTGTGTAATGATGTAATATAAACTGTGTTTACTTCCAGTTGCTTCTTTTACGAGCGCTTATTTGCGCCTTATGAAAAATGTATGCTGCTTCCAAGAGCGCTCAGCAAGAAGTCTTCACAAACATGTAAAAGGAAATGAGTGAAAGGATTTTTAATTGTTCGCATTTGTCTTAAGAGACTCAAAAACAAAACAAAACATAAAATAAAGTAAACTAGAAAGAAGAACGATATCAAAGGGCGTGTTACAAACGAGAAAAGGGAGAAAGCATGAATAAGCGAAGGAAATCATGAATAATATCTTGAGTGACTCCGAGAATCGGGTGGTGCTCAATGTCGGTGGTATCCGACATGAGGCTTACAAAGCGACGCTTAAGAAGATTCCCGCCACTCGACTGTCGCGTCTCACCGAAGCACTCGCTAATTATGATCCCGTGCTAAATGAATATTTCTTCGATCGTCATCCGGGCGTGTTTGCACAAGTGCTCAATTATTATAGGTAAAGAAAAAGAAAATAAATTAACTGGTGTTAATGCTTTCTCGAGTCGAGACCACTATAAATATCTTCAATCGCTTTCTTACACAACCGATGATAAAACTTTTCTTCATTTCATTACTTCCAATTCCAACATATTCGTACGCCTACCGACAACTCACATTCATTCAACGTTGGACAGAACGGGAAAGCTCCATTATCCAACTGATGTGTGTGGACCGTTGTTTGAAGAAGAATTGGAATTTTGGGGATTAGATTCGAATCAAGTGGAGCCTTGCTGTTGGATGACGTACACTCAGGTAATATATGCTTCAATATGCTTCTTTTAGTGATCAAGGATTTGGAAAGAAGACTCTGAAGATGAAAACGAAATTATAATACATAAATCTTGTGATGCTGAAAACCTCTTTTCTTTTCCTTCATCCCTTTCCATCTCTCCATCTATCTGCAACATATACAGCATCGAGATACACAGGAAACATTGGCGGTGTTAGAGAGATTAGATTTAGATACCGAAAAACCAACCGAGGAAGAATTAGCTAGAAAATTTGGTTACGAGGACGCATATGTGAAGGGGAAGGTTAATTGGTGGCAGCATTTGAAGCCGAAATTATGGTCCCTGATGGATGAGCCTTACAGCTCAAACGCTGCCAAGGTGAGGAATATAGGATTTATTCATCTTCTTGTCATGTTTGTTGTGGCGTTTTCATTCCGAAACGAGAACGAAAAAAAGATTTTTTTCATCCGCATTGAGGGCTTTTCTCTCGTCTTCTTCTTTTTCCATTTTTTTTTTTGTTATCTTTTTCAAGATCGGATAATCCTCCACAGATTGATTAGATTATAAATCCTCTTAGAACATGCTTTTCCGCTCTCGACCTTTACGGTCACTCAAAGAATCTGCATTAAATTATTTGCTTATTAAAAAATGATGAAACTTATTTTAATTTTATTTGTTAACAGCTTTACAAGAGTTTTGAATTAACAATGAAACTGAAATTCTATTTTTGATCTTTGAAAGTGTTCTTAATCTATCAATATTAGAGTTTAATCCGTTCATACTCGCAAAGCTTCAGCCTTGAAATTTCATTTAAGCTTTTCCATTCAAGTCCTTGAGGATTTAAGAGATTAAAACTCGTCAACCAAATTGCGTCATATTTCAATGATCGGGTCTAAGAGTTGTTGATTAATTGTACATTTTTGTTGAAACAAATTCATTTTTATGTCGAAAACATTTGAATTCCATTTTAATTGAAAATTTCGAGCTAATTTTAGATGAAAATTTTATTAAAAAATTCACAAACACTTCACGAAGGAAAGCAAAGCATATGCGCTCGGAAAATATTTTAATTTTCACGAATTTGAATTTTTTTTTGATTTCAAATCATTGTCGAAAAAAGCACTACAATTACCACGGAAAAAAAATGGAAACGGTCAATTAATTTTAATTGACAAGCCACAACACTTTTCTGGAATTAAAACTACGAGGAGGATTTGAATATTTAAAAAGTTTGATAATGAAGCGTTCAATAGAAATTTAAATGGCTTTATGAAGCTCAAAAATGGAATATCTTTGTTCGTAGCGAAATAAAAATCTGTCTCGACAAGTAAAAGTTTTTAATTTGTTCTAAATTATTTATAAGCGTCAGGAAAAAAGACGATAAAAGATAATGAGGAAGAGATTTCATCGCTAAATCGACCTGACGCAATTTACGTAAAAGTACTGTGTAGCTTGGATATTAGAAAAGTTTGCTTTGCTATATAACACATTAATACGACTTTTCCCTTCTTTTAATGTTACTACAATACAACCTTTTTCCCCATTAATATTCAAGAGTTTTTATGGATACAGTTAACAGATAGAGAGTATGAGTGTTGCGGCTTCGCCTTCAAATCTTAGCTTCTTGTGTCTCCAACATCACGAAAGCACAAGAAAAAAAGGACAACGCAAAATAAATATATATATATGAAAATTCCGCTCACTTTATTCTAATTAGGTCTTTACGTAGAGTGGCAAGAAGAAAAGTGAAAGCAACATTCACAATGGTATTTCCTTAGAGGATTATCTGAAGAAAAGGGAAACGATATCAAAGGGAATCCTTTCATGGTTGAGCTTTGACTTGAGCTTTGGGATATTTTCTATGTTCTCAAAATGTCCTTCTCGGAAAAACGAGAAAATAATGTGACGTTTCATTTAATTTTTCTTTCTTTTTCATGTTATTTCCATTTTCAGATCGTTGGAATAATTTCCGTCTTCTTCATTTGCGTATCGATTGTTTCATTTTGTTTGAAAACCCATCCGGTAAGTGGCGTATTTTGATTGATGCCAGTGAATGGTTGAAGGCATTTCTCTTTTTTTATTTTTCATTTCCACATAGGATATGCGAGTTCCGGTTATTCGAAATATCACAGTAAGAACGGCAGACAACGGCACAACTTGGACGTTAGACAAAACACAAACGAACGCACACGAGTTTTTCTTTTACATAGAATGCATTTGTAATGGTTGGTTTACATTTGAGATATTGGTGAGTACACAACAAGTTTATAAACCTCATCAAGGTCTGAAAGTTGATTAGATAGATTTTGAATGAAACCGCTAAATGCGGGTAACCATTAGGATTTTATATAAAAGCAAACTAATTTGGTGTTTATCAACAGATACGTTTCATATCGTCGCCAAGTAAATGTGAGTTCGTTATGTCCTTTGTAAACATCATTGATTACATTGCCACAGCAAGTTTTTTGTAAGCTAACAACAATCTACCAATTAAGAATTCACAATAAGTTATTCCATGCTTTTACAGCGTTGATCTGGGATTACAGAAATTCGCCTCACACCTAGAGAACGCTGACATTCTCGAGTTCTTCTCAATCATACGTATCATGCGATTATTTAAGCTCACGAGGCACTCGTCGGGGTTGAAAATTCTTGTTCAAACATTCAGAGCATCGGCAAAAGAATTGACATTGCTTGTGTTCTTCTTAGTGTTAGGTATCGTCATATTCGCGAGTCTCGTCTATTATGCGGAGAGAATTCAGATAAATCCAAACAATGATTTCCAAAGCATACCACTAGGGCTGTGGTGGGCGTTGGTGACGATGACAACAGTCGGATACGGTGATATGACGCCTAAGACATACATCGGAATGTTTGTTGGTGCACTGTGTGCATTAGCAGGTGTATTGACGATTGCATTACCCGTGCCCGTCATTGTTAGCAACTTCACAATGTATTATTCGCATACACAAGCACGAGCGAAACTCCCGAAGAAGAGACGAAGAGTTATCCCAGTCGAACAACTCGTACGACCACATCAGGTGAGGTTTAACTATAGTGCGAAAGTTTCTCAAGATTTGTGTTATAATTTATTCATTTACTTTATATTAAATGAACAAACACATTCCATAAGATTGAAATGAAACACACAAAACAGGCTGTCGGTGTTTCTTCATTTCACTTCAACGTTTCGATGATAAATTTCTCTGCGTCTTGTTCATACTTATATTTGGAATTAGATTGAGATAGAAACACCCAAGAATATGAGAAAATAATGATAGTCACGTGTATGTTGCGTAAAATAATAATTTTCAGCTTCCTTAGCTGGTTTAAAAGCTTTTCGCAATGATTCAAAAAATATTTGTCAACTCTGACAATGAGCTTTGAGAAAACAGTAAACAAGGCGAAAATCTTATGTTTTGTGATTAATTTCTCAAGGAAGTTTTCGCTCGTTCAATTTGCGTCTTATAACATTGTTGTTGAAGGATTTTGCGTTACGACGCGATGAGTTATTTTATAATTTCTTTCGACTATTGTCAATTTAATCTACAATAGATTTTTACTTTGAACTTCATCTCCGCTTATAAATTTACGTCATCACATTGATAATAATTTAATTAATATTTAGGTATTTAGATCAGAAACAAAATCCTTTGTCAGTCACAAGAAATTATTTTAATATGAATTGAATTTAACGCTACCAGAAACCGTAGCGCTTATGAAGGAGGATGTAGAAAGAAAGCAATCGCGAATTTCCCTGAGGCTTCTTTCTCTGCTCATTTCTTTCCGATATTTATGTTAAAGATTTTCATTTATTTTTGGACCAATCCAATATTTTCTTTTTATAATAAGAAATTTATTGTTTTGTTTGAGAAGAAAGCTTGATAAATTTACTTTAAGAATGTCTCTGCTGACCCTAAAGACATTTTGCGTAGGCTTCAAAGCACAAATAGGCGGCTTGAAAGACATTTCCAAACTCTTGTTTGTTTTCTGTTTTTCGACATTTTCAAAAATGTTTCAATTGACCAGGCAAATAAGTAATTCAATCGAAATTTTCAATAACAAAAGTTTAACAAAACACGCGATATCCACCCACGTAAAAAAAGCGTGGGCCTATCGATCGCTTGATGGGTTAATCATAGGAATTTAGCTTCCGTGAAATTATTTATGAAAGCAAGTTTTAAGTCGAGTGTTAACAACAAGGCTTAGTGTATTGAAACGTCTTCTTGTTGCCATCGAATTAACCTAATTTAATTTTTTATCACAAGAAAATATCTTAAATATTACAGTGAGGACTTGATAAAAAATAATCATGATCTGCGTAGGTTTAAAGTAAATTCAAGCTCACAAATTTAAAGAATTTTCTTTGTGAGATTATCGAGTGTTGCAAGCTTCAAGGGGTTGTTGATAAGTGAAAATGAGTTGAAAAAAGCATTTAAAATTTTTTAAAAAGCACTAAAGCACAGCAGTTGCTTTGTGGAAAGTTCAGAAGAAAATTAAATAAAATTATTTTGTAAAATGGACATGGCAAAAGCATTACGTTTAATTTCCCCTTGGTTAATTTAACCAACTTCAACAAAGATCCTTGCGAATGATATTTCCCTTTAGAATATTTTATAATATAAAAAGAAGTTAAATATAGAACATAGTTGAACCGCGAAGGGTGCATAACTTTACAAAAGGAAACTCTGCAAGATTTTAATATAATTACACAGCTTTGCTTTCTTGCAATTTGTTGAAGAGTTTCAAAGTTGCAAGTTTTTTAATTCCTCAACAGAAAATTTGTCAAAGGAAATTATTTTACATTCAAACGAGTGAAGCAAGAACAAGAACATTAGTAAAAGTATTTTCAATTAAGTACATTAGGTTGGTTTTTTTATTTATGTGAGAATTTTAAAGTTAAACTTTGAAGTAGGGAAACTTAACAAGTTCGAAAAGCTTTTAAAATGAAGACTCAGGACGTTAAAACACTTCAGTTGACATGGTAATTAACTAGATTGTGTTACATAACTGCTCCAGAAACGAGATGAAAAATGATGTCAGAATTTTTCTTTCCAACCGAAGTCATTATTATTTAAGATCTGAGAAGATTTTTTAAAAAGCTGACAAAAATTAAAAAGAGAAATGCTTTTCAAATGTAGGAAAAATCCAATTAAATGTGTTTCTAAAGAGAAAACAATTTTAAAAACCGATCTGCTACACTTGAAACTTTTTAATGTAAATACTTTTTAGATAAAAACAAAATAAAGATAGAAAAATGTGCAATGGCTTGCTTAGTTCCTTGAATCTTTCCTTAAGTCAAGTCGTGCAAATATAAGTAGATTGAGAATTAATTTTAATCTGTTTTTCCTTTTTTAAATTCGTCATTTGAATAGGCACCGACGATGAAAGGCGAAGGTGGACCAAATCTCTCAGCCTCGGGAGCGGCAAGACCTAAATCTAAAGATCTAATCGGCGCTAAAATCGGTGAGTTTAAATTGAAAAACTTTCTCGATTAAGTTGCTCCGATGCTTTGTCGGTGATAGGAGAGCCTCACTCACGAGCCTTACGAGAAAAGGAATTTCGTGCGAGAAAAACAAACTTTTTCTCCAGAGAAAAGCGAGAAAGAAAAGCTTTGGGATTTTTCCTTCTCCTTCAACATACCATCACATCACATGCTGTAAATTTACATTTAAATAAATTTCTTATTCATTCAGCGAAAAGATGAGGTTTCAATTTCACGTGTATCACGAGCTTATTTAGACGAAGAAATATCTATACATTATCGTGTTTAGGTTCAACATAAATTTACTTTTATTTCTTTTTTCGCAAAAAAAACTGCTTTCTTACCATACCATTTAAAATTCCATTGTACGCATTATTTTTTTAGATTTTTCGTCAACCATTATGAAGGGGAAGAGTGGTGGCAAAAAGAAATTGGCAGACTTCTTATAACATTGCTTTTGCATTACGTTATCTTTTGCCATCTGTCGATATTTGTGAAAATGCAAAAGCGCACCCCCGATCATTTTTGCTGATATCATACAAAATTTAATGACTTAAATTAAACAAATACATTCACACACAAAATATCACAAAAAAAAAGTATCAGACACCATGAAAAGTTTCTAAGATTACGAAACGAAGAGAAGGCAAAAGAAAAGTTAGAGAAAATGCTAAAAGCTTTATCAGAATATACTGTAATGTCATCAAAGCGCTAATGAGCGATGGGCTTACATAAAAGTGATGTAAATAAACAAGAACATTTCATTCTAAATATTTTTATCTTCTTGTATTTAATTAAGTATCATTTATTTCTCATATTTTTTTCTTTGTAACCTTGTTTGTTTGATTGATTCGATCAAATCAAGATGTATTTAGTCATTACTTCTTTTTTTATCACTCAGTGATCCAAACAAAAAAAAATTTGAAGATGTTGTTGTTTTTCATCTTTGTTCTTTTCTCGTGTCGTAAATAAAATAAAAAATAAAGATAAAAAAATATATTTGAAATTGTTTAACAAAGCTTTTAGATATTCAGTAAAGTTTTATTTCTTTTTGCTTAAGGGAGTTGTCCATGACGCAGTGTTATATTTATGACGACTTTATACGTAAATATAAAAACTTCAATTGAGTTTTACTCTCATGTACAACTCCCAATGACCAGAGGCGAGCTTTCACGTAGTCATTAGATTACAGATGTAAACAACCTTGTTTCATTTCTTTGTTATTAAGTTTTTTTTGTTCACATTTATAATCCAACGGAAGCTGCTGCTTTTTTACATAAGAACTTTTTCTTTCTTTATCTCTCACTCTCTGGGATGGGATACCCAAGTGAAAAATATATTTTAGACTTTTCACAAATAAATGCTGAATAATCATGCAGCAGGCAATATGCAAAAAAAAGCGGTAGTGTTGGAACATTAAAGCTCATTAAAGGATTCCAAAGAAGATTAAGCAAAAGTTACGTTACTCCACTGAATGTTTAATCTCGAAAATTGAGATTTAATGTTGAGTTATGGAACTTTTGTATATTCTTCGAAAAAGAAACAATATTAATGTAGAGCAGTTGTAATCGAATTATAATTGAGCAAGAAAAACAAATCTTTTATTACTTTTCAGTATCAAACAAGCTTAACATCCAATCACAATTGCGTCGCTTATCGAATTGCACTTCCATTCAAAGCTCAAATGGCAAAAACTGATAGATGGGGAACTCAACTTCACTTGTATGAATCATTTAGCGATGAAGAAAATATTATCTTCTAGATGCATATATTATCCCTTACCATTCTAATGTAATTTCTAGTCGCACAGATTTGTCCTTTTCTGTTTTATTTGATTTGTTATTTTTCTAGCTGCTTTAACTCTTGAACACCATTCGATTTATGCACCATGCTATATTCATTTTGCTTTAAATTTTCACGCTTCAGCGTTCAAGCTACTTGTAGTTCTGCAATTTAAAGAGCGAGAAATAATATAAAAAGCATTTGGGATTTGTTTTTCTGATTCGATTCCATTATGCACCCACCAACGATGAAAAGATGAAAAGAATTTTTTACTTCACTTTTCATTTTCATGCACAGACAATCAGCAGTAAAATTTCTCTTCAGAAAGATAAAAAAGTAAAATTATCCATGAAATGCATAGTTAGTGAGGGAGAATTTTTCAACCATTAAAACATCTTGTCATAATTTTAACCTTCAAACTATCTACATAATGTGGACCATAACATTTCCCAATTGATTACATTCATTAAAGAGAACATTATGAAACAAAATTCAGCTCCATTTCCCTTGTTGAATGTTTTTGAAGAAAAAGAGAAAGAAAGAAATTTATTTTTTGAAATGGCCACTAAACAACGCCTTCATTGAACAACAATTCATGCGATAAATGTTATCATCTTGAATATATGTTATGTTGTTTCCTTCTATCCTTTGTTTGATCGTTTTGTTGTGTGTTGTGTCTTATCGTTGTCTTGTCGAGCGTTTTTCCCATTTATTTTTTATTTACAGCATCTTTTCATTATTTCAACCCCAATTGGTGTTTAAGTAAACAGAAAAGAAATGATTCATAAATATTAATGTGATGCTTGTTGTATTTTCAATGAATGAACCTTTAGCCCTGTCGTTTTTAAAACTCTTTCTTTATCGTTACTAAATATCTTATGAAAGAAAATTATGATCAGTGATATGAAAACTAATCTTTTATTTTCATCTTCTTCTTCTCTTTCTTCTTTGACACATTTCTGAAATTTATGTCAAATTTCTACTTAACAAACACAGGAAATATTCCATTAGGAACCAGCATTATGGCTTTGTGTCCACAAACGATGCAACTACATAAGAACCTCACAACTCAAAGCATGTGTAAACCTTCATTTGAATCAAACTTTGGACCACCAATTGTAGCAAGTAATGTTGAGAATAAAACTGATGAGAAATGTTTTTTGTAAATTTATTAGAAGGAAACCAGTTCATACTAAGGAGTTATTTAAAGAAAAGAAAAATAAAATTTCAAAGATTTAAATTGAACATTTTTTGAATTTCTTGGCGAAATTTTAATCCACATTAGGAAGTAAACATTTTATTAGATATCTCAAATATTTCTGTAGACAGAAAGGGTTTAACGCTTGTTAAGAAATCTTATTTGGATTAAAATTTCGTTTACAAGTTCAGTTATTTAAGATGAAACTTAGTGAAGAATAAAAAAAAAGTTTTGTCGACTCGTCTTGTCCATTTCGGGAAACTAAAAGAGATTTAAATGAGAATTAAAACTTTTGTTCATTGTTTGTCAAAATGTTAAGCTTTTATTGCTTCAAATATTGAAAGCTCTCGTTTGTGTGAGAATGAAATTTAATAATTAAAGTCAACATTCGATTCGACACATTAAATATCTATTTTTCTTATCTAAACAGTTTAGCATCTGTTTTACAACATGAATATATTATGTAACGAAAACTACAAATATTTAAGTACAATATTATCAAGAAACTTTCTTCTCATGCTTTTCTTCTTATTCTTACAACATAAATGCATAGGTTTGATGAAATTAATCATGTTCAATCATTTATAATACTTATACCTTGTTATGAATGATATCATTGAAGCCCTTTGAGGGCAAGATGATACGCGAATTATTTATTGGACTATCGGGACAATTATATGTGATTAAGAATAACCAATAATACATGATCGAATGAGAACAGTAAAGTTAATGTATGTAACGGATATGAATTTTCTTTTTTGTATGATTCTGTAATAATAAGAAACTAATATCAGTGAAATAATGTTCTTACTCGATACTGTAATATGTATAGCATATCAGTTTGCTAATTGAGCAGATTTTCTACAATTCTTTATTCAATTTCCTTCTTTTCGCTAGGAAAATAGTGAAGAAAAACGAATTCTAAAGAGCGTTTCACTTTAACGAACCACATTTTGACTCAAAATGTTTCCTGCATTCATGCATTATGGAACGAATGTTACTAGTCATTTTTTTCTTTGATAACGTTTAACTAGCTACACTTGAAATTAATGTAAAGTAACAACTGCCACTTTACGTGCAAGCTCAAATGCAACTTACGATTAGAGTGCATGCTTGTTGATGTGTAAATATTTTGAAATTCAAATTTATAAATAAAGAAAAAAAGAAAATCAACATTTCTATACAAAAAGCAACGAAAAGTGGCATATTTAATATTTTATAAGCTCAAATGATATAAAAACAAAATTTTGATCAAAGAATTTAAAAAGAAATTTGAACTCTTTAAAGGAAAAAAAAATGTTTTCTTAGATAAAACTTTTGCTTATGTTATTTTGAAGGCATTGGGTCTCTTTTCGGAAGGCATCATTGAATAGGAATCTCTACATATTCAGTCGAACGAAACGAGGCCTTTTTGTCGTTTGATATGGAAAACTGTTTGTTCACTCTCCCCTCCTTCCATTATCAATAAAATTAAATCAAAAATATAAAGGAGAAGGAATCATAATTTCAAATTTAAAAAAAATATAAAAGATTGTAGTTATCTGAAAAAGCATATACATAAAGTATGAAGAACAATGTCCACATTGTAATCATGTTAGTGAATATTTTTCACGGTCTTTCAAAAGCCGAAATAAGAACAAAAAGAAAGAAATTACTTCATGGAAGAAAATTATATATTTCTACCACACACAGGAAAATTATGCCTTCGGAAAAATCGAATCGAAGCGAGAGTGAACAAAAATAAAAGAAAAATAGAAATTTCCACAAGACATAATTTGAATGAACGTATAAAATACTTTAAGGCCTCCCACAAATGATTCCTCCAGCTTGAAATCAATAATTTATACACATGGAAATGGAAAAGTGAAGTGGTTGAAAAGCATATAAATCACTTATAATACCAATCAAATAGCAATAAGAAAGATGGAAAAAAATTGTATTTCGCTCGATATTAAATATACATATATGATTGAAAGTTTATATGAGGATTAAGCCTAAACTAATGACAATGAAAATAAATAAAAATTGATTGAAAAACAAGTTATGAGCTTAATTATTAAACCAAAATTAGCAACAACTTGCGAGTCGTTTGCGGGAAGTTTAGTGTAAAAATTATCACAAGAATTGTTAAAAAAAATCAGTTATTGCTTTGATGATGGCTTGGATCTTCTTTTCCCTTTCAGAAATTCCCACAATCTTAGCAATTCATAAATCCCATCCGACATCTTTACATCAATAGCAACAGCTACATCATCGACAAGAACATAAAATGTTTGAGAGCTTTGAAATACCGTCTTTTGAGGAATCTTAAGATCGTCTTGTTTCACAAATGAAAATGCAATAAAAATATTTTGATGATGTCAAGAAACCTCCAACGATTCATTAAATGGAAGCATTTAAACTACATACAGCACGAAATTTCTACATTAAAATCTTCCCATTCAACATAATCTTAAAGTACTTACAGCTGTAGTTTTAATGTTCGTTGAAAAACATTTCCACAACTCAATGTTTTCCATCAGAATATCTCTCGAAATTTTCTTTTCAAACAAGACGACATTCATTAATCAAGTGAATATTTTTTCCTGTCATTATTGACTTAAATTTTAAAGTTTTTTCTTTCCCTTTCTTGCTTGTCAAAATTCTCGAGAAGTTTTTTTTAATGAATTTTTTTTTTAAATGACGTCATGAAGCGACAACGCCTATGTAAAGAGAGATGGCTTTTCGAGAAGAAGAAATATAAAAAAGAAAAATCCTCCACCACTGAATATTTTGAATGTGCCTTCGAGCATCAACAAACAAGAATTTTTTCTCAGCATTATTGCGAGCAACTATGAGCATGGAAGTTGTTTATATCGTAAACACGCTCCAATGTTGTCTTCTGGGCTTCCTTTGTTAGTTTTACCATCACCGAAATGAACACCAATGTGGAAAGGCGTTACGGATGTTTCAATTTTACACGATGAATCTCCATGTTGGCATAAGGAGTTACCGCAATGTACGGGAATGCATGTTGGAATGTCTCCCATACCAACTCCAATGAAATCTTCAACAATGCATGGCAACGTTATACGATCTGTACAAGGTGAGTAAAGTTGCCGACTTCTTCTCCGTCCCGTAAATGAAGAGAAAAATGATGGAAAAGTGAAAGATGGAAAACCACTAAAGAATCCTGTATCTGCTGCTTCACCTCCTGAACCTTCTTCATCAGCTAACATTTCATCATCTTGTGTTGGTTCGTCTGCTTGTGTTGGATCGTCACTTCCATCAGTGCCATCATCATTTGATGGATTTAAATCACCGTCATTCATCATGTCAATTGTTTCATCTGCAAGTTCAGTGTCATCGTTCAATGCTGGATCTGACGATGGCCCGTTGTCTGCTAGTGTTCCATCTAAGAGCTTTTTATTGGAATTTAAAAGACTTTTATCATCAATAAATATCTTACCAGACATAATAGGATTTCCTCCCATGCTTCCTCCCATTCCAAATCCCATATTCGGACCGATTCGAAAGGAATTATCATTACAAGTTTCATACTGAATACTACATTTTCCTTTTTCCTGTCTCACACATGCCTTGTAGTTTTGATTTGCCAGGTGCCTTCCGTTATCAGCAAAATTAAATGTTTGTATAATACCTGAAGAACAATAAAAGAAAAAGCCACAAAGAAATGACGTCAGTTGGAGTTCATTTTATATGTTTAGGGAGTATATGAAATGCTAACATAAAGTTGGTAATGAAACTTGCAAATATTTACCTTCACTGCCCGTGAAATATTGCATACATCCACTAGGCGCCTTCAAGCTGAAAGGTATTTGACTTATTCGAATTTCCCATAAACGTGTCGCAACTGAGCGTTGTTTCAAATTAATGTTTATCTTAAGCTCCTGATTTTCAGCTCTCGCTTTAGGCGATCCAATGTCGTATAAAACTTGAATGATTAAAAAATGAAAAATAAGCAAATAAGAAAAGTGGAAAAGAAGGAAAAGATATTAAAACTTACCATGTTGAGCGCTGTTCTGACCACAAATAATGAATGGTGTTGTTCCACCATCAATCGTAAAGTTGTCATTCTCACAAATTCCCGTCGTTCTGTTAGGCTGACTCTATAACATTTAAGTAAAAGAATGTTGCTGTTATCTACTCATAGCATTTATCGTACATATTAAGGTTGGCTGTGTCCTTGTTACAAGTTACTTTTGAACTCAATTTATTTTAATTAAGTTGAAATCGGATTAAAAGCTTTAAAGTTGATTTAGAAAATTTCTTAGGTAAGCTCATCATAATGAATATTTAAATCAAAATCTAGACATAGCGACATTGATGAACGATGTAAGAGTCAAGGTCGGAGTGACAAATTAAACGTTCGTTTATCAAATTAATGCATTTCAATTTACCAGCGTAAAATGAAGAAAATCCAAGCGAATCTGACTGATATCGTTGCTAATAAGTTTTATTTTGATGGAACAGTTTGTTCTGTCATGGGGCATTAGCGCAGGAAATTTCGGCGACACAAAATATGTGATGTTGTTAAACACTTCTTGATCGCATGTCGATTCAACTGAAATTGTTTTGAGATAAAATATTTATTACCAGTTATTAACCGAATTCCAGAGTTTTACTTACAAATGCAACAAGCACCAAAGCCAAGAGCACAATCACCTCGTGATGTTCCACCTGAATGAAAAGTAAAACAATTACCGCCATTCAGAATTTATATCTTGTTTAACAGTACCTTGAATGCGACACTCGTAAACATTCATGCACATCCCAATTCTTCTGCCGTCATCAGATAAGCATTCATCATCGATGGGGAAAGAGAAAAAATTTATCACTGCGACGAGCAAACACAACAATAGAAAGAAAGAGAAAAAAGAGTCACATTAGAAGCATCATAAGCATCAATCTCCTCGAAAATGGAATGGACATTATGGCGGAATATTATCTCTAATGTGATAGGAATAATTTATAAATGGTATCAAAAATCAAATAACAATAAATGTGAAAACTAGGTTGACAAAAACAGAAATGTAAATTTGTGCATATTTTATGCAAATAAACGAGAAATTTAATGACATAATTTTCAGATTATTCCCAATAATCACATACATGTGAAATTCTTGCATAAATACTTTCTTCCATTTCGTCATTTTTGCGTTTTATCTCAATTGTATATTCCACAAATATTTATGTCACTCTCATTACTCTTTCGAATAATCAGTGATAGTTCCACTTACACAAAATTGTTGTTGAACTTTAATGAGAATTTTAAGTTGGTCACTTTAGGTGGAACTTTTATGTTTTTCAATTTTATTGTTTTGTCATTCCATGAACCCCTCCTCACTTCTCTTACCTACACATTCGATTGAGGCGAGGTCAAAAGATCTCGTTAACAAAAAAATATGAAAACTATGCTGAAATATTCGCATGTCATTGAATTCTATATAGAGAACGTGTGTGTAATAAAGCTTTAAATCAGGACGAGAAAGCTTCGTGATAATCTTATAAATTCAAAGAAGATTTTGTCATCGCAATGACTCACCTTTTGCTCTTCTCCCATTCGCATTCCTTCTTAAGCTGCTATTCGTTCGCCCATCAAGAGAATTATTTTGAACGAAGATTGGGGAAGTCCCAGAGATTGAATGTTGTTCTTCTTTAAACGTATCTACACTTTTGTCTGTCTCCCAAATATCATATGTTTTCATATACGGCCACGTCTTTGGCGCACTTGAAATCATCTTAACTACAATTAGCAGTGTTAGAGTAAAGAAAAGTCTTCTTAATTTAATCAGCATGACGCTAACACTTTTTTTTGTTTTGTTTTGCTTTGCACACTTAAAATTTTTAATTTCTTTTATGACACAATTACAAAACTCGATGGTTTATATTTATTTTTCGCGTGTACAGTTTAAAGATTCTCAAAGTCATAAAGCAGATGTGCGATGATGCTTTCATTATTAATATTTATTTTTTGCTGATTTCTTAACTTGATAAAGTTCTTGTTGACTGAAGCACTTCCACGCCCATTCTTGTGAGTCAAATATTGATACAAGAAATCACAAACAGCGACTCAGACATTCTACTATCGATGCTTTTGTTGCGATTAATTGATTTATTCTCATGTCGCTTGTCACCAATTTCTCATCGATCTTATATTGTTTTCTCTTGTTGCTTCGTTTTTGTCATCAATGAAATTCAAGAAGGTGCAAACATTAAAAAGACCGCAACGAATGAAACAAAATATTTTTTTCTATGGAAACTTTTCGCTTCTTCTTTTTCTTCTCTCTTAACTTGATATTTTCTTATTTTTCATTCAGTCTACTATGGTTGATTAAAATTCCGTGAATACTCCAGTAAATATCATTGGGATGAGCGGGAGCGGTGAAACTAGTCAAAGTTGTCGTTCATCTTTCGCTTGTAGCTCCATTATGTGTGTCACCTGTAACAAAACATTTCATACCAATGAAGACGGGAATTTCATATGTTTTTTTAAATATATTTAAATAGGTTTCGATTTTCTCCCCTCAGAGATGCATGGTAAATACTGTCGCATATGTAGATAAAATACATAGATTTAAAAGTAGACCGAAAGTGTTTCATGGAAAAACATTGAAAAAGTTTCTTTTTTCTTTCATTAAATTAGAATGAATGTCAAATTCTGATCGATACGAAACTCACATGTTCAGTTCTGTTTTTGTTTTTATTTATTGTCAATAATGTTTGTCTTTCGAACGTTATCTTTTGGTTTATGACCAAAACTGTTCGTTCTGCTGTGAAATACGATTTTTGTTTGTTGTAAATGCAAATAAATAAAACAATAAAGCTGATAAGTAAATTGACTCATTGAACATTTGGTGACCAATAAATAGTGCAGATAATTGAAAAATGTAAATGGTCATATTGAATTATCTTCTGTCAAGTAATCTAAAAAGTTGGTGTCGAAATCTGATGTAAATTAAATTTAATTAAAGTACAAGTAATTAACCGAATTGAATTTCAACCATCTGTGAAATTCAAAAAATTTTGTTTTTTTCTTTCATACAGAAAAATTAATAAAAGAAGAATCTGTAAATGATATTCATTAAGTCAAAATGTGATTATGGAAATTCTCTACATGATGTTTATGTAAATTTCACATTCCATTTAACAAATGTTGTCGAATATTCTTTTCATTGAATTAACTTAAGCTTTTTGAAAAATATTTGAAATAAGTTCATAAACTCTCATCATGAATGATTTCATTCAGCACTTCAATATCACAAAATGAATGAATATATCAATCTGTGATTTATCATCTTCCGATGTCTTCAAAAACAACGGCCGCATTGTCAACTAATTTAGCTGAACTTTCTACGCTTGTGATAAGCCAGAAGGTTTATATACGAGGTAAACTGTTCCCAAAAACTTTGAAAGCTTCCCTGGTGATCATAAAATTATGAAAAAAGAAGAAAACAATTTAGATGGAAGAAGAAGCGCCAGTTGGTTGTAAACATGTGTTGTTCTTTATTGAAAATTTATTGAGTTGTTACCGCATTTCCATCGAGATCACTGTTCGTCAAAAAACACCATGTGAACGAATATAAATTAATCGGAAAGTTCTACGGTAATCAGTCCCATCAGGGGCTTCCTCCGAATAGCAGAGGATAGATAATCGATTAACATCATCATAATCTAAAGCACTTTTGCCCTCAAATTGATACCAAGGTAAATAATAAAATGGATAAAATAAAACTTTACAACGCAGCTTCCCCCTAGACAACGCTGTTAAAAAAGGTTTGACTCATCAAACGAGTAAACGTGATGGGCATATTTAATTACTCTTCATTTATTGATTATTTTAATGCTTTTGGCGACATCAATCACGTCTCTTAACTAAATATATTCTCCACTTTATCCACCCACGCCTCCCACCTCATTATTTTTCACCGAATTTTATTTATACTCAAATTTTCTTTTCATTCTTTCTCTTTTTATTATTTTTTGTTGCTTTTGAGTTTACAAAATTTACATTATCCGACCCTCGATGAAAACGTGTTGGGTTGAATCGATGATTAAACCCAACGAGATTAAAATTCAATGGAAAATTAAATTAAAGGAAAATTTTTTTTGATTGCCGCGTAGAATTTTTTTTTCTTAATTCTTGAGGTGTGAGTTGGAGATTACTTAGGCAAATAATATTCAACTCATTTCGAAGAATAATTTACACCAAGTCATTTGAAATATTGTTTTCGTGTCGAATTTATATTGTAATTATTTGAATGGACCTACTTTACATCATCTTCGAAATTAATTTGCAATCGTCACGGCTTCTCTCTTTCTTTACGTTTTCACTCGTGCCGATTTTCATTTTCTCTTCCATTGATAAATAATTGAAGACAATTTTCTCAGTTGATTGGTTTCCTCTTCCTCTTCGGTTTGTTTCGGACAACAAAAAGATTAAAATTTTTAACTAAATGACTGTGGAAGATTCTTTGTCATGTTGTGACAGTTTTAAATCATTTTAACTACTGAATATTCAACGCTTCTACTCTAAACCAATCTTGTTGGTTTGAAATAAATTACTTTAATATTCTTGTCAACTTTTCTCGTCTCAACTTGCATGTTGATGACATTGAAACTAGCAAAAGTGTTAAACATGACTGTTATTGCTGTATTCTGTCTTCTACTCTTCTTATTTTCTTGTCTCGGTTTCCACCTTTCCGCATACTTAGAAACTGCACACAAGTCGTTTTCGATTTCATGTTCGCGATATGAGCTCAATCAGACTGTTTTCTAATGACCACTCGAGACGATCTTGTGGGAAGATTAGCATTCTTCGTTTTATGCTTCAACTTTTCAAGTACCGCTGTTTATTTATTTTTCCGGGTTTCGCTTTTACTAAATTTGGATTTCTTTTCACATTACGTCACGTTAGAATTTTTAGAATGAAAATTCTCCAGAACTAAATGGAATTCTCAAATATTTACACAACTATAAACTTTGTAGCTTTAACGGCACTTAATGTTACGAATTGTCTCAGCTTTTATATGAAATAAAAGTTTATTTTATGATGTGACATAATATGCAAATAAACGCTTCGGAATTGTAACGTATTTGAAGAAAGTAGTTTCTCAGATATTTTTTCCCATTTTCCTTTCCACCATTCGCTATGAACTCAAATGCTTAGAAAACTACTGAACACTGTCAAATGTTTTCGATAAATGGAAAACTGATATCATCTGGTGAAATACTTTCGCTTGAATTAACTCTTCTGCTACTGAACCCATCAACAACACATGACACACGATTAAGGAAGCATTGATGTTTCGCTCAAAAGGCCTCGGGAACTTGAAAATCACTCGCAAAAAGGCAATTTTGGGTTAATGATCATGTGAAAGAAAGAGAAAAAAAGGTCGGCAAAGCCTTGCGTCACATGCCAGTGAGATCGGGGATGAAAAATCAATTTGCATGTCTTTACGACAGTGATGGCATGAGAAAACAAGATCCGCTTGTACAATTAACTCCCTTTACATCAGCTTCGACAAAAGAAATTTCTTTTTTTATTTTCAAGAATTCCTTTCTTATTTTCGGGATGATAAATTGATTTTTTATATGTCACGGTGTACTTGGCTCAACAGAAGATTGAATAAAGCAGTACACACCATAAACGCCAATTCAGTGACATATAATTTTTTTTCCAACGAGAGAGAAGAAGAAAATTGAACAACAAAAAAAAGTTACGTTATCACTTGTTTTGTTGAATATTTTCATTCTTAAATTTTGCACCACTGCTGTCATTAAACTTATCGCAAATCACTTGACATCAACTCATATTGTGTGTTGAAAATTGCGATTTTTATTCTCACAAATTATTGGTGTTGAAAATTGAGAGCTTCATGTAAAAAATTGCTGAATTTCAACTTCATGTGCTTTCTTCAAGTCTAATAAATAAATTAATAATTCAATAAGCTTCGAAAACACCGGTAAGTATCTAATTAGTATAAAACAGAAATTTTCATATAGATACATATTTTGCTTTAAAGTAAATAGGCCAGAAATCAGTAGAATCTTCATCGGCCTTGTTTTTATGTAGTAGCACCAGATTTTATTTCTTTTTTATATTTTTATTAAACACGTTAATTTTTCTTTTAATTTCTATTAATTTATAAAACTCTTTTACTCGACCTGCTAAATATGAGATATTTTCGTACTTCTCAGAACTATGAATCAACACAATGTTGGGTATTTAAGTTGAAACTTCTTTAATTATATAAGTGCTTCTTCAGTGATTTTTAATAATGTGTAGTAATTATAACTGATTCTCACTCAGTTTGCTATCAAAAATATTATTATTATTCCACATTAACAGTCTTCACCATATGAGTGTTTCGCGATCGACGATCAAAAGAAAACTGAAGAATATTTAGAGAGAAGAAAATAATAATAATAAAAAAAGTGAAAAAAGAAAGAAAAGAAAGAAGAGAAGAGGTAACGATACACAATATTTTGTCCTGTATTTTGTAAAAATCAATAAGTATCAAGATGCTTCACGATGCCTATTTACGTATGATGAATAAAAGTAAAAAATAATTGAAAACATATTAAAGTCTTTCTACACTTCTTTATGCTTTGTTACTTATTGATGAGTTCAAAACCTCTTATTACGAGTGATACCAATATACGACATTTGATTTTTATTAATGGAGATATATGCGTTTTCCTCTTCTTCCTATTCCCTGACATTGATTTTGATTGGTTTAAGCATAAGCAATATTTAAGAATGCTGATGACAATGACAGATTTTTCAATAGAATATGTGTTGAAGGTGAAAAGTTAAATTCAAAAATTATTTAAACCATCGTCAACAAATCTGAAGTATTTACTTATTCAGACAAGGAGTTTTTAAGAAGTAGGTAATAATAATAGGATGAATTAAAATGCCTACCATTCAATTTAAATACATATTTGCTATAAAGCTTATAAAAAATTAATTCACCCGCAATAACTTTTCAACAGTTTATTTGAAATCTCAGCTGGCTAAACAATTGGTTTGTGTCTTCGATATTTTCACTGCCTTGTACACCCCAAGTCTTTATTTTCTGGGCCCCAACAACAAATTGTCAATCTTCACTTTCAGTCGTGAAAATTACGCTATTTAAGAAAATAATAAAGTGATAAGAAGTTATAAACGAAAACAGTGGCAGATAAGTGACTTTAAAGCGGTCATTTCGATGGTAAATTGGACGAAAAGTGAAATTTTAATTGCATTGTTGTTGTTTAAACTTTTTGCACAATCCAAAATCTGATTTTATTTTCGACATTATGGGTTCACATCTCTCGATAGTTGTGTTCTTTTTCGTCTTTCATGTCATAAATATTTAAATTGTTATTATTCCAAAGTTCTTGAGTCATTCTCGAGGCTAATTTACGCTTCCTTAATTACTTATTGTCATTTTCATCGACGTTCACAGACCGTCGTCACAAAGACATCAAATCGAGTCGTCCCATCGAATCATTATAAAAATTATATATAAATCAAATTAACAAAATTATGGTAACGAGACTAAAAGTCCGTCTAACAGATATGGGATGTGTAGAAAGTGATGATGACGAATTTAATCCGGCCGTGTGTAGTGGCCGTGGTGAATGTGGACCAAATAATTCATGCATTTGTGAAATCAGATACACTGGAGATTATTGCGTAGACTACAACAAAAGTTACCATGCAGGTGAGAATATCTAACAAGCAAACTTTCATTTCAAACCTTGTAGAATGCGAATGAATTCTAAATATTTATAAGATGATTGAATCAGTTAAAAATAACAAATTAATTTATGTTCATTTTTTAAACTTTTGTAACTTCGTTTAGGAGTGTCGTCGCTCTTCTACGTTGTAGCATTTATTTCCCTTGTTCAGCTACTCATTTGTTGTTTCGCTGAATATCGAAGATTAAAAAATCCATCTTTCTTGAAAGCATGTCGAATTACAACACAAAAAATGTTGTATTTCGTCGTATTATTGGCTTCACTTTTAAGAGCCGCGTATTTTACACAACCGGAATCCAACCAGCCATCATGGGCTTATTATCTAATGTCAGCTTATTATCCTTTACTAATGACATGTGCATCACTCGTAGTCTGCTTTTGGGCAGAGGTATGAAATAAGTAAACAAATAATTTAATAAAATTCTAATTAACATTTCTCTATTAATAGACTTTTCACCTTCGGGATATTCGATGGGAACGACAGTTTTTGTCAAAAAGCTTTCTCGGGTTTTTAGCATTCAACCTTCTTCCATATAGTCTCTTCGGAGCAGAGGTATGAATTAACTTTTATAGACACTAATTAAATAAATAATAATTTTTTTGCTGTCCTAGATTTTGTCAGCAAAATTTTTCAGCAATAAAAATGTTTTACATTCATTCTTCAATGGATGTTACGCTGTCCTGCTTCTCGTCGTTGTCGTATTTTTCCTTATTTATGGTGTCGAAGTATTCTTTAAAATACGCGGCGGCTTCGTCTACGACTTCGGTGTTGGACCATCGAGTGGCGTTGAGAATGTCAACGTTAATATATCACAAGTTCATCAATCACGAATTGGATTGTTAAGTCAAGCGGTGATGTTAATTGTCATTGTTGGATTTCTCACGAGTGAAACACTCGGTGATTTCTGGAAACAGAAAGTCCCAGTCAATTCAAGAAACTGGTATGACATTGGATTCCGTGTCGTTGAAGTTGGAGTCTTCATTTGGTTCCTAGCATGCTTATGGAACTCATTCTCACCTGAACAATTGTGGATTCTCAATCCACGAAAACTTCTCACCCGCCAAATTGAACCTGTTGCATCAACATCAAAAACTTCCGACGAAAATCAAACATTACTTGTTTGCTGGGTTTGCTATGATCAAGATAAACAGGAACCATTAATTCAGCCATGCAGATGCACTGGCGATGTAAGTTCAGTCCATCACGAATGTCTGCGACGTTGGCTTGTTGAAAGTTATCGTGAAGAAGAAACTACAGAATTAAAATGTCGCGTTTGTTCAACGCCATATGAGATTAGACGAACCAGCAAGTAAGTTCTTTCTTGAAAAATAAATAAAATCTCAACTAATCTTATCTTGACGTCACAAATATCCGATAATCATTTTTTCATTTTCTCCAAATCCAGACTTTACTGGGAAAAAGGCTTTGACATTCATCATTGGACAAAGACTATCATTCTCGTTAGTCTAATGTGCATCACAGGTGTTCTTGCTTGGGTCATAATTCAACTTTATGCTGATCCATTTATTCGGGTACTGACAGCGGGATTTGCTGTCATTATCGGCTATGTTTGTGTGAAACTTTTAGGTAAGAACACAGTCACCGCTTATCAACGTGCCAAAGTAAGCTCAATTGATATTGTATCGAACAATGATTTGAGAGTGTCAAGGAACTTGATTCAAGCGAGACTCAACAGCATTAGCGAAGATATTGAGGTTGATCGACGTTGAACATTTCTTGTTCTAGTGTGATGTCTTTCCAGATTTTTTAATTTGCTTTTTCTCATTAACCATTAATCTTCATTCAATTAATCAATTGATTTAGGTAATAAGAAAAGTGAAGAGTCACACACAAAAAAAGTTGTTAATTCAGGAAACTTACTGCTTCATCTTGTAATGAAGCGACTGGTCGATAAATATACGACCGTTGCGTGCGAATTGTTAGAATTGTAAGAAAACACATAATTAAGTTTACATGTAAGTTGGAACTTTTTTTCTTTGATTTGTTTCCTTTTTTTGTGTTCCATGTTCGACTATTCAAAGAACTTTTTGCTCCAATGATATTTTCCTTAATCTTTAGCGTAAACTATAACCAACAACCAGACAAAAAAATATTGTACTAAGTATTTGTATTTCTTTTTTATATATAAAGTTTACACATAGTGCGAAAGCACCCGATGATGATAATCTTTAGTCATAAAGCAGATGCTTGCTTGTTTAACTTTATTTTTTTCTTTCAATAAACGAGACTAAGAAGAAGATTGAAGGAGTTGAATTCTGCTCAATTAATCTTTTACTGCGATACAAAATAAATAATCTTCTGATGGTTTGACCTTAAATATGTTTGTCAAGAATATTTTTTATTAGTGGTGAGAGTTTTGTTTGCGTGCGTAAATTATTTTTGTACCTGCTGTTGTTTTATTTGAATAATACGAAAGAAGATGAGATGACATACATTTGTGTTGTCATTGAAATGAAAAAGAAATAAAAGACGGTCTCTTGATATAAGCCAAAAAAATTAAGAAAACAATAATCAATTAATTAAAGAAAAATATTTTTAACATTATTTAAGATTTTAGATTGTTTTGCATAAATATTTTTACAGCATAAACATTTAAATTTTTTTCTATTCAAATTTTTCCAAGATTGATTGAGGTGTGAACGCTAAATGAATGATATGAGAATAAAATTAATGAGATTATGATAAGATTAAAGAAAGAGAAGAGCAGAAAATTGTAAAAATTTGCGATTCAAATGAAGCTCTTTATATATGAGTTACTTAATTTTACTTCAATTTCTCGAATACTCGTAAAAAGGCTTTTTCTGAAACATAAAAAAGCCGTTTTTATTTTGTCTTAATTTCCTTTTCTGAATAATAATTCATTGATGTTAATTAAATAAAATAATCAAGTAAAATTGAAAAGTCATTTGTTACGTTTTTATTTTCTATTTTCAGGTTTTGTCAAAAGGTTAAAAGCCCATAATGATAAAAAATATCATTAATGGAGGTCATAAATCATCCCAAAATTTGGGTTAACAGTCGTTAGAATGATTTACATTAATGGGAAGCTTTTTTTCGTGTTATTTATTTTTAAAAACCTTTTCAAGTCGAGGGGCTAATAAAAGCTTTTAAAATACGGAAAAGCTTTTATTGAGCTTTTTAATTATTTTCATATTTTGAATATTTTTGATGACAAGAAACGGAAATCTTTTGCGTTTACTTTTTACCTGTTTCAATAATTTAGTTATTTTCTTTCTCCTTCAAGTTCATTCATTTCTATTTTCTAAGACGTTCTACACGATTTTTCTCAATTTATCCTAACAGCCAACTTAACATGTCTTGATGAAGGCCATAAAATGTAATTCAGATTGAATGAAACCGTCCTAACGATGTTTCACTTTTTTCGTTGTTGTTTCTTCCATTTACTGTTAGAAAATGCTCGACTTTGACTTGACAACTGACAAATTTTTGTAATAAAAGAAAGCGACAAAATTATTTTAATTTTCTTTTCTTATTAATTTCATTTTACAAATTAATTATCAGTACAACGATTTAAATTACTGCTTAGTGATTTTCCTTTTCTTTCTCTTCTTCATTGTATGTTTCTCTTATGACAAAAAAAAGGTGAAAAATGTCATGTTGGAGATGGGAAAAAGGACAAAAAAATATAATTAAGTTTCTAACTCTCTTTCTTAAATCTTTACTTTGCTTCTTTATTGAATTGATCTTAACTTTTTTCTACTCTTCTTTCATTTCAATTTTATTATATATAAAAAAAAGATTTCCATGCATTGAATCTCAGAATCTCAAATTTATAAATTTTCCTAAACGTGTGCTTTGTGGAAAATTTAAATTTCTTCATGGACTTTCATTCAATTTTTACTTTAACATCGTCGATGCAATTGTTTTAAAAGAAACTATGTAAGTAGTTGAAGGGGAGTTTGTGAGAGTATGTGAATGATGTGATAACGAAACATAAGAAACTTAGAAGAGTAAACCGCCCATGCCCATCTCCGATTGTTCTTTTACGAAGATTTCAAAGTATTGATAAATGATAGTGACAGCGAGAAGGATTCCAGTTCCTGAGCCAATCGCTCCAAGGAAATCAGCCAACTGACTGTTACGTGGTTACGTCTCTGGTGGTTTTCGTCGACGAGTCGGTATGTAACGATTCAATTCATGAATCATCGAGTTTTCACGATGTCCTCGCATCACCATTTGTTGTTCTTTCAATTGCTTGGCGACATCCTTTGCAGAGCTTCCCGACACATCGATCCATGTCTTTGAGAAGAAAGCACACGAACCCAACATGAAGATAATGTAAAGAACGGCATGGACGGGATCTGTTGCAATGTGGCCGAGACTCTCGGGTGGCGATAAATAATAACAAAGCCCACCAATTGGATAGGAACGAGCTGGGCCGCCACCACCAACATCAGCCCAAACTCCCAATAAGTTTACGAGGAAGTTTCCATGGAATTTTACGGCCAACATCTAAGATGAATTTTTTTTATAAATATTTGCATAAGAAGTGATGAAAAGAAGTTAAACAAACCTGCGAGATCACGTAAAGATTTGAGACCAAAGCTGATTGTAAAATAATTGGAATGTTCGATGTATAGAACAGTTTGATAGGATAGCTGCTGTATTGACCACGATAACGTGCTGATTTAATTGGCAAATCAACGCGGAAACCTTGGAAGTATATGACTATAGCAAAGACGAGTACGGTTGCTAAAAGATTCATCAAGTTGGGAAGATTTTGACGATAGAAGGCTTCACGAAGACCTCGAACTTTATCTTGACGTGTTGCAAGAAGATGGAACAATGCAATGACAGCACCTTCGAATTCTGTTCCACGTCCAGTGTTGACAGTTGCTGGTGAGAATGCTTTCCACACAATCGTCTCGCAAATGTTTGTCGCAATGAAGAGAGAAATTCCCGAGCCAAGACCATATCCTAGAAACAAGAAAAAGTATTAAAAAAATGAAATTTACGACATTATTGACTAACTAACCTTTCTGAAGAAGCTCATCGAGAAGCAAAACAATGAGGCCAGCAACGAAAAGTTGAATGATAATGAGAAGACAAACACCAGCGCCAATTTCTGATGGATCACCGTACATTCCCGTCATAACGTAGACAATTGCTTGACCAATTGTGATGACCATACCGAAGAGTTTCTGTGCACCGTTGAAGAGTGCTCGATCTTTAGGCGTGTCGCCAACTTCAATGATCTTCACACCAGCCAACAATTGCATAATAAGACCTGATGTGACGATCGGTGAGATACCAAGTTCCATTAATGTACCACGATTTGAAGCGAGAATCACACGAATCCAATAGAAAGGATCGGCTGAGTCAGATGACATAATTCCGAAGAGAGGAATTTGACAACAAACGAGGAAAATGAAAAGTGTTATTGCTGTCCATAGAACTTTCTCCCGAAATTGAATCTGAGATGGAAAATATTAACGCATAAAAAGTACTTTCTAATTGAGATCACTGGAGCAACATCCAACTCACCTTTCGTTCGGGTTTCGTCACTTCTGGCAGTATACTGCAAAAAGGTTTAATAACCTCTAGGAATTTGACTGAAAGAAGGTAGAAACGAGGCAAATGATAAATGAAAAGTCAAACACGTTGCTTAATTTAGGAAAAGGAAAATTTAAAGAAAGTTGTAATTCAGATTTTTTTTGTTGCCAACGAAGCACTTGATGGAATATGATTTTCTCAACATAAATCCTTAATCGAACATAATCTTATAATTGTGAATGAAATTCAATTTACTTACTTCCCATATTGTATTTAATGTATTATAAACTATTGATTGAATATAATATTTTATCCTAGAACTATGTTTCGTGTTCACTTCACCTTTACTTAAGACTTTCTGTTGTACAATGAATGAATGTAGTTGGCAAATCCGACTTCCAACTCACGGGGTCTAAATTCACCGAATCAGTGATGTCACATCAAATATAAAATATTCAGAAAAAATTACAAAACCCGTTTATTGAATGATTTAAATGTTTCTTTACAATTTCTAAGAAGGTTTTAATAAGTTTGTTAATTAATTATTTAAGACATGACGTAATTTTATCACAATTTACCGAAATAAAGGGGCATAAAGTTGATATTTTTGAAATTTTTATGTCCGTTATAAATTATATTACAAAGAAAGGGAGTGAGAGAGAGTTCGATGAAGTGTAACTTGAGTTAACGACGATAAATAATGAAAGTTCTCTAATATTCTCAAGAATATGATCTGAAAATGAAACCACTCGAAGCAAAATTAAACACTGATTGATTAGTTTGCTTTTCTGTCTTTTTATTAATTTTTTTATTATTAAATATGAAACTTTCTCAATTTCCTTCAATTTTTATTTATTTACATCCATCTCGTTCATCAACTGAATTCCTCATCAATATTTATCTTATTTCCATTGTCTAATTTCTATGTATGTTTGATTTGAGTTTAAAAAGTTGTTTCTTTTTTTCTGAAGCCACAATTTGATACGAATTTTCATTTCTTTTAAGCTGATTTGGTTAGTTTACTGGATTATTATCATAACTGGGTCGTCTTACAAAATTGAATTTTGAAGATAAAAAAAAAATTGGACCCTTAAGGAAGCAATCTTTAATTATGAAGTGAAATTTAAATGTTCCAAGTTAAACTTGTAAAGTTTGTCATCATCAGAGTGAGAAAGAGGATTTATTGCAAATAATGAAATAAACATTTTAAGTACCTTATTGATTCGAAATGAATTTTTACTTTTTCTTAGCATAACTTTCTTCTCATCTAAACAAATTTTAGTTGACTAACTTATACTGGAATTCATTAATTAGTTAATTTAATTATTTTTCTCTCAAACATTTTTTAATAAATTTCGATCAACAGAAGCAATTATGAATCTTAAACGTCTGTAGTCACTCTACTATGGATGAGTTGGATAAAAAATAATTAAATTATATTCGCCTTCACTCATTTCGTTAATCTTAAAATTCTTCCTGAAGGTTAAGAGAAAATAAATTGTTGAAAATAATGAATCGAGATGAATGTTCACCACTTTCAAATGTATGTAAAAATATGTTTGGGAAGTCAAGAAAGAAAGACTGAAATGGATGAAGTAAAAAAATAATTCGTTATTCATTGGAACTTAAATAAGTTAACTTTTTACATTAAAAAATCATAAGGATTACAAATCAACAGTGCAAACATGTCACTGAAGCAAATAATCAAGCAAACTTCTCAAAGAACTTTTAAATTATCATCAATTGTACAATTTTTCTCTTCTCCTTGCAATTTCATTTCTAATTCGAACTCAAACAAATGTTTTTCATCGAGATATGTTTCAATAATAAATTAACTAAGCATTGCATAAAATAGTACAGAAAGTTACTTCAATTAAACTTGTTAACTAATTGCATAATAATTCATAATAATTAGCTGGATGTGACAGTGAAGATGATCGCTTTGTTAAGCGATATTAAGCAGTCATTTAAGTTTAAATAAACTAAAATTTTTCTTCTCTTGTTTAGTACTTTCACCATACGGATTTTAGTTTTCTTTTGAGCGATTTTACTGTGACCTAAAATTACATTAAATGAAAATATAAAATAAAATCCTATGGCATCATAAAGAAACCTCAACTCATTGTATGGAACTTTCACTGTATTCGTTCTTCTCTTTGATGTTTAATCAAAAATCTATTAAATTATTTTAAATATTATTGAAAGTATGAAAAACAAATTTCAAAGAGTATTTTTCATGAAGTCGTTAACATTTTGGACAACTTATAAGTGAAAAGAACAGTTATGGAAAGAAAAATAAAGAACAATTCACGTTTGGCATTCCACTTGCTTTTTCATTGTTCTTTTCTTCACATGAACGTCATTTTTATTCATAAACATTCAAAGTGGTTTCGTTGAATGACGTTTGCTTCTTTTTTTCTTTAAAATATTTCTAAATATCATCAAGATTTAGTTCGTAGAGCAACAATAAAAAAAGAAAGATTTTTTATGTAAATTAAAGATTCAAATGATGTCACAATTGCTGCGACTCATGACGAAGAAGGAAGCCAAAGGAAACTTATCTGATTTAATCATTTCTCATTTTCTATTTTTTTTTGTTACTTATCCAAATGAACTGATAACGGATGATTGATGAGTTCAACAGTCGGAGGTTGGCGCTTCATTAAAGTCAAGATCTTTTTTGGCAGCACTTCTTGAAATCCGATCGAGTTCAGCACCAGCATCGAGATGCATTAACTTTTCGGGTGTAACCATGCCGTCAGTGCCATTGGTTCTTGGTGTTAGGCTATTCGTTCCACTTGAAAGTGAATTTGGCCCACTTGGTGTTCCAGGCGATCCTGATTTTTTATGTAGCAGTGAATTAAAGAAATTTGCGAGAACACCTTCACCAGACGGTGCACCTGGCGTAAGTTTTGCTTCGATCTGAAACATTAAAATGAATTAAAAGAAATAAATTTTAAGAAAACTTTCAACTCACCTTTTTATTTGGCGATCCTTGTCCAGCTCCTGGTGTTCTTGGTGCAGATTTACCAGCTGATTGTGGTGTTCTCATAGGCGAAACTGATCTCGTTTGTTGTTGTCCACCTTGCTGACCTTGCTGTAAAATCTGCTGTTGTCTCGCTAAGAATGCTTGTTCATCTTCTGTTACGATTTCAACTTCTCGATTTGAGACAGTTTTACGTGAAGGTGGTTGAGCTATGATGTCACTATAGAAATCATCAGCTCTGCATGTGTGCATATTCTCGTAAAGTATGCTGATTTTCTTTTGATTGTCCCAACCTGCTGGACTGTTAAATTCAATGTTAGTAAAAGATGTTTAATGACAAAATTAATTAACGCACATTAATACTGCATCCTTCTCAACAACAAGCGCCGGCGTTCGGAATGGCAGCTCATAGATGCGATGTGTTAAATATTTATATAATAGATCACAGTTTTTGTCCTCTTTTACGCTTGTATAAAAAAGCGATGCACCGTATTGGAGGCAAAATCTTCTTATCCATTGCTGCATGAAATCGAAATGTTCATCTCTATAATCGAACTCTTTTTCAAGTGTCGACATGTAATCAGTTTTCGTGACTACAACGACAATGTTGAGTCCAAGATTGGTACTGAGACAATTTTCTGGAAGTGGCATCAGATCCAAGTCATCTTCCACTGAGGATAATCGATTTGTTCGTTTCATTGGAGAGCTTGGATCGAGTTCGTCACCAGACTCGCAATAATTTTGCCACTCGTTTATGAGTCGTTGCTTTTGCTCTTGTCGTTCTTCTGATGACAATTTCAAAGAAATTAAATGATCATCGAGAACTTTCATCCAATGTTGAAGTTGATCATGCCAATGCCAAGGTGTTGTCATTGATACAGTTAAAATGACGAGGGTGTGAGCGTAATTCTGTTCGTTTAATGCAAACTTCATGAGATTCAGATGACCTGGATCTCCATCAAGGATCCACACTCCTAATCTTGTGAGATCTTTAACAAGAAAGAATTAATTAGAATCGAATTGGACAACTTTTTCCCGTTCTTTCTCTTACCATCTCGATATTCGTCCCTCACATCAATATATGCGTACTCAAGACCAGCTCCTTTTTTCGGATCTTCAACACCTTGTAGTTTTGCAATTAGCGATGTTTTACCTGATGAGTTATCACCGAGAACTAGCACAGATTTATTCGACGGTAACTTTGTGGTGCCTTGTGTTTGAACTTCTCCAAGAATTTCTGACCTGTAGACATAACAAATTGATTAATATTTGCCCTCATTGCTGATAATCTTTAATCTTTGCGACAGCATAAAAAAATGAGAGAAAAATTTGCAAAGAAAATCGATTATGAATTTTGCACAGCTGGATCTTTTTCGAAGATTTTTCTCGCTCATCAGACGATCGTCACTTAGCTTGCACAATTAAAAATTTCTTTCTTTCTAAGAAGTCTAAAATATTTCTCACAATATTTCAAATTATGGAAATGAAGTCTTAATATAGTCTAAAGATGATGAGGAAAGTAAATAAAACAACAACTACTTCGAGGCGTAACAAGAAAAAAGGGAAATAAAATTTTGTGACGAAACTTTTAATACTTTCAATGAATGCAAAGCCACTGAACAGTCTTACCACAAGTTCTCCTTGGGTTCACCATTGTCTTTCTTTTTCGATGGTGTTAAACCGTTTGTTGAGGTCTCCATCATAGTTAAACGTGCTAAATAGAATTATATTTTTCCCTAAACTCTGCTATTTTTTCGTGTGATGACTAATAACTTCTCCAACATTTAAAGGTTCACTTAGGGAGAAGATTAAACAATGTGCTAAATTTTCGAATTTATGCTAATTTATTGACCGTTAAATTTGTTTCGCAATGCATTAGATGGAAAATGATTTTCTGTTTTTATAATCTCTCAATTGTTTTACCTACTTCGATAATAACTTTAGGCAATGAACATTTTACAAAAGCAATGCAAATTGAATCTTAAAAACGATATTTTCAATTATCTTATGGATAGTAGCATCTTCCTGTATGAAACATTTCTCAACTGAAATTATTAAACTTCTACGTAATTAAAAGCATTTCGAGTTTCCAAATATTATTCAGAACGACTGCTATTATGTCCATTTGAAGACTTCTTCAAATATAAAGGGAAAGATCGATTTTCTAATTTTTTAATGATTAATTGCGAATAGTTTCAACACAATCTTATTCCATCGAACATTTTCTGCCCGCTAGAATGGCAATTAAAGTTAAAAAAAAACATTATTAAAATTAATGGGTTAAGGAAATGTTCGATTTTAATTTTAATTTATACATTTGTTTGGTAAACAAACAATTATAAATTTTTAACCAAATAAACTCTTCAAAATTTTA